TCTGTCACACTTTTAAATGCTTTTAGCTATGATTATTGAATAGAAATTACAAAAGTGGAATGCCATTCATCAGAAAAAGAAAAATAATTCGCATCCACTTAATTTAAATCATGAAAAATAAAACAACAATTAATTTATTTAACTAATTCTGTTGAAGATCATACGATTCTAATATCATAAAACCTGCAGTTAGTATTATAAATATGACTTTCGTAAATATGAAAATCGTTTCTTAATAATTTATCTACTTTTTTTTTTTTTTTTTNTTTTTTTTTTTTTTTTTTTTTTTTTTTTTTTTTTTTTTTTTTTACTCTTAGGTTCCAATACTTCCAAGTTTCAACAGGGAGGCAGAATCAATATTTAAAATAACTTTATTGGTTTTTTAAAAAAAGGAAATTTTAGTTTTAAATTAGAAAAAAATTATAAAGATTTGAATTCCCACAAATATTTTTTTTTCTTTTTTGACTGTCGAATTTGCGATACGTGTCATTTCAAGATAATTTAATTGAATCTATTAAACAGAAGAATTATGTATTTGAATCTTAACACGAAGAAGAAAATACAATATAAAAGAGGAAGTTATGAAATACAAATGTCCTTCGATCATTTATTGAGATGTAGAGTGCACAAAGGAAGTAAAGAAATCTGAAATTAAATCTGCAAAATTAAGTCTCAGAATAGGCCGACCGGCCTGTGTAGGTGTTAGGGAATTGCCCTTGCATCAGAAAGGTCCTGGGTTCGAATCCCGGGCAAGGCATGGATGTTCCTTCTTTCTCTGTCCTTACTGTGGGAGCAACGTTGGCCCACCTAATATGGTGCCCCTGAAAGAGTGGCCAACAAATCTGCCCTTCAGTTGCCTGTATGACCTAGGTCATTATCCAGGTGGGCATTGAGAAAAAAAAAAGTCTCAGAATAGTAGATTAAACTTCAAGATATTTACTTTGATAGAGAAAAAAACAAATCATTAGTCATGAAGAAGGCAAAAGATGGTCTTCGTTGCCATCGCAGATCTAAAATAAAACAATATGTATATCAATTATTCAAGCACTAAGAACTATGTAACTTTGACACATCTTTCCGTAAACTTCTTCGGTCTCAGATATAAAGGAGGCTATTGTGAATTTTTTAAATAGCAAAACAAATGGCGCTTATAAACTTTTTGTAGTTGTTTACGATGGAACTAAGCAAAATTTATGGAAATAAATAGGCTTTATTTGTCAGTTTAAAAGGATTTAAAAAAGATCTACATTTTGATGATAGGCGAGTTTCACTCAAATGGGCTGGTATTATTAAGGCATATTATGAATTTGTCAGGACGGTCCGAGATTGCCGACCCATGGGCAAGAGTTTATTCAACTGCGAACACCTTTCACTAATAAGTTTCAACTAATTGAAAAAGACTCGTCAAAAATAAGAGGACATAGCATTTCTGATCTCAGTACAGATCAAAAATATTTAAAGAATATAAGCCAAGCAGTTTCTTTAGGCAAATATCCACCAAATTTGGTGTTATTATGCCCTTAGAAATTTTCTAAAGCAAGCTCACTACGATGAACAAAGTCCATTGAGTTTACACAAGAAACTTGGATCCATAGGTCAACTTAATTGAATTAGCTTCCTTTAATAAGAGAGTATATGCTGCAATGTGATTTTGTACAAAATGTTAATCAGCCATCAATGCTATTTTTGTGAAGCACTTTCGGTTGTAGTTTCATAAGCCTCATAATGGTATTATTAATTTGAAAAAAGCTTCAAAAAAATGAATTAAGAAAAATTTTAAAAAAACTACTTTGTCAGTTACTAAGCCATGAGGAAAATGAAATAGAAAAAATTCTAAACAATTCATAAGTAATATTTCAGTAAATACACAAACTTTGCAAAATGTTTTATTCTCTTCTGACAATTTTTAAAAATTAGGTATCTCTTTAAAATTTTGCACTCTTTGTTAAAGTTTCATGGATGGTTGATAGTGTAAAACTAAGCTCAGATGGAGATAGGGATTAAAATTCGTCTTAAGACTTCTGGGTTACTACTGCTGACTTATTTTTACAACTAAAAAGTCTTGAAAAATCACACCATCCATTATTATTATACACTCTATAACGAAAAAAATCGACACACCTAGAAGCAATCATCCAATTGCTTTGAAATTTCGTATGCATGAATGTTTTGAACAGATGTGGCTGGAATGATGCCGACTAGGGACGTATAGTCTTTAGCGACGAATCCTGGTTCCAACTGTGTCCTGACGATCATCGAAGACGTGTTTGGAGACGCACAGGGCAGAGGGGGGATCTTACCTTCACTATTGCACGCCACACCGGCCCTCAACAAGGCATTATGGTCTGGGTGTCAGCCGGACCCCTTTGGTAGTCATTAGAGGTACACTTACTGCACAGCGGTACGTTGACGACATCCTAAGACCTGTTTTGCTACCGTTCCTTTTGCAGCGCCCTGGGCTGGTTTTTCAGCAGGACAATGCCAGACCACATACGGCACGTGTTGCTATGAACTGTCTGCAAGCTTGTCAAACTCTTCCTTGGCCTGCCAGATCACCAGATCTCTCTCCCATCGAGCATGTCTGGGATATGATGGGAAGGCGATTGCATCTGGCACGGAATGTTGATGACCTCGTTCGACAATTGGATCGAATTTGGCAGGAAATACCGCAAGAGACCATCCGGGAGCTTTATCGGTCTATGCCACGCCGTGTGGCAGCTTGTATCCAGGCTAGAGGCGGGTCAACACCTTATTGAACTTGTTACTGTAACTCTGCAATAAATTATTCAATTGTTCTGAAATTTTGATCATTTACTATTCTGTACATTGTCTTCCTATCCACCAATTTTCGTTTTAATCGGACAACTCCTTGTTGGTGCGTCGAATTTTTTTTGTTATAGAGTGTACTTGTAGTCTTTTCAATGTAACGCGTTCTTTCAATCCAACTTTCAACGAAACAAACAGCAAATGAATTCGGAAGACTCAGCAAGCTTGCTACCCACAAAATAACAAACGGTGCTATTTTACACAGATATAGCCAAATAAGGGATAACACTCAAAAGCATAACTAACCTTACACCTTTTTCATGCTGTGATATTAATTTTGCTAAATTTGTTTTAGGATCACAGCCTGTTACAATTTGTAAATTACAGAAAACTCTTTTAAATGGTAAAATCACGCGGAAATTTGAACAAAAATCACAGTAATAAAAACTTTCCTAGAATATTAAGCCTATTCACGCGCATATCCTCATAAGCAACATAAGTGGAGGGATACACCGGAAGTTTCTAAATTTCTTCCGGTTTTAGGAAGCTTGTAATTGTTTAAATTTTGTTAACCATTTATAATTTTTACAACTATTACAAGAAATGAAAATATTGTTGAAAAATTTCGAAAAAATTTACAAGTAATGTTTTATTTAATACATAACTTTTGAGTGGTGATTTGTATTTAAATGACAATTTCTGAAAATTTAAAAAATTTACAAAAATTTGCTATGTTTTGAAACTTTTCAAAATTTTAAGGCTATTGCGGATGCATATTTTTGAAAAATATTTAAATTTTTGACAAAATTCACAAGTGATACACCAATCCACATACAAATACAACTTTTGGAAGGTAGAGCTTTCCGATTGTCGAAAACTTTTTTTTCGCTCCACACTATCGATCCGTAACTATTCGTACTGATCACAGTTGAGAGAAAAATGGAACCTGATTGTTGCATTTTCAGGGGGAAATATATTTGATTTGATTTGTTCATTTACGTCGCACTGGAGCTGCACAATGGGCTATTGGCGACGGTCTCTGGGAAACATCCCTGAGAATGATCCGAAGACATGCCATCACAATTTTGAACCTCCGCAGAGGGGATGACAACCCTGCTTCGGTAGCCCGACGACCTGCACGCGAAGTCGAGCAGTTTACGGTAGAACAGTTTAACGAGGACCAATACCGCACACCCTCGGTCCCTACGCAGACTGATCCAAGTGGTCACCCAACCGCACACTGACCACAGCCAGTGATGATTGACTTCGGTGATCTGTTGGGAACCGTGTCTTAACGATCAGTCCACTACGGGACGGAAATATATCCCCGCAATTGGGTTCTCATATTTCCCCGGTAGTGATCGGAAGTGCGGCAACTCCATTCGGTAAGATACTTCTTCAGTACTTCCATAACTACTAAAACATGGAATTAAATTTGATTTTTAAACTAATTGAAATGAAAAAGCAGTTTAACTTGTAAAATTTTAGCAATGACCCTTCTCATTACATGCTGCTGCCGCACTTCCACTCACTGTGAGAAAATAAGGAAACCTGATAAGCGAGTTTTTCGCCGGAAAATATATTTCACCAATCAAATTCTAATATTTCCTCTACAGCAATCGGAGGTGCGTGAATTACATATAATGGGAATGCCTTGGAGAATGAAATCCACCAATCAAGTTCTTTTCGTCAGTGAACGGCAATCATATCTGCGGATAATGCATTGTAAAATGCCCCTAAACCAACCACTTCTGCTCTATTAGATATATGGATATACAAAGCTACAAGCTGGTCTATTGCCACGCAATTACTTTCACTATAATTTGATTATATTTTTTTTCTTTTGTTTTCCTTCTTATCGTCTGTTTTCGAGTTTGAAAGGAAGTTTTGAACTGTCATGAAAGTTTGATTATAATCTGATAATCTTTAAAGGAACTCGAAGAAAAATGGCAAAATCTCCTGTACTTATAGAGTTTTTTTACGATATTGTTTCACCATATTCNGCTTTCTGGGGACCATTTCACATACACAATGGAGTGCTTCACGAGAGGGCAGTGAGAACGTTTCCAAACATGGTGTCACGACCAAAGAGCAGTGAGAATCGAGGCTTGAGACTATTTATTGTGTCGTTTTGCGTTTCCAATTTTATTTTGCAAGGGTCACGGTGCTCAGCTATTTTTTCGAGTGACTGTATTAGATATATGGATATACAAAGCTACAAGCTGGTCTATTGCCACGCAATTACTTTGACTATAATTTGGTTATATTTTTTTTCTTTTGTTTTCCTTCTTATCGTCTGTTTTCGAGTTTGAAAGGAAGTTTTGAACTGTCATGAAAGTTTGATTATAAACTGATAATCTTTAAAGGAACTCGAAGAAAAATGGCAAAATCTCCTGTACTTATAGAGTTTTTTTACGATATTGTTTCACCATATTCTTTCCTTGCTTTTGAAGTAAGAAGTAATTATATTCTGTTAAAACTTATTCTTTTATTAGAGTGGTTTACAGTTTGAAAAAAAATTTGATTTTTGGAAACAAAAAATATTGTGTTATTCTGTTTCTTCATCTTGAAATGTTAAATAAATTGTAATTTACAGGTTCTTCAACGTTACAAAACTTTATGGAGTATAGAGTTGAAATTGAAACCAATGCTTTTGGCTGGTGTTATGAAGACTTCTGGTATTCAAATATTCTACTATTGTATCTATAAATCTATGCTATATTTATTTTAACCGTACGACTAGTTACGTTCGATGTCAATTGTTTTTATTATCTTAAGTTATGTAGTCTATTTTACTACCATAATGGCATTAGAAACTGTTTAGCTTTAAATAAGTTTAGTCTGTTGTGACATATTTACCAAATGAATCAACGAGTCTTAATCATTAAAAGATCTCTCCTATTTTGTATATATGACAGATAGTTATGTATGTATTTGTTACTTTATTAATCCCCAATTGTAAATTCTGAGCAATTTTATCTACTTTTTTTTATTAATTAAATTGAGAAAAGGTTTTCTTCATGCATGCTTATATATTTCCAACAAAATAGTAATATTTTCTTATAAAGTGCTGAAGGTATTATCTCAAGTTTTAGTATTATACTATGTCAAATTTGCAAATTTTCATTTCATTTTACTGTTAGGAAATATGTCCATTTCATTATTTCATCTGTTGAATTATTTGGATAAACAGGATGTTTATTCAGGAGTAATACCTGGGCATTCTGTTTTGAGTATTCAACAAGGCAAATACCCAAAATATTGAGTTAATTGTATGTTTATGAATTTTATTGAAAACTGTAGGATTTTTTTCTTTTCTTTTTTTTTTTATCTATCAGTTGTAATAATATATTAAAAAATCTTAAGCTCAAATCTTTATTAATCTTTTTCGGAAAATAAATCTTGGATTTATTCACTCTTACTCCCATTTTTATTAGCATTTGAAAGTTTTTTTTTTAATTTGAAAACTGGCTATTATAAAAGAAGCATATTGTGTTACATGTATAACTATAGTTATAATTTTTGATTTTAAAATATAACTACTGTGTAGTTAATAGTTTTCAGAAATATCTCTTTTGTCGCTCTTATGTTGTTACAAAAGTTGCTGTAATGAAGTATAAATAACTGTAATCAAGGTAAATTATGGTTATGTCTTAAAAATAATTGAAAACTATTAATATCCTACCTACTTTTATGAAACTATAAATATCCTTCCTACTAGATATTCAACTGACCCATTAAGTATCAGTGTATCACTTAATCACTAGAGTACTCAGTACTCTAGTGATTAAGTGTAACTTCTCCTTTTAAAAATCTTTCTCTGCGCCCGTGCTGTTGCTTGAGTGGATGATGTAATGCATAATTTACAGAATATTTTATATATGTTTGTAAATCTGATTTATACTAATGGGACTGGAATCAGTCTTGAGAAAAAGTCAGTGGTCTAAATTTTGTCTTCTAATTAATATCTATTTTCAATTTGTTTTTTAAATGAATTTTTCAAAACAAAGTTTAATATTTTTAAATGTAACATAGTTTTTGTTAAATATAAATGAAAAAATTACTACTTTTTCATAACTATTGCTGTATTTCCCTTCTGATGTTTCGAAATAATGGATATAAAGTTAAATTAAGAATGTTTTTGTTACTGAAATTTATAAAGATAAGACAAAAAAAAATTAATGATAAGGAAGTGAAAAATAAGTAAAAATATGAATAACTCCAAGATAAAGTTAGAGGTGTGTTCAGTGATTATTGTAAAATAATAAACTAAGTTAACTGTTATATTTGTTTTTGGTTTAAAAATAGACTAATAAAATGAAGAAAAATAAACTATTGATGCATTTGCATAAGATACATTTTGCAATCAGTGATCTATTAATTTCTGAAAATTCTGCTTAGAAATTCTAGAGCGTGTTAATTAATCAAAAAATTCAGTGTTGACATTTTTTAGCATGACATCCTTTCTTGTTATAACTAGTTCCATATTTCTTTTAGGCAATAAACCACCTGCTGTTGTCCCTAGTAAAGGAATTTATATGGCTAAAGATTTAAAAAGACTTCAAAAATATTTCCAAGTACCTTTGTTCTTGCCAAGTGTGAGTAATTTACAATGGATTTCCTGTTTTTTTTTTTTTTTTTGTTTGTTTTTTCCTTCTAAATATTTTTTTTAAGAGACCTAAATACTTTTTATGTTAGTGCCAAAATGGATTTGTACTCAGATAGCATGATAACAATGAAAATTGTCACAGATAAAGAAATGAGCACTCAAAGATTCTAGATGCATTTGGAAACTGTAAAAATATTTAGGTAAAATTAGAATTTAAAAAAAAATGACTGTGCAAAGGTTGCTACGTAATGGTTTGAAATTTATAATACAATGGTTTGAAATTTATAATACAATTCTACACCATTATGCATTTAAGGGTTAAAAAATGTTCAAATGTACTATGAAAAGTAGTAGATCATGAATAAAGCTTTTAAATAAAGCAGTCACTTTTACCCATACAAATGTTTTATCCACTAAAAGAGGAAGCTAAAGGTTTGTTTCTATTACATGCAAGCACTTGAGTACATATTTTAGTTAGCAATTGATAAATTAAGTATTATAGTAAATTAAGGGCATTAGGTTGAATATGTGCGATTTAAAATATGCTTATTGATATGAAAATATATATTTATAAAATTGCTGTTATTAAAATAAGGCACAAGTATTCTAATTTCCTCTGTCTTATTAACTTTCAGCTTAAAAACTGCAACTAAAAGTAACATATTTATTAGTTGTGTTTTTCTTGCACAATTGCAATTTTTTTTAATTGAAATGTAAGCATTTTAATTATAGCATATATTAATTGAAATCTTAATTTTTAATTGAAATTAAAATATATTTAGATTTCAAATATGCTCTTTTCATTAGGATACCTTGTACTTTAAATGTTGTTTTACTATTATTTATCCCTTTCAGAATTTAATGGATATAATTTTCAAACATGGAACTCTTAGTGTCATGAGGTTTGTGACAGCTGTAGATTGCGTAAGCCCAACAGACCTCGAAAACATAACCCGAGCTTTGTGGCTTCGTTTGTATAAAGATGTAAGTAAATGTTTTATTATAATGTTTTTTTTTCTGTAAATTGGAATATCAATGTAAAATTTCTTTAAAAATTAAGCATACTAAAATTATTGGTGCAAGTTCAAATAATTATCTAGTTAAAAGTTTCATATGGCTCTGAAATTTTCTTAAAAATTATTTATTCAGGATACGCATTACTTTTGCATCAACAAATTTGTACTATGCTCAGTGGTGCACACTGGGCCTTAGACTTAGACTTAGAGGTTGGGCAGCTCTGACGAGCAGGGCACATCGACCAGAGGTCTATTGTACCCAAACCCTANGTAAAATTTCTTTAAAAATTAAGCATACTAAAATTATTGGTGCAAGTTTAAATAATTATCTAGTTAAAAGTTTCATATGGCTCTGAAATTTTCTTAAAAATCATTTATTCAGGATATGCATTACTTTTGCATCAACAAATTTTTACTATGCTCAGTGGTGCACACTGGGCCTTACTCCTCGTGGTGCACCCTGGGCAATGTTCCAGTAACGGCAAAGTGGTCTACAACTTTGGCATTTTATCCTGTTCGTTTATTTTTGCCTTGCCATTGGAAATTTTTTTAAAAAATATGCTTAGTGTCTTACAGTATGCTGTATTTTGTTTCATTCTTACTGAATATTTTTACATTCATTTAACCTGGAATAGTATGAAATTTCAGAACTTAAAATTTTTATTTTTGCATTTATTGTAAGCATATTTCAATATCAGCAAAGCAAAATTTTAAAACAAAGTATGGACATGAAGAATTTTGTTTAAAAAATTGCAGTTTATTGATAATTGATCTATTAAAGTTTTAACATTTAAATAGATTTTATTAAAATTTACATTACAGGTCTATTGGTCAAACAAAATTCTTTACAATTATTTTCAGTGTCATTAAATTTATTTGCGTTAAAAATAAATTATTTTTTAATTATAAATATATTTTTATGTATAACTACCTATCAATTTACAAATAGCCATTCTGTTATATTGATTGTTTTAATTTCCTCGATCTTAAGTTTTTTTATTATTTGTAGAAGTATAATTAGGTCTAACAGAACCCCCCTCCCCTTTAAAAGTAATTCTATCTATGGCCCTGACTTTATCACAGATGTGGAATTTGTGCCATGAATTTTCTGCATCTGCATAGTTGAAAAGTACAAATATGTTTTTAAAATAGAAACATTTCCGTGACAACATTGTTAAAAAACATGCTTACTAACTTATTGTTCTGTTCTTGGATGATTTTGTGGTTACCTTTTAAGATTCATTTTATTTTCAAATCATTTGTGTATTTAGCCATTATTGATAACAGGACTTAGAAAAAGAAGGTAAAATATAATTTAATTTTTATAATACTTGTTGATAACTTTTCTAAACCAAGTTTTTAGCAGTAAACATGCCTAGATAAATTTAGATATCGCTGGCTGAAAACAAAGAAAAATTTTATCTGTCATCTTATTGCAGTAGTACGTACTGTAATAAATGTAATTTTTGCCTTGAAACTCAGATTTCTCGAATGTTGCATGCTTTTTTTTTTATTCAAATGCATTTGAAAAATACAAATATAGAATTAAGATAAAAACTTTTAAACTCTGCTAATAATATATTATTATTAACTAACACAAAAATATTTTAGTAATTTTTTTTTTTTNAAACTCAGATTTCTCGAATGTTGCATGCTTTTTTTTTATTCAAATGCATTTGAAAAATACAAATATAGAATTAAGATAAAAACTTTTAAACTCTGCTGATAATATATTATTATTAACTAACACAGAAATATTTTAGTAATTTATTTATTTATTTTTTTAATTTTTGAACAAAAAAATTTTTCATGAAATTTTATAATTTCAAATTATCTCAAATTTGTAGAATCATCCATATTTATTTGTGAATTTTGTTATATACACGTTAGATTAAACCAAATATTTGTAAAAATAGTCTTTGTCTGTCTATGAAATTTACATAAGTAGTGCTGCAAATTAACTCTGCAAGTTCTACCAGGTACAGGCTTTTTTTTATTTATTTTTCTTTACTCATTCCTTTTAATAATTTATTAGCATGTTTTTTTTCCCTGTAAATCTTTTATCCTGCAAAGAATTAAAAATGATATACTGTTTTGGCTAAAAATTATATATTAAATGTTCATTTTTAAATTAAATTTTAATACTCCACTGCAGTACTATTAAAAAGCTCAAAATAATTAAAAAATTCAATTTTCAATATTCATTGATGAAAATAGATTTTAAAAACCATTGTTACCTATGTAAGCTAAATATTTCAGTTATCCTAAGTAGGTCCTTTTCCTATTATTCAGATAATTAAAGTTTTACCATGCCTGTTATTATAATAAGTTTGACGGCATTATAATATTGCCCATATTTTATGATTTTTCATTTCTGTAGAAATAATAAGCAAAAATTCTTTCAGTAATACATTTCAAAGTTAATATGTTAAATTGGTTTAATATTACTGTCATAATGACATCTTTCTGTTTTTACAGCATAAAGATATTCAAGAACTACAAAGCTTCAGAGAGGTACGTGTTACAGCATTTAAAATTTGTCATAGATTTTCAATTGGAAAGCAGATAATTATATATATATATATATATATTTAAATTTAAGGCTGGAATTTCAATTAAAATGGATCCTGCAGTTCTTGAAAAAGCTTTGAATACCGTGAATAGTTCTCTAGTAAAAGATAGATTAAAAGACTACACTGATGAAGCCTTAAATTACGGAGTATGTATTACTTCCTGTGCTAAATGTTTATTTTTGTTTTACTGTGTATTCCGTCATTAAACTTAATTTTGTATTAGAATTTTAAAAAAATTATTACTGTTTGCATATGTTTAATTTTTTCAAAACTCTAAAAAAAACTAACCAATAATAAAATAATAGTGAAAATAATAAAATTCATAACAAGTAGTAATAGTAAGAAGTTAAAAACCTCTTTTGTCCTTTTCATGTTATTTTACTTACCTAAATTGTCCCTTGCATTAAATTAAAACCGGGTTAAAATAGTTTTTTAAATTAGATTTTAATTAATTTTATTTTTCTTACTTCCTATTAAAATAGTTTTTCTCTAATCATTTACTTTTTCAATATTTTATCATATTTTAAACACACAAAAATATTGTACACTAAATTCTAAAACAATTGTAATAAACTAGTAAGTTGATAAATATAATAAAAGATTGAATTCCTTCATCTACAACTATAACAATTATTAATTTTTTTTTGTTAAATTTTGTCTTATTACATATGAAATGTTACATTATTTCCACAAATCATTTCTTATTGTAATGTACTTCAAAGTATTCTTTAAAACAAAATAAAAAAAGTCTGATGTCTAACTTTAGTAGCTTTTTAATTTGATTTCAACAACTATTCTTTGTATGACGTCTTTATATGAATTTGTATATTTTTATTAGTATGTTTCATACATATTTAATGATGCCCCATAAATATAATGCTGTTAAATAGCTTACCCAACCCATACCTCAACTTACCCATGGTTCTAATATAAAAAATGTTCATTTTTTTAAAAAGTAATTTTATGACTTAGTGGCTTAGTTTTTTAAAAATTACAGAATTAATTCGGAATTTTTATTACAATCTCAGAGAATTAAAAAATCCTCATTTAAGTCAATAAAATAAATTTAAAAAATATTATCCAAACCCATAGTTGCCAACTTGTATAGTTAGAAAATTTTTTATAGATTAATAGTAAAATAATAATTAAAGAAAGAATTTTTAAATACTTCATCTACTTAACACTTGCCAGTTTAATCACCTAACAAGTAGATCTTATATTCATGTGTTTAAATTATCCATTTGTCATAGTAAATAAAACTTTAAATTTTAAGACCAAGGTATATACTTAAAAGGATAATTGTTGCTACCACTAAATAACTTTTTCCTTAATGATCCTACTAGTCTGCAGAAATCCTAACCTCAAAAAAAATGTAATTTTCTGAATATTTTGTTAAATATGAAGTAAATTTAATTTGATTATTCCAATCAGATGAGAATAAATTGTGAAATGTTGTGCATTCATAAATCATTAACATTGGTGAAAGCAGTATTTATATTTACATTATTATTTTCTAAATTATCTACCTTCAATATGTAGATCAATTTCTCAAAATATTTCTAGTAATAGAATGTAAGCTTGCTTAAGCTTGTTTTTAAGTCACAATGCATAGTGATATATTGCCTTTCTGACTTTTTTTTACCTAATTTTTTGCATAAAAGTAGCATGAATTATTATATTTTGAGTTATTTTCCTGAATAAATTTTTTGTATTTTTACTATTTTTATTTGGGTATATTCATTATTTCAATATCAATATTAAAAAAAATTTAAGCTTTACTCTGATGGGTCAACATGCCTTATGATAAAGGTAACTTAATTTCCTTTTTTTTTTTTTTTTTTTGAGACAGAGTGTCGNTTTTTTATATTTTTACTATTTTTATTTGGGTATATTCATTATTTCAATATCAATATTAAAAAAAATTTAAGCTTTACTCTGATGGGTCAACATGCCTTATGAAAAAGGTAACTTAATTTCCTTTTTTTTTTTTTTAATTTGAAACTATATTTATAAAACTTCATGTTCAGAAGTTAATTATACAAAGTCTTTGAGAAGCTCTTTTTATACATTCTATATATATATAGTGAGTAAAACAAATTTTTTATTTATTCTTTAGTGTTTTATAATTTTTGTTTTAGGCATTTGGAGCCCCCATGATTGTAGCCCATGTAAATGGTACACCGGAAGTATTTTTTGGAAGTGATAGATTTGAACTTCTTGCTTCTGTATTAGGTAACTTTTTCTACTTTTTTTCCCCCTACTCTGCTCATTTTGGCATGATGGTGCAATTTTTTTTTTACTGAAAACTAAATGTGTATGTTTTTATTTGCAGGGGAAAAATGGCTTGGACCTGCTCCAGCTAGTGTATCCTCTTCTAAGCTTTGAAACAATTTTTGAAATGAATGATAGTAATACCAAATATTTACTATTGTTAAAAGATAAGGATCTTTTAACCATTATTTTAAATTTAATCTTGTTATTTACATATCAGTCCTTATTGGATTTATAAATGCAGCATGTAATTATAAAGTGTATGCAACATGTATTATTATTTTAATAATTTGAGTTTCAGTAGATGAGAAGTTTTTTAATTAATAGGTATTGTTGAAAATTTAGTTCAATGAATCGTTGATGCATCAATTTGTATATACTTCGTATATTTGTTATTCACTTTGCTTGTATATGATTACCCTATGTAAATATTTTGATAAGTAAAATATTTATCTTTTTTGATAACTGGATTTTAATTTTTTTTTCCAAGTTTGTTTAAAATATTTGGTAAATAAATTTTTCTATTTACTAGAGTTAGTCTCTTCAGATTCAAGATATATTTAATTTACCCTTTAAAACAGATGTCTAACATACAATATTATAGATGTCTAACATACAATATTATTAGTAGCTTATTATCATTTCACAACACTAGGTAATCGTATTAATTATGTAATTCTCTAAAACAATGCATAAGACTTTTAAAGTAGTTAAATTACTAAATTTACTATTTATTAATTTAACTGTTTATATGAGTTATGGGTAAAAAAAATTTAAAATCTGATTTTTCTATAAATTAAGAAAAAATATTTTTTCTTAGTTTGCATTTTTCATCTCAATTATCAAACAAGTACTTGTGTTTAAAACATGGCTGGACTAGCTATGTTGTTGTTCTTTCTAATGCCACTTGCCAATATCAGCAAGATTGCTTGGTAAAACCAAGCAAATTTAAGGCAAATTGTGCGTTTCTTGTTTCTCAGTGGCACTATCTATAGCCAGGAATACGACTTCAGCCACACATGCCTCACAAACCATTTATAGGGCGGGCCCATTCATACATCCACAGATCGTAATTTTGACCTGAACCAGAGAATGATCAATCTCCTCTTCAGTACCCCCAGAGGTATGATTTGTTATGGGAACATAGAGGCCAACAGATTTAACGTGCACCAGTTACCATTTACTACACCTGGAGCCTTCGGTCGGCAAGGATCAAACCCACAATCTCTTGGACATGAGCCCAACACACTACCAACCAGGTTATCCTGGCCAAAGAGAAAAAGAGACTATCTATGTAAATATAGCTATCAACTTTAGATAAATTTTTATTTTTGCAAAAAGACACTTATTTCATGAACATGCTTGCCAATGCAAAAATCACTTTCTTTCAAATTTATATAATTTTTCAACTTATGCTATTAGGACAATGCTTTAATATGTGCATTTTATATGAAGAAAAATTTAAAAATAGTGGCTTCTGAAAATGTTGTGTAAAATTGTAGGTGATTTATACAGCGACAAAAAATTGAGAAAAGGACTGAGAGTCAATACAATTTCTCAAGTTATAATTTTAAAAAAGGAAGAAAATTGTAGAGACATAGAAGGTGAAAAAATTTTCCCATCTGCCATTGCCTATTCTCTTCTGAGTGGAGTCGTAATGGCAGGTCAAAAGTTTTCTTAGTTTGTAGTTTTGACAGTTTATGTCAAAATCCCCCTCTTTTTTTTTTTCCTTTTTGTCAGACCTTTAATGTGAAAACAAGACAATATTTATTTTTATATGAGTTTAATTTTCTTAGTTTTGTTAAAACAATTTTTGAAAAAAAGTCAGATCAGGGACATAAAAACTTATGTTATTGAAATGCTTATTTGAATATATAAATGCTTTTACTTTTGAAAATTCAGCAATGTAATTTCAATGCTTATATACATTTAGTCTCTAGAAATACTGCACTAGATGATTAACTAGATCACCTCAATTTGTTTTCTTACTACTTTAGAGCAGATCATAACTAATCTCTTGATGAAACTTTACAGAAATATTCTTAATAAGTTATCCTAAACTCAAAATATACGTTCATTATTATACAATGTTTTAATAACTAAATGTGTATCATCTACAAATTATACACTTTGTGAACTGGCATCTTTTATATCTGCCACTGTAACTGTAAGCCCTCCAATTTTTTGTATTGCAAAAATTTATCTCTTATCTTTTTGAACTAATCTTAGCAACATCAATATAATAAGTAAAAAATATGAATAATTTAATTACAATGAGTAAAGTGGAAAAAATTACAAGTTATGGACTCAAACACAAAAAAGTACACTAATAGCTGTTACAATTAAAACTATTTTCCTTTTCAAATTTTAAGAATCAAACAGAAAAGAATACCATGAGAATATTTGAATTGTATTTTTATTTTTGTAATGTTACTAATTGTAATATATTGGTATAGAAATAATTAAAGACGAACAGTTGAAAATTTTGAACATTAGACGATGTGTGATTCTATTCCAAGAAATTGTTTAAAAATTATTTAGTTCTCACTATATATAATAAAGTATTACTTTCCAAACTTAACTTCATTTATCTACACAAATTTTCTAAGATATTTTACTAATTATTTAGCACAAAAAAAATCATATTTTATGTAATTAATATAAACTTATCCTTATTTCTTTCATGAAAATTTTTAAGAAAGTAAAAAATAAATTGATTGTGTCAGTTAGAAACTCTGCTTGCTACAGCGGAGCACAAATGGAGAAGAAGAAAAAAATTAATTTCATTACTAAAGAATATATTTAAAGAGAAATCTTTTATTGCAAATCGATTTTTTAAAAAAACAGAACAAATATTTTCTTTCCTGGAAAGAATAGCACAACTTTTGAACAACATATTCTTAGTTCAAAAATCTTAAACTGGATCTAATGAAGCATTTTCCATTACTCATAATCTTGGTTAACAAGGAACCACTTTTCACAAAGATAACTAATTACAAAAATATATACTGTCTTATAAAATTTTGTGTAAGTTATTAAAAATTAATTAAAAAATTTAATTATAAGCATACTAAAAAAGAGATAAATAATTATTTAATCAAACATTTTAAGCAAAAATTGAAAATATTAAATAGTGTTGCATTTCCTTGTCCCATAGCTTTCTAACTTGCTCTTTAAAAAAAAAATCTCTTTTTATGAATTTGAATTGAAGAACGTATTTTAAAAATTTAATTCTCTGATTTTTTTAGTTTCACATATTTAATTATTTAGGCTATTATGTGAAATACCGAATAGTCGAATTAGCAGAAAAATTTAGAATTAATAAAAACTTATATTCTTTTAATTTGTTTAACAACCATCTTAATGCCTTGGTTTCCTTTTGCCAAAAAAAAAGTCTTCTCAGAAATATACATATTTTAGACATTTTTTCCAATATATTTAAATGCTGATGTTTGCTTGCTACTCCCAAAAAATCACTCTTGTAATGAGTTAGGACTTTCTATGTAAAAAATAACATACTATTTTTATTTAATCATTTCTGCACATATGCAATAAATGCTGTCAACCTTATTATGATATTAAAATATTACCAGCACATTCAGAATCGATAATTGATTATTAAAAAATTTCTTAATTGTTTTATCACCTGTTTCTGACGATATAAATGGACTGTAAATTTAACGATTGGTTTTAATAAAGGGCGTTCACCATAGAACAAACAAAACAAATTGAAATAAGATATATTTTTAATATTATAAATTATTTATTAGGAGAGGATGCTCAGTATAGTACATCCTCTACGAACACAAACATTAAGAAGCGTTCGCCAAATTGGCAAACTATCATGGCGACATAACACATTTTGATGCATGACATTTAACATCACCCACTATTCTTTTTAATTAGCACTGACTAAATAATATGTCAAATATTCAATTAAGTTTGTTACTAGAGCTTGTGAAAAATTTTATCTAATTTATACATCTATAATTAAAAGAATTCATAATCAAGGTAGACTTTACTCTTAATATATTAACCCCTGAAAAGTTTTCAAAGGTTTACCAAATGAGGAAAGAAAAAAAAAACATTTTTCAATTGCAGAGAATCTTATTGATATATAAAATATAACGATTGTTGAAAGCAAAATTTCTGAAAAAATAAAGCAAAAGCTTTTGCTTAAAAGAAAACACAGGCATAAAAAGGGTAATTAATATACCAATAACTCCCAAATGGAATGAAATTTTTTTTAAAATCCCATTGCAGTCTAACATGGATATCATGAACTTTTTTATAATCACGAAAAAGGTTCATTCTTTCCACATTTGTGAAGCTGATAATAAATGAAGCCTCTTTTAGCCTAAATACATTTCTTAGTAAACTTTCACAAAATATTTTAGAGCACCGAAAATAGTTCACCCCCCCCCCTTTATTTCTCAATAATTTAAGATGATTTCTTGTATTCCAATTCTTAAAGACTTTTTTTGAATAATTTTATGAACCATTTCTCAAAGCCTTAATGAAGAGATCACCATTTTTAAAAATAAGTTGCCTGAATCATCCATTAGGCAAATAAGATATGGGTGCATAGATAAGAAACGAAAAGTAATCCTGAAAATAACCACTGGTTACCCGTTATGTGGCAAGTCAACAAAAAACATGGCAGTTTAAATTAAATAAACAACTGGTAACTTTTTCCACTCTGATTTTTTTTTTTTTTTTTTTTTTTTTTTTTTTTTTTTTTTTTTTTTGAAAATCGTTTAATAATAAAAGTACTTCAATGGAGAAAGAGACTCCTGAAAACACAATTTTCATTAAGATGTTCAATATTTCCATTCAAAATTTTGATCCTTCAGAATCCATCAATTTGTGGTGGTAAGATTCATATGGAAGGAAAGTTCTTTAAAAATTTACATATTTCAGAGTTGTAATTCATACATTAAATGTATTTTGCCTTCCCAAATATTTTTAAATAAAGTTCTTTGAAGTCTGTATGTTTCATTTTATTTTTTCACCTATATATATATTTTTTATTGCTGGATTAGCTTTTTATAGGCGTAAATTATTTCTAATATGAATTTTAATTTAATTTTTTAAAAAAATTTGGTTATCATTGAAAAAAACCTATTGGTATCAGTCACAGACTTATTAGGTTCGAGAAAAAAGTTGCTCATAAATTATTAGTCAACAGGCCACTGGCTACTAATAATTCAAATTTTCAGGTGTATGGAAAAGCAATAGCTCAGATAAGATTGGACGCCCACAAAAATAATAAAACTTAATATAATCAATCCCAAAGAAATAAACATTTAAGAGGAATTAGTTACTGTGGACATTATGTGGTGATAGGAAAGAATCAGTATTGTTAAAAGAGGTTATACAGCATAAGAAAAGAAAGATGGCATAACAGAATTTTAGCAAAATATATAGTAAAGACGTTATCTATGGTTAAAACAACTGAAGTTACATGAAATATGTTATACAGCTTTTAAAATGTCGATAGTTATTATAACTATATTGCTAAAAAAAAAAGTATTAGAATTACCTGACATTTTTAGTTTCTTCTTTTGAGTTCAAGATATCGAAGATCCAAACATTAATCTAGTACAAACCAAATTCAAACTTCATCAGCATTTGTTTGCCTAGAAGGTCCCAAAATTTTTAAGTTTCAATTTTTCAGAAATTTCTTTTAATTATTAATACTGAAATATTGAATTAATATAGGATCAGTGCACCTGTCCTTCTTAAGGTATTCGAACCAAATGGTGTTTAATAAAAGAGCAAAAAAAAAAAAAAACAGCATTTGTATTCTTGTAAAAATTACATGTTGCTGTTCGATCACAGGCTTAAATATTTATTGAAAGAAAATCTGAACATTTTAAAGAAATCTTGATTTTTTTTTTTAATAAGGGTATCAACAACTACACAGAGCAGAAGAGATAATTGAATTACCTAAAAAGGTTTTATTTATTAAACCAAGTTGCCAATAACTCGAAGAAAAGGTTTGATTTATTATATATTTTATTTCAAATATGTAGTACACTTTTAGAATAATGTTTTTTTAAAAAGAACGCTATTTAACTCTAGTAAATGGTATTCAAGTCTCCAAAATAATTCTAGCTAGAGAATTCATAATATATGTTTGCTTCCAATTTCCTATTTATTGTAATAAATAATTAAATTGCCTAAATAAAAGAACTTAGTAAATATTTTCAGTTATTACTGAACAAATTTAATTAGTAGTGTTTATACACAATTCCATTCAAAACTCAATTTTAATAGTTTTATGTTATGCATTTCTTTTTATATGCCTCATTGTATAATTTTTAAATAAATTATCCTCCTAAATATTCCTAACTTAACTGTTCATATTTCTTAATCATTGGCATAGAAAATTGCCTATTTTCTTTACATTTGTTAAGCAACAAGATAAGGTACACTTTGAATTCTCTAGAGTTTCATGGACATCAAAGAGATAGTCTTAAATCAGTATTCCAGTCTCTATTTTTTTTCTAAAGTTGGAAAATTCAATATCTATTTGAAAATTTTATGGGCACAACCATCAGATAAACATCCTACATAATTTTTATGGTCAAATATATATTTGGACAAGGACGAAGGTTATTAAGAACTAAAAATCAAAATTTGCAATTTACTTTAACTAGAAATTCTCTTGCTTGCTCAATTCTATTATATAAACTGATTTCTTAAAATTAGCTACTAATTCTTTTTAACCATATTTTATCAAATATTTCAAAATAATTTTTAATATTTACACTATAAATCTAAGCCACCTGTCTGCCGCTTCTCACCAGACCATTGCCTTGAAGCAATTGTTTCTTGGCATAATAAATTTTTTACAAAAAATTATATCTACTTAAAATAAATGTACTAAAAAAAATTGTTTGCTTACTCTTGTGCCTCCAAAAAAAAATATAAAAATTAATGTCGGAAAACTGGATCATACAACATGGTTTTCAAACCAATAAAAATGGAAAACTAAGTTGAAACATATATTTCTGTTAGGAGATCTAAAAAAAAAAACTATGTTTTTGATAGGAAACACTTAGCTTAAATAAGACAGTAAAAACTTACAATATACCTGTCCGCATTAACTCAGATAAAAGTGAAAAAAAAAAGAGACAGCAAATAAGGAGGCCTCAATATTCAAATTTTATTTCGATATCAAAATCAGAAATGTAAAATACATAATGCACAATCTCCTGATAAAACAAGAAATTAATAGGTATAAAGTTTTGAAAGTATAACAAGGAAATAAGACAATTTTGAATATAAAACAATTTTTTTTTTATAAATAAATGAAGATAAAATATAGATGAACACTTAATACTTCATGATTTATTGCTATAACAGTGAAGCTAACACTAAAATACTGTGTGCTTACATTCAACAAGATGAGAATATTTTAGTAATAACAAAAGGTTACACCATTTAGAATAAATTTTGCTTAGAGTACATCAGAGAGTTAACAATTTTTTACCATAAATATCGACTTTCCTCTTGGGAACATACAAGCTAAACATACATTCAAAAAGCATGCAATATTCATTTAAATATTAGCAACGGGTTTCATATAGGCCACTCCTTCCGATGTAACGAACCCATTTAATAACGTCATGATCACTATAGTTAAGTTTTGGTTCAAACACTTTCAAGTAACGAACTTTCAAGCCAGATGGAGCAAAAGGTACTTCGAAATTCATTGATATAGGAGGACGATTCCACTTCTTTTTAGTATCGGTTTGCAAAAGCTCAATTTCAGCACTCAACTGGGTTTCTTTCATACCTGCCATACGCTTGATTTTCCATACAATAGCATTCTCACTGGCTTTGTACTTAGCTTTGCCCTTCATGCAGATGAGTTGAACACCACTAGTATTTAAAGGGGTAGGAATGCGGACTTCGATTTTCTGTCCAATGAGAGAAGATTTAAAATTAGATTTTAAGACAACTTTGACTTCCATCTTGGTACGGCCTACTTCTCTAACGAGGGGTATAATACGAAAGGGGAAACTAATATCCTTTGTGATTCTGTAACGCATCAGTTCGAATTCTCCATCTGGAGGAATAAAACTGATGCTATGCTCACTCTCGAACTTGCTCAGTTTGACACATTGGTGGAACTGGCAATCGTCAATTGCAATCGATGTTTTACCCGTGCTGCGACTTGGGTCATCCAGTGTGGTAGATTTGCCTTTGCTTTCCATGGTGATTTTGTCATTGATTCCAAATTTACATTCAGGCATACCGGAAAGGTAAGACTTCATTACAACTCTTCCAGCAACGTGAGCGCTCAAAACTTGACCCTGAGGAGACATTAACAGGTTGACATACTCCAAAACATCCAGGAACAACTCGTTTCTCCGGTACTTAATTCCCTCGCGACGCCATCCGATCTGACCAGTGACTTGAGTTGTAATCTGGGTCTGTTCCTCCTTGGTTTGAGATTTTACTCCTTGCTGGGTAATAAAGGTCTTCAGAATCCCGGTATCTGTATTCTGTGGATATCCAAAATCTAATATTTCATCAAGAAGCTCATAAATTAAGACAAAATTATTCTTTACATTCTCTTCACTTATTTTTCCAAAGTAAGACTGCATTACTTCTACCATTTTAAGAAGGAATTCAAATACCATAGCTGCATTGACATTTTGCTTAGTTACAGCAGCCAACCAGATGTTGCTTCGTTTAATGTGGAAAAAACTGGTGCGAGCTATGTTGGTGACTGGACTACGTACTTGTTGTCTAGCGTGAATGACATTCACACGGAATGCATCCACAGCATTTCTTCCTATGTCATCTCTAAAAACTCTAGATACTAGCACCTCTCCTTTATGGTTGTAAATAAATAACCCTCCAATCATGTTTCTGTTATATCCGACCTGAAATACAAACAAAGTAATTTAAAAAATACATTGTGCACAGTCTAATTTACTTTAAGAGTTAAAGAAAATTTTAAATACTAAGTAAAACCATAGATATGATTGGAGTTTAAAAATTTCTGAATTAGTCATAAGAAAAATTATTATAGTAAAATCTGATAATTTTTTTTTTCAGATAACCACTGCATTATTTTTTTTTTACATTAAGATATTTTAAAATTTCTCATGCATTTAAAATTTTTTAAGTGAGAGCAGTGGATATTACCAAATTGAAGTGATAGATTTATGAAACGTACAACATGTTTTACATTTTTTATTACATTTAAAATTATTACTGCAGTGCAGATTTCACTAAAATGTATGGTAGTCACTAGAAAGTCATTCCGCATTAAAAGGAGATTGGTAGCAAACATATTATAAGGTTAAAACCTCCTCTTACACTAATTAAAGGAAGCATTTCAAGATTTTTTTCTTTTTAGCAGGGTAGAATAAATATAAAAAATGTAGACTTTTGTTGAACCCATGCATTAAATTTTAGAACATACTATAAAATTTTTGATTAAAAAAAATATTTACAATTATGAGGCCACTTTGAGTTTATAAAAACTAAAATGCATAAGTAAAATATTTACAAATTCAGGTATTCAAAATTCTATTAAATGCATTTTACTAATTAATATAGAAAACACATGTACATAAACTTAATAGATGAAAATATCCTTTCAAAAATTCTAAAAAGAAATACTTTTAAACTATTTTTAACAAAAAAAAAAATTTTTTTTCAATTATACTGATAATTTTTTCACTAGAAATGACGTTTGAATGAACAAGTTACTTTTTAAAATATAGTTTTAATTTACTCTTGGAGTTATAATAGTAAACGAATTATTGCTCGACCAAAAGAGGGCGTTGTAATCACTCACAATAATTCTGTAATCACTTTTGTGGCAGGCAATGGATTGAACTGGATAGCTTATTAGAAAGCCCCAATTCGCATTATATTTTTATTAAATTTGTTTGTTATTAAATATGGTTTCTTTAATTAATGCACTCATTCGCCACTGAATCATTCTGCAACAAATAAAAAATCAAAAATAAAATAATTTTAAAACTTTATATTTTCAAAATTTAGTTAGCTTTCAGTTTGATAGAGCTGAAATTAAATATATAAGAGGTAATGTGATTGAGGCAAGCAAAGAATAGTAAATAGAAAGCATTTGCAGATAAGAAAAACTTAAATTACACAGCATATTTATAAAATCTAATTTTGAAATGAACAGATTGGCGATGAAAAAAAAATGCAATTCTAACAAATCTAAATTATTTATTTAAAAAAAACTCACTCAATTAAAATCTAAAAAGACTTTAAACAAAATTAATGAAGAATCAAGAATGATGAGAATTCCATTTTTCTCTTGAAGGCATATATCAGAAATAAATTGGGAAACTTCAAAACTACAGAGATAAGATTGTTAAAATTTTATAAAGCAAATATGAATTATCAAAAGACATTAAGCATAATACTAGAATTCAAAGCTACCAATATGAACAATTAACTAATTCGGTATGGAGTAACAGACTACAAAATAATGTCTAACTATTAATAAATAATTAGCAATCATACTAATAAAGTATCCCAATTAAAAAAATATAATGCTAAAAGAATTTATCCAAACAATTTCCCTGAAAAATTTTAATTTGCAACAAAAAGTGCAAGTGCCAAAAGTATAACTCTTAGAAAATTAGTAAAGTTTATATTAAGCAATTATAACAATAAAATCAGAAAACTAATAATTAGTAAACTAAACTTAAATTTTATTATTAATTACGCATCCTTAAACAAAGAGAAAATACATTAAAAATTTATTTAATACTAATTCTACGAGAAGCTTTTGATTGATAACATGTCTGTGTCAATTTAATACTTAGCTAAGCAGACAATGTAATTAGTGGAAGGAATTTCAATTTTGGCCTTTATTTTTAACTATAATTAGTTTTTAAACTTGTTTCATAAAATGATATTTAAGAGATACAAATACGAGGATCTAAAATTCTAGTTTTTAAAAACATTATCAATTTGAAAAACGAACAGTAGTCTTTTAAATTACAATTCTCAAATTAATTAGGTACCTAATAATAAAAACCTAAAATATCCGTAAATATTGTATTACATTTCACTTAAGTAGGGTCGAGATGTAACTTTTTTGACAGTAAAAAAAACAGAAGCAAACACAAATATATGCATTTTGTGCATTCCCAAGAAACAGCAAATATATTTAAAATGATTACTATACACATATGTTAATAGAAAACCTATCGCAAATAATAATGTTTCATAAAACCCTTTAAGTTAATGCAATCTAAATAAAAAATTAAAAAAAAACGGAGGAAAAGGAAAAAATAAATAGCAAAAAACAAACTAGGGCATTAAACTAGGGTGTTAAACTAATCGAATTTCAGAAGAAGGCATACAATAAAAAAAATTAAATAAAAACAAAGCCTAATATGAATATTGAAAAGTTGTATGAAAGTAGACGCAGGTAAATAGAAAACAAGCAAGTACTTAAATTATAGAGAAAAAAAAATTAAACTTATAGGAAACCTGGAATTGTTTAGTCAAATGTCATTTCCGAAAGAAACGAAATTGAAAAGCTTATAACCATATAAAAATATAATATGAAGCTAGTAAGAGAGAATACAATAGTGCAAGTGTAATTAATAACTTGTAAATAAAGAACAACTAGTATTTAATTAACAATTTAGATTAACAAGGCGAAAGAATAAGTTTAACGTCAGCAGTAGTTGCACAAAGGTTCAACGTATAAATATAATGATATTTAATTAATAGTGCTGCAACTAAAGGAAATATTATCGTGAAAACAAATAACTGAAATTACATACTTCATATAACAGAATTTAATTGAGTAAAATCAAATAAACCACATTTTAACAAGCAGGTTCCTCCCACCAGCTATTCGCTGCCTTTCGCCGCAATCTTGCACTGTGCTGCCATTTAAATTTTGTCAAAGATGTTGACATTTAGAATTGAGAGCGGTAGCCTAAAGATAAAAATCATGAGTAAGAAATAATATCCACGAGATAATTTTACTACTATAAGCTTTTCGCAGCAAATGCGTTTCAGATATGCACGCATCTAAAAAACAGCATTTTTGAGTTTTGAAAATTCCAGAAATCGACATGTTTGTTCTCGCAAGAGATTCGTTTTATTATTGAGCATTTTTGTTCCCAATGTTTTACATTGTTTCAATTTTATGAACTAGTTCACCTGCGAAGGGAATTCAAAATGTAAAAATCTGGGGCTTCTGAAGTTCTTCAGTGACTAGTCTGGTAGCATTTTAGTAATCTGTAGGACAGGAGAACGTCATGCAACTTCATGCTGCAATTAAAGAGTTAATGATAGAAGTGCGTGAGTTCGAGACCATTCACAACGCATGCGAAAAAATAGCTTATTCGAGTTGGTGAATAGTACAGTCACTCGAAAAAATATTTTTTCGAGTGACTGTACTACTTAACGAAAAATTTACCAATCAGGTTTTCATTCACACCTCCGAATTTGCATGTGCTATTTTTTTCTCACTTGCAGTGTAAATGGCTCCTTAGTTCTTTCTTTCTTTATTTTTTTTCCATTTGCTCGAGTCATTTTTTTCCCAACGTTGCATACAAATCGAACTGCAAAGAGGATTGATAAAAGAGTTATGGCCATCAATTTTCTGAAAACAAATTATGAATTTTTAGTACCCAAAAGATTGCACTTATCTTGAAAATATATAAATAAATACATTCAAGTGTGTTACAGCACATAGTTTGAGTATTTAAGGTTCTGGGCACTTGATTAAGGAGCTTTTAAAATAATGAATTATTTTCGACTTCTTAAAAATGCTAAACCGTAACTTATTTTACATAATTCATTAAAAATTTTAACTTTTTTAAAAATAGCTAAAATAATTTATGTTTATTTATTTTTTTAATAATTTCTATTTTGATTGACATAACAAATATCTTACTATTCTCAAAAAATACTGAATTTATTGTAACAAATCATAACATTATTTTGTTCGACCATACTGTTGTCATCAATGAAACACAGAAGAACAACAAAGAACGTAGTATGATTTTTGTATCTTAATTTTCAAATACGAAGCTCATTTACAGTGACGTAACTAGAGGAAACCGAACATCTGCCCCCCGGAGCGGAATTAATGTTGCATAATTGCTAATGAATTTTTGAATAAAAGGCATCTAAATTTATTCCTATAATCCTATTTTATACTTTACACAACTCTGAAACTTTCTTTTGTGAATGAATCTGTAAGTAAATGATATTTTTAATTTAACATTTGTCAGAAAGTGTGGCGAATTAACAAATTTATTTTATACATTTATTTCTTAATGAAAATATCTTATTAATGAGACAAATTTTCTACTATTAAATGTGTTCAAAACTATTTTAAAACTTTTTTTTAATGTTTTTGCTGACTAAAAGAACATTAGTGTCCAATGGCCCAACCCATCCAGAAGGGCTCATCAGCATCAAAATAGCTATCCAAGATGATGTCCATTTCAGGATGATGTTTACGGCCTATCCCCGATCCTGGATATAAATGATGTTTTCTATTTGTATTAGAAAATTATTCTGAAAGAATAGTAAAAAGAATATACTGAGAGAATATCCAAAACACGCGAAGGTTAAATTCAGTTCACAATTGATTGAACAATATAAATAACGTTTGATACATTGCTTCAGAACTAGTCAGAAAAATCTCAAAAATGGCATGAAAAAGATAATAAAAAAGTCTTAGATATGATAGAAGTGACATGACCTTGTGATGTGATCAATAATCAAGGAAGTTGTCTTAACAAACAAGTGGAAGGAAATGTGTTATCATGAATTAAAAACAATTAAAACTCAATTGGGATCAACAATTTTTCTCTTTTTTTTTTTAACATTTCCATTTGAAACATTTTAAAAAGTTGTCTGATAATTTAAAGAAAAATGTTTGTGATTTTTATTTCTCAAAACTTTTTCTACCTATCAAGCGGGGATATTTTCTCACAATTGATTTTTTTTAATTTCTGATACGTGAGATTTTTTAACAGATTTTAGTTACTTTTGTATCGCTTATTTTAAATCTGCAATCGGTTCTCTCTGCAAACTACATTTTTTTTTTAAAATGACATTTGTAGTCTATTTTTTGCCGAAATGTACAAGTTTAAAAATGTTATATACAATAGGGCGTCGCTTAAATATTGCAGAAAATTTCAAGGGGTGTTAGGGTACATCATCAGGATTAAAATTGCTTCGATATCCATGTCATTAAATATCGCCATGCGTGCTGCTTCCTTATTTTGAACTGTTTCTTCGAGTACTTCTGAACAGTTAAATAAGTGCGAAGCTACCTTATCAGTGTACAACGGCATTTCCGAACATCGGTCTCTATATAATTTTATTCCTGATTATGGGATCTCTTAACTCCCCTGAAAGTTCGTTGCGACGTTTGCGTGACTCTCTGTTGTTTATAACGCTCTTGTATATTTCAGCAAAAAATAGACTAAAAAGTTCATTTTAAAAAAAAATGTAGCTTTGGGTGTAAAAATTATCTCAGATTTGAAGTTCCCAGGAAAAATTGAGTATTTGTATAAATGCAATTTTTTTTACCCAGTAATATCAATTATTCCCTAATTATCAATAATTACCTAAAATTTAGCGGAAAGTTTAAATAGAAAAGTATATTGCGTAAGTGAATATTTAGCATATACAACATAAAATTCAAAATTAGCTGCTGTTGAAGTTATTGTTCCCACCTTTTGAAAAGTGATGCCCCTACAAACAAAGCTGGCAAAAATTAAAATTACTCACTAGTTGGAGTTAAATCCAGAAGCAAATTAGCAAGACTATATTATAAGTCCGAGCGGTAAGCCAAAAGTACTCCAGCGATCAGTAATTTGAAATGTAACAATTGTCACTAGGTATTTGAACTGACTGACACCTTCAAATTTATAATTAGTCCCGAGAGGTAAAACCTCAAAATTTCGATTAATGATGATGATTAATAAATCTGGTCTTATCCTGATTGATAGTTAAACCCAATGTCTTAACAGAAGCCTCAAGCCGAGTAAAAATCTCTTCGACAGCCTGTTTGGTACGTCCTATTAAATCAATATATTTGAACAGAATTTTGGATAATTTTTTATCCCTAAAAAAACTAAGTTATGAACATTAGAAGTTAAAAATCAATATTTAAGTGAAAATAATAATTATTGATGCCAATAACTAATGAGATCAATAAGATCAAAGGAGGCATTAAAACAACTCAAAAACGGTTTAATTGAGGAGAATTAATAAAAGTGATTCTCAGTTAAATGCATTCTAGTTCCAGTATTAATCGAAAGACAAATAAATTGGTTGCGAATGATTTTAATCCCGCCTTCGTTCTCTCTGAAAGCAATAATAATTTATTTAGAAATTCGAAACATTTTTGTTTTTTACATTTAAACATTAATTTGTAATCCCTAACACGAATAGTTTTAGTTTTCATTTCTTACAAAGATCCTAAAAATATAAGTGAATGCTGGCTGTTACGGTACATATTTTCTTTTTTAGTCTTTATTGCTACAACATGTTCTCAATAAGTCATAAATCTGGTTAAGCGATAAAGCACATAAAAACATTCTACAAGTGTTATAAAATGCGTTTACATCAATTTAAAATTAATTAACTTAATTCAGCCCCGATGGTCGCCGTATTCTTCTTTTCTCTACTTACATTCATCTTAATTTTTTTTATCGCTTTAACTGTTTTCTTTATCTCGAACTTTAAAGCTTTCAAATTTTGGTCAATTATCTGATAGAAAATGCGAAGTTTATATCAAACACAAAGGCTGAACCTAGATGAAATGCATAAATGATATTGACATACAAAAAGTAAAACAAAAGAATAACTTTTCTTGGACATGAAATTTTTGCAATGCTTATAGGTTTGATAATTTTCACCTAATGATGATTGAATGTTTTAATAGACAATTTAGTTGCCTATTAAAATTTTTGTTTTGTTTATGGGTTTGATAATTTCCAACTTATAAGGACTAAATGTTTTAGGAGGCCGGGATAGTCTGGTCGGTAGCGAGCTGGGCCCATGTCCGAGAGGTCGTAGGTTCGAACCCCGCTGGCCGAAGACTCCCAGTTTAGTAAATGGCGACTGATACACGTTAAATCTGTCGAGTCGCAAAGTCCTCCATGTTCCCATAACAAATCAATACCTCTGGGCTTACTGGATTGGAGATCGATTGTTCTCTGATCCAGGTCAAAAATTACAATCTGTGGATGAATGAATGGGTCCGACCTGTAAACGGGCGTGTGTGGCTGAAGACGAATTCTTGGCTGTAAATGGCGCCACTAAAAGACAAGAAACGCACCTTCTGTCTTAAATTTGATCGGTTTCATCAACCAGCCTTGCTAGTGTGGTAAGTAGCATTAGAAACAACAACAAATGTTTTAGGGAACAATTTATTTGTTTGTTTTTTACTTTGGTTCCATGGCTGGTTTTTCGGTGTTCAGGGCAAATATCTAGTTAGTGTAGCCAGTTGCTTTGCAACCAGAAAGGCAAATTTTGTAAAGACAAAGAATTTTAATTTTATAAAAGTGTTTTTAGTTGTCTAGTGATGGAGAAGAATTTGATAACCTGGAAGATTTTTTTAGAAATAAAATGTCCTCTTAACATCGCTGAGTGTTTCCTTGTGAGGAATTTATCGTTATTATTATTGTTATTATTATTATTATTAATTGTGAATCAAAATAATGTTTATACATCATTTATTTACATTAATTACACAACAAATGTTTTACAAGCATGAAGTGATGAAGAATCAAACTATGACTGCCATCTTAAATAAATAGTTTAAACTCAATACGGTGCACAGTTCTGACAATAAATTGCCTTATTTTGATCGCGTGGAGGGGAAGAGTGTTCTGGTTTGTACATCGGGACTTGGATCATTGGTTTGTATTCCAACTTTGACTCATAAGTTGGACGTGACTGTGATGCTTCAGAAGATCTGTAAGATGCGCGAGTATCTTGTTTAATATATGAATTTGTTTGATATTGAACAGATGCTGCATTAGGATCATAATTGGAATGTTGTGGGCAAGGAACCCCAGCATGTCTACTATTTTCGTTGATTTTACCGAATTCAGGCTTCTGGAATCCATATTGAGCTTGAGGACTTTTTGAGTTCTTCGAATGATATGTTTCCGAATAAGTATGACCCTTAGAGGAAACTTTTGAGATGGGAGCATCATAGGTTGGGTTTTGAGGATAAACTGGAGCTTTTGGATAGGTGATATCATATTGTGAATTTTTCGTATGCGATTCGGGGATTTGATAGGCTGAAATTTTAGGATACGCTCCCCCTTGATCTGAAGATTTCGGTTGTGGTGCATTGTAAGTTTGTCGATTATGATAAACCGGATATGATTTGTATGGATTTTGCTCCTCTTTTGATGCAGCATCTAATTTGGAAGGTTGATGGTATTTTGAATTGTCAACTGTAGATTTTGGATACGAACTTTCTAACTCTGATGGTTTAGAGTACGATCTTTTATGTGCTGAATATACGCTGGACTCCCCATATCCCGGAATTTTAGGCTGTGAATATGTGTGTGCTTTTGAATAAGCATCGCTGTAAGTAGTTGGCTTTATAGGTGACGGTGTGTAGGCTTGATGATAATTTTGGCTTTTGTATGCTGTTTGTGAATCAGATTTAGGGCTTGGATGCGCTAAAGCACTTCCATAGAATTTTTTCCCAGGATCTGATACTGATAAATGATCTTGTTTTGTTTTCCCTGAATAAGGTCTAGATTCCTGATTGGATTGACCAGAATATGCTCTATTATATGGACTGGCAGATAAACTATCCCGTCTATAATACTGTCCAACTGTTTCTGTCTTTTTATAGGTAGGATTTATATTTTCTGTTTTGTCGTAAGTCGAAGGGTTAGAATATTTTACCGGTTTCGCTTCAGAATAAATTCGTACGTCTGCAGGATTTTCATTAGCTGTACCAGGTTCATTGGTCTTAACAATAGCTCGGAAACCTTTATCATCAGCTGTGTAATCAACTTGGCGATATATTCCGTACCCATCTGTGTAACCATAAGTTCCTTTTTTGTATCCATAAGAGTCACTTTCTTCTTTGTGATGTATTGCAGATCCATAATCACCTTTTACATCATAGCCAAAATTGTAAGGTCTTGGCTTTTCTTCCTGAGGGGAAAAAAACTTAATCAGCAAACTATTGAATGGTCCAAAATATTTTTGTTTAAATTTTATACCAACTACCAACACTTTACAACGTATTTCTTAGAAAAACAAATGGCTCCCACACCCTGCTCTCTATCGCTTGCCCATCCCCGAAATTGCTGACGCGTTTTGCTCACTCTTTTCTCTTTATAAAGGGTCTTAGTTCATAGTCTTAGAGTCTATAGTCTTGTTTAAACTCCATTTGTTACACTTTATATAGTTTATTTGAATTATTTTAAAAGCTAAGCTTTCTGCAAACATTGCAACTGCTTGCGCAATTCTTTTCAGATCGCTTTGAGACTTGAGCACGCTTTGCTCTCTCTTTTCACTTAACCTAAAATAAAAATATTATAAACGCGTTAAAAAATTCAAAATAAAATTATAATTACATACAAGTGTTTAGATACCTAGAATGGAAATTTAAATCGTAAAACGCGTTTCCATTTATTTACTCTTATTATATCTTCCCCCCAGCGTTAAATAAGTTTAACGCAATATGAAAGAAAATATAATTGAAAACTACTTAAGTTAACTAAACATAACTACATAACCGAATTGGAAATTCAAATCGAGACATTTTAGAAAATAAAATTAACTCTTTGAATTTTTACCCGATAATAAAAAGGCTTAAATTATTGTATTCAACCTGAAAGAAAAGGACATCGTAAGGCTGACTTTCTTAACTGTTCCACTGTTCTTAAGGCTGTTTTTGTGGACGATTTATTGAGTAAAATTAACAAGTATTTATGCCTGGTTCCTGACACTATATGGAGAGAAAAAAAAACTACCACTTCGCATGGTTAATTCGACGGCTACGGGAGTTTAATCAACGATGTGTTAACCACTGAAGATATTTAAACGTTTTAAGGTCTATTATGTAGATGCGGCAAACCAACGCCTCCCATAACTGAAAGCCTCCATACGGTTTCTTATAGGTAGTCCAATCAGACCACTCTGAAAGAAAAACCAGTTTATGAAAGAGACATTTAATATCTATTAAAAATTAGAAAGTGGTAGCAAATATATGTCCAAATATTAGCTTAATTTATGAATATGATTAGTTTGCGTCTCATTTACTTGTCAACCATTACAGATTCAATTCTCAAATATTTTATCCCATTGTCCACAGAAATGCCAGAGCTGCCACTCTCTTCTCGTTACCCAGTGGGCACTTGCGGCGAAGTCACGGCGGTGGAGCAGCGTCACCCACGTCACATAACCACAAACCCGCTTATAGGGCGGGTCACATTCACACACAAAGGAGAAAGGACATAGAACACAGAGAGAGAGAGAAAGAAACATCCATGCCCTGAGCAGGATTCGAACCCGCGACCATCGGCTCCGCAGTCAGACACGCTAACCACTCGGCCGGCAATTCTCAAATATATATGATAAATTTCTGTCAAGTACTTTTGAAACAGAATTTCGGTTCATGTTCACAACTAGTTCGCTTTTTAAATAGTCTCGCAGATTACTTATAAAATCCCGTGTAGGCGGCTTTCTGATGTAGAAGGTTAGCATAAGCGTACAAAATAAATGTCATGGTTGCAGGGGAATGAATTGGGTCGCTGGCATCGGGAAAGAGAGCAATATCCATTGAGTAATCTAGTCTCAATTTTGCTAATTATTGAGATATCCCATAAATATCAAAAGTATTTTACTTACATATGATGCAGCATAACTGCTTGAGTATTTCGGCCTTTCATACTTTGGTCCATAATACTGAGCAGAGCAAAAAACTGATACACACAGCAGTAATACCTATAATTGAAACATTATTGTTATTTTAGATCATTACTGAGAATTTTATATAATTTCTGAGAACTTTAGACCCATTTTAATTAATCATTCGATTTATTTAACTTATTTCGTACTAAAACTACCCTTTTAGGATATTTTATTTTGTAACCGGCCGACCCTATTTTGGGTTTGCGATTAATGTTCAACTCCGTAACCTTGTAATTTTGTATCTAATCCAGAAAACAAGGGAACTCCTGGATAAAGTATTCGGGCAAACTAGCCTTTGTGAAAGACTTTTTGATGGAACTAAACAGCATTTACGTTACATGGAGAGGAAAACCACGAAAACCTCTCTCTGTTAGCATGACGGCAAGAGGACTCTAATCCATGATCCGTCTACCACTGATGATATTTTACGTTAGCACTGTGGTCGGTGCGAGCCGGGTGTGGAATTCGTATCGACTAGCCATGGCTGGGATTCGAACTCGGTTCACCTCATTGGAAGACGAACGCTCTATTCCCTGAACCACCCTGACTCACTTATAGGATATTGGAACAGAACGACGATTTGCGATTCATCAAAGCGATAAAAAGACTGAGGTTATGTTTTTTTTTTCAAGTGGAGCATTCCCGCCACAGCCTATCGTGGACCAGGAAGGTCATGGTTACAAAGACTTCACAATTAGTGATCAACGGCATGACTATGGCAAATGTGGTCAGCACTGCGCACAAGCTGCCTTTATTTCCCAGACAAGCTGGTATCCATCCATCTGAAGCTGGATAAGCTTCGAACCGATACTCAGGATCGAATCAAAGTCCTTCAAAAGGAAAGCTGAGATCTTTTAACCACTGTACCATCGCGGCAAGGTAATGGTAACACGTTGTGATAAAATTTAAAAGGAAAGTGCTTTCTTAATTTCTTTCGTGAGTAAGAATAGTTCAATTTTCACTTTTATCGTAAAATTCGTTTTTAAAGAACACGATTAATAAACTTCTACCCTGGACATTTATGAATATTTTATTATTATTACGAAGCAAGCAAGCAAAAATATGTTAACTGTCATGTTTAATTTTCACAAACCTTAATTAATAATAATTAAATGATAATTTTAAATCTTATATGATTATAAATATTATTCGTCACAGAAAAGGTGCATCATCAAAAAAGTCGAGAATTATTATTGTTAAGAAATAAAGAAATAAATAAAAATAAAAGCTTTTTACTGTTTGGCCTAGTTTAAAATAAGGGATTAAAAAAACTAGACTAAAAGTTTCCCTTACTCGGTGTTTAGAAGAGAACAAATTGAAGGTATGACAAAAAATTTATATTTATAAAATAAGCTAATATGCATTTGCATTGGGGATAAACCCTATTGAACTAAGCTGTTAAAAACTCTTTTGTAAAACTAAGTCAAAACGTATTTCCCCCTTGGAATAAACATTTTTTTTTCCTTTCATGCTTAAAGAATCAATCTATTATTCAAGCAAAAATTACTGCAATTTCTCTCCCGCCCTTAGGAGAAAATAAAAAACATTTAGTTTTTTTTTTTAATTTGGCTTTTCCCAATCATTCAACTTGTTTCTCACTGTTGTCCTAATAAAACATATGATATAATTAGTAACGCTAAAATTTGTTTGAGCTGGCCAACTTTTTGGAAATCTGCACTTAAATAAGAAAAATTAGTAAAAAAATAACATGAAGTTATTTATAGTTTATGGCATGTATCCAATATAGAAATATTTGCTTGAAAATTGAGTAAAACAAATAAAAGCAATTTCCTACAGTCAAAATACACATGCTTTTTTTAAAAAATTTATTTCATTTATTAATCAATTTTATTTATTAAAAACGTCCATACAAACATATAATAATTTTGAGCTTAAAAAAAAAACATAAAAAATTATAAATAAAGAATAAAATTTAAAAAAAAGAAGAAGAAAAATGCAAGCGTAACAGCATTATGCTAGAAATCTAAAAGAACAGATGATTTTCAAAAAGCTTTAATTATAAATTAAAACTTTGAAAATTTTGTTTATTCTAAATTTATAATTAAAGTTTCATGAAAAGAAAAATTTATTATCTTAGAAATTTTACATGCATAAAGCACTTATAAAACTCATTTAGATTATTGTAGCTTATTTCATTTAATAGTGCAGCTTATAGCATTGGTAAAAGGTATAACAAAAAATTCCAAAATACCAATCCATAAGTTGGAATTTGTTTCATGCTAAAGGTATTAGTGTTCTCTATATTGAAATATAAGTAAATTAAAATTAATTACATAAAAAAAAAATTAGCTCTTCGCTTTCTTCTTGACCGATTTTAATACTCAAAAGGTTCTGAACGAAGAAGATGTTAAATGTTCTTTAAATCGTCTTTAGTTAATTTTTTTTAAACGTAAAAAAAATATTTATTGTTATTTATTCAATGGAGTCTTTAAAAGCAAATAAAATATATTGATTTAGCAGAAACAAAGTGAGACAGACACACAATTTTTTTTCTGATTTTTTTCTAAGTTGTAGAAATACAATTCCACAATCAGTAATCAAATAATTTATATTTGCCGTCTTTTAGATATTTGATAATAAAAAATTAAAAAAAAGTTGTAGTTAACGTTTCATGTTGTTTCATTTAATTATTTTATATCAACATCGTTCAAATGGTTTCAACAAAAACAAAAATGATTTTTAAAAACCCTAAAAGTAACTGCATAGTTTTATTTTTCTATTCTTCGGGTAAAATCGAATAAGATCTAAAAGTAATTAAGTCCTATTTCTTCCTATCTAACAAAGAAAAGTCTTCATTTCCCTTTTTTTTTTCTAAACGTAACCGTAAAAAAGTCTTTCCCTTCAACATTAGAGAATTTGAACAATTTGTATAATCATCAAATATAACAAATAACACTAAACTGACAAATAATAAATGTATAGTAATGAAAAATTAGTACTCACCTTTTTCAACATATTCGGAAAGTATTCTTTCCCACTAGATTCCAAGAATTATACGCAAAGTATTTGTAGGATGAAGCGAATTTATATACTCGAAAAATTGTTCTCATTTCAAAGGGGCGTTCGATAGCTTCATCACGCCGCTGATCCCCTGGGCAGAATTTGAAAGCGAACAAAAAGAAAAACCATTAAACTGATTTTTTTTTTCGATCAAAGGGCGGGTATTATAAAATTATGAAACAACAAGTGCTGTTTCTTATTGAGACATCGTTTTCTTATATTTATGTGTAATTGCTCTTTGTTACAACATTTCAAAAAATAAATATGATCGCCAGAAGTGGTGTTTTCAAGTATGTAATTGGTTTCGAGTGTCTGAGTATCAATTGAAAAAAATAAAATAATGGATACAAGATGACCCAAACTTATATGTATAACGAAGTTACTTGATGAGTACATTCCTAGAAAAATAAGTTTAACGTTGAACCATAGTATAGTGCGAAAATGCTGCCACCTTAATAAGGAATTGAACCATGTTTCTGTAAAAGTTAAACCATAGTAATTTATGTAATTAATTTGAGAAGTACGGTTCTACTTAGCGTCGTATTAAGGTTGCAGCAAATATAAATGCTTTTCTGGTTCAACACACTTCAGAACTAGTAACACTGAACCCTAATATCAGTACCTTGAAACATAATGTGGAGCGAAAATGTTGCAACCTTAATAACTTATTAAATTAAATCATGTTTTTGTGCAAAAACTTATTGATTTAGCAATTACGATAACATGATATTACTAGCATCAAATTAAGGTTGCAGTATATTTAAACGAAATAATTTTTCAACAAGATTCAAAGTTTCTAACGGAGTAAAATTACTAAATATAAAATTTTAGGCAAATTATGTACATTTTACGGAAAATTTTGATACGCGATTCTATAAATTTTTTAATTTTTTTCCTCAAATTTTTTTTTAGCAGCTTGAAAGCACTATATTAAAAACAAATAAAGAAACAAAGTCACATGGTTATGCAATTTGAAAATTAAACTTTTGTCAAGGGGGAATAGACGGAGAAGAATTATAAGTACGCTTTTAATCATCTTTATGAAAATTTTCATAAATAAACTAATGATATTTTTCATGCATCTTAACCTTACTTTCATGTATCTAACTCTTATTAAATTACTGCAGTAATAATTAATCAAATAAACTTTATTGTAGTTGGCAAGTTTGTAGTACAGTAGTTTTCTATGGCGTAAGGTCGAAACCTGTATGGTTTTTCACGATTTCTCACTTTCTTTTTCACATTATATTCAATGGTAAGTTTTCATCTACTTGATCCCTTAGATCACCCCTATGAATTTAGTGGTTAGATTTATGAAAGCACTATTTAACTCTCCTTGCAAAATTTTTATTAAACATATTTTTCATACTTTTTTATTATTTTGTATTTATTCAGGTCAAATTAGGTGAAAAGCATTATATTTAGCATTTTAATAATTTATGGTAATAAAATATATCATAAAACACCAGTGTCTTTCTCTGGGTTAAAGGTAAAATCTTACAAACACGGCTCACCTCCAAACAATGATTTTTCAAATTTGCACTTATTTAGATGTAAGAGAAACAGTTATTCATCATTGAAATTTCTTTAATTTACAAAATCAGTTATTGGTAAATGTTTGGATGCGTTGAATATTTTAAATGANTTCACATTATCAGAATAACATTTGCTATGAGACCATCAAAACAAGACAGTACGCATCAGGAAGATACTGAAACAATGACAGGAGGTTTGACTGTATTATTTTAAAAACACTTTGGCAAATTTTTTATTTTTATTGTCCATGTGCCTGATTGAAGTTTTAAACATGACTACTTATAAAAGATCCGTCTTTTATAAATAGAAATATTAAGTTAACTTTGGATGATGAATGATTTAGAATTAATTCTTCTTTCAGTTGTCTGAGACTTGTAAGAGATTAACTTGTCTTGTCAAAGAACTGCAAAATAAATTGCAAATAAAAGATGAAGGAATCAAGTAACTGAACGAAAAACATTGCCTTCTGCAGAGTAATTTCTGCAATGACGATTGAATTGTATATATATATATATATATATTGTATATCCCATCTGCGTCAAAGAGATTTGGAATGGAGAACTGCAGGAAGCGGAGACAAGCTTTTGTTTGGCGTGTGGCTATTGCAAATCCCTAAAATAAGTTTTAAATATACTTTATTATAACCTTTTAGTTGTCTTCATTATTATAACTTCATTCATAAAATGCCAACCGCATAATTTTATATCCCATATACATAATATTTTAAAACAAAATAGTAACACAGGGAAGTAAGCATCTTGTGTCTTCTTGCCCCTCGGAATTTTAAAAACTGAAAAATTAAACAAGAGCTTTAACGCTATAAATAATAATGATGAAGTAATAGTATTTTAAAGCATCATAACCAATGTGCATTAAAATCCCTTTTTTTTTTTAAATGATGGATTTATAAACAATTTTCGGCTAAAGGTAAAAAGTGCATCTTGAATCATTTCTCAAAATTTCCCATAAAAATACTTTTTTTAAAAAAAATATCCTGTTATCTCTTAATTGTTTTTCAAACCTTTCTTGTTAGAACATGCCTTCGATAATTTGTCGTGTTTTAGTAGTTCAGTATTACGTGACTCACTTAGTAATAGAGCTTCTTGAAAATAAAATAATGTTTCGATGAAAACATTAAAAAAAATTAATAAATAAATAAAATAACGATAAATCTTGTAGAATATCGACAAGAAGATAATTACACACCATCAGTTCAAGGTAAACAGAAGTAGAACGCTTCGATCATTAACAAAATTTGCTTCCGGTGATGGGAAGGGGGCTTAATTAGGGTTGTAAGCTGATTTTTTGTTTTTCGCAATTCCTCATACTTGTATTATATTTTATTAAATGTAAGTAAAATAAATAATTTTCAAGAAGAAACACTTCTTTGTGGGATTTTCCGTGGAAAATGTACTATTTCAAGCTAATCCACTTGGAGTAAAAATTTTATCGATTTTTTTAGTATTGCTAGGCAAAAGAGAAGAATTGTGAATATTTCTTTGATTTTTCTCTATCGATACCAGGTTTTCCTTCATAAATTTTAAAAAGTACTCTTGTTTGGTAAAAAAAAATTCCTCTAGACATCGTAGACTGTTCTTTTATTGTACAATCCATAAGTCATGAATGGAAGAGTACAAGTCTTTTGCTTACTTTACCGATAGTAACAAGATGTTGTTTTCCTTGATCATTTAATGTTTTGAAAAAGGCGATCATTTTAATATTTTTTTACATGAATGTCCTGGGACAAAATAAAGATAAGGGATATTCTTTAATTGTTCTGGAGGGCGATTTTGAAGAAAATCACAGTGAATATTCTTATAGGCAATAAGATGTTTCTGCATATTATGCTTTAATCTAATAGAAATCGCGGAAACTTGTAACGTACCTATCTGGAAACTATACTGATGTATAGATTTTATATAAAAATGTCGATTTTGGAAATAATATATCTTATCGTTGCCCTTAGCCCCTCATAATTTTTATGAGCAAGCTGTTAGTAAAAACAAAACGCTGAAGGCTAAACCCCCTGTTGAGGTTCAAAATGTTTTTGTTTTTTTAATTTCCAATGAGCTGCACAATCGGTCTTGCCGATGAGCAGACCTAGTGCGTTCTCCAGAGGTGGTATCCACTCTTTCAGGACCACCACAATGGGTGAGATACCGTTGGTCAAGGTTCAAAATGTAAATGTTTTGAAATCATATGAATATGGATAGATGCGCACTGATGAGAATTTAATTTTAAACGTCAGCCCTCCTATGATTTATTTCTTACTAATAAGAAAGATATCCGATTAAAATGGTACCATTTTGTTAGTTTACCAACAGTTATTTTAATACTTTGTCTTTATCTTGCCAATCAATCTATTAGTACTATGCAAAAAAAAATTTTAATGATATTTTAATCCTGAACGAAAAGCAGTTATGTTAACACGCTAACAGAGCTATTGTATTGATTTATTCTACATAGTATATTTATAAATACATAGTATATTATCTATGTATCTACAATTCAACACAATATGTAATCTCCTTTTGTGAAGCTTAATTTCGGGTTATAATAAAAAATACAATTCAATACTAAAAGGTTAGTTAAGTCAAAACATGTAACTATTATTCTATTCTTTATTATTTTACAAGTTTTTGCACGGATATTTAGCAGTTTCCTTCGTATCATTATTTCGATTTTGTTCCGATGAGATTCGGAGTGATATGATATTCATAGATCTTATAACTAAAAATTTAATAAAAAATAGCAAATAAGAAATAAAGCACCTGAATCATGACAAGAAACAGAATTGCATCTAATTTACTATAAGTTTAAGAAAACTGATCTAATATCATATCTGTTGAATGTAATTTATTTTTGTTTAACCCAACCCTTTTACTGCCGCGCGCCAGTCAACGTCTGATAATTTTACCGTGGGGACGTTAATTGATTATATTTTAAATTGTTTTGATTTAATAATTTTAATTTAATTGCAATTAAAAAATGCCTTCAAAATAAATTACAATTACATACTAGGTATTGCTGCAGCTCTAGTTTACGTTTCTCAGCTCCCTCTTAACCTCTCGTCCTACAAACCCTAAGAGAAATACGCCACAGTAAATGAAATGGGAATAATTTAATTTTCCTTTGGAGGCTCGGTGCTATTTGATCCACGGGCCGTTGCCGGTCCGCAGCCTAGGGGTTGGAGACTACTGGTTTATAAGACTACTGTACATTTTGCATGAAATAAACTATTTATTTTTAAAATTTGTTTTGAAAGTGCCACCTGACTGCATGTCCTTAAGATTAGCAGGATAAATAGGATCTGGATAGATATATTTGAACTACTATATAGATCGTACTATTTTAATTAACCTTTTGAGACACAGTGTCTAATATGTTGTAAAACATTTAGTGCAATTTTACTTTTTTTTCTCAGCTTGTATGCCTTTACAACCATTGTAATTAGGTTTACTCACATTCTTCAAAACTTTTAATTACAATTTTAAAAAAATAAATAAAGGTTAGAAATTTCATTCTAGTGACCTTTTGAACAGTTTAACGGCAAATAAATATCTTTTTATAGTCTTGGGTTTCGAATTCATGACCAAGATGTGAAGAAATACATAAAAATTCTCAAAATTATAATTTTTTTTTATGTAATGATTAAAATTAATAAGCGAAGCACTTCGCTTTTGTATATTTAAAGCGAAGCAAACTTTAATGAGGAATATATTTTATTATTTTATAACAGGGGTTGAACATCCAACCCAATTTCAGAGCTCAAGACGATCAATGCTCTCTGTAGCCTTGTAATTTTAAACTCAACCAGAAGACAAGGGAACTCCTGGATCAAGCATTGGGACAAACAAGCCATCGAGGAAGACTTTTTGATGGAACTAACACGCATTTGCGTTACAAGCCACGAAAACTTCCTATGCTTAGCTCGACAGCAAGGAGATTCTAATCAATGATCCGTCTACCAATGAGAATATTTCACGCCAGCACTGTGATCGATGCGAGCCGGGAGCAGGATTCGAATCTGGATCACCTCACTGAGAGGCGAACTCTCTATCCCCTGAGCTACGTCGGCTCAAAGAGGAATATAGCAAATTTAATGGCTCCTAACAATCGGCGCAATTTAAACCATAAAATAAAGTAAATAGTATTTTCAATTTTAAAATCTGCTGGATTTAAAAATTGATAGTAATAAAGATAATGTGATCAGATTTTTTGTTAAATAAATAAATAATAATGCATAAATATTTTATACTAATATATTATTCTGGTCATATTTTGTATATTTTTAAGCAGCAATGTACTTTCCTAGGCTTTGAAACTTGTAGGCTAGTTCCTCTAAGTCAGTTGAATTGCTAACATAGCTTACCGAATTTATGCCACTGATTTTATCTCTAGACTGATTTCAGTCCCCGGGACTGACGAAAGGCACTCATGATCGCCAGAAGAAAGCTTGAAATGGTTTCAAAAGTTTGAGCTTAATATAGAAACCTGATGTTCGCCGCCTCCTTCGAATTTAGCTTTAGCATCCATCTTGAATTTACGGATGGGGAGAGGGGATTAGAAGAAACTTTAACAGGAAATTGAAATTAAAACAAGTCATGCAAAAAATAAAAGGCAAAATAAGTGGAGAAAAGTTCTTATTTGCTTCGTAGGCTGTAAGAAATTGACCTATTCAACATAATTAATTTTAGTAATTAGTACTACTGGTTTCATTGGGTGCAGCTTCAATAGGTACCAAATATGCCAATATAGATAGATAATATAAGTACCAAAAACGCAATAGAAGTACTATTTTAATAGTTTTTTTTTTACCAATGAAAGAGATTACTATCAGAGAAAATTTCTTGATGATGGTAAACTTTTGATTAACATGATTTGGCTGCAAACAATAGCATAATATTAACTGATACTGAATTTTTTTTTTCTTTCATAGAATGAACTTCTAAATATGTATTTTACAAAACTGGCACAACACACTGACAAAGAAAAGAAAAAAATTCCGACTTGCCACAAAAGTTATTTATCAGATTCCGTTAACCGTTAGCATAAATTTATGCCTCAGTCACGCCTCATTAAATTCATTTCAGTTATACCTTAGTCTTACACATAAATATATTACAAACCAACTATCATAATGCTTAGCATTAGAGAATTCTATAAGAATTCTATATAAAAAATTATTACAACCCCAATTTTTTCGAAAATATACTGGACTTATTACGTAACTTAAATTAATTCATTCTTCCTGACTTTTCCTTGTTCTACGGCCACCCAGTTTATCTAAAAATTTAAAGCAACCAAGAAAAGTAGAGAATTATATATATATGTATAATTTTCTACTTTTCTTGGTATTAATAACGTTTATTAATACCGATTTATTGATTTCAGTTAGTAAATAAGAAATAAACGAATAAAACAAGATTTTCTACATCTAATTTTTAATAATAATAGCTATAAGCTCTACTGGTTTTATGAGAAAAACTTTAACAATTTAGCAAAAAATTGTTCTGGTTTTTAATTCTTGAAAAAACAGTTGCTCAAGAACTTAGCCTATTGCTTAGATTATTCTAAAGACTAGGCAAGATCAAAACGTGATATAAAAGGATCATTTCAAAGAATTTAAATTCCATAATAGCAGAATAAATTTGATAAATTAAAAATTGATAAAATGAAAACTGAAAATAAAAACTTAATTTTTAGAAGCTACTTGCACTTTGTTAAATGTAAGAATCCAGGTATACTTTACTAAATTAATAACTTACTTTTTGAAATGAAAATTAATTTTTGAAAAAGTTTATTTAGATGTTTAATGGTCATAAAACATATTAAATCACATAAATATATTAAGCACCTTAAAGTTGCAGAATTAAATTAACAAGAAAAAAAAAGAACACTGATAACCCTGAGTTTTTTAAAAATTTATTAAGTAAAATCTACAGAACAAACATTACTTCCTCTGAAAAAATGATGAAATACTTCTCATCCCTGTTTTATCGCCTTTTTGTAACCTTTTCTGAGCTGGAGTTAATTTGCTTTGCTAAAAAATAAACATTTAAGCAATGAATTATAAAGAGAAAGAGAGCATATGCAACATTATTTTGAAAGTTAATGTTGTAAGATAAAAATTTTCTTTGCCATGTTAACCATAAAAAATGTATTTCTATTTACTAGAAGAAATTTATTCATTTTATAATAAATTATAAAAAAAAAACATATTTTTAAAAAAGTCCTAACTTGTAGTAACTTGAAGTTTTAAGATCACAATTGTTGTGAATTATTATTTATGGTTTAGCAGAAAAAAACATAAAAAGTTTCAGAAGAATTCCCTTATCTTTCTGTAAATTTTAATAGTTTTATAAGCACTTGCAAAAATTTTCAGATCTTGGTGAAAATTTTGAGATTTTTTTGCTAAAACTATCAGAATCATATTTTTCATAATATTTTCTTAATAATGAATAAGTCAAGTTAATAAAATACTAAACAGTATGGTAATCAACCCATTCCAGTTTAAATTTAAATTCATATACTTCAATAATATATTATATCTTTTCCAGACGTTTACTTTAAAAGAAAATTCAAAGTAGAAAATAAACATTCACATCGGGAAAAAAATATAATGAGGTTCAACACATTTGTCATAAAATAAACTAGAGAAATTATACAATGGAAGTTTAAATGAAGTTGTTGACTATTTTATTTCTCATCTATTTAAAGTGTTTTTTATTTAATTTTTTTTTGTATTGTTTTCAGCAAATAACATAGATGTACATTTACTAACATATAATACAGAAACTCTTTTTTACAAATTAATCTAACAATTTTATCGAAATGAGTTTTTCTTCCTAAGACAAATTTCTTTGATAACTAGGAAAAACTAAAATGCTAAGCGAACAAAGTTAATTACGCAACAGAGTGAAATACGATTTCTACCTGACTTAAATTTAAGATATAAAATACATTGAAGAACTTTATCTTTTCTTTAGGAATTCAAAATTTCTTCAACTTCGAAATTAAAATTTTTCTGACTAAAATTTTTTTGGGGGTCTGAAAAATTTATCATATTTAAGATTAATGAACAAGACAACCTGCTCTAACCATTCATTTTCAAAAAAAAAAAAAGGAATTTTTGTTGCTTCATTTTTTTAAAAAAGAAAATAACCTTTATTTGATATTTTTTACTTTCATTAATTAAGTTTTTAAATGAAATTCCTATAATATATTTTTTGCTATTTTACAATGGTTTTTGTTGTATTTTACATTCAGATATATAATGCTTTATTTATTTTCTTTTGACAAGCTTGTTATAGTGAAGAGTTCTGTATTCTTTTAATGATTAAAAAACCGATATTTGTTTTATAAAGAATAGTTTTTTTTTTTAAATAAAAAACTATACATTCAATTAACCAACTGGTTCATAAACAAAGCTATTTAATTATGAAATAGAAAGAAACAGTATTGAGATAAATCAAAACATCCAATAAAATTTATTTAAATTCACTAGAATATTTAAACTATTTTTATTATATCAAACATAACAGCATAACTTATAAAAGGATAGCTAAACTACGTAAATATTTTGTGAAGAGAGAGAAAAAACATTTATAGAATAGAATAACAATATTTTTTTAATTATGATTTTTGTACCTGTTTATCTTGAGATTTTGAAAGATCATATTTTTTGCTATAATCATCAACAGGATCAACTGCAGTATTTTGTTTCTAAAAAAATTAGAACTAATAAATATACTTTAAACCATTTTTGTATATTTTTCAAATGTACTGGTCAGTGACAGAAAAAAAAAGTATGGCAAATCCGTTCATTTAAAGACATTGAAAAATTAAATTATCAGCATTATCAGACGAATGTAAAGAAGCAAGCGTCTTGTGTAATAAATGAAATCAACTTACTTTAGATTTTACAGGTGTTCCATTTTGCTTTTTCATTAGTTCTTTCTCTATTCTATAAAAAGTTATACAGTAAATTTATTAATATTAAAATGTAAAAATTTAATATAAATATATGACCAAAAAAAAAAAATGCTTAAACATGAAAGGTTTTTATTTGAATAATTATTTCTAAACAGAATATTCAACTACAGATCTCAAAAATCAGTGTTGGAATTAGTGAAGGAAAAAAAAAACGCAATTATTATGTAAATTTTTTAGCGTTTAGGCTTTATCTATGCACACAAATCTTAAATAGCTTCAATAAAACTAGCACTTTAACACAAAACAAAGATTAAAGCAAAATTCATTGCATGCATCACTTAAACTATGATTATTCAGAATAATAAGAATAAAAAAATATATAATTATGCGAATTAAAAATTTATTTACTGTATCAAACCTAATTCGTGCTATGAAACAAATAAAAATATTTAAAGGAAATATTGATTCTAACTATATTTTCTGTTGTAACATTGAAAATTATTTTAAATCGTCTTCATGCAAAAATACTTCAATTAAAAACTTTCGCGGAGGAAAAGTTACGGATGATTGCATTAAAAACAAAATAATTACATATATATATTTATAAAAAAAATGAACATAAAAATATCTGTCACAATGCAAGTAGTTTATGGTAGTTTTGACTAATAAACAAATTCAAATAATAAAATAATTTATGACTCAGTTCTTTGTTATATTAGATGCATAAATTTATTTTGGAGTTCAATATTTTTTATTTTACGTATTTTTAAAGCATGCTCAATACGAAGTTACAGCCTTTACCAACAGTAAATGTTTTCAGTGAAGAAAGTAATTTAGCTACCCAAAAAGCATGTTGTTATCAGGCAAATATTTCATGTGAAATCAATGGGACATTTTTATTAAAAATGTCACTTTTCAAAAATGGAACTGGTAATTTCAGAATAAAAATGCTTGTGTTCTTTGATATGGCAAATCCCAAATTATTAATCGACAACATTAATCTCAGTCTTATTGCATAATCATACTTATGGAAAGTTAACGGTCGGTTAATATTAAAAGATTCATTGAAAAATATTTTACAGATAAAAAGTTTCTACAGCAATAAAAAATATGCCAATTTGTTTTAATTTTAACTGAACAAGCTTGAACATATAGGAAAGCAACACATAGTTGTGTAATATTTCAATGTTATCAGATTAAAACATAAGTACATCTAATAATGCCAATCTCTAAAGTCTTTCAAACATAATTTTTACACTATCAATCAACATACAAGTTGAAACACATGTAATTAAGTGCTAATGAGGAAATCATTTAGATATAGGATACTTAAAGGTCTAATTACAGCAACAATGTTTGTCTAAACATTTTGTTTTGTATTCAAACAAAGGTAACTAAGTTACATTTTAATAATTACAAAAATGGACTAAAACTTAGAGCTAGATTGCAAACAAAATAATTATTTAAAAAAAATGTAACTAGTTTTGAGAAAATTTATAGACATTAACTTAATGTTTCATTACCTTTATCATTCAAAATATACCATTTTAGCACTTATAATTAGCTTTATATATATAATTATGAATTACATGCTATATATAATAGTTTAAAGCTGTAAAAATATTGTAGCAACTAAAATTTACTAAGAAATTGAAACAAATGGGGTTAAAAACAGCATTAGGCGTATGTTTGATTGTAATATTAGTTAAATTAAATTTCAAAGAAATTAATAGTGACACGGCAATCTGTTTGCAGTAATGAATAAACAATGATACATACATTACATATTAATTTTTTATCTCTTTTCTTGAACCATTTAATTTTATTCCAGCAGTACATGAGAAATTTTTTTAAAACAAAGGGGATTTAAAAAAATATAACTTAACCAATTCTAAATATGAATTGCATACTTTACTAACTTTCATACTTTTTTCTATAGGTAACATTTACTTAAGTAGTTAAGAGTGAGCAAAATTATTATTAAATTCAGCAGAACTTTTACTCATAAAAAGTTAAAAGAATAAATAAAAAAAAAGCCGGGAGTTATGGTGTTAGTGTCATTATGCTAACCAAGACTCTATATAGGTCTATGTAATGGACCAAGACTCTATACAGGTCCATGGAAAGTAAGTACAGTCATCTTAATAAGAGCTAAAGTTTTAATTAAAAACATGCTTTTTCACTTTTATCATCTTATTTTCTGCTTGAAGTTAGATAGAAATGTTTTAACTTTTTTGTTTCAGTATTTTTAAGATTTAAAATGAATGCTCGAACTTCATAGTTGAATTACGAAAGTACATTTTTAAAATTATTTAAGTCTAATTTTTATACCAACAGTCACCAACACCCTGAAGAAAGAAAATGAGGGCTCTATCACCAAAATTTAGCCACATTTATGTAAAACAGTAATTTGGCACAAGAGAGTGCATGTGCTAGGAAAACAGTAAATTCTAATATGCTTTTTTATAACCCTATAAAATCAATAAAAAAAATCACTATTTTTCATTAAAAACCACTTTTTCTATCAAAATTATTTGTTGCATGAATTTTGAGGCATCTTATACAGGCTGACCTGAAAAAAATTTGCCAAAAATAAAATGAAATGACAAAAAATGAGTGAATAAATATGTTTTACAAAAATTAAGTTAATTTAATTAAGTAAATTTGGTTGTTAGTATTGCTTATTCTCAAAATTTGAAAGATTTATGTACAGTGGTTTTTCATATATTACAGTTCCTTATTTTTCCTAGTCACCCTGTACTTATTGCTACATTTTACTGTTGCCTTAGATTTGACTTAAATTATAGTTGTTAATTGATTTTAACTTTACAAAACAATTTTTATTTACATAACAGCTTTAAAGAAGATGATAAACAAACAATAAAACAAAATAATTTTTTTTTAAAAGTTAGCAATTAATATTAAATGGTTCAAAAATATTAATCAAATAAATAAAAAATTAGAAATGAAATTAAAAATAATAAAAATATTAAAAAATAAGGATAGTGATTAATTTAGAAGTATTCAATAATTAATAAATCAAAATAACGTATAATTAAAAATTAAAATCTAATTTTATTCCTCATGCGCAGTTTTAAAAAATGAGTTCAAAATTTTTTTCTAAAACATAGTGACATAAAGTAGAAAATTATATTACCCTAAGCATTGAAGCAATTCATCATACAAATCTTCTGACAGATATTCAGAAATTAGATCACAAGAATACTTAGTAAGTATTTCTATAAGAAAAAACATTTACATTTTATTAAAAATGAAAAAATAATTCAAAACATGATAATGAAGTGATGTTATTGTAATTGTATAACATTAAAACACAAATACAAAAAATTTTTTATTGTAAAAAATGGAAATTAAACAAAGTAAATTCACAATTAATATCCGAAAAAAGTATTCAAGGAATAAGTATACTAGCAACAAAAAAAAGTTTGTAATCATAAAAATATTTTAGAATAGAATAGATTTAGGTAAGACTAGTCTATCTAGTCTAATTCATTAGTCTATGCTTTGATCAGTCCATCTAAGAATATCATTACTTTTCTTTCTAGTGAAAACATTTTACTTTCTAATATGTATGAGTACTGTTTAACTTCCAATATCTTCACTTACATTGGTTGAAGAAATAGCTTCTAGATAANAAAAAAAAAAAAAAAAAAAAAAAAAAAAAAAAAAAAAAAAAAAAAAAAAAAAAAAATAATGTAAAGTAAAGAAATAACAATTACAACATAGTTCGTGTTTAACTGAAAATAAAGAAAATGAAAGAAACCATTAAAAGGAAAAAAAACTAAAAATCTATTTAGAAATACTTTTAAAAAATACAAATAATTGAGCTGAAACTACAATTAAAGAATGAATTTATTTTAAATATTTTATTATTATGTTTTTCTCCCCCCTAAAAATCCTGAAAAAAATTTATGAACCTCAAACAACAATTGAATAATTCTCAGAGTAACCCAAAATTATGTAAATTACAAATGTATTAGATTTATGTCATAACAGTAATATTACTAAAAATCTATTGGATCAATAATGGTTTCAGAGTCGGAAAAATTTACATGGAGTAAATAATTAATAAATACAGACACAAAAATAAAAAAAATATTTTAAAACTAGATGAGATAAAAAATGCAACAAAACCATATTTGTCAATGAAACAGTTGCAACAATGTATAACAATTCAGGAAAGATCTAGAAAAAAAAATGGGACAGATGCTGAATGCACCTCACGGTTTCAAAACTAGGAAGTGTAGGTGCGTGAAATAAAACTTACTTTTTTCTATTAAAGCAAAAAAGAGAAACATAGTTTGACAGTATAAAAAAACAACAACTCTAATTTAGATCAAATTAAATAGACTCTTGTTTTGTCTTGACTTTGATAAGTAAAGATCACTAATAATTTATGATTAAATTATGATCTTCAGTTAAAATTTTTTAAGAAGTTACAGAAATTCAAAATTGTTATACAGAAAAACATTAACAATTTAATTATTAAAAGAGATGAAAGAACATAAATTTTAATGTTTTAGAATATTTTGCAGTTTTATCCTCTATTTCATATTAATGTATTAGTGAATCTACTGTAGGTTCATTTGTTAACTATTTTCAGTTTTTCACTTATTTTAAGAACAACATTTTAGCTTTTACAAAAATCAGCACTATCAACAGCAATAGAGGTTTATAACTAATCTTAGCTGCATTGGTACTGTGAGGACTATTGAAAAATGTCCTGGAGCCAACATGCTTGACTGATTAAATAAAATGCAATAGGAAAGGGTGAAATAAATGCATTTTTTCAGTACAGTCTTGAGTTCTGTTTTTGCTTGGATAATTTACAATTCAGATAATCTGACTGCAGTTAATCGAGAATCTACTATTTTAGAAATTCCAACTTACTTGGATCTTCATTTTCTATATTTGTTTGCAAAGAGGCTGCCTTCGCACCATCTGCAATGTCAATGTTCTTACTTTTCAAGGTGTTTACTAAATACTGAACTTTCTTTTGCAACCAGTGTAATGTTTTTGTTTTATTGTAACAAAATACTTTATATCCAGAAGATTCTGAAATAAGATGTTAAAAATAATAAAATAAAAGTTACTGTAAAAATTGTTTACTAGTTTGCTTCGTATGGTTAATAGTTACCTTTGAAATCAAAAACATTAGTCAACTCTGCTTCAGAACAGCATTTGACAAGAAGATGAACATCAGAGTAATTTTCATCAACAAGAAGGTCTTCTAATAAACAATATTTTCCATCCTAGTCATATTAAAAATATTTAAAACAAGAATTTGGTCACTTTTTTAGCACAAAATTAATATTATTTATAATACAAATCTTTTGAGTCGATCATAAATCATACAACACAATGTCTCCAAATAACTCATAAGTATCTTAGAATATTCTGAACAAAACTAAAAATATATATACCAAGAAGAACAAACTAAAATATCCTTACCTTATTTACATATGGGAGAATGTAAAATAAAGGATCTGCAATGTTCATTAGAAATAAACTTCCATCTAAAACATTGTAAATAATATACAATTAAAATTTTACTTGTAAAAAAAATAATAAATAAATAAAAAATTATACACAGTAAAAAAAATACAAAATAATCCTTATAATCTGCATCTCTGTAATTTGAGATAAGTAAAGAAATATTTTATTTTTCATTGCAGTTACTACAATTTTAGAAATGGAAAAAATAAAGATAATTTTTATCTTAAAAATCAGGTTTTAAAATTATCTACATAGCAATAGATTTAATTTTTATGAAAATTGCTTCATATGAATGAAGAAGAGGTATTGAATAATAAAATAATTATTTCGATAATGATTAGTATTTTTCAGTCAAACATAATGCATAATTGTATTTGTTATAATGCATAATGTAATATTTCTATTCATTATTTTTATATAAAAGCTTATTGTTTGCATGTAAAATGTTTTTTTTTTTTTAAAATGTACTAACACAGAATGGTACTTGCGATTTGAACCCTCGGTATAATAATTGTTGTTACCAGCACCAGTTTAATAATTGTTTAATAATTGTTGACACCAGTATAATAATTGTTGTTTAGCCCTAAGAGCTAAAATAAGGGATCACCAACAAAATAATGTTTGCTTGCTAAATTATTTACATAACAAATACATATTACAAGCAACAAAATATGGAGTTTTGTTTACGGTATCAGGGTCTCAGCTCTACTGGAGAGTTGTCTACTATTCTTGAGACAGAGAGTGGTAGTTGTAGTTATGTTATTGGAAAAGAAAGAGGGCGCTATATTAATTTTATGATATAAGAAAATTGGCCTGATATGATTTTTTAGTAACCCAAGTTGGGTTCCATTCATGCTTACCCAAACTATCAAAATCTTGTTTTTTTTTTTTTTTAATAAATTTTTTAAAAAAAAAACATGATTAATTAAATGAAAGAATAAATAGCACATTTTTAATATATCTCACTATTTTAGAAATATTAAAGTAAATAAAATGTGGTGGCTGGTAAGATATAGAATAGAAATAAATTTTTAGCTAAAAAAAGCCTATAACAAATAATAATAACGATTGAATATTTGGAGATAAAAAAACAATTACTACAGACAGTTGGAAGTATATTTAATTTTAGAACCCAATAAACAAATCATGCAAAGAGTAAAATGTGACAGAATAATGTTATGAATCGTCACAGTAATGTTAATTTTAGAAATAATATGTGATATACAAATTAATCAATAATCAAAATATGCATGGTTTGGTATATGTGCATAAATAGTAATTGCTAAATAACTTTTGAATTTAATTAGAAGAATCACAAACCTTCAATAACAGAGTCATCAACCAGCCAAGATGAAAATTCCTCAGCATAGTGTACAATTTCATATAATTTATGGCTTGAGTCAATTGCACACAAAGTTGGACTATCTAAAAAAAAAAAAAAAAAATTAAATATTAAAAATAAAAAAATAAAAACTGCAAACAGATAAGAATGATTATTTTCAATTTGGAAAGATCTCATATCAATGCTTCTGCCAAAATAATCCCAAAATTTTAGAAACTTTGTGGCTTGCAACAAACTTAAAAAAAAAAAAAAAACTCAGAATACAGCATATTCAAAAGATAAAATTTTAAACGACACCAAGATCAGACAATATAAATTTTTCTCTGATTTATTCCAACTTAAACAACTAGACAATTTTCTTCACCACCTTGGTGATTACATTTGGCAAGAACAAGTGTCAATGTGGAAATATTTAGCACATTTAAAAGAATTTTAATGTAGATCTATCAAAAAGTGCTAAAGAAAAAATAGATTCACTGAAAATCTTCCTATTTATGTAAGTAGAATGATAAACTTTTTTTTCATAAACAATAACAATATTCATCATTCAAATGACACACAGTAATATTGCAATATAAATTAAGACACACAGATTTCCTCATCTTTTCATTAATTTGTTGCATATCCTTAAAACATGATTTAAAAGAAATAAAGTATTCAAGATAAATTAATAAACTTTATGTTAAAATTTAAAAATTATTACTCTAATTTCTAATATTTAAATACACATTAAAAGTTAATTTTAAGAACAGTTAAATTATTACTTTTTATAAAATTGTAATGAGACATTTTTAAATTTATTTAATACAAAATACTTTAGTTTTAAAAATTACCAAGAAAGGAAAAATGAACTTTTAAGCTCGAGAAATTAACAATGAAAATAAATGAAAGTTTTTCCAAAGTTTTAGAAAAATATAACTTACTAGTACGTGGATGCTTTAGTTTTACAACACTGTACTGCTGATTATTTGATGCTAAAAATTGAAAAAAAAATTATTTCAAAGAATGCAATAAATTATATTTACTGCTCATGATAGCTTACCAATACACACATATATGATAAATAATAATAAGCTGTTCGAAAAGTTAAGAATTGTTAAATAAATCTAGGCAACAAATAATTCTTAAGAAAAGACAACGAACATCAAGACCTGGGATATCCTAAATTCTAACAATGATTTTGAAGAGTGAAATTAGTTTTATTAGGACATCATACAGTGATACTGTTTTTGTGTTATAGAGCATCAAACATCAAATTAAATCCACTAAAAATCATAGACAGGACATAAAAATAAATTTATTTTAGATCCCTTGGAATGCATAATTTTCCACGGAACAAAAAAAATAAGTAAATTAGACTTGGATAATAAAAAAAAAAATTGACTTTCGAATTAACGCAAAAGGATAAATAATTCTGCAAGTTTTATATAGCTACTTTTCGTTGATTTAAGTATTTGATTACTTTTACGTAAAAAATTAAAACTTATAATATTTGTTGCCGTATACATCGCTAAAATGGAGATTTATTGTTTTTAATTGGCACCTGCTTTTTATTTTATAATCGTTGTTGAACAGCCGACCCTATTTTGGTTTTACGACTACTAATGTTCAACTCCGTATCCTTGTAATTTTGACTAAAATTTTTTTGGTCGGTGCAAGCCGGATGCGAGAATCGTATCGACCAACCATTGCTGGGATTCGAACCTGGTCACCTCATTGGAAGGCAAACGTTCGATCTCCTGAGCCATCGCAGCTCTAGTACCAGGTTTTGACAAAAATGGAAACAAAAATTTTAAAATCGTCAGTCCTACGGAATCAAAGCTTTCAAAATGTAGCTGAATCGAATCACTGATAGAAGCAGCACATTCTAATTTTTAATATACTGTCAGATAAGCAGGTCAAAATTTTTACAATTTCCTCCATTTTTAAAAGTCTGATATCATATTAATGTGTAATTTCAAATAGATATTTATTAAGCAAATAAAGGGAGTAATTTAAATAGGAGAATGTAGGATTTAAATCGTATGCTTTCATAATAATTTTAATGTAATAGATGAGAAGTCTATATTTCAGGAATTTAAAAGAAGACAATGATCTAAGTAGAGCAGATAAGCACACTGGTGGAGCAGCTTGGGACAATATAAGGACTGCATGATGTTACATACATTAATAGATGTTACATATATTAAATAGTACAGACATTATTAATTCAGAAAAAAACTTACTAGGTATAAGGAATACTCTTTGAGTTATCTCACTTGACATGATCAACTAAACGATAAAGAAATAATGAATAAATAATAAACAAATAAAAGTCATCAATTTTATTTTGTAATAAATCTTTATTATTTATTAGCAGCTTCAAATGGAAAGTTCGGGTAAAATTAAAATACTCTTAATTAATATAGTTTCACATCATTACATTCTAATTTTAAATTAGAAATTATAATAAATGACGACATTTAAATAAGTAAAAATAATATACAACTATTAAAAATATGTTATCGGCAAAAGAGAACTTTGATACAGACCACAGAAAATTTTCTTTATTTATATTTACATTCTCACATTCGCGCCCCAAATGAAACGAGTCGAGTTGAGATATACGCTGCTTGTCAGCTCTCAAAATGAATTATAGATGGCGCTTTACAAAAAAGGTGGAATTTTCACTGATTTTTATCAACCATTTAATTTATTTCAACCTTTTCCTAGTCTTCGGATCATCCTCAGGGATGTTTCCCAGGGGTCTCTATCTTTTAAGGAATTGGTAACTAATTTTAAACCATAGTTTCTACTACAGAATGGTAACAAGGAAATGATAACGTCCGATCCTTGGCCAAAGAATACCTAAGGAGGCCTTTTCATTTCAATTCCAACCTTCAGTAAGGATAGGTTCGAAAAGGGACGAAATATATTGCACCTCCAAAACCCGTTTCACTGTCTCCCCTACATTTTTTGTGGGGGTGCGTGTGTTAAGTAACCCGAAACTAATCACTGTCACAGAAGGGGAATTGCAACCTGCGGGGGTCAACTAGCTTTCAAAAGATATCAGAAGAAACTCACTCTTCATCNAGGATCAAAACAGGGATGTTTCCCAGACCGTCGTCAATAGCCCATTGTGCAGCTCTAGTGCGACGTAAATGAACTACAACAACATCAACCTTTTCTTTGCCATGTCTTGAAAACTAATCTAATGGTCTTGCAATTAAAATTTTAAGATTATTTAACCCACTTATTAGTTAAAGTGCTCATCGAAAATGATTTTAATAGATAAATATATCATCAAACTGTTTAGATTAAATGAAACAGGTGACTGGAGGTTCAGAAACGTAACGTAATTATCCAACGTTGCAATTGTAGTTCATTTACGTCGCACTAGAGCTGCACAATGGGCTATTGGCGATAGTCTGGGAAACAACCCTGAGGATGATCCGAAGACATGCCATCACAATTTTGATCCTCTGCAGAGGGGATGGCACCCCCGCTTCTGTAGCCTGACGAAATGTACGCGAAGTCGAGCACTTTACTGCAGAACAGTTCAACGAGAACCAATACCGCACACCCTCGGTCCCTACGCAGACTGATCCAAGTGGTCACCCACCCGCACACTGACCGCAGCCAGTGATGCTTGACTTCGGTGATCTGTTGGGAACCGTGTCTTAACGATCAGTCCACTGCGAGACTCCAACGTAATTATACAATATTATTATAACAACGTAATAGTTAGGACTAAATGAATTTTTATTTATTCACAGAGCATTTTATCTCAGAATGTTGCAACATGAAATAGAATACTTGATTTAGCTGAGGAAAAAATAATCGCTTTGTTTTAAGAAAAAATTAACAATGGCTCTCAAAACAATGAGAAAACATTTTTAAAATTAAATTCATCTTTGGCAGAACAAGTCTTTATTCTTATATACAAGTTGATACACTAATTACATATTTAGTAAGTTTTAAAATTATTTGTATTTAAATAAATATGTATAAAATTAAATTGATATAATTAAAATATATTTATTCATAGTAAAATAGCAAATTATTTTACATACTAAAATGAGCACATTAAAATATGAAAATGATAAGAAAAGAATAATGAAAAATTATAATTTAAATTACATTCTTATCTGCATTTAAGCTTTTGACCAAAAATAGAAAAAATAACTATTATTTTGTTAATTTATTTCATTAACTTATTCCTTATTCTATGAATAAAACATTTATTATTTATAAGATTTGATGTTAGTGACTTATTATCACATTCTTACCTAAAAGTATATACATATTAGATAATGCTGTACTATATAAATTCCGTATATAAATAAATTCCGTATCCTGTATATAAATAATATTTTCTAGATAAATCTATGATCTATGGAAAAAAAATGATGCAACTTAAATCAATGTTTCGAATTAAAATGTTTTTAAATCCTGCCTACCTTTCTTTTTTATTTTTCTTGATATTATCTGCTGCAGTTTTAAAGGAATATACTCCACATCCACAAATGGGCAATAATTTAATGTTTTAATATAATTAATTTCTATGACATGAGACGTGAATTCATATTGTTAATATATTAAAAACTTCACTCCTGACACAGAAGAATATTAACAGAAATGTTATAACTCATATGAACTACAAATGACTCATTTGTAGTTCCTATCCAAGGAATAGAAAAATATACCCGAGATTTAACAAATGTAAAGAAAAAAATATATTACTTAACAAAGGAATCTGTTAATTATAATGCAATTTTTATAGCTTAATTAGAAAAACTATCGATCAAAACTGAAAAATCCATAGAAGATGATGTATCATTTTTAACAGAATTGCGCGCCAAAGATAAAAGGTGAATATTTGTCACTGTTGATCGTTTTTATCAGTTTCAATTTTGAAAATGAATGTCCTGCAGAAGCAAAGATTGCGGGAACTACACATGCCACAATAATTGGGTATAGGATATGTAAATTTTTTCTATTGGGAAAGTGATAGAACTATGAGTGTAGTTAAGAAAGATTAAAAGTAATTTGTTCAATGCAACAAAAAAGAAAAAAAAACTTGTAACATGACAATAACAAGTCCTGAGCTTTTGGCGGCTCTGGGTGATTGCCCACCTCTAAGCATGGCCCTGTAAGTCTTTGTAAGGATATCTGCCAGCAGTATTGTAGCATTAAAATTTCTCTAGAAAAGTGGTCTTCATGAGCAGACGGAGACAAAAAAGAAATTTAAAAGGAGCCATGGTTTGCATGCTTTTTTTTTCTCTCCACCCAACATAGAGGATAAATCTGCCAAAGCATGAAATCCACAAATTGTAAATTCAAAAATTTTTACAATTCCAAATATGCAGAGCGCTCCCTAATACATTCTTTAATATATGTTTTCACGATTCTAGTTAAGAATTACAAAAAAGTACACAAATCAAAGGTCACAAATTAATATTTAAAAGTGGCAAAGAAAACCAAAAAGATGTACTTAATTGCGGGACCCCAAATTCAAGCTATCGTAATAACATATTAAAAATATATCGACTTTGTAGAACTGAACTAGGAGTTTGTCTAGGCCAAATTTACTACTGTTTAGATGTACCTTCACAAATTCAACTTTAGGAAAAACGGTAGTTTCACAAAATACTTTTTCTTAAAATTTTATTTTTGTATCCCGTAAGAAACAATAAATCCATATTTTTACCATATTTATGTGTTGATTTCTTAATATAATTTTCACAAACTATGCCTACATTTTCACAAAATAGGTACCTTTCAGAAAAACCTAGACAGACCCATGATAGCAATAACTGTCAAATTAACGATTGAAAAATAAGTTAGATTTGCGTTAAACTCTGCACAAACGGACCACGGCAAAAATCGGTTATATAAATGAGCGATTCAATGCACACAATTTGTAATATTATGCTAATAATATCAAAATTTTAAAACCTGTGTGGAATGGGGCAGAAAAATTAAAGGTCATTTGATTTTTCTGCAAATAAAGCACATCAAAATGTGTTTATTTAAATGTACCAATTAAGATATTAGAAACTACGTGGAAATATGTCATAATAACTACCAAAAGAATGATTGAAAAGTCGTTGGATTTACGATGAAATCACAGAAGAGTATCAGAAATTATAACTAAAACTCAAAATTTGCAAATAGTAATTGTAGTAATAATAGTATATTTGAAATAAGCACATAGGAATAGTATCCGAAATTATAACTAAAACTCAAAATTTGCAATTAGTAATAAGTTAAAAATATTGAGATTTTTAAAACTATGTGTAAATCGGTAGCATTAACCATCTAAAATCTACATTGATTAAGAGTGCGTGCAACTAAAACTTAAATAAGCAATTTCAAAATTTAATTTTTAAACTTAAATAATTTTTTTATATTTTTAGATGCTACCACACATCGAGAATTGGCGGGCCGCAGGTCATTCTTTTGCTTTATTATCATGCAGGTGATTATTTTAAATTCACGTAATAGTTCAAAATTAGGAAACTTTTATACACTTATTTAAAATTTTATTAAAACTAGTAAGACTTATTTTTGCACTAGTTCAATAAAAAACTCAAGTAAATATTTAAATTCTAAGAATACACATTGAGCTTTTCTCCATGCTTTTTGAAGTAAAATAGAAAGTCTTTGGATATCTTCAGATAATTACCTGTTCGTGCGAATTGAAATCACCAAAAGAAGCTGCCATTTGCTTCCTTTTTTGAAAAAATTATTATACTAAGAATAATTTTTCTATTCTTAAAAAGGAGAGAGGCGAGCTGAGAAGAGGCTAATGAGCTTTTATTTTTCTTACATTCCAATGCTCAGAAGTTGCCAAAACTTGGTAATTATTTTGCAGCATGCACAGATAGGAAAACATATACAGCTTTTGTGAAATTACATACAGCTGGTACACATATGAAAGAAACGAAAACAAGTGAATTAGTTTTTATGATGGAACTAAGATAATTTTTAAAGAATAAACCTTTTAAAAATGTTTCAATTAACATTAATGTTGCATTCAAACTATAATGTAGTTAAAAACCTTCAACATTAATTTCCTATTCTCTGATATTAGCATTAAAGTTTATGATATCAGATATTATGAACAGATTAATGAGAATATTGAAAACCACAATTAAGAAATACAAAATTAAAAACATCATACAAACTTCATAATAAAGACATTTCTTATGATTTATTTTATTATAATGAAATGGACAGTTCAAGAACAAATTTACTTCCTGATGAAACATTACGTTTTTATCACTATATTTTTATGAGTAATGGAATATACATTTATATTTGCAGATACACATTGAGAAGGAGAATATCCTCTAAGAAAACATAATTGAATGATGTAGTCTGTGTATGATGAAACTGTATTTTAATGAAATGGGCAGTTCAAAAACACATTTACTTCCCGATGAAACATTACGTTTTTATCACTATATTTTCATGGGTAATGGAACATACATTTGCAGATATACATTGAGAAAGAGAATATCCTTAAAAAAAACATAGTTGAATGATGCAGTCTGTGTATGATTAAACTTTTTACAAAAAGAAAAGGCCTTAATTATCAGTACTATCATACTCCAGCTTAACAGCAGCAGAAAGTCCTTCAACATCCACTTCTTGCTCTGTGGCATTCAGCATGTTTAATGTAATATCAGCAGATTTTGCGGTAGATTGCGATAGTACGCTAGCACTTCGAACTTTTTCTTGAGAAACAGCAGGCTTGGGAGTTGATATTATTTGTTGTTTTCTTAGAGGTAATCCCGCTTCTTCATAAGCATGTCTCTTCATGCTACTCCTGATTTGCAGCAAAGTACGGTCTTTTATTCGTTGGCAAATTTTGTCAATGTCTTCTCCAAACTTCATTATTGCTTGCCTTAAAGCAAGCAGGTCTGTTTCAGATATTTTATATTTAGTCTCATTTTCGGGATTCAGCAGCATTTCTAGTTCTCCAAGTCTTGTAAACGCTACACCGACATCGGTAAATATTTCAGCAACTATAAGGGAAGTTGGTCGAAGAGCTTGACTCATTTTTGATAAACGAAAGGATTTTTATTCAGATATGAAATACTGAAAACTTCAGAAAAGAAAAGGTAAACAGACACGGCACGTCATGTAAACAAATAAGTCAAGTAAACCATTGAGTGAAGAATTTTAACGTTGAAAAATCCAAACACAACTCTTCGCGTTTTTTCCGTTTTGTTTCTAAATATGATATCCTATATAAAGTATGAAATAAAACGGAAAAAACTAAGTGAACGCATAAATTTGATTCCGTATAAATTTTGCAATCTGGCTATGCCGAACTCTAATAAGGAGTGTTCTCTGAAAATCGAGGCTCATTACAGTAGCTCTGAACCGTTTAATCCGACGCGGTTTGTAAAATCTTAAGAAAATTCAAACGCATTGAGCTATTTGTTATGTGCTCCAATAGTTCAATATTTAGAATATACCCAATTTTACTGTTTTGTAAACAAATATTACTGTTTTGGAGTATTAATATTTTATTAAAGGAAATTATTAAATTATAATAAAACCTGTAAATGCACCTTATGGTATTTATCTACAATATAAAATCGCCATGTTGTCACGTTTTATGCATCGACGATTATGCCAAATGAGGTTAATTAAAAAGTTTTAACTAATTCCAAAATTTGTGTTCATAACCCATAATTTTTCAGTATCGTAATTCAATATTTCTTTAATAAATATTGGTTATTTATTTTTTCAAATGATATTCACCTGTTATTATATAGATCAATTATCTTGTAGATTTGGTATCAATAACTACATCACCATTACATAATAAAATAACGTGACTTGTCACATAAATGTTTTTTTTCTTAGAAATTTGTTTGTATTTTATATTTGTTGTATTTTTCCTTTCTAAATTTAAATAGGTGTTGTATTGTATTAATATTTCTCCTCTCCCTTTTCTTATAAACTTCTAATTTCCTTTTTTTTTTTTTTGAATATTTTATTGAAACCAATTTATTGCAAAGACAACATTTTCATTTTTTAATAGGGGAGATTTCCGTATCGTGTTCTATGGCAGAATAATCGCCAGTGGCCCTTGAGAAAGTACAAACATCACAGAAAGGGACCAGCTCGAAAAGTATAACTCATAGCCACCACCTGGCAAACATCTACTTTTTTTTTTTTTTTNTTTTTTTTTTTTTTTTTTGAATTGCAAGTTTAAAATCTATTTGGCACCTTGGCAATTGTAGTTGGTGCGACAGATCACAATTCGGAAATATTCCTTTTTATTCTTCACTCTGAGGGAAAATTTTTGCATAGTAATATTTGTTCCGTCAATAATATTTGTATTGTTTTTCCTTTCTATTTTTAAATAGGTGCTATATTGTATTAATATTTTTCTCCTTTTTTATGGACTTCTAATTTCCTTTTTTTGTATATTTATTGAAACCAAATTATTTCAAAGGCAACATTTTTATTTTTTTATTATTTTGTCTCAAAGATAATTTCCGTGTTGGCACATATGTCAAAATTTTAGCGACTTCTGGTCAGTGGCATGCAAGAATCTAATAAAAAAAAAACTTCATGGAATAAGGAAAATTGAAAAGATGTAATTCTTAACCAACTCACAAACGAGTCACTATGTATTTTCTTTGATTAATTCCATTTTAAACCACTGAGAAATTTTATTTGATTTTTGTTGATCTCTTTATTTTCAGCCATTGTGAACAACTACCAATCTAGAACTATACCCATGTTTTCCTTATGCAAAAAATTGAGAAAAGATAAATCTAAAATTAGTATTTTTCTGAATTCTTCTTTGATCCAATTATGGAACTATTTTTTAATCCTAGTGATATAATAAAGTTTAGTGTGATTGATAGTCAATAATCTTATTATTTTAATGTTTTTAAAAAATACTAGTTGCATAACAGTGAATCAGTGATACATACATGTGTGAAATTGTGGGGTGATATTTAATTGCTAAGTTTATAAAGTAAAAAAAAAAAAATATTATGACGAACAAATTAATCAATATTTGTCAATAATAGTGATAATGTTATTTTTAAATATAATTCTGTAAAATTAAAAGTAAATATCAGTTTAAGAAATTGTGTGCATTATGATGCAATAACAATGCAATTATGTTTATTAGTTCAAAATATTTGAAACATTAAAAAAATAATAATAACAATAATTTATTGAAGAAGTTTCTAATTAGAAGATTGAAATGTGAATAAGTTTTTCTTTAGGATTACATTAAAATATTGATATGCCAAATTTTTTATTAAAAGTTGTTATGGAACAATGTAGAAATACCTTAGTTTTATTTTTATCAAAATTGAAATGATGTATAAAGAATTTCATATCCAAATACGAAAAATTTGTATGCATAAATTCATTATTGTTCATATATTAATACTCATTGTAAATTTCTTATGAAATGAATACTTTTCACTTATATTTGCTTTTCTTTATAGACCATCTAACTTTGTACATGTCACAAAAAGTTTTAATCGACAAACAAAAACTTCTAAAAGTCTTTTTAAGCGAAATGATATTGAAGTTGGTGAAGCTGAAAGTATCACTTCAAGTTTTGGAGTTAAAAGCCTCATTAAACCATTTTTGTTCACAGTATCTGTAAGTATCAACTATTAAACAATGCAACTATGAAATATCCAACTATTGGAGCAAGTTTATGTAAGAATACTAAAATCATTGTATAGTTGGAGATATATTATTGGATACATCAAATTGATTAAAAATAGCTATTATCATAAATTGAATTAGTTAATATAGTCTCTGTGTTGCACATCTGTAAAGCCAAAAAAAAAAAAAATTACATTATTGAGTATTGTAATATAATGAAAACAATGGTGATCTAAATAATTGTTTCTCAACCTAATATTGCTGCATAGGTCCATATGAATTGTGCAATCAGTTGTTTTTAACTCAACATCAAATTGTAGAATGTGATTTATATACAAAAGATTCATTAATCACATAACACCATTTTAATTAACTTGATTTATGATTTCTTCTACAAATGAACTGCTTATTAAGGAAACCAAAAATGGGTTAAAAATAATTAAATATAAAGTTATAAGCAACTTATTCAGATATTTTTTGTTTGAGAAGTATCAGATAATTAGAGGTTAAAAATCAGGGTTCTACTGTAGTGTGTTTTAATATCACATTTTGCAATTTTCATCTAAAAATTAACAATTTTTTTCAGTTGAGGTGTGTTTTTAAAATAATACATTTTTAAAATTACAATTATTTTTTCTGATTTAATTTTAAGAAACATGTTTCTATTTACATAATTCTTTTTTCAGTTTAGTGGATGTAGCTTCCTAGCAGCTTCTATCTGGCAATATGAAGAAATGAGAAAAATAGCTCATCACTTCATGAATAAACACTCTCCAACCTTTGAATCCTATGTCAACATCCCTGCTTTTAAACGCTCAGAGATTAGAAGAAAGGTAGTTTTATTAGTTCAATTTATTTATTATTATTATTATTTTTTTGTTTTGAAGTTTTTATCCTCAATTTATTTTTAAAATTATAGCTATAAGTTTATATCTAATTGGTATTTATGTTATGAATGTAATATTGTTAAAATAATATAAGTACAGTGCAGAACCTCTTATCCGGAAATCAGAAAACTGGAAAACCAGATAACCAAAATGAAATTCGGAACCGGAAATTAGTTTTCTTCCATTAAAAAATTTATTTTTCCCTGCAAGATTTTGAGCCCATTTTGTTATTTAGAGCGTACGGCGTATCAAGTTGACGAAAGAACTGATTTAGAGGACGGATCAAAAGCCATTTGTAGACGAATCTCACATAAGCACAAATAGCTTATATATGTTATTAATCTTAATAACATTAATGACATATATAGGCCTGTATATAATTTTTATTTCATAATTTCTTTCCTTATTGAAACTTAAGTGTATTATTATTTATCATTTTTTATTATTTCTGAAACTATTTCAAAATAATTTTTTAGTTTTGTTTTATAAACATTAAAAAAAAACGGCATTTTGTAGCGATTCAGAAAACCGGAAAAATGGTCCCGATCGTCCCGGATAATCGGTTCTCTACTGTACATAAAATATTTCAGTGCGTTGAAAAAGGGGAAATGAATATTATTTTTTTATTTTTAAAGTATGGAGAGTAATGATTAAATTACATGTGTCTTATAGACTTTTAACATTTTAATTTTTAGAAGTACACGAATGATATGTTCACAGTAGTAGAACTAATATTTTTGTAATTTGAGAATTCTTATTAATTAGGATTACATTTATTTTAAATGCGTAGTTATAGTATGTGCAAAAAGCATTTCACTACATTGTTAATAGGTAAAATTGAACATATTAGCAGTTTTAAGTGGTAAAATGTTTTTTTTTTTTTTTTTTTTTTAAGTTTACTTTTCGTAATTTTTTAAGAAAACGTTATTTACTTTTTATAATTTTCATTTTAATTAATACATTTAATTCAGCTGTTTATATGATCCAGAATCTTAAAATCTGTACTGTAAAATTTTCAAACAGAAATAGTATGACCATCAGAAAGTTAAAAAATATTTTTTAATATGATTTTTTTTTGTTTTAGATAGTTAACAATTTCATTATCAAGTTTTATTTTATAACGCAATTTGTACCTTAAATGTCTAAAGTTTATAAATTCAAGAAATTTGTTTTTTGTAATTGAGAGTCTCTCAGAGAAGTGGTATTCTAATTCAATATTAAAAACTTTTGGTTGTTTTAAAAAAAAGAAAAACATCTATTAAAGGATTTATTAATTTTATTTAAAATTGTAGATTATAATGGTAATAAGTTTAGATTTGCTTCCTTTCATATATCTCGATTTGAATTAATAAAACTTAATTTGAATTAATTATTTTTGTTAAATGTTTTACTTCTCAAAGATATTTATTTTAAATGAATTGGTTGAATATTTTATGTTTAATAATTATTCAGTGTATAATTGCATTAATGCAAATAAGTGCATTGTTTATATTTGATATTATTTGTTAAGAAATATTTGAAAATTTGTGAAGCTTGGAAACTTGGAAGAGCTGTAGGTGGGAAGGAAGTTAATAACTGTTTTAAAAAATAAGTAAAGAATAACATGCTATATTTTGTTGTAAAAATTACTAGAATAGATACAGACGAAATGTGTATTTTAAAACTTTCTGTATTATATCTATTGGGAATAATCAAAATTTTTGTTAATGGCTTTTAGATACACTTTTGGTGGCATTCTCATACTGAAGGGCAGAAAATTGCCATGGGGATAGCAGCTGCCAATTTTTGCGTGTTTCTCATGTGGCGTGTTCCAGCTCTCTATCCTTTTATGAGAAAATATTTCTGTGCTAGTCCAGCTTTAGGTATCAATATTTTACTACTACTATTTCAATTTTGTTCATTTTTGGTAATGTGATTATTCTTTATAATTTAAATCTTATTTTTAAATTATTATTTTTATTGCAATTTGTGATTAATATATACTAATTTTTTTCTACTATTCTAAATGTATGATTCTCATATTTTTTATTGCTTTTATCATTGAGAAATCTTGATCTTCATGAGACTTAAATGTACAATATAGTTTGATCTTTTTTTAGAGCCCTAGATATGCTAACTAATTTTTTTTAAATAATTTATTTATAAATAGGGCAGTACAGATGAGCTTTTTGATAAATTGTGTAACCTTGAAGATCAATTTTTAATGTTAGGGCACTTTCTTTAGTGTAGTGAATAAACATAAATTGCAAACTAAAATAATGCATGTTTCTATATCCTATGAAAGAGGCTTTGGCACAATAAACATGATTATAATAATAGTTTCAAATCATATTTCTTGTGAAGAATTTTAAGGATCTTATAATGATGGTGAGTATCTTTGGACCTTCAAATATCAAATACGTAAAAATTTCTTTAATGTTGGTATATAGATTTACTCTTTACTTGTGGCTGGTACTGATAAAAGGTGTTAGCATGCTAAAAGATATAATTGAATGGCAATGCAAGTATGTAATGTCATTTTGCTCGTATAATTGTTTAAGCTATAAAACTCTACACCGTGCATTTCAGAGTCATACAATTCAATATGATACTAGCAATCCCAATTTCTCTCGAAATCATTTCCCCAGAATATTAATTTCTGCAATATTTCTGCAGTATTATTTTACTACTGTTCGAGACTTGTGATTGTTCTTATCAAAAGTAAAAATATTTTTTTCATTAGTAAGAGCTCATACTGAAAGTGTTTTTTTCTTTAATTTTTTCTGGTAACTTTCTTCTCTTTTTTGTCTGTTAGAAAAATAATTTTATGGTCCTTTAACACATTAGTTTCATCAAAAAACATGTACTTCATATTAAAATCTGCTTAACTTTTTTCCAAATTTTAATGCAAATGTGATTTTGAAATATCATTATGAATGTCTAAATTTAACCTTGAAGCTTTAAAATATAATGAATTTGTCCTTATATGTTTACTATACATACCACACAATCATGGCCAAGCACCTTGCCCAGTTTTTCTAGACTTTATCTATTAACTGTTATGGTAGAAATGCCATGTAATGTTAACTCTGGTCACATGCCATAGACAGTGCCTGAGCTGGTACCCTTTTCCCAAATTTCCACACCACAACCACTGAGAGGACCATTACAGATTTATGGTGCGCCTCGCTGGTTGTTTCATTGGTTGCTCTTCACCAGCAGAATGAGTGACTCTTTTACCAACTATGCCACCACAGTGCTATATGTTGGCTGTTCTGAATATTATTTTACATGTTATACTACATGTTCTGAATTTTATTTTTGTTATCTCAGATTGCATGTTTTACTTTAAAATAAGGGTTTAGCATTCTATTCTATAATATTTTTAACATTGTATAAACCAAGTCTAAAGATGTGTCAGAATAGAGGTTAAGAAATATTTTCTTTTCTTTAAGGTGCATCCTGTTTACCAATGGTATTATCAACTTTCAGCCATTTTTCATTCTTCCATTTTGCTGCTAATATGTATGTTTTATACAGCTTCTCAACAACAGCTGTGTCATATTTTGGAAAAGAACAATTTTTAGCAGTATATTGTAGTGCAGGTAGACTTATAATTTCTCTTGTTCATTTTTAATTAATAATAATAAATTATCAATTCTATAATTGATTTAATATAGTTTGTCAGTCTCTAAAAATTTCAGGTATAGTTATAAAATTTTAGTTCTAAGTTAAAGCCATGAACAATCAATTAAACACTAAACTATATTCAATGATGCCTGGATGTTAACAATTTGGTTCAAATGATTGAAATCAGAAATTTAATTCCATGATATTAAACACTCGATTCTTTTATTGATTTAAATTATTTTAGTAAAAACAAATTTTTTCAGATAATTTTTGTTTTTAAAGAAATTTTTGAGCAATGAGAGCTAAATCAGCATCTTTCTAAGTTATGAAATAAAATTTTTAATTTTAAAAACATTAGGAAGCAAGTTAGTGTTAAAAAATTTGTTGTGTTATTATGTACCTTTCCTAAAATTTATACTTATGATCCAAATGCATCTATTTAGAAGTTTTTTTTTCGGTAGTCATATTTAAGAACTTATTACTAGTTATTAGTGAAAATATTTAAAAAATAATTAAACCTTACTTTAGATTTAGAGGTGACGTAAAAAATGTTATTATATGTTTTAAATTAAATAAAATTATAATTTTCTAGCTCAAATGTTTTAGAATTGTTCAAAAAATTGTGCATATTTTTAGTAAATATTATTACTTTTCAATTTAAAGATAGTAATTTTTTTGCATAATAAGTTAAAAATTGATACATTTTTATTTGTCGTGAATTGTTCATTTTTCATCAATTTATTTATGACATAAAATTATTTTAATTCTGTCAAAGTAGTAAGAAAAAGAAAAACGGGTTTTTTTGGTTATTACAATAAATTTGATGTAGTTCTTTTGTCATGACTTATTGATGCGAGGTATAAAAACAAAATCTTGGTTGTGCCAAATTCTAGCCTAAACATTTGAAAATGCTCTTTGTAACTTGTTTCAGTTTCCATACTTTTTTCTTGTAATTAAAGGTGTAATCTCATCATTTACTAGCTATGTGTACAAGATTGCATCTGGAAGACTGGTTACATCTTTAGGAGCTGTAAGTCTTTTTTTTTTTTAAATTTTTTTTCTTCCTTCTTCTAAACATGTATGTATGTCATTAAGTATAACCATGTTATGGTTAGATATTTTTTTCTAGTGAGTTTATTACAGTAACATCATGTATTCCAGTAAACAAATCGTTTATTTGATTTTGTTGAGATGTAAGCTGGTGAATTCTAATTTTAAGAATTTATATGCATATTGAAAGAACAAGAATTTGTAAGAATAGTAATAGAGGAATTTGTATAATAATAATAGAAGATTAGTAAGTATTTGTAAGAAGTTTAATGCTTATTGATTTTTTCTCTTTTTTAATTATTCTTTTGAAATAGTATTCTGTTTTAATTATTATTTCCATTGAGCAAGTTCTACATGATTTAGCCATCTCCCACCCCCAAATCGCTACAACTTTTAACCAAAAAAATAAATAATAATAAATAAATAAACACTTGTTGACTATCAACTTTTCGAGCAATAACTTTACAGTTTCTGCATGATATCATAATCCTTTATTTAGCAACAATTTTTTTCAATATTTCAATTATTCTATCAGAAAAATAATGCAAATGTATAATTTAACAAATGATATTTGACTCATAATATTCAAAAACTTAAGGACTATTCTCAACTAAGTTTTATAAATTGCAACGATCATATTCTCAAGTTTTGAGTGCATATCTCATACAAATTCAATGAAAAACTTTCACCAAGAAAATACAGTTTGTACAGTGCTATATAATGTTTTTTATTGCAGGCAAATTTTTAGTATTAAAATATTTATTATTATTTTTTTTTTGCTAAGCAACTCTAAATTATTTGTTCACATTAAAAAAAAAAGAAGGGGAATATATATTAAAACACTCTTCAATGGCAGCAGTTCAAACAAACCAGAGTTCTTTCTTTATGTTATAGAATTTGACCTCAGTTAAATGAACAGTGTATGATTATTATGAATGGTGGGATTTACCTTTTCTTACAGCTGGTACGACTAGTAGACCAGAATAGCAGGTTTTAGTTGATTTCTTTTCAGTTTTAGTTAGTTTTTTTTTTCAATGCTTTATCATAGTTTTTAAATCATTTCTTCACACAATATATGAAACTTTAATTCAATTGTAAATTATTTTTAAAAAAAATTATGCTTAAAAAGACTGTGCTTCCATGGGCCAGGGAGAGCAGGGAAAATCTGAAATTTTAGGTAATTTTATTTTACTTCTGTAAAGCTGGGAATAGTGAGAGAAAATTGGAAAACCTAGAAAATAACCAGTCTCAGAATTATCAGTAACAGTAATTAGTTATTGAAATTCGAGTTAAATAAATCTAACATCCATTACACTTATTTTTATAAAAGTTTCACATTTTAGTGAAACTTCCATGCTTCTATCCTCACTCAATAATCCTTTGCTCACAAAATTCAATATTTGAAATTATAAATCTATAATTATAATACTATTATTATATTACAATATAATTATCTGATGCATGGTATAAATTAAATATGGTTTGGATCTTCATTGAAATTTTCCTGATATTCCTGGAAAAGTCAGGGAATTTTTTCTTGAAATTAATTGGGAACCCTGAAAGATACATAATCTTACCATTAAGCTTAATTTAAATGTTTTTTCTCTGTTGCTGTGTCTAAGTTGAAAATATATTGAAAATCTTTTTCATATAATATAGTATTTTGATACTTACCCATTTAGAAGCTAATAACATATTTTAAAGTCTTATATATTTAACTAAGAATAATAACTTTATAAATTTTTTATATTTTTAGTCAGGTGCTTTGATGGCAATTTTATCATCCATGTGCTTCCGTTACCCCGACATACCTCTTCAAATTATTTTCCTGCCTTTTTTCACCTTCTCAGCTGGTCATGTAAGTTAAATTCCTCTTAAAAACAGAAAAAAGGAAATTTTTCTAATTTTCATTATATCTGTTATTCTTGAAATTAATTTTATGAATTTATCTTGAATAATTATTATCCTTTTAATTCATCTGCAGTGTAAAAAAAAACAACATAATTTTACCAGATTGAAATTTTTTGCCAGATTGAATATTTTTAAAATATGTTTTTTTTTTGTTGCATTTTTCACTGAATTTCAGAGGTTGAATTCAAATATTTGGAATTTCAAAGATTTTATTTACCAGATTTTAATCATTTTTCTTCACATATTACTATTTAAGTAATTAAAAATGTTTAGTAATTTAATTATAAGAAATATAAAGATTCTCCAAAATTGAGAAATTATTTTAAAAGAAAAGTCTCTATTTTTTTTTTAAATCTAAAAAAGGCCATTATCAGCAGGAAGTTTAATATTTCAGCAATTCCAAAAATTTTGTGTTGGATTTATTGAAAGTAACTTACAAGGTAATAAATCAACGATGGTCAAACAATACCACAGTCCCTTGGGAATCTGTTACAAATGTAAATTTTTTTCTAATTTGATACTGATTCAAAAGTGTATAAAAATTTTATTACAAATAAACTGTTTAGGGGAATTTTAGCTAAATATGGGTCTTTTTAAATCTCAAGGTGCACTGTGATCTTTTATTTTTATTCAAGCATAGTGTATAATACCATTTAATTTTGTTATAGAGTGCATAATAAAGTGTGTATTTTGAACTGTAAAGCTATTTTAGTCTCTTGTACTTATAAACATTACATTCAATCAGTCTTAAAAAATACTATTTAGGATGTTTTTATTAAACACATACTTTGAAAGAGAACAATACAAATTAGAAAAATTTAAGAACTACAGAATTTTAAATTGTTTGTGTTCAATTTTAAATTGTGATTTATGAACTAAGAATTTTCATTATTACTAACAAAAATTTGAATGTAAAGGAATATAGAAGAAGTTTCAAAATACTTTTTTTTTATAATCCTTTTTTTAAAGATAACATTAGTTCTAAGAATTTAAACTGAAAAGGCATATTCAAAGAATATTTATATGAAATAAAATAAGGAAATTGTGAATGCTAGTATTGCATTATCTATTGAGAGTTTTCAAATGTGTAAGTTTTATAATGTCAGTAATAGTGTTAATATATAATTTGGTGTTTTTTGTAACTAAATTTTTTAAAGTACATCAGAGTACTGATTTTTACTTGTAGAATATTTCTTTTTTGGAAACAAATAATTGGATGTAAAAACTCCTGTTCTCATTTGTTTCAATTGGTAAATAAAAATTATCAAGATTACAGTTTTTTTAGAACTTCAAATACTGTATTAAACCTTTTGCCCCTGGTATACAATTTTAAAACAGCGCTTCAAATTAAAACATGCTTACTTTTTTTATAGGCTATTAAGGCTATAATGGCTTTGGATGTGGTCGGTTTAGTAGCAAAATGGAAATTATTTGATCATGCAGCTCATTTAGGTGGTGCATTATTTGGAATGTAAGTATAATGTCCTTTGAATCAGAATCAATTTGAAATTGAATATAATGTCCAAATCTATACATTCATTAGGTAAAAAATTGATAAAAAAATCTATTTTTAAACTTGACTCAGAAGTTAATCTTTTAAAATGAAAAGCTATTTTTGTGCAAAATACAATGTCACCTTTTCAGGATCCACAGAAGATTCTTCACCACAAACTTTTTTTCAAGGCTTGCACTTTTTTTTAAATACTGATTCCACTTCTCATACCCATAAAAGTAAAGCCACTTTAATTTCTTTGTTCTAGATGTTTGCATTTGTTAAGCAATAAAATTTATATTTGCTGAAATTTTGATTGTGCTGCATTATTTGCTTGTCATGGGATTAAGAAAAAAAAAAACTAAATTTCAATAAAATTAACATCGTATATATAGCATGCATAATTTTTATAGGTTGCAGTATTTTTGTACTTATATGCCAGAGTATATTATATATTTTATGTATTTATATTTCAGAGTATATTTATAGTTTGTATTTAAAATTTTTATTTCTGCCAGAGATTCTTCCAGGCATATGTACTATTTTTCTTATAATTAATTTTTTATAAGTATAGTTCATATTCCAATACCAATTATAACTTTGTTCGTTCAATTCAAGAAATAAAAGAAATGAAATATATTATGATTAAAGATTAATTTCAAGCAATTTATTTAAATTTTACCCTGTTTAAGAGAATAGCTGCTATTATCCATTTAAAATAATTAATAATAATTTAAATAAATTTGTTACTATCAATAATTAAACAACAATTTGTTAATTTTTTTAAAAACTTGCTTTAACACCCATAATGAATGTATCTTAAAGCAATTAAAATATAATGAGTGTGATGGCCACGGAGCTGATCTCAAGCAAGAAAGGTCCCAGGTTTTGAATCTCGAATAAGGCATGAATGTTCTTATCTTCTCTTTTCTGTACTATCTGTCCTTTTTATTGTGAGAGCAACATTGGCCCATCTAATATTGTGCCCTTGAGAGAGTGGTCAACAAATCTGCCTTTCTGATATCCGAATGATGAAAGTCAATATTTGGGTGGACATTAAAAAAAAAATTGTAAATCATTACTTTAAAAATTAGCTCCGTGGATAAGATTTCATAAAGTGGCAACGAAATATTATAGAAACATCTGTCATTACTGAACTAGGGCAAATATGATTTAAATAAATAAAAATATGAAAAACTACTTTTTTAAAGTTTAAAAAAAGACATGAAAAGAGAGAAAAATATTTGTTAACGTTTTTTTTCTTCTTCATCTTTACAGTTTGTATCTGACTTATGGTAATGAATATATATGGGGTAGAAGAGAATATATATTTAAGTGGTATCATAGTATAAGAGAAAAATGAATACAGTAAGTACATTCTAGTATATTTCTATCACTTAAAATTTTCTGCATATAATTAGTACTTTTTTTGCATCAATAAAGTTAATTTAAAGTTTTCAGCTAAAAGTGAAAAAAAAATTATTGCATATTTATAGTACTTTGATAATTTCATATAAAACATAATTTTATGCTTTCACAGATTACTCCATCATTAAAAAAAAAAAAAATCATACTCTGCAAATGTTGAAGTATCCATCTGAAAAATTACTTATATTGTAAAATAAAATAGTTTTTCTTTTAAAATTGGACCCTATAAAACTTTAAAAAAGGTGAATGAAAACGCTTTAAAAAAAGAAAGAAGAAATTAGTTAGTTTTATTTTGAAAATCATGTATATAATATAATTATTATTTACTATTCTCTTTGCCGTGTAATATTTTTACAACTTAGAAAATATTTATATTTGTCAATCATTTGTAAAGTATAATATATTGTAAAATATATTTTTGAGTAAACTTCATTAGGTAATGTAAATAATATAGTTTTTTGTTATAATACCTAACCTGAATTTATTTTCGATACATTTTCAAAAAATTGTTTTAAGGTTTAAAATTATTTTTGTTAAGCAGCATAATTTAGTAACTTCAGCATTAATGTTAATTAGTTTTAAAATGTATTTATACAATTTTTTTAATTACAGGAGATGGAAATATTGCAGTATAATCAAGGAGCTGTAAATTCAAACTTGGACTGTTTACAATAGAATTACTCCAACAGTACTGTGATATTTGTAACATATTTATCTTATAGGTTTATTTAAAAATAATAAACAATTTTATATTATTTATAAAGCTTGTTTTTATTTGTTTTATATGCGTTAAAAATTAACATAATAGAAGCATATATATTTCATTCCCAAACATTACTCTTAAAAAAGTGTGTGCAAAAAGCTTTTACATTTTTTAAAAACATATATTATACTTAATAATTATATTATTTTGTCTATATATTTTTTATACTAATTAAAACATTAACTAAATTGAAAGCAGATTAAACTATCATTTTATATACTTTCTTAAGTTTTTGAAGCAAAAAAAAAAACTTATATTATAAATTTAAACTATAATAATTTAATAAGTATTTATTTTTAACAAATGAAAATATTGAAGTATTATCATTAAGCTTACATAGCCTCATTTTTAAAAAAAAAAATTGAATCTATCAAAAGATACAGAAAAAAAAATAGCTCTTGTTACTTTCAAGTTTTTTTCTTTTTGATATTGAGTAAAATTGTAATTCTCTTTGAGTTATACATAAAAATTAAACTATTTTATTTATGCATTTTTAAACAGATTTAAATCCGTTTTTTTTAAGAAAATAATTACTATTGACACATAAACTTTTACAATTATGAGACTAAGTTGTTTCATGATAAAACATCATGGTTAATTATTAAATACTATCAAATTTACTCAACCACATTAAAATTATTAAAAACCTTTTTCAGTTCTTGAGACAATAAACATCAAGATGAATATTCTGTATCAGAAAAAAAATTTGACCTCACAAAAGTTTTCATTGCTACAATATTAAACCAAAATCATACTATATTTTGTGATCTATCTCTTAATGGGGTAGCGTTTTTAAAAAGTGCTATTTTTGATTTACTTACTTTAAAAGCCCTTAAAGGTGCTTTTTTAATTCAGGGTTTGTAAAAAGTGCTTAATTTTCTATCTCTTAAAAAGAGATTTTTTTTTGCCGTGTCGATTGTTGTTCTAAATTACAAAAAATTCATGATTTTAACAATTTTCTCTGCAATATTTATCAGAAACTAGTTATTTTTATCATGATTATGTAAAATTTTTGAAAATGTATTTAAATTTTATTGATTTTATGTTTATAAGTTAGAAACATTTGATAGATTTTTTTTAACTATGCACAGATCCTAATTATGATTTTTTTTGGAAAGTGATTACGAATATTTTCTGAGCACTTAAAAAGTACTTAAAAGGTGCTCATTTTTTGTTGAAAAATCTGGCTACACACCCTGTTTCAGATTAATATTTATGTTAGTTCTAATACAATGAATTCATACTTATCTTAACTTTAAATTTTGACGTGTTTAATAATTGTTTTAATATATGTTTGTTAACAATTTGGCTCCTTTATAAAAAATTTTGCCAATAGGTTTTTTTGCGAGTCAATTTGTAATATTTAAGATTTGTATAAAAATATTTCTTCATCAATAATTTTAGAAAAAAAGTAGTTAAAAGAATGGATTCTGATCACTTAATGCTATTAAAATCCCTAAATACATTGGTTTCCTATTGCTGATATGGGATTATTTAACTTGATACTTTTTATTCTAATACAATTTAATTTCAAAGTAATGTAATAGCCAATTTAATTCAGTCATTAAATATTAGTCATTTAATTCAGTCATTAAACATTAAATACAAACTTTTCAGATTCTTACATTTAAATAAAACTTAACAAAATTTAAAAATTGCTACAGGTAAAAATGCGTACATATTAAAGATAATCAAAACTTAGAAAAACAATTGTTAGCAAAGTTGTTATCATGATGCTTATGAAATTTTTAATTTCGTTATTCCTTGATTTTGAAATCTATTTAATAAAACTTTTTTTTGTGCAAATTTTATTTAACAAATTAAGTTTAATTAGTATTTATATAATTTAAATTGAAAAAAAAAATAAAATAGAAAATTGTTGTTCATTAAAATTATGTTATTAAGAACAAGAAGAATAGCAGGAAGAAAAGAAAATTAAGCCACAAAGAGTATATTTCTTAATTTTTTGTCTCCCATTGTTAGGAATAATTGTTCTGACCTTTAAATTTTTAATAAACATATTTCTTGGAGCGGGGAGTAAAATTTCAATTTTTAAGGTACTAGTCAGACTAAAATATTTGTTCAAAACTTACTTTTACAAAAAATATGAACAATTGTTAACACATATAGTCTAAAGAACATTTTGGTGATCAAAACCATAAGAGAATATAAAAAATTTGAATTATTTATTGCAAAAACAAAAAAATATTAACTTAAAAAAGGTTGTCATAAAATTTTAATGTTTCTTTATAATTCACAAACCATTAAATCATAATAATACGGATATCAGATATTCCAATACTTTTACCATTTTTTAATTTGTTAGGGTGAAAATGTCTTTGGAGATATGCAAACTCTCAATTTTATTTAAAACAAAACATTTTACAAGATAAAACTTACTGGCCAGTCCTAAATATTGCCTCGCCAATGGCGAGTGGAAATTTCACTCCTTGCTTTAGAACATATAAAATAAATGGCAATTTCTCATACACTTTAAAAAGAAATAAGACTAAAATTATATTTCTATTCTGAAACTCTTATGAAACTATATGACTTTTTAAAATTTAGGTAAAATTTTGACTTTTGTTCATTTGAAGATCACATATTATACATAGTTACTATAAAATTAATTGCTGAATGTATTTATAGTTTCAAAAAGACTAGTTTTTTTTTTCTGACAGAAACAAATTATAATAGTGAAAATAAATTAATGTTTAGTATATTTTTATCACTATCTTTACTTAATCTTTTAAGATTACATAATAAATATTTCTATCTTTTAAACTCAATGATTTCTGATTTTTAAAATGATAATAAGTTATCCAACTCCTTTCAAATGAATTATTATTCTTTTTCTTGTGGCTTCCTTCAATGGTGTATACATATATAATTTTTTTTTTTTTGAAAATTCAGGACTTGTAAGTAAGTTAAAAAAAAGTAATTTCATATATATGACAGAGATAATGATTTTGTCTCAAATAAATTCTAGTTTGTAAAATGTTACATGTGATCATGGAATACATTCTGACAACCCAAAGACTGAATTTTTTGAACTATCTAAAAATTTGCCTTGTGTCAATCAGATATGCATAATGTGCAAAAAAGTACAAACAACATTTGTGGAAATTTTGTCAACCATAGCGGGAAATTTTTTTTAATATTACTCATTACGAAAAAAAAGTTTAAATTCCCATATAGTACCCTGCTGTCAATTTTAGAAAATTCGTACACAACAAAAAATTTGGCAAGTCAATAACTAGTTTAATGTCTTCAAAAAATTGCTAAATTTAAGAAATGTATGCTGGTATATATAATAATCAATATGGAGTTCTGTAAAAATTAAAACACTTTAATTTTTTAATTGAGATGTGTAAGTAAAAAATTAAATTTTATTTTATACAATACTGGTGACAATGGAAGCGTAATATGCTTGTTTCGTTTGTAGAGCAAGTTAATTTTTTCCCTTTTTTTATTCTTATATAATTATTTATAGGGTTTCATTATTGCTACTATGATTCATTATTTTCAATGTTAAAAAAAATAATAAGTAGTAAAAAAAATATATAACAATTTGAAAATCTGAAATACGACTCAATAAAATTTTTATTTTACTTACATTATATTTGAATTTACTAATATTTTGAAATGATTCCAATTTTACTGGCAAGGTGTTTAATATATATTGAAACAAAGAGGGGAAGAGATTAGTGCTCAAAACATAAATTTCCTTCATTAGAGGGACAAAGTAATGTATCTGAATTCTTTCCGACATTATATTAGTCATAATTTTGAGTCGCACAGTATCATACCTTTACATCTAATTTTTAAATTAGTACTCTTCAATGATAGTATAGTAATGAGTACCTGAAACTCTAAAATACTGCTTTGAATAATATTTTATTTGGAAAATAAGTAAATTTAAAAAATTAGTGTACTTTACATACAAGAACCACTTAAGAAATGACAGTGCCATTTCTCCTATATAAAAAATAATTGAGTAAATTTGTTGATTATGTATTTATATTTATGCACTGTAAGTTTGTGCATAATTTCAGCTCTTCACAATGTTGGAAATATTAACTTCGTTCTTTATACACGTGGTAATATTTAAGGATAGGTAAGAACTAACTTATTTAGTAAAAGTTTACTGATAAAACTTAGTATCAATTAAAAAAAACTTGATACTTTTAATGTCAGATGCCTATCAATATTAATGAATAAAATACATGAGAAATTATTAAATCAAACACGCATGACATCCAACATTCTACATATCATTGCATTTATTTCTTTTTGTTAGTAGTCAGTATTAAGAGAATTTTCAGAAGCTTATTAAATTTTCTTTCTCAGATCATATCTTATTACCTTACTATGATTCTATTTTATATTCTAACTATTTAAAACCTATTTAACGGTTTTCCAAAACAAGAAATTTTTTATGAAGATTTCAGACTAACAGCACATTGCGAACTGTCACCATAGACATTCCATTTAAAGTGACAAGATATTTCAGTTTCACACTGCTTAAGCAATAGTGCTGGCTAAAAGACAGCTTACTTTCATATATAAACATAGTTTTACATTTCATATGGTTTGTAATATTTTTGAAGTAAGTGATCTAGGCTGGTTCAGGGCCGGCCCTAGACATTTTGACGCTCCGGGCGAAACCTTAATTTTGCGCCCCCCCCCGTTTTTTTTTAAAGTAAATCTCATGCGACCATATCAGAAAGTCAAGAAGACATTGAAAAAAAATATTAAAAAAAACGTTTTATTAAAAACGCAAGCAACAGATAACAAGATAAGCAATTTAGCATTTACGGCAAAATAACAAAGATTAAAGTGTAGTAATGCTAACTAAACTAATATCCCATATTATAAATAAATTCTAACTAACCAAAGTAATTAAAATGCCCTTTTTCTAACTTTTCTTTCAGCAAACTCACGAACCAGTGATTTCAAGTCTAATTTGTCACTAATTTGGTGTTCTATAGCTATCATTGCCAATCCATTGAGACGATTTTGCGTCTGCATCGTTCTGAGATAATTTTTTATTATTTTTTGTTTTGAAAAGCTTCTTTCCCCTGAAGCCACAGTGACTGGCAATGTAAGTAGGATTCTTAATGCTATGCTGAGGTTTGGTGCTAATTTAAGTGTAGCGATAAACTTGAGAACTTCAACAGGGGTTTCCTTTTTTGTTAATAATGACGAAACAATGCTTATTTCATCGGCTAGTTCCAGGGCGTTAAGATCGCTTGAATTTCCATCAGTTAAAACTATTTCCAAATCTTTGCAATGAGCCAGTAGCTCATTTCTGGGCATGTCTTTTAGACCAAAAATATTATACAAAAAGACCAAAATATTATATAAACCAAAGTATTATTTAGACCAAAATATTATTTAGACCAAAAATATTATATAAAATACAATCAATTCTTGAAAGGCGGGGGTTGAGTGGTTTCGTCATGTTGAATTGAATTCAACTAGGTTTTGCCTTAATGTTTAAATATATTATATTATTTGAATTATGTGCTTAGAAATAGAAATGATAAATTCCGCCTGCCGCCTCTCAATCTTGTTAATTATCATTTTGGCGCCCCTAGGTCATTGCGCTCCGGGCGGCCGCCCGGCCCTGGCTGGTTACTATGTTCGAAAGAAGTACAAATTATCTCGTAACTGTTGTTTATTTATGTAAAAGATTCTTTTTAAAAAAATCCAGTCATCAAAATTGTTATTTAAATTATTGACACCCTGACATAAATGAAATAACAGTTCAAATTGTTTATAATATAAAGAAATGAGGAAGGTAAAATGTTAAGTTTTTCTCCTTTGTTCTGTAAAAGTAGTAGAGTTAATTTCTTCAAAATAATAACCTTATACCTATGCTTTTTCATTTTGCTGAATTAAAACAATAACAGGACTTGTATAGACATTATTTACATTGTATTGTATCTTTCAATGAAAAAAAATAAATTCCTTGCTTCTGTTATAACAGAATTCCATATATATACCATCATGTAATTTGTTTGATCCCATAAAATTTAAAAAAAAAAAAAAATTGCCATACTACTGTGTATTATTTTAATACCATGATGGAATTGAGTGTAAAAATATATTAAATTAACTGATTTCAGCACTAATTTAATCTTACTCCTTGTTAAAAAGTAAATTTGCCTTACAAGCCCTGAGGCAGAATTTTTTCGAGCTATCTGCGACAAAACTCTAGCACTAATATCTTTTTACAACATATTTTTAATAATAACAAATATATACATTATTAATTTAAAATAACAAAAAAAAAAAACTATTATATATTTTTTAACTTGAACATGTAAAATATTTTTATTCCTATATTATGAGTGATATTCACAAATTTTATTTGGGGGGATATTCACTACTATGGAGAAATCAATAGCATTCGATAGAATAAAATCAATAAATTCGATAGAATCATTGCCTTAAAAAGTAAATACTCAAATTTACGATTCGAATTTCCCATATTGTTTGAAATATATCGGGATATTTAAAAACCACATGAAAACCAATATCAATAACTGCCAAAAATACAATCGAAACATTACATCGATCTACAATACTATCGGCGTAAATTGACCGCGTCAAAAAGTGATTATTTGAATGAATCATTAAAATATTATGTGTAAATTTGTATAGAAAAGAAAATTGCTTTTTCTACAAGAAAATAATTTTTAGCTTTTCAAATGAAAAATCCTTCTGCAACGTTCTCTCTGCCGTGTCACTGCTATTCTGCCACGGGGCTTACAAGAGTATATAATAATGCAAAATTATAGAAATATATTAACAAAAATTACTTATACATCTACGCTCAGATAAATTTTACTAGGAATCAATAATTGTTAATTATTAAAATTTAAGCTTTGAGTTCAAACTCTTTGGAATTCTGTTTCAAGCATTGCTTAAGAAAGATTTCCATATTATGATTTGTGAGCTTCCAGGCAGCAGTCCACAAGAAACTAAAAAACATCACAGGAGACCAACTGAAAGGATATAACCAGGAAAATCTCTAAACTTTTTTTCTTTTAAACAGCAAGTAAATTCATTCGGATACTTTGGCGATTATAGTTATGTCACATCTCGATACAAAAATATCCTTTTTTTTCTAAAGAGAAGTGATAAAACACAAGTCAAGAGAAATTAAGTTTTAAGATAATTTTTTAGTAAGCAACATGACTAATAAGAAATAATAACTATTTTTATTTAACATTTGCTTTGCATGAACTTTTGTTGTCTATTCAGATAATTTAAATATAAAGAGAAAACGAATAAATCAAAATATTGATAAGAAATTGGTATAATTCAATACAAAGAAATGGAAAACACATTGAATGCATTCACCAGATAAGTGTTCATTGATGACTTCTACAAATAAATCAAATATGAACTTAACAAAACCAATAAAACTGCTCAGAAGCAGAAGACATTATTTAGACGAGGCATAATAGCAATCACAGTTTACTTTTTTGCATAAATCGTAGTCCATTCTTTAGCTATATTGATAGCATCTTGCTCATTAAATTTCCACTGCTCAGCAACATCATTAGCTAATGGATCATCTGGATTTGGTGCGCTTAACAGGGCTTGAACGGACAGAAGAACAGTTCTAATTTGAAGAGCTGGACTCCAATTATCTTTTAATATATCTAAACAGATTCTACCAAGTTTATCTATATTAGGATGATAAATCTTAGTAATGAATCGAACTTTGGGTGGAGACATGGGGTATTCTTCTGGCAGGAAAAGTTCTAGTTTGAATATTCCCCCTTCAAACGGAGAGCCCTCAGGTCCGGCAACTAGAACGTGAAAATACCGAGCATTGTTTTCATCGGGTACAGCACTAATTCCAGGGACCGGGTCTGACAACAAGCGTTGTGTTTCTTTCATGATGCGGCGAGTTGACATTTTGGACAAATAAATGTTCTATTTAAATAAAATTGTGCGTTAAAAATACGAAGGTTTCAAATAATAAATGATGCTCTGAAATGATCAATCTGCTGTAGTGTTTATTTACAATCAATTAAATTTCTTTAACACAGATTGACTTGACATTCAAAAACTTCAACACCTCCGGTGATCGGCCAACATCAACTTTTGTGTAGCTGAGTTTTTAAAGGTGTTGCCTACTTTTACTGAAAAATATATGTTATAATAAAAATTACTAAGAAAAAAAAATATTGCGTTGGCTTTTAAAATATAGTTAAGTAAAAATCATCTGTTAAAATTCTTACAAAAGTTAGTTAGCATTACATAGAAATATTATTTATTTTTTAAAAATACATGTTACATCTCAACCGTGTCCGTTACCATAGTAACACATAAGGTAAGGTGGGAAGTTTGCGGAGCTGAATTTAAGCAATTTAAATAGTATTCTGCACAGAATGTTTTACTATTTTTAAATTAAAGTTATAGGATGTAACTGACAAAAGAAAATGGATTCTCATTTGAACATTCCAACTGTTGATATAAGTGATTGAAGATAAAATATAGCATTTTTTTTATTGATTTCGAACATTATTAGTTTATATTGAATTGTCTTTTGCATTTTATTCTAATTAGCTAGTTATTGATGGGAAGAAATATAAATTTGCTATCTTACAGTGATTTTATCTTCATGCTTGTTTCATTCATTATAAATTACATAATAATGTTAAAGTGTTCATAACCCTACTTCGATATATTAAACTATTTTCTTGTTTTAGGATTAACCTTTGCAATTAAAAAAGTAATGTCTCAGAGTTAAGTGTCCATCGAAAGGATAAATATGCAAAAGATTGAAAATTCTAAAATTATTAATTTTAATTTAAATAGTTAAAGCATTGAAATAACTTAATCACATTGAAATAACTAAGAAAATAAATAACTAAATGAATTTGCTTTCATAGCACATAGTTGCTAAAATTCCTTAATGAAACAGGCGGAAAATTCTTAACAAAAATTTGGCACTGTTTTATTATCCTAAAAAAATGTGAGGATCAAGTAGTTTAAGTTTAAATCTAACATCTTACACATGAAATTTTAAATTAAAAAACATTACTATAATATAAAAATAATGCAACTGAAAAATGGGGGATATTTCCTTATCGTGATCTCCCAACTAAAATCGCCAATGTGCCCAATAAATTTTAAGGTAGCAAATTTTTAAAAATATAAAAAACATGTAGATTTTTGCCTGTGGGTGGTTAGGAGTTATACCTTTTGAGTTGGTCCCCTTCTGTAATTTTTTAGTTTCTTGTGAGCCACTTCCCGGAAGTTGCCAAAACTTGGTGATTATTCTGCCACAGATCACAATATGGAAATCTCTTCGAAAAGTGCATAGTCAGAAATATTAGATTTTGTAAACACATCTATTTTTCAAATTGCTGTATTCAGTTGCTTGCAAACTTCAAAGGGAGTTTAGAAAAATAAAAAAAAAGCTTTTGTTTCTGAAAGCATATGTTTTCATTAATGATCATGATCAGTCAAATCTTAAAAGATTTTAAGTGCATTCCTATATTGGTACCTATCCATGCTAAATTTGCTTCTAAATTTGAAATTAAAAGAAAAAGAATTGTTTCTAAATTTGTAAATGATTTGAATTAATTTGCTCCATTGCTTCATTTTTGCACTACGTTAGTTACTATATCTGTTTATAATTTTTTAAGGTCGTGTGAGGAAATATTCTTTGGCTGATTTGGATACTATTGACTTTTCCACATCTGATGATTTAGCAATTGTTGTAAGCATTTTATCTATTTTTCTCTTTAGCCAGCTTTTAAACTTTGATTTTGCAGTTCTCTTTTTCTTAGTGACATTGATGTTTATGTTCTTTTTTTGTGCCATTTCTATAAAAACCTCTTTGATATTACTACGAAGTGACTGGGATGTTTTTTTTCTTCATTAAAAATATGTTTATATCCATAACTAAACAAAAATAATCATGTATTATTATTTAATTAAACAAGGCAATATTTTAAGCTATAAATTTTGTATGTACAGTACTCAAATGGAAAAAAGGACCACTCTGAATAATTTTTGATCTAATGACTGGATTTTCACATTCTAGGACTTAACACATGGACATGTTCTTAATGACATGAAGCGGTGACCTCAAATTAGCTAATTAATAATTGGACACAAAAACATACTTTCTATAAGTAAACATACCTTTTTTTGACGGATTCGGATTTCTGACCCCCAAATTATAAGGGATTACCTCAATCTGGGAAATTTGAACCTAATAGTTTAGTCGAGAGAGTAGTTCAAATTTTAGACTCCCAAATCTTAATTTTACTTTTTGTGTATTTCTCCATATCTTGTTAAGTTTTTACACACAATTAAAAATTTTGTTTATCTCCAAGATAATTCCATGCAAAAAATAATTTTTAGTAAGTATTCATTATTTTTTTATTAATTTATTTAGTAACAATAATAAGTAATTGTTAAAAAATATTTTTTAATAATTATTTATTATTGTTTATTATTTTATTTAATAATAGTCGAAAAAATTTTGAATTGTAAGGCATGCAATTTTTTGCATAATTTTAAAGAATGTAATTTTCATGGTGAAATAGAAAACTTATTCAAAATCAATCGAGAAAATGAATTTAAATATCTGACTTTTTTTTAAAATTTTGAACTGTTTGACCGATTTTGCTCAACTTTTGTATTTTGACATGTAAAATTACATTCTTTAAAATGATATAAAAAAATTGTGTACCTTACTTTCAAATTTTTTTTGACTATTCTTGAATAAATAAAAANCATAGAAATTTTTATTCTTGAATAAAAAAAAAAAAAAAAACGAATATTTACTGAAAGTTATATTTTGCATAAAATCTTTGAATAAACGTATTTTGTAATTATGTAAAAAATTTTTTTTTTAATTCTCTTAAAAAGTTCTTGAGATATAGCGAAATAACCAAAAAGTAAAATTAACATTACAGGCTACAAACTTTGGAGCTTTCTCCTGACCAAACTATTGGGACCATATTTCCCAGACAGATAAAAATCCGAATCTATCAAAAAAATGGAATGTTTATTCAGAGAAATACGTTTTTGTAACTTAAAATATCGTCTGCCCTTATTAATTAGCATATTTGAGGTCACCACCTTAAGTCATTAAGGTTGAGTCTTGGAACATAAAAATCCAATCATTAGATCAAAAGTTAATCAGAGTGATCTGTTTATTTTTGGCGCACCATACAGTATTTCATGCAATATTTTTTTCTGTTTAAAAGAAACCTAATTAGTTTTTTTATAATTCATTCCAAGCATATGTTTTGGTTAGCCTAAATTAACAAGTAAATTAAAAAATAAATTGTCTTATAATATCAATATGTTTAAAATATGTTCATGGTAATAAATATTTGTTTTCATTTAAAATTGGACACATGCTTTTTTAAAGGTTTCTTTAGAATATAACTGAGTAAGTCCATTGAAATGAGGGAAGAAAAAATGATTTTAATAGTTATTATTTCTCATACCTGAAAACAGTATGTGAATTGAATCATATCTGATGTTTATAGTATAAATGATTTTAATCTCAAAATTTTGAAGTGTTGTGGATAAAAACATATATCAAAAACATAAAGATAAATATATCTTTCTCTAAAATATATAATTTCAAGATAAATAAATGAACAAATTTGCTACATCATTAACTTTTTTAAATCATTCCTATTGACTAACTTGATCTTTCTTAAAAAAATTTCATAAAAAAGATGTGTAATGAAAAATATATATGCTTTGTAATGAATATTATATACACTTGGCTGCATGTTTCATACAGTAAATAATAAAGAATAAATAATAAATTGAATAAGCAAATATTCTTCTATATTTATCTGACATTGATTTAGAGCCGTCACCAATACAAGGGTTTTCAAACGATAGTGTATGTGTGCTCATGGTGCGTTTGATCAATTTTAATTGGCGACCTAGACAGCTTGTTTATGCTACTAATGTTAAATGAAAATTTTCCCAGTAAAAATTTTATACAATTGAAGAAATTTTAAAGAACTGCAAAGTTGGTTTTTCATCTTGCTATTTATATTATAATGCAAAACCAAGGAAGAACTTTTTTTCTGCTTTTGGCAATTTTATACTCTATATTGGTTAACTTCTTTTCTAATTTTTTCCATTAATTTGCAATACTTTATGATTATTTTTTTTAAGGTGGAAAATTTAAGAAACATTATATCATTGGAGTTGAATATAGAAAATTTCTGGAATGAAGAAAATGAACAGCTTTTGTGGCAATTTGTTATTGATCCAGAATCACTTATTTTAAGCTGTTATTTTTCTGATGATAAATTATTTGTTACCTGTGACGTTCCTAGGGTAAATGTAACAGAGTTATTTTGGATCATTAAAGCCTTCCCTGAAAAACTTTATTCATCTGATTATAACACCAAGTTATTATTTGGAACTGTCAAAGCACCTATATTTGAAAGTTTATATTCTTTGTTCTCACATTTATATGCTCCTGTGTTTTTCAAAAGTCAAGATTGGTCAAAATGTATCCTTTTGGTTTACATATATATTTTAAGTTTTTTTTTTTAATGGCAGTTATACTTAAAAAAATGAATAACATTTGAAATAAAATGTTAGCTTTTGAAATTAGTAATTGATCAAGATAATTATTAAATTATTTGATTGTGGAAATACTTTTATTATTTGTGTTATCATAATGTAAATTTGATATTGTTATTAATAAGGTCTTTTTCGGTTATTGATTGTACAATAACAAGCCATAACAGTTTAATAATTTTCTTTTAACTTATAAAAAATTTATTATATTTTTGTTTGGAAGTTCAGTATTTATATAGCATTTTAAATTGTTCCTAAAAAATTACTGACTATATTTTTATCATCCAAATTATCTTCACATTATCCAGTCACCGATCCAGTCACCAGTCACTCTTCTCACCAATTGAAAAATTTTGTGATTTCTTTAAAAAAAGGGTTGTTTAAGTTTTAACTTGTAAGGCTCTTCTAAAGCAAATAACGGTGTAAAAAAAAGCTTTTACTGAATGTCATTCACATGTTTGCTGTTCATTCAAAATTCAAAAAATTCTTCAATTCAAAATAGATGTACATTCAAATATGGATGTACCTATAATTTTCTCCTGTCCACTATAAAAATTCTATTATTAGTGCTAAATACATTCCATTATATAGAAATAAAGGTTAAATCAACATTTAAAATGCATTTTCATGCTTGTGTGTAGAAACTATCAGAGGTAGAAACTATCAGAGTCGGAATGATGAAACTGGAGTTACAGTTTCAAGCAAACAAATTGATTAAGAAAGGGTTTATTATCCTCTCAGTTAATATTCAATGATTTACAATCATTACATTGTGATTTTGTGAAGGAAGGAAGGCAGTTCAAATATTCTTGTATCAATTGCTTTTTTTCATATTGTTTTCTGCTCTGGCTGGCTCTCAAAAAGGATTGCGAGTCTCAGCTGCCTTTTTTAAAGCATTGCAGATAGACATTATAGGATTGAGATCTAAAGACTTTGTTGGTCATTTCATGCAACAAATATATACTCTTTTTTAAAAATTGCTTTTAAAAGAATTGTTGTCTATTGAAAAGAAAATTACAGTTATCTGTACTCCTGAAAGAGTAAACAAACTAAAATTGAAATACGGAAAGGTAAGCATGAGGTTTCAAGATAACATCCTTGTACCCTACACAAGTTACAATTTCTTTCAAAAACTTTTATTAGTGTGCCATAGCCAATATGATGCTTGACTAAGCCATCTAAACATCATTGCCATAACAGTTGATTTCTCAGATATTGAAGTATAGGTAGCTTGTCTCTGGCTCTTTTCATATTAAAGTATAGATTAAGGGCACCCTACTTGCCTCCAATTCCATGAAATCACCATTATAACACACTGGTTTTGATAGTTTGAGAGGCTTGTAAACATTTCATATCCCCCAAATTGAAAACAGTCCATTGTAAACGTTTAATTTACCCCAAAATTTGGATTTTGTAACTTCTATTTCATACTTTTGGACTACATTGGATGTTACACACAAAAATTTCGTGTCCATTATTATTCTTGGGTGTTTTGTTTCGAATTATATCAACTTATTTTCATACCCACTTTCAATGAAAAAGGTCTACCTGTCTTAAAGCTTTTGACAAAATAAAACTATTCTCTTAATTTTTAGCACCAGTATCTATTTTTTTAATGTTTCAATAATGAGCAATATCTTTTAGAGTCCTTAACTTTTTTAAAGGTATTCAAACAGATTATCAAAATTCTTTAACAGAATTCTTGTCTGAGCTTTTCCATATGAATAATGAACTTTTTGGCAAAGTTATATTTTATGTTCCTGAACAAGTGTTGCACAAAGATATTATCACAATCCTTGATAATAAAGAACTTCTAAATCAAGTAGAAAGTTAGCTTTATTCTTGACATAATTTTCACCATTTTAATATTAAGCCAATCCATCTGAATTCAGGCATTAGCTGATTAAATATGCCATATAACCTTAATTTTTCATAATTAATTAAAACTGATTTGAAATTTTAGTGTATTTATTTAGTTGTTGATTGGATGACCATTGTGACTGGTTGCCTAGGGCCAGTGACCTGCTTTACACGCCCCTGTTATGACCTGACCTGCACCGCCTGAATTGAAGTGGAATGGCTCGATTATTATTTTTCATTTTCTTACAAAAAAAGGAATTCTCATTTAAAATTATTCGTTAGTACTAATTAAAAATTGCATTCTTAAAAATTATTTTTAATGTTTAACCATACAATTTATCAGACTTCAATCTTCAAAATGTTTTTAACTCAAAATATGTAAAAAGAGTTTTCTACCTCTAGAATATTTTGTCTTCAAGTTTTTATCTTACCTTTCTTTCACATTATTCAATATTTTTTTAAAAGGTAGTTTTTTATTTATTACATTTTAAGTTTAATGTTTCTACAAGTAAAATGATTTCTTTTTAAAAAGCATCAATTGTTTTATTCCCAATGTAGAAGCTGTTATGCAGTGGATATGGATATTTGTAACTGTTTTGATGAAACGGAATTCTGATACCGCAGAAAACAGGGGACCTTTAGAAGAAATTGAATTTTGGGAATTAAAGCACTCTGATCTGAAAAATATATTGTCTCAACTTGATCGTGATGATGTGAAATTATGCATTGAGGCACTAAAATCAGCAAACTTAGCCTCATACTACAAGTTTATTGAACTTAAAGATAATTTGTTGGTAATTTAAATTTTTTGAAAATTTAAATAAAATACTTTATTATGTAATCTTCTAATTTTATTCTATTTCAGTAAAATAAAAAAATATGGATCCTCGTTAGTTTGTATATATTTTGCTTTTTTAATTAAGTTTGTCTAAATATCAAATAATTCTTTTTAAGTTTTTGGTAATTAAAAATGTGTTAAATTAAAGTATTATTTACTGAAAATACTAGTGTTGTGAATTATATTTTTTTTTATTGATATAGTAATATATTTTTACCGATATTTTAACAACCTTTTAACAATCAACCTTGAACTAAAGGTGGAAGTTTATTGCTTTTCTGTCCGGCTAACAGATATTTCTCTTTAAAATTCAATTGATAAAATTAAATAGATTAGATGGTTGCTCGGGAAATATTTGTATCAATTTGTCCACAAGAATTTGACTGTTAAAAAAACTCTAAAATAACATTACATTCTTTTAAAAATCTACGAATTTTTTTTAAATTAAAAATTATCAAATTTCTTGTTGAGCTCCAAATGTAAGAATAAATAATAGTTGTTTTCAATTTATAATTTATCTAAACTTCTTGTTGTGCGTTTTTTGATGAGAAATAATTTATCTTTTGTTATTATCTATAAATTCAATGTTTATAACTTTTTTTTTAAAAGGAAAAATGTGACTGCTTAAAATATAACAAAAATTTAAATGAAGAAAAACCAATAAAAAATAAGACAAAAAACGCAATAATAAAAATAGTAAAGTTTGTCTGCTATTTTTATGTAATACATAATTTTTTATTTTATTAATATTTGGGTCCAAAGATAACTCCTTTATCTTTATAATTATGTGTTGTTTTCATTAATTTTTTATACTTTTTTAAATAAAGCTATTAAATTTTTTATTTCAAATGTATGTTACTTTTTTGTTTATAGATCTAAATTAAATTAATTTGCTTAATTTTAGGTTGAGTTTAATATTGCTGTAAGCAATATCAAATTTTTATCTCTTTTGAAAGATACTTGTGTACTTCTACGAGAGTCTGCAATGACTGATATTCCTAGTATTCTCCCAAAATTACTGGATTTGACAAGAATTATTTGGAACAACTCTTCATATTATAAAGACACTATAATGTCGAACTTACTTGGAAAGGTGAATATCTTATTTAAGAAAATTCCATTTCTTATGTGTAATTAATACTATATGTCATATTTTGATTTTTAAATCGGTGCTTTTCAAAATTCGCCTTCAAGTCTTAAATTTTTAATTTACAGATTTTCGTTTTTACACGAAGGAAATCTGTGAAACTTAATGATTTTGGCAGCTTGCTTACCTTGACCCTTGTTATTTGTAATACTTTATTTTTCTCAATAAAACTTTTCATTTCTTCATAATTTAAAAAGATTTCTGTAAATATTGTGCTTATATAATATATAAGCATATGTTAATATTGTGCATGGAAAATTATTATCAGACAAGTATAGAAAATTATATAAACATACAACATAGAAGTAAATTCATAACGAAATTTTTATTAATATTAAGAAAGTTTGTTATGCACTGCTGGTTTGGTTTACAGGGATTACAAATTTGACTTACCTTACATAAACCTAAACAAACTCATGCTGGTGTTTCTTAATATAAGAGACTCAACTCATAAAATGGGTAAAAGGTTGATCAATAAATTAACCTGAAATTAAAAATAGTGGATATTTTACATGGATTTTCTTTTCTTTTATAAAAACAATTAATGCTTAAAAAAATAAAATAAATATTTAATCAAAATAAAAGGAATCAAACTGGCAATATTTTGTGAAAATATTTATAAAATTGCCTATGTTGCACAAAGAGTTAAATTATGGATGTAACCTTTATCTTTCAAATTTGTTTACAACTCAAAAATCACATTCTCTTTTAGGTTAATAACTTTGTTATAACAGTCATATCATGTCATGTTCCTCTTGAAGAAATATTTCTCAGTGTGCATGTTACTGATCTCAAGAACAAATTAATTAATGTTATTTCATGCTGCAAATCTTGGTTGGAAATTTTTGATTATGTAAGCATGCCTTTTTATGAATCTCATTTAGTAATATTCTTTAATTGGAAGAGTAATTTAAATGCAAAAATTATCCTCTTTACTTCGATATAAATTTTCTAAATTAAATTGAATTTTCAGCCTGAATCAAAATTATGGGTTTATTAATTTTATTTGTATCAATTTAAACCACTTAGGTTCCAAGGTGCTTGGTCTCTTATGCATCTTGATAATTAGGCCTGTCCTTTTTGCTATTCTAAAAAAGTGCGATTATCTTAAAATAACCTTTCGATATAAGACTCTATAAAGCAAAGCGAAAAAAAAAGGAAAATATTTATTAAGTAACTACTATTATGATAACTTCTCACTTTGATTTGATTGTTACTATGTCAATAAGTCATTTATTTTATGCTATTTATGTTAAAATATTAGCTAAAAAATTCCATTCAATAAAAAAACTTAATGAAATAAAAATTGAAGTAAAAATATTGAATGTAAAATCTGTATATTTTTAAAAATATATAATTGCATAAATAAGCTATCATAAAATATCTGTCGCATCTTTGCCTTGGTTCCTTGTCTTGTGCTCTGAAACTGCTTCTCGTCAAAAGAACTTTTCTTGCTAGAACATATTCCAAAGAGAAAATATTACTAATTTTTAAAGAAGATATTTTTTAAAATTTTCAATTTATATTTTTAGATATAAAGAGGTGATTTGATATAGTGATTAGTTTCTAATTCTACTTAGATCAGTGAACTTATCTTATTTTGATCACTTACTATATGTTGAAGTAAACAATTTCTTTTGAATAAATATTGAGCATACTCTATCTACACATTTTCTGTGGCACATTCCTATGAATTTTCTCATGAGGTATTTTGTTAAAATTAACATGTAATTTATTAACTATTGCTTCAAAATAAGTTGTTAATCCCAAAGTCTGTATTATGTTTTATTTTACAAAAACATGTTTTAAAGTGTAGTAAAGAAAATCACAATTTTCAGAATTCTATTAAAAGGTTATATTTTGTTCTTTTGAAAACTTTTAATTTGTATAAGATGTGATTTACCAAGATATTGCTTGGGTTAAAAATTGTTGTTTAACTATAGTTTATTGTTTGTATTTGTGTAAAATTAAGAAACTAGTTTTAATATTCATATTATCAAGAGACAGCTGCTTTAAATAGGATAATTATATTGTTTGATCTTAATAATAAAAGATATTACTTAAAATTATTATGATTTGTTATGAACATCTTGTTAGTTTCCATCACACAGTGACTATCATATTGAAAGTTTTATCTACATAACTAAAACAGCATAAACTTTTTTTTAAAAAAAAAGAAACTATCTAAGCATATTCAAAACAAATGTATTTGCTCATTCATATGCAATACAAAAGGCTCAAAAGCAAAATTAATTTTAATTATATGTATTTTTTTTGTTATATGATATCTAGTATTTAAAAATGTAATATATTTACATGTAAATGTTTTTGTTCATGAAATTGCTATTTAATTTTCGTTTTAATACATTTAATTGTTACTTATATGAAAGATATTTTAGTTATGTTGAGTGATTTAATTTAATTCTAAAATTGTGGAAAATAAATCAAATAACAATAAGTAAGAGACATAATTTTTCATTACATATTTATAAAGAATGACTGAAAGTTTTTTTTTTAAAGAAAATGATAGCGAAATCATTTAAACAGATGGAAACAGTATATTATTTTATTTTATAACCATCGTTGAACAGCTGGCCAAATTTTTTGGGTTTATGACTACCAATGTTCAACTCCATAGCCTTGTAATTTTGAACTCAATCCAGAAGACAAGGGAACTTCTGAATCAAGTATTGGGAGAAATTTACCTTTGTGGAAGACTTTTTGCTGGAACTTAGCCACATTTGCCTTATATGGAGAGGAAAACCTCCCACGGTTAGCCCGACGACGTGGAGACTTTAACCCATGATCCGTTTACCACTGAGGATATTTTATATCAGCACTGAGGTCGGTGCAAGCTGTGAGCAGAATTTGTATCGACCAGTCATCGCTAGGATTCAAACCCAGTTCACCTCATTTGGTGGCAAACGCTCTATCCCCTGAGCCACCACTGCTCATGAAAACAGTATTTTTAAAAAAAGTAACAAATTACCAAATTGCTAATTAAGAGTATCCCCTTTAAAAGGGTAATATGGAAGCAAATTTCTCATTGGCTAATGCAAACAAACTATTAATTAATTTTGCTGTAGAACAAGGATCACATTGAAATTTTAACATCAACTTCTACTCTGAAACATCGCACTTCCTCTACATTGTTCCTTCAGGGGAATGACTTCTTGCATTGAATTACGATTTCATTCAAAAATGCATCTGTTTGTTGAACTAGTAAAGCTGACTATGAATATAAGGGAATTTATTTTAGACTTAGTTTCAGTTCAAAGGGTTAATCTTAAGGGGTTTGCCTTTTTTATGTAAACATGGTCACCTTGATCACTCTGACTATCATTCCTCTTCCTTCCTCTTTTTATTTCTTAGTTTACATTGATGTTTGATCAAGCTTATCTAGTAGAGCATGTAATATGTTTTTTATGTTTGGCATATGATTATGAGAATAACTATGTTCAGGCTTTCCTGGTATTAAATTTTGCGTCCAATTCAAAGGTTTTGCTCTCAGTTCCAGTCAAATAGCAGTTATTTTTCTCATAAAGTGAGTTAAGCAAATTTCTCCCAATACTTGATCCAAGAGTTTCCTTGTCTTCTGGATTGAGTTCAAAATTACAAGGCTATGGAGTTGGACATTGGTAGTCGTAAACACAAAATTGGGTCAACAACGGTTATAAAATAAAATAAGAATGGCATTTTTTCATCATTTTATCATTAATAATCTTAAACTAGGTTTTATATCTAACGGTTGAATACACAGTCCTGAAACTGAATCTAGTCTTGTTATGAATTTGCTTTTGGTCTATGAAAATAAGTTAAAAATAATTTAAATAAGTCGAATTATGATTTTTGTTGAAATGAAAACTAAAAAAAACTGCTACAAATGTTGAAAATGACTAGTAGGGAAACATATTTCTTTATTAACAATCTAGTAACTATATTTTGATTTGAAAAGCGTGATGGTAAGTGCTAATGCATTGTTTTATAGATGCATGCCCTTTTCATGGTTTATTCAATACATTGTGATAATTGAAAAATTTGTATATTTTCCAAACAAATTTTCCATTTCTTTTTCATTGGCATTTTACTTTAAATAATATCAGAATCACAATTAAAATATGAAGTAAATAATGGATTATTGATTGAATCTAAATATCATTACAGGTTTCAAAAATATTAAAAAAAACTTTAAAAAAGTCCTAACTCTCTGCACTTTGCTTACCTCTAGCACTGAACCCTATAGTTCTGTGGAACACCATTTGGGAACCACTGTATTAAATTATGTTGTTTTATAAATGGTTAGATTTTTGTTTACATTAAAATTCTATTTCAGTCAATAATTAGTGTAAATTAAACTTTTAATTTAACTTTTTTTATGTATATATATATATTTTTTTAAATATTTGTGCATTTTTTATTGCAAAAACCATATAAATCTTTAAAAGTAATTCTCTATTAAACGTATGTTTAAATGTTTTAATTTTCTAAAATTAATGGGCAAATATCTTTTCTCTTTCAAATAATTTCTCTTTTTGCAGTCTGAGAAAGTACATAAGAAGTTTGCACCATCTACTTGGTCTGTTGAACCAATTTCACCCCTAGTAAATCTTTTCATACATCGTTGTGAAGAATTCATTGAAGTAAGAAACATGCAGCTTTTTTTTTTGCTCTTTACTTGTCTCATAAAAGTTTCATTTTAATTATTCGATTCATTGTTCAAGTTTTATAATTTTAAGTTATCAGCTTGCGTATGTAAATAATTTATTTTACTTCCTTTTTGTATTTGAATTTTCTTGCAATATTCAAAATTTATTAAGTATTAATTGGTAAAAATTCATTTTATGTTTTTATTCATTTTATGTTAAGGTTTCATTCATTTGTTAATTAAAAAAATATTAATTTATAAGAAATTTAATTATTTATTTCATATATTTTAAATAATTTCCATTATACTGTCCAAAATGTATCTCTTTCTGTTGCTGGTTTATGGAAAGAAAAATCACATATCACAATTTTCCAGAGATAGCATAATTATCTAAATTTTCTTCAGAGACACAGCATTACAAATGAGAGCAGGAGTTGACAAATTTCGGGTGTCTGGTCACTATGATGCCTAAAATATAATAGTCAACAACCTGTATTTTAGTTAATTTGAGTCTGCTTTTTTTAAAACCTGAATATTTAGGAGAGGGGAATGATTTTTCCAAATCATTCTTTAAATCTTCTTTTCCTATCAACTCTTCTGGCTGTTCTTCCTATCACCTCTGAACTTTTTTAAAAGAATAGTTCCACACACAGTACCGTCTTTATGGATGGGCACACCCGGGTAGTGCCCGAGGGCCCCCGGGCACTCAGGGGGTCCTTGACAATCTTACTTTTTATAAATTGTATTAAAAAAAAAACCTAAGACTAAACAAAATTACCTTATATATTTTTTTAAATAAATATATGTGTGCATTTTGTTTTTCTTTCTACAAATAGTGATCGATTATCATGCAACCAACAATAATTTGAATAGTTTATCACCAGGGAAACTTAAAAAATCAACCGAAATGTATTTTACTACTTTTTAATGAAGTTTCTATGTGAATTCAGTTTTTTAGGGTGATCAAAATGTATTTAAATTTATTAAAATTATTGCATATGTTAAAAATGAATAATTTTATGTATGTGAAGTTTTTTAGTTCGATTTTAGGCAGTATGACATGTTAAAAGGGCTTAAAACATTTCTGTGCCCGGGGGCCCCGCATGCTATTAAGANGAAATGTAAAAGGTCCTCCTTTAATGAATTTTTTGTTGCATCCAAATGCACAGCAGTATACCACCATTTTTTAAAAATTTTATAGTTAAAAACACAGCTCATCAATTCACCTCCATAGGAAAAGAATGGGGAGAGGGTTTACTGGAGGGAAAATTGTCCAGGAATCACGTGACGATGTTCTTTGCAACGAGGGATGGGGGACTGGTTCTCTCTACCTAAATTACTCCTCTAAGGTCCACACAGACTGCCATTTTTTGTTGTTACATATACACTATTCATACAGGATTTATATTTTTTCTTCCCAAAATAAAATTGCAATAAATAGAACTGAATTTACGGTAGATTAATCTATGAAAGAAATCTGAGCGAAACTATGAGCTTGTTTTCATTGCTGGCAGTCTGCCTGGCAGTTTATGTAAAAATTTTGAGATTTTTCGAGAATGTTAAAATGAGGAAAGAAAGTAATAAAATTTATAACTTAATTCAATCATTTCATAACTGCATGTGACGAATTATTATTTTAATTGAAACCTCTTTATGCAGTTCTGAATTAGTTAACCTTGTTTTGTGCTGACCATACAGTTTTATGTTAAAAATAAAGTCAATTGGATTTTTTTTTATTTTAAGAAATATGTGTATAGTTTTAAAAGTATATTTACAGATTTTGAAAATCTACGAACTAAATCTTTAAGTGATTAAGAAATCTAAGAGGAGAATCTTTTTCTAAAAAAGTGATTTTTAACTTGTTTTGAGGTCTTAAATCTTATTTAGTTAATTTACAAAAAAGTTATTTTTAAAAGAATGAGTTGTAATTGTGTATTGTTTCGTTATGTTTTGTTTAAAAATAAACTATATGTTTTATAGAAAGAATTGAAACTGTTTAAGTTTTTTAAAAAATTTAACAAAATCTTGAAAAGTGATAAAGTATATGTTTGGCTAGTAAATTTTTTTTAATCTAGTTTATACTGTTTTTATCTATGGGCATCTATACTTTAGTTTTTATTTATAAAACGAGTCTTTTCTGTTTATTTAGTTACACGCACTCATTTTGCATTGATAAATTCAATTAATATTTGTGCCAAATAAAACTATTCCACAAAGAAATAATTTTGCATTATAGATTTGTAACTACAAAGAGGATTTTCATTGCGATGCAGTGCTGGAAAGATATGCTCAAGGTCTTAAGTGCTTTGAAATTGTTGAACACTTTCAGAAAATTGAATTAAAGTTTCAAACATTGCTGGCTGATTTATCTCAGAGTACGCCTGTTGCATTAAATGTTAATAAAGCAGAATGGTATGATTATTTTAAAAAGTAAGCATAGTTTTTTTTTAAAGTTTTGAACTTTTATAAATTTAGAGGTACATTATAAAGGCTTGCCTGGAAAAAGCTGAGTTTTTTTCTTAGTTTTGAGCTTTTTTTTTGATGGCTACATTTTAAATGTCTGTCTGTATTTAACTGTATTGTTTTTTAGCGATATATTTTACAAAATTTTTTTTTTAACATTTAAAATGCAGTAATCATTTTTCTTAGTTTTTTTTTCAGTAATTGCAAAATTTGATTCTGTGTCAAAACATAAATAGCTTTGCTTTGTAATTGTTTACAAAATTTAATATTTATGCAGTATAACTTTGGTTTCGTGTTGTCTGTTTCGTACGTTATCCTACGTCCTTTTTGCTGGTCCGTAAAAATTGCCTATACCTATAATATAAATTTTTACTTGATTTTTACGTTACCTTTTTTAAGAAAATTCTGATTTATAGATTTTTCTTAACAGGTCAAAATAATTTTTTCTCTACAAAGCTCACACAAACTTTTTCCAAATTCTTTTTTTTTCTTTAAAAAAATTAAGAAAATAAAGCGAAAGAGACTTGTTTGAAATTGTTCTTTCATTCTTTTTATTCTATCTTGTCCTTTTGTCTGTGATTCCCCTTTCACTCAATTATGAGGGTGGTGGGATGGGTAAAGCACAGAAAGGGTGCTTAAAGGAAGTATGGCAGCTTATTTGTAAAATTTGCGAGTGAAATCTTTTCCAACAAACTTCAACTTTTGAATTTGAATAAACCACTCAAATAAAAATGTTATACCAAGCAACTGGTTTGGTAATCCAGGGTTGGTACTTGAAGAACCTTGAAAGTTCTTGTTGAATAAGTATATTTGAACACGAGTTATTTATTTTGTAATTAGTTTTTTCAGTTTATATTTTAATTTATTTAAGATTCCTGCACTTTATACAGTTGAGAATCTTTTCAATAAATTGAAATTTGCAAAATTTTATTCCAGTTAAATAGGTATTCAATCATCTTTTTTTAAAAGCAAAGAAATTCATATTTTATTAAAAAAAATAATTCTTAATTTTAAAAAATTATAATTCTTTATTATAAAAATTATAAAAAATTATAATTCTATAATATTAAAATCTATTTTTTTTTTAATATTATTTTATCTTATTTTTTTGTCTTCTTTATCAAATATTTAGTTACTACTAATTGTTTTGAAATGAAAATAAAAATTGTCTAACAAGTGCACTTCCTTATTTTAGATTTAAAGTAGATATTTCGGAATTATATGTTGCGGTATCAAAACTGATGTCAAACAAATTTGAAAATTTAAATTCTATTGAAGAAGGAATTCAAATCTTATCGCTGTTTCAAAAGTTCTTTGAAAAGCAGGTAACTGAAAGAATACTAATACATTTTTAGACTAATATTATATAGATGCTAATATCAGTCAAATGTGTATAATCTGAATTTGTTTAATTCAAAATTATGTATGATTAAAATTCTTTTATTCCAACCTTAGAATTCTGTGTAAAATTACCATTGAAAAACCATAGCTTATTCAAACTTTACTTTAAGTATTTCGATTATTTTGTGCTATTTCTCTTTAAATATTATGGTAAAAAATTATTCCTTGAACGGTCTTTTTTTAAAAAATAAAAAGATGCTATTCAAGTTTGTTACCAGTGATAGGAGACTTGGACTCAGCAAAAGAATCTATTTCACTTTGTGCTATCCTCTACTTACTAATGTGTTTTTTTGTGAATGCTTTAATGCAGTTGTAACATTTTGAGATTTTGCACTATGAGCTTAAATATTTTTTCTATGCTCTTACTGTCATATTATCAAAAACTATAGTTCTATATAAGTCACTTATATTTGCTGAAAAGATAGTTGTGATTAAAGAAGGAAGGAAAAGTCTTTTAATAATTTGGAAATAATTTAGAAATCTGGAATTAAGTCAAACATCTTATCCACATATTTGAAATTTATGAACAATTATTTATTTTAATGAAAATGCTTTTTTTCTCTAATGGCTGGCATTGAACTGTTATGTTCTTTGCTACAATTGACGATGAGATTAGCTATGATTGATGATGAGATTTGCTATGATTGAGGATGCTCATTTAAGGCTGCCCTGTGGGCATTTGTAAACCTGACTCACTTAGGCAACCAACATTTCTCCTGCTACAAATACCCCTTACAGTGGGACACATTCGCACATCGCACAACTGAGAACAAACTCAGAGAGAGAGACATCCGAGCACTGAGTAGGATTCAAATCCACGCCCACTTGCTTCACATTTAGGCGCCCTAACCTCTCGGCCACTTAAATAAATTTAATTTAATAAATTTTTATGTGTAATTTGTTCTTGCTACATTAATATTTATTTTTGGATAAAATTCATGCGTTAAATCTCTGATTGTGAAGTTAATATTTTATATTTATCTCTTCTGTTTAAAAGAATATATGTAATTAAATTTTTTGAATATTTTGAGTTTTTTCTCTGCTCTCTATGACTTTGAGTTATACAAGTTTAGCTGTACATTATTTCAAGTAAATATATCCTACGTACTAATTTTCTAGAATTTATGTAAATAAAACTATTATTAGACTTATAATAGTTTTTTTTATCTTAAACAAATTAAACTAAAGGGACTTTTTCTTTCAGCTGTCATTTTTGTTCTTGTCATCTAGTTCAAATTTTATTATTTTCATATTTTTTCGCTGAACTCATTGTTTAAGTACAATTTAAAATATATTGTTGTTTAATTTTAGATTCTAATTTTTTCAATTAATTTTCTATGTTTTTTATTACTTTTCTGTTCTATAAATTTTCCATTGAACTGAGTATTAAAAATAAATACATTGAAACCCCTATTAAGCAGACATTCTTGGGACCGAAAAAATTGTCTGTTTATGAGAGTTGTCCGTTTACGGGAAGGGTACCCAAATAACAAAATTTAACACCGTAAATTGTTTTTAGAATATTTTTAAAGATATGGAAATAATTAAATAATCTACAAGAATATTTATTTAAACTATAAAAAATATTTTTTCCATAAAAAAGAATATATTAAAAAGCTTGATATAAGTACATAAATCTAGATGTAGCTACAGATAAATGAATATAATTTTCCTATTAGCACAGATATTCAAGACATCTGATACCAAATAGGAGCTTTTAGCCCTCAGTCAGTTTCAATTATTAAGTTTACATCCCTTAACACCTACCTATAACTTGATAGGAAACGTGGTTAATACCTACTTGAAAGTAAACTTCCCACGATTCACAAAAAAAGCAATGCATACTTGGTTGATCATGAGGAAGTCATGAGGATCTATGGAGTTGATTATTCACAATTGGTCATCTAACAAGTGTCTGAATAAGTGTTTCATTTATATGAACACCTCAAAGATTATACTTCGGTTCTCTTCTCTTTTTTTTTATCCCAGCTTATTCAGTCTTTAAATTGATAATAAAATGAACGAAATTTTCAGTGAAGAAGCATTGAGAGCATTTAAGACGCCATTTCAACTTGAGGGGTCTCATAACCTATGTAGCCTAGATGAAACGATCAAGAGATGCTGCTGTCTGAATTATTTCACAAGAGCAGTATCATTTTCTCTCCTTTCTTTGCAATTATAAAACAAGGGGTAAGGAGAAAGATTGATTCTTTAGTAGTGAAATAGATTAACAATATTTTCAGTTATTGATAAGGCAAAAGATTTACATGATTTAAAAATGGTGAAAGGTTGCTTTTTTTTTCTTGCAATTTAAAGCAGAAATAGTTTTTTTTTTAAATTTAGAAAAAAGTAGTGTGCTGTTTGAAGAGATAAAAAATAACGGTTCAGGGCAAAAATGACTGTCTGCGTCTGGTTATAGGAGTGTCCGCTTTGTGGAGAATGTACATAATGGTTTATTCATAGAAGATTCTCGGGGAATTAAAAATATGTCCGTATTGAGAGGCGTACGTTTTGCAGGAGTGTCCATAGCAGGAGTGTCACTGTATATGAAATTTCTTCTTGCATAAGCTTATAAAATTTATTGTTTCTCAGAAAAGAAAAAGAGCCAAAAAGAACAACTCCTTTTGAAGCTATTTATTACATTATGCATTGCTTTGAGAAATAGAAATTCACTTAAATTCTCTGATATTTTTATTAACTGATAAAGGATTTGTTTTTGCTCATTATAATCTGAATAAATTTAACCATCTATTTATAATGATATTATATCTGTATCTTAGGTATTTTTTAAATATTATCTGTGTGTAATAAATATAATTTGCCAATTTAAAGAACACTTCTTTACTTGAAAAATATTTTCCCCAATTTACTTATTCATTTATTTTACATACTATATTTATTTTAAAATATCAAACTATTGTGCTCTGTTTTGGGTGTAAATTTTTTTTTCAAAACAAGGTAGTCAGGCATGAACTAAGGAGATGTGTAAAATATCTCTATGAATTATTCTTCAAAGAGGTGAATTCTGTGAAAAAGCAGTTGATTGATTTAGATGAATCAAGTGATCTACTTTATCCCTCATTTGGTGGACGAGCATTTTATGCATCGATTCTTCCTCAAAGAATAAAACAACTATATAAGGTAATTTTGCATAATTTATTATTTATTTAATGATATTTATGCACCCCAGTTTAGTTTTGACAAGATTTATTTCTGTTTTTACTCCTTTAATTGTTTAATTATTTAGCTAATATTTAGAAGTATTTAGGAACTTAGTCGATGCCATTTGATTAGCTAACATGTGAAACTGGATGAAAATCAAGTTGAATATGGTATCTAGGTTTTAGTTGATCATGGGGAATTGATCAGGGAATTTTATTCTGTTAAAAAAAGGAAAAGTTCAAGAAAATTTGTTCCTACCCCCCCCCCCCCCNCCCCCCCCCCCCCCCAAAATAAAGCCTAAGAAATCCAGCGATGACCTTTAGAATTCATAATAGTGATAATAAACAGTCAATGTCATTTAAAGTAAGTGAAACTGACAGTTATTAAAACTAACAATTATAAATTACCATTATTTCTTGAAAAACTTTCATTGCATGGAGGTTAACAATATTTAATATTTTTTTAAAAATTTTATTGCTTCAACTTCTTTTGGATTTAACTGCATTTAATGTATAGCCATAGCTGCCAATCCTGAAGTCAAATTACGATTTTAGCTTAATTTAATTTGTTTAATTTTTTTTGCACTTGAAAATTTCTCTGCTCAATAAGCAGGTTTTAATTATATGTTTAAGTAGCTTGAACTTTGTGATGGAAAAAATCATTCGCTAAATTTAGTTTATTAAATCTATAATAAAATGTGACAATGTAAAACTTACTACTACTCTCAATACAATGTTCTAATAAATCGGAACAAGTGTGCAAGTATGATTTATCACTATTATTCTGTAAAAGGATTGATTAAAATAATGTATATGATTAAAATAATGTCTGCACATATTTCTTTATTTCTCTATGTTGACAGTGCAATTCAATGCTAATTTTCATCGTGTATTAAACAAAAGTTTAGGTCTTTTAAGCATTTTTTTCTCTATTTATGTCATTCATAAGATCAAATATGTACAGTTGGCAAAGTAATGATAAAACAGATAATCTGAATCACTTTTGGTGCATTGATCAAATTTTCACGATATATGATGTAATCTTAAGATTTTAAAAATAGATCTAAAATGTGCTAATTAATAAGTTTAATAATTATGCTACTCAATAGTATTTCTAAGTTTGTCACATTTTTGTTTAATTTGTCTTAAGAGTTGTGAAAGCTCAGCCATTTAGGTAATTAGTAATTTGTGTCAAATTTTGTGACTTTTTTGCTATTTATTTGAAAATAAAATACTTTCAGTAATTTTATTTGCCATTTTATAGATTATAAATGATTCCAAAAGTATATGGCCTCTGGAGTATAATGAAGAAGTAGAAGAGTTTTATGAGCAAGCATTAGGATCTATTGAGGAATACAAGCATACACTGTTTTCACAATGGTGTAAAACTATCCCAAAAGTATGAAAAGCTGTATTCTCTTTAATCTTTATGATATTAATTCAGCTTATAATGTATAAATATGTTACTATAAATTTTAAACTAAATTTTTTTTAATCCCTTTTTCAATTCAAGATCTAAAATCATATATGATTCAAAACATTCATTACATTCAAAATTTTGAATCGTGTGTACATTTTTGTGTTCAAACAAAAAGGTTTTTGGCACTTATTTCTAATTTTTAAATTATAAAATCAAATTTGTTTAATAAATTTGGCTTAATTTTTAAAAATTGCAAAGAGAACTTGTGTAAATTACTCATCCTTGCAGTTGATTTGGGCTTCAATCACAAATCTAGAATTAAACCAACTCAAATCTCTGAGCATATTTCTTGAATATCCTATTCTAAATATTTTTTGATATACCTGCCGTTTTAATGAAATTCTGATACAGCATAATTGATTAAAATTTTGTTGTTATTGTTCTGGGCTTCAATTTCTTGCTTTTTAAGTAAAAGGATTAATGCAAAATGTGTTAATATAATTTTTTTATTATGAAGAATAAATTTATTATTTGAAAATTAAAGTAAATTGATTACTGTTCCTGAAGTAGAAGTTAAGAAAATTAAGTCATTAGTCCTAAGAACCAACCAGTGAGTAAAAGATATTTCCAATCTGTACGCATTTTTGCTGGTTCATTTATATCTCTCTCAATTTTTTTAAAAAAAAAGTTAAGTGAATTTAAATGGATAAATATAATTCAGAGAATGCGCCATGTTCAAGTTATGATCAAATATGCTACTTTGGACCAAAACACAGACCAAGACACTAAATCAAAACTCAAAACAGCATGTTATCCCCATAATATGAGTTACTTTTCAGTGGAACCACCAATAATTATTTTATGGTGGTCAAATTTCAGTGGTACTTGACCAACGGACCACCATTAATTTTGAGAATTGCTGTTCTTATATTCTTAGTATCATCACTATTAATATATAATTGCAATTTTATTTATAGGAACCTTATGCATGGTTAAGTGACCTTATCATTATTAAGAAAGAAAACTCTGAGTTCTTTTACATTAATCTGAACAAGTAATACTTATTTCTGTGTTTCCAATTTTAATTTATTATATATTATTAACTGTTTCCTTAATGCAAACTTATTAAAGTAATAAATATTTTCTAATATTGTTTAGTGGATTCATATGCACGATATTATTAATAAAAAATTCATATTTGTACTCTCATAGCACATATTGGCTATTACATGTAAGTTTTTGGAGTAAAAATCATTAACTTTATCGAGTATTAATCTAACAATTTTTTTATTTACTCTTTTCATTTTTAATAAAAGATAGAAGACTAACAAGAAGTTGAAATTAAATTGATGTCACATTTTAATAATATTTGAAGAAAGTTTAACAACTTTATAGTCGCATAATGTTGAAGAAAATGGTCATAAAAGTGGTTATTATTTTATGCAATAAAATCATGTAAGAGTGATGTAGTAAGTGTATCTACAAAAATGCATTCATTTTTAATATTTGGGTTATTTTTTTAGCTTAAAAATAATTATGAATTCACTTTCTGACTTGTAATTTCATAGTGTATACTATAATAATGTGTATTTTATCACTGAATGCAAACTGTACTAAAATTATTAAAAACATCGCAAATATCCATTTTGGGGAGTGTTAACATCTAGTTTAAAATAAATTAACTATTTCTAAACATTTTTCAAATAGTGTGGTACATCCATCTGGAGTATAGACTAAGAAATAAGCATAATTTCAAGCATAAGATATATATTGTTTTAATCTTTTTGGTGTGTCACTTTTGTGCACTCCAACCCAGAAATATCACAGGCACGAAAACCTCCTTTCATCTTGATGAATGCAAAAAGAAAAGGGTTAATCATTGAAATAATTGTGTAATGTAGGGTGCAATTGCCAGTAGTGGCCTTCAAGATGACATATGTTTCTTGTTTCTTTGCTTAGATATTTTTGTAAAGTATGTTTGTTTATTTTCAGAGATGTCTTAAACACAATATATGAATTATTTTATTGGAATAAAGCTAGAGTTGAAATACCTCAGTCAATAATTCATCTTCATCAGAAAAGTGACATATTTTTAAAAAGGATTTTTAGAATGGTGGAATGTGTTAGAAGCTATAACAGGTATTATTTTTAAATTTCAACTTTGAATGATTTTTTTGTTGCTCAAATTTATTATTTGAATTTCTTCAGAATACCTGCAGAAATGAAGTACAAGCACATGTAACATGTAGCTTTTTGAAAATTTATGATTTTTTTGCAAAATTGTACAATGTATATTGAGGCAACTCTATTTCATATTAATGAATTGTGATAATGAGTAAAAAAATTTTTTCATGAATGGTAAAAATATTTTTCAAGACTTTTTTCACACAAACAAAAATTATGTTTATAAATTTCAATTCTTCATTAATAACAAATTTACAAATATTTGCTATGCATTAAAAATTAACTTAATTAAATAGTTTTAGTAATTGTAAAGTTGTAATATTTAGTTCAATAATAATTGTGTTTAAATTTTCATTAGGATAGTAAGTTCATTATCTTCAGATGAAAAGATGTATTTTAGAAATGTATTGTTATCTTTAGAAGAAGATGTTAAGCCAGCCATTATTGGTTTGAATTGGTCTGCTCCTCAATCAAAAGCTATAGAAGCTCTAAAACTGTTTACAAATCGAGTCAAATTGGTGAGTTGAAGATGAGATATTTTCTGTACTATGTTATCTCTGTTATAGAAAATCCATTTTATCTTTGAAGACAATTTATTTGGTGATTTTACTGTATTTTTGCAAATAAATTTAATCAGTTTTTGTGATATTTAATGCAATTTTTACAGACTCTTTTTACAATGTTTAATATTTAAAATAATTTTTCTCAATTCAAAAACTTTAATTATGAAAATAATTTTAAAATTCTTTGAAGAATTTTAAAACCGTATTAAATTAATTAATAAACTTAGATGTGAAATCAATCTAATTGCTTTGTTCTATGAATAATAAAGATTAGAAATAATAAATAGTAAGGATTAGAAATATTTAAACTGTTTTTACTTGCAATAATTTTTTATTCTTTGCATATTTTCACGTTAAGCTGTAATGCAATATAAAGTTAACGAATGTATTATTTATGAATGAATGTATGGTCAGAAGTCTATAATTCTGGAGGTTCAACAAAATTTAAAAACTGTTGAAAAGAGTTTTTAGATGATTTTGTTTCTGAAATTAGACACATTGCAGCACCTCAATATATATTGTGCAGAGATTGCTGTTATACCAATTTAATGATTTATTACTATATATTTGTAAAGAGATAAATAGTTCATAAGTGTGAAAACGAGTAATATAAAACTATATTTATAATAATAGTACCTTTTTTTAATAATAACAAGGTACTGATATTATAAATATAATAAGTGTTTTAAATGTTTTTTTTTTACAGTGATCTGTTCATTTTCTATGATATTCAAAATTTTGGTCTTCCTTTTCTTTTACTCTCAAAATATTAAACTGGTACTTATTTAGCTAAGAAGAATGTTTTCGGAAAAATTATAAATTAACAAGCATATGTTTGAGATTTATTTAATGATTCACGAGGCTAAAAATAATTGTGGAGCTTTTAAACTATTTTTTTTCTTGTTACTACTGCAATTTTTTGGCAATTCTGCTATGCGCTCCAGGGGCTCTGACTCGAGAGCTGGGGGTTGTACGTTTGATCCTGGCAGTTAACCAACTGAAATTACCGGCATGCATGCACAGCTCAGAACAGTTTATGTTAAATCTGTAGAGTCTGTAAATTCCTTTGTTGGTCGTGGTGTGGAAATCCGAAGAGCATAACCACTCAAATGCTATCCATGTTGCCTGTCTGTTGTCAAAATTCTGTTGCAATTTCACCATGACCATTAAAAAAAAAGAAATCTTAAAAAACAGGGCTATGTGCTTAGCCATGATTGGGTGATATGCTAAGAGTTAACATGCATTAAACTAGCTTAAAATAATAGTAGTCAATAAAACAACTGTCTAACAAAATAGATTTAAAAATAAATGAAGTGAAAGGAATACATGTCTGTGTATATAATCAAACAAATATTATATTTCATTTAATGAGTTATTTACAAAATGCAATGTCACTGCCAAATGCATCAAAGAGATGTAAACATACAGATCAACAACTATGTAATATACAGATGCAACAAAGTAAGCCTACAGAAATTTATTTTAAAGTAAGCATTTATATATAAAAGCAATTATTTAATTTTAAAAACATGGGCAAACGTAATTAAATTATTTGAACATAAGTATTTATAATAATTTACTTGTTTTTGCCATTTTTAAAAGGTTTGGAGATTTTTTATTTTACGGTTTTTATTTTTCATGGTTTCTGACAATCTAATGTCAAAACTGTTAGGCATAATAATTAGTGTAAAATTGGAAGCAAGAAGGATATATACACTGGTTATCATAAATTAAGGAAAATTCACAAAAATCGCGATAACTCAAGAAATTACACATGGAATTTTATGAAACTTACCCACAATATACAACACATAGTAAGGTATTAAACAACATAAAAAGAAATTATCAGACATTAATAGTAGTATAGAAATTAGCACATGTATAAAATAAACAAATTGGAAGTATCGGTTTGCAATAGAAAAAGTACCTTTAATATGGAATATGATTGCCTCTAGAAGCAATACAGCACAAACAGCGATGTGTGATGCTTTCAATTATGCGGTCTATCAGTTCAATAGGAAGTGAGAGCCATTGCTCTTGTAAAGCAGTTGCAAGCGTGGCAAGGGTCTGAGGGGGCGGATTGATGGCAGATACACGCCTCCCTAGAGCATCCCAAACGTGCTCGATAGGATTCAAGTCCGGGGATCGAGCTGGCCACTCCATGCGAGTAATTGTTTCCTGTTGAAGATAATCATCAACAATGCGAGCTCTGTGTGGTCTTGCATTATCGTCCTGTAACAGGAAGCAATCACCAATTGCCCCGGCATATGGGCGCACATAAGCATCAAGGATGTTGTCTCGATAAACCTGAGCATTCACGGTTCCCCTTGGAAAGACATGGAGGTATGTGCGCCCTCCTAAGGATATGCCTCCCCAAACACAGACACTGCCTCTTCCGTATGCATCTCTTTCACGGATGTTTGATGGATGATAACGGGTCCCAGGTTCTCTCCATATCAAATAACGTCTACTGTCACTTTCTAGACTAAACCTGGACTCATCCGTAAAGAGAACAGGCCTCCATTGATCTGACGTCCAGTGGACATGTTGTCGGGCCCACTGCAAACGGTCTCTCCTATGGCGTGATGTGAGCGGCACGCAAATGGCTGGTCGTCTCGCATACAGACCACCTTCGTGGAGCCTTCTGCGCACAGTTGACGTTGACACCAACCTTCCGGTGGCTGCAGCAAGAGAGGATCTAAGATGTGTCGGAGTAGCGGTTCTATTCCTGCGTGCACTTAATGTCAAATATCGGTCATCGGCACTGGTCGTAACAGTTGGCCGTCCTTGACTGAACCTCCTAGATGCCGAATCTGTGGTTTGAAATTGCCTCCAAAGTCTATGAACCACAGATGGACTCACATTTAGCCATCTGGCCACTTCTGATTGACTCTGCCCTGCCTCTAGTCTCCCGATGGCTCTCCATCGTAGTTCTTCAGGCAAATGATGCCTAGAGGTCATTATTACGAATTGGCTATCTCAGATTTTCAATGTCGCAATCACAGTAAAATTTGTGTGCTTTCTCTCAAACTTGGACTTTTATGCTCCAGGCAGATGACGTAAGCCGAGTGCAGCGCCACTAATTTGCATATTGCAATTTTACTCAGCTACTCTTAGTGGACAACATATGCAAATTTTGCACGGTTTGGCTTACTTTTGAAAGAGTTATCGCTATTTTTGTGATTTTTCCTTAATTTATGATAACCAGTGTATTTAGTTGATAACCCATTATCAGTGGAACTTCCTAGACCAGAGATTATGAACTTTTTTCGATTAGTCTGCCAGTTATAATACAGTATTATTTTCAGGTGTCCAGCCCAGTATGCCACATGTTATACTTCTTTTAAAAATATAATCTTTAAATCTCTGCTATGATTTCAAATTATAGCATTATATTATGCAATTATATTAGCTATTTGGTTATTAACTTGGTATTAATGGAAATCGAATAAACAGTAATTTAAAATTTTCAGTTTAATATTAAGATAAATATGAAATAGCCTAATGTGGGCACCTCTTCATGGTAAGTATGTAGTGTAATAAAAATAAGGTTATTAATGTTAGATAGTTTTAATTTTCAATAGTATGGAAAATTACATATTTTTAAAGAATTAATTATTTTTGTTAAAAATTTTTTTTGCCCTCTTTGATGCTTTACTAATTATTCTTTTTAAATTTAAAAATTCATTTGATATTATAAACACATATTACAATATTACATTAAAAAATTACATACATTTAATCTCGTTTATTGTAGCATTTATTGCTGAATCTTGTAATCCATGTTATATATATTTCTGTTATAATTTGTTGTCTTTAATAACACAAAGTTTTCTTAAATCTGAAACAAAGTGGTTTCTAACAGTTGAATAAATGGAATTCATTAATGAAAATATCTGTTCATAAGAGTGTGCAAATTTACTCTTGTAATTTTTTCCCCAGTTTGCAATTTAGTTTGGGTTCTTTCTTTAAGATTTATGCTTAAGAAAAGTAATTTCATAATAGAGGGGGAGGGCATTAATTACTCTTATATACTGGAATATGTCATTGTACCTGTTTTTGAATTCACATTTGATGGTTTTATTTTATTTTATAACTGGCGTTAAACAACCAACCCAATTCTAGGTTTATGACTATAAATGTTCAACCCTGTATCGGTGTAATTTTGAAACTAACCCAGAAAACAGTAGAACTTCTGAATCATGCATTTGGACAAACTAATCTTCGAAATAATCTTTTTGCTGGGAGTTATCCGCATTTACTTTTCATGGAGCGAAAAACTACAAAAACCTCTCACAGATAGCCTGACGGTAAGGGGATTCCTACCCATAATCCGTCTACCACTGACGATTTTTATGCCCTGCTGTGGTAGGTGCAAGCCAGAAGCAGAACTTGTATCAACTAGCTACCACTGAAATTTGATCCTGGGTCACCTCATTGAGAGGTGAGCGCACTATAACCTGAGCCACCATGACTCTCCGCCTTTGATGGTTGCTATTTTTGGAGTTTTTTTTTTCAAATGTAGTTTATGGTAAATGTGAGTGATTGAAAGCAATTTAATATTTGCTTCGTGCCATTTTGTTTTCCATCTCTAAACTAACAATGTCATCTAACTTCTAGCACCATGGGAAAAAACATGCCTTTTATTAAAAGAAAGTTTTTTGAAAAAACTTACATTTTAGACATTTCTAATGGAAATTAGATATCCTAATGAAATTAATTGTGAGTTTATATAATGATGCATGTATAGTATAAATATAATACTTAGTTAAAAAATTTTCTTAGAATATTTTTTTCACTTAAATTATAGTACACAATTACTCTATACTTGAAAATTTACTCCAGAAAATCTTTATTGTATTTAAAATAGACTTAAGAATCTTTCAAGAATCCTGTGAGTTTCTTCTCTTTGATAACTTTCACAATGGCTAGTAAAATTTTCTAGAATAAAAATTACTTTTTAATACCCTTTCTCTATTTACTTTTTAGTAAGACATTTTTATTGAAATTTCTGTTTTATATATCTATATTAACATGTTGGATATTTTTTTTTATTTTAGGCTAAAGAAGTATTTGAAAATTTTGAAATAAGTAAAGGAAAACTTAGCAATATTTTAAAAGAAATTTCCAAGAAAAGTTTGTTCCTTGAAAATTTTGAACCTTGCATTGAATTTTCAAAATTTGTAAAAATACAGGTATAACAGTCTTTTAAAAGTTTATAATAACTAGCCGCTATTATTCTATGATACTACTTTTGACTAAAAAAAATAGTTTTATGACTTTAAGTATATAATTCTTAGTTCAGTAAAGTAAAATAACATCTTTTCTGTGATTAAATTATAATCTCTGCTTTTTCAAATTGTTATTTAAAAGTTTTATTTTCAAAAACCTTGATGTTTTATAAAATGAATGTGAAAATAAGTTTTTTTGGTGGTTTTCTCCATGGGCATTTCTTGATTTCAGTTTAATATAAATTCACTATTACCAACTACTATTATCCTGGCATTACCATTTCCTTGTTTCTCTACAAAAAAGGGGTTTCATAAGCTTAGTGCATAAGAAACATTACAAACTATTAGCCAGTCCTGAATTTGAGGATTACAGTTGCATTAATAAAATACACCTGAATGAGCTTGCAAATCCTTATTCAAGCAATGTTATGGATGAGTTGATTTAGAGAAAGACGTTTCAAAGTTTTATTGATCTCATGCTGATGGATTGCAAATATGTTTTTTCTTATCTTTTTGTTTCCTTTTGCATCTCTAGTGTTGAAAGTTCAAAAATAGGATGAACTGTTTAGTTTTTTTAAGGTATTAGCCTATTCAAAAGAACCTTGGTAATTGTACATATCTATTCATTTCAATTAATGGCTCTATCTCTCTTCAATAAAGATTTTTATTGTAACTAACATAGTCCAAAATAAAGTAATTACTACTAGTAAGCTTGAATATAATTGAGAAATCATTTCTGACTACTTTATTTTTGGAATGGTGGTTATTTAAAAGTGGTAAAAAATAACGAAGGTGTAACATGTAATCCATTTGTTGAAGTGATAATAAAAAAAAAATTCAAAGTTTTCTTCAACATCATTTAATGCAGTTATATATTTACTGAAATCTGTTTGCTGCAAAGAGACTTATCAAACTGATAAAATTTGTTGACAGATTTTATTTTCATGGAAAAAAAATACTCTAATTTTGTTTAATTGGGATGTATACTAGATTCAGTTAATTTAATTGATCATATTTATTATAGTTTTCTGTAGTGTAATGTTTTCTATTATGAGAAGTAATATTAAACATGCTTTTCTATTCTTTTGTATTAACTTTACTAGAAAACTCTTTGTTTTTTAATTTATCTTGATACCTGTTATTTAAGATACCGATATTCAACTGTATTTTATGAAGTTAATGTGACTAAAAAAGTGTTAAATGTTGTTTCTTATAAAAAAAATTGCTAACTGCACAATATTATGAGTTTTATAAATGGCCAATTAAAATGAAGTAATATAGTACAATGTTCAAGTTTGTGATTGATTTTAAACTTATCTCAGAAGATAAGAACATTTATTCTTTAAAGCTTAAAATTTTTTAATTTCAAGATCTTTTTTGTTAAACTGATACATTTTTGCATTGTTTGAAGAAAAGAAAAAAGAAACGCAGAATTTTATAATAAATTACCAAGTCTGTCCATAATCATTGACTCTAATCCAAGATCTGAAGTTTTACTTTTAGAGAATACGTATATATCTGTGCCATGCTACTCTGCTGCTGTTTCTATTTGATTCATTTTAGTATTTGATTTAATTTCTAGGATTTGACTCATTATTCAGTAAGAACAGTTTATGATGCTCAAAAATTATTAACATCATCTTGGTTATTGCATTACATTTTCTTTTTTAAGTCATTCAGATTTATATTTATAATTTAAAGTTTAAAGATTCTGTCCACTTAAGATCGTTCATTTTATGAATCTCTTGGTACAATTTTATTCTTTTTGTTTTCCAACATTTTCCTTCGATTTCAACTATTTAATTTCTTTTAAGTATGAGTTGAAGAAATGTTAGGCACTGAGCAAGCTTAGATCTTGATGGACAAAGCCTCTATCTAGACAAAAATTTAACAATTCCTAATACTGTTAAATATTTATTTAGTTTATATATAATTTGAAATTTTTATAAAGTGTTAGGTTTGAAATTTATATTGTAATCAAAATGGGAAAAATTCTGTTTAAAGAATTACTAATTATTATTTTTTCTTCTTCAAAATACAGGAGAGTTTTGCAAAACTGTAGCAAAACCTACATTTTTTAAAATAAGCTGAGCCTTATAGGTTACAAACAGATCTACCTGGATAACAAAAAGAGAAAAAAAAGGAAGGAAAAAAATGCCAATATACATGTCAGAAATAAAAATTGACTACCTTAATTAAATAGTGCAAAAATATGCTACTAGAAAAGAGAATTGCTTAAATTATTTAATTCACTTACTTTAAAAATAAACATATAAATTTGCAATGTGCCAGAATCCATGTTTAAAGCATGTAAATTTGCAAAAATCTGTTATCCAAGTTTTGAAATTATCCATAAATTTTATATTCATTCATTTTGATAATTAAAGAAAATCTTCCTAACTTTTATAATTCTCTTTTTGTTGACTTCTAATATAGTTTTTTTCTTCATTTAAAATGTTGTTTTACTTAAAATTATTTAGCTGAACTGTTAGCGGGGGAAAATTACTACAAAATTAGTTTTGAAAAAAAAAGTGTAAAAATAAAGCCATTTGTAATGTATCAATTTCCCCTCCGTTTTTCATTATTTTCTGATAGCTTTATCTACCTACTTTTATAACTATGTTCCATTTCTGTTTTGTTAATGTAAATGAACTTCATTTTTAAACTAAAATTTAGGCAACTAGCTTATAATGTAAGAACAAGCAAAATTGTTAACTTGTAGCACACCAAAACACTAATTATTTTCTTTATTTTTCCATCAGTCAGATTTCAAAGAGCGAAGCATTGGTGAAATTAAATCTTACATTGTGCTTTATTGTCAGGAAATAAGTCGAAGTTTGGATCTCATGAACATTACTGAGGTATATTCAACTTTTTTTTGTCATTATTGTGTTTATATATATACACAATGAAACCTCACATTACAGACACTCATATAAAACGTCTCATTATCATGTCTCATTATGAACATATTTTTAATTTCTCATGAATCTTCTATGAATAAACTAGTATGTACCCTCTTCACAAAGCAAAGATAAGTAAACATGGACATTCATTTGTTCCCCAAAGAGTTATTTTCTATATCTTCAAACTGGACACCAATTTTACAGAATTAAAAAAAAAACTGATTTGTTTTAAATTAAAAAAAGGGAAATGTATACACTGTTCCACCCTTTTTTAAGAATGTAAATTTTTTGCCTTATCCATAACTAAAAATATTACTTTATTCTGCTGATAAAGAATCAATCTTTCTCCTGTCACCTTCCTCTATCTTTGCAAAGAAAAAGAAAATTATACAGTGCATGTGAAATATTTCAGGTAGCGGTATCTTTTCATCTGGACAACACAAGTTAGAAACTCCACAAGTAAAAACAATTTATGGCATTAAACTTTGTTATGAGTGTATATTTCCCACACAACTGTCCGGACAACTCTCGTAGGTGGACAATTTTTTCTGTCCCAAGAATGTCCGCCTAATCGAGGTTTCACTGTACGTATATATATATATATATGTAACATAAAAAGCTTCAATTAATCTTTTTATGTAATTCTTTTTCTGGGAATCCTTTTCTTAATTTATTATTCAAAACGAGAAGCTTTCTCACACTTTTAAATTCACATCCTGTCCTTTAATCTATTTTTGGCTCAAGTATGCATTAATTAAAAGTAAGACATTTTCCTTTTGCTCTTTATGGGAATCGCACGACCTATTTGATGAACCAATTATAATTACTAAGATTTCCCTTTTTCCCCAAATCAAGGCATTTTACGGATTTACTTTGCAAGATTTTCAATAACTTATATTGAGGAGCACAACATTTCATGACCTTTGATAAACGTTCTCTGTTTAATAATAAATAAATTTTGTGCCCTCCTTCCCTGCCTAAACCTGTTTTAATCCTTCCACTCGGCAACGACATTATATATATGTATATATGGTGAGTCTGAACAAGAGGGCAAAATGATACATTTATGTTAATTTGCATATAGTATATATATCCTAAAAAACTTTAATTTAGTGAAGTTATAAGAAATCAGAATTGTGCTGGAGTAATAAAAGCTTTTTGATATTTCAAATATGAAGGAACATCTTTTAATCGACAGCATATGTGTCTGTGGAGTTCAAGATTTTAATTATTATTAATCTTATTATAATTAAATATTGTTATTTAATCTTTAATTTCAATTATTTCTTGTCTTATCTGTCCACCAAGTCCCCAAAAGTTATTTCTGTCTTCTATTAATTCTAGTAGCTCTTTCCTGTCATAGATTAGGGTCTTTTTTTCCTGAAAACGGTAACATGTTTAGTATAACTTGGTTAGAATGTGTGAAAGTTGTAAAAATAAGCTATTACTTCTGAAGTTTTCAAAAAAATGCCTTAAAATTAGGAAATAGTATAAAATGATTAAAAATACCCTAAAATTGTATAAATATCACCAAATTTCGAAAAATCTCCTAAAAGATCTAAAATTTTGCCCTGAAATTGCAAAACAGTTTAAACAATGCAAATATTATCAAAATCTTAGCCGTAATTATAAATTTAACATAGTAAGTTTGAATTTCTCGTTTCTAGAAATATTCATGAATAGCTATAATACAATATTTGTTTTATATTATTTTGAATTTCAATTGCCACAGGGAGTTGAACCTTGGCCAAAACCTAGCAGGTAAAAACTAAACCTACTTGTCAAAATGAGTTGAAATGAAAAGGCAGAATAATTTACATCCAAAATCAAAACAAATGTATAATTTGCTAATGTCTATGTAAAAATAAAATGAGGAAATTTTTTTTATTTATTTATTTTCATTTTGTTAATTAACTATTTAAACATATTAAATTAAAAAATCATTTTCAATAAAATGTTTTTATAAAAACTTATTTATTACATTTTGAACATATGTTTCTTTTCTTTTTTTAATAGATTGTAATGTATATGCATTTTACTTTGAAAGAATTGAAATAATTTGATATATTTCTTTTGAAAGGATAACATCTCGTCCCGAACAATCGTTACTAATTCTTTAGACTCACTTCTTGTTGTTCTTGTTGAATGCTATACAGGATATTTAGCTGAGTTTGGATTTTTATTTGGTGCATCCAGGAAAAACAAACTGTGTGTTATATTCAAAAGTTTTATTTCATTAAATGGAAAAAAGGTATTTCAATTTTTTTGTAATAAAACAGATTCCAAATTCCACATTTTTTTGCCTTAAATTTTGTTTTTCTGTGCTGCTTTTTGAGCTACTTGCTGAGAAATTTTTTACAATCATGAATTGGTTATGTCAATTGTATTCTCTGTTATAATATGCTCATAAGAGAAATACTAATTTTATTTTAAATTATTTACATTTTTTTCTATATTTTTTATAGTTTAGTCTTAATTTAATTATTTTGATAAATTATTAGGTTCAAAATTATTTGTTAATTAACAAATTATATGAATAACATAAATTAGCATTTGTTTAACATTTAGAAATTTTTTTGTTTAAATAGACTTAACAACTGGGACTTTACCTAATTTACGAGGCAAAAAGTTTCATTAATAAAATTTGATCTAACGACTACTCTAGGATCGAAAATAAATTACAAGAATTGTAAATAAAATGTATGTATATTTTNATTTGATTACTAAAATTTTGAATGTTACATCGATATATAATAAATATCAGTAAATTTTTTACCACTGTAAATTTTATTTTTATTTATGAGTTTAATGCTCTTTTTATTTATAAAAATATATAGTCATAATTGTTATTTTTTAATCTTTAGAAATTATTATTCTTTGTTTATTCTTTAAAAATTATTAGTTAATGAAATCTTTTAATGTGGAAAAAAATATCGAGATTTTTTTTATGTAAAATATTTAAAATAATGTTAAAATTAAATGATGACTATTTTTAAATATTTCTTGCTTGTATGAAAAAATTAATAGCTACAATACAGTTTAAAAAAGTTCATTAACATGGGCTGATTGATGTCAAGATAGTTTTAAAGGGACAATTAATACAAAATGAACCTTTGTTAGTTAAGAACTACGTTCCAACACATTCAAAGCTACAAAATTCAACTTGATAGATTGTAACTCAAATTTATGTATTTTTGAATTCTAATGTGATTATTCTGGGAAATATTAAAAATTACTGGAATAGTATAGAATTTAATATTAGTTTTTCTTAACTTCATAATTAAAATAAATGTTTTTTTTAAAAAAAAAAAATTTTTTTTTTGTCTTGCAGCTTACTGCATTTGCAATGTTTATCTTTCGTTTTGAAGTTTATGTTTTTCCCTGCATCATTACAGTTTTATTTTTACAACTTTTTTTTCAATTGTTTCAATAATTTGTATTTACTTACTTTTCTTACTTTTTTGCTTCCTTAATTTATATGATCAATTTTAGAAATAAGTTTTACAGTTTTTAAGTAATACTTTTATATTTTTTCAATTTTCATTCAACTCCTTTTTATTTTATATTCTAGTAATTGTTTAGCGACTTGTCTTGTATTTTGTGAATTGCTCTATTTTTGGAAATTTTTTTCCACTCATCAAGTCGCTGTCAGAAGAAGTACTTTTTTTTAGCTTAATTGATAATCATTTAATATTTTAGGTAGTTTACTGAGCACAAGGCAGCTTCCACATCAATCAACTTAATTTGTAAGCCAATTACTTACCAATGGGTTCCTTTAACCTGTTATAATTGTCCTTATAATATTCTAAGCAAAAAAGGACTAATGGTGTAAATTTTCCATTTTTTTTATCAAGTTAATTAGATATTTGGGATTCCTCTATATTGTTTCAGTTAGGTCTTGATGGATGACCTTTTAATTTTTATAACTATTAAACTTATATCAAATTGAAATTAAAATTTTCATCAAAAACAAAAGTTTTTTTAAATTAAAAATGACATAAAAAGTTTAAACATTTTTGAAAAGGAGACTGGAAAGTTTATTTTGTTGCGATGTACTTGTATAATCAAGAAACTTATTCAATAAATATGCTGCTGCATGGTATAATTGTTTTAATAACTAGATCAGCTACATAGTTAATAGTTTTATAAGATGTTACAGTGAAAACTTTGTACTAGGTTTTTTTATAAAATAAAACTTACAAATAGGGACTTAAAATACAAATAAGACAATAACTTTTCTTGAAATTCAAAATTCCTTCTCTTGTGTAAAAATAAAAATAAGATGTAATTTAATATAATATAAAAATATGTCTATATTTTTTTGTAGGTTCAATAAAATTGCAGCAAAAATTCCTGATGTTCCACAGTACAAAGTATTAGAATTTTGTATTATTGATTGTCAACCTCTTAAGGATTCTGCTATTGCATGTGGAGAAAAATGGAAAAATAATTTGGGTGACATTCTATCGGAAATTTCTTGTTCAAACTTAGACAATGCCTATCATTTAATCGAACTTGTGGATGCAAAGTAAGATATGCAATATGATGCAGCTAGAAATGTTTTCAAAAGTGTAACCCAATTTTGCAATCAGGATGACTTCAGTACTGAAACTTAATTTTGTATGCAATTTTTTATTGTTTAAAGCAAACTTGAAATGGTTTCATAAAAAAATTAAATTATCAGAAAAATTATACATTGTGATTAAATAAGTTTTTATATGATTTTACCAATTAAAATGTTTTTTTTTTCATTGAATTCTTTGTATGTCTTCTTATATTGAGCAGATGTTAATTAAAGTTTACAAATATTTCGATTATTTTTTTTGAAGCATATTTTATACATACTCTTGCTCAGTTTTCCTAATATACATGAAGGCTTACATCTTCCTAACAGAAAATGAAATCTTCCCGATTTTCAGTTTTATGATAAACTGCATCCCTCTCTCTTATTTATCATTTAGTCTACTAAAAGTTTTTTTTAAGGTACAACTTTGAGTAGAAGGTGAAAAAGTGTAGTGAAATTATTTTATTCATGAATAAAAAGAAAGAGGATAATATTATTAATTTTAAAATAATAGTTAAAATTTTTTATTTATTAAAAATGGTCAAGCATCACTGGCTGTGGACAGTGTGCGGGTAGGTGACCACCTTGATCAGCCTGCGGTGGAGCCGAGGATGTCTGGTTTGTAATCCTCCGCTTGTTAAACTGTAAAGTGCTCGACTTCACGCTCAGGTTATCAGGCCACCAAAGCCAGGTTGTCATCCCCTCTGCAGAGGATAAAAATTGTGATGGCATGTCTTTGGATCATCCTTAGGGATGCTACAGTGACATAAATAAATTACAACCAGATCTGAAAAGTGAGCAGGTGTATATTAATATTAGTTCATTGAGGAATCATGTTTTTTTAAAAAAAATTTCAATATTCCATTCTTAAAAAAAAGAAAACTGATTATATTTTTAAGTTGTGTTATTATAATTTTACCCCGATATAAAATAAAAATACAGTATCTTGATAAATTTAGGCAAACTTACATAATATGTGTAGATTAAGAAGCATTAAGAAGTTCAAGACAAAACTTCTTGATTTGACTAAAATCCCCTTGATATTTTTACTCTGATCTTTCTGATTACTATCTTAAAAAGTTCATTGGAATGATTGATATTCGGAGTTGAAAAGTGGGTGACCAAAAATTTTTGTTTGCTGCCACTTATATCAAAATATTTTCTTTGCTCTATTTGACTAAGGCACAATAATCTAAGTGTATAGTGTATATTATTACATGCATGTTATATATATAATAAATGAGACTAAAATGGAATTAGAATAATGATTTGCTAGGGTTTTGCCAAGCGTCGCCATTTTTTTGTGACCTCTTGTGGGAAGAAAGTCTGAAAGATTTCGAAATTTTGTCACTATAATTGCGAAAGCTGTGTAAAGAGATTGCGCAACTATAATTACGAGTGAGAGATAGTCTTGATAGTTACTTTGATAGGATGAATTTCGAAAACATGTTTTACTTACTGTAATAATGCAATGCCACTGGAAAGAGCAACACATAAAGAAAAAAATTTGGTATTAGTTTAGTTTTATTAATTGTGTCGGTAAAAGTCTTTCTCTTTTGTGCATGATTTTGTAGTGTTGATCAATATTGATTTTTTTGTAGTTTACTTTTTTTTGTCTTCATACAAAGAATGGATGTTTAACAGGTTTGAAGTAAAATTAATTATAAGGGGTAGTTTATATTAATAAAGATAGTTTATATTCCTTTTGATTTATGATAGGCTTTTAATGCGTGTTTATATAAAAGCAATTACTATTTTTGCTTCATGTAAAATAATTATTGTATTTATTTATATTAAAAATGGTATGTTTATTTTAAAAATGCTCAATTATTTTAAATCCGCTTCTAATCACTCTTGTATTTATATGTAAAAAAATAGAAATTTATAGAAAAATTTATATATAAATTAATATGTGTTTATAAAGCAATCGCTATTTTATCTTCCTGTAAACTAATTATTATATTCATTTGTGTTAAAAATGATAAGTTCATTATAAAAATGCTCAACTGTTGTAAATCACTCTTCTAATCACTCTTGCATTTATATATAAATTAATATAAATTTATATATAAATTAATATAAATTTATATATGAATTTATATATAAATTAATATGTGCTTATACAAAAGCAATCACTATTTTAGCTTCATGTAAAATAATTTTGTTATTTTCTTGTGTCAAGAATGATATGTTGATTGTAAAAAATGCTTACTTTCTTATCTTTAAAACTATAAATTTAAATTTTCATTTTTTATTAATTGTGGATATATTCTAATCCCTATTATTTTATATTGAAAGGCAGTAAATGTAAATTGATTATTTATCCTGTTTGTATGTGGTAAGTTATCCTTTCTTTAAGCACTGTATTGCACATTGTTATGCATAAATCTGGCAAATCACTCTTTCATTTATATATAAATTAAGCTATCAGTGCAACAGAAAATAATTTAGTTTATGATAATAATTAATTATTTGTTAAATTTAAGCTGAAATACTAAGAATAACTTACATGATTTCTTAATTTTTTTTCGTCATTTTATTCTTATTATTGTGTTTCCAGGTTTCAAGAAACTCCAAAAAATTTAGAGGATTTGAAATTTTCCATTAAATTTTTAAGAAAGTCTAAACAATATTCATCTGAAATTGAAAAATATTTCAATTCTATCCGAGAATATTTTGATGTTTTGGTAAAATTTGAATTTCCAATCAATCAAAAAGTATGTGCTTACTTAATTGCTTTCAAAATTCATAAGTATTCAATTATTTTTAAATTAATTATTTGGAAATTAATCAGGTATTTTAGCTTCACTTGCATTAAAACTAATTTGTACACATGGGTAAAAAATTCCACGATGATGGAATGTTTTGAAGATTGCACTTCTTAAGAAATTGAGAGAAAGAAAATCACATTTACTATTGTTTAAAAAAAATCAATAATGGAAATTGAATTTTCCTTTTTGCCCAGTAAGCAACTTATTTTTGATAAAGGGGAAGAGTACTTGCGATATGTCATTAAAAAATTTGTTTCCCAACAAAAAATTTTTTAAAAATCTTCTTTTGCTTTGTTTCTTAAGAATTTTACTACTAGTCAAAGCAGTCTTAAACCTTAAAGCAGCCATTTACATCTTATAGAAATTGAATTTCAAAATAATGCATGAAAAATTTAGAATGAAGCAATAACATTTAGTGCAAACATCACATTTTTTAGAAAACAAAACAAAAATAAATATTTTTCACAATATAAGGTTTAAAAAAGACATAAGATTATTACTAATTTTATTAAAATAATTAGTTATGTACTACATTTTAAATTAACTAAAACTTATATTAAATTGTGTATACAATCGAATATTGACAGTGTATTGTATTAAAAAAAATTAAGTGTATTTTTATTCATTTTAAATACAGAAAAATTTAAATTCTTTAAATATTTAAATTTACAAAACATTAAAAAACTTGTCTTATATGATTATTTTTTACTTAAATGGTTTTCACAAAAAGATGTAAGAAAATTAATAAACACAATGGCCTATGAATAAATGGCATCATTTTTTTAACAAAAAGTTCTTAGTTATGTTTTTTTTTCTTCTAAAACACTTTACAGTGTTTAATACCTAAACTTTAACCATCACTGTGTTTAAACGTGTAAAACTTTCTTGTTTAAATTAGGTGATAAAAAATTTCAGTGATAATCGGAATCAGGAATATGTTACATATCAAAATATTTTAACACATTTTCTCCGTGCTATATCATTTTAACGCAACATATTATAAAATGTTTTTTTTATATCTCAGAATAGATCCTTTACAGTATATAATCAGCTTGACACATATTTTTGCTTAATCTTTAAAAAAGAGATTTAAAGATGCGTAAAAAATATCAAGTTCTTAATTGTTAACAAATACATTTTATAATTTATACACATAACAAAATTAAGTGTAGATGAAAATAAAAATGATATTTAGAACAATTTTATTTTAAACAACACATGAGCAAAATACTATTTGTCTTTCTAAGGTAAATGGCACAGAAAAAAAAAAGATAACCGACTTTAAAAAAATATTCAATTAAAACATTTGGGATAAAAGGTGCCAATGAGGAACTTAGAGGGTGTTTAAAGAGAAACGCAGAACATCTCCTGACTACTTCTTTCGAGACAAAAAACTGAATTTCAGATTTATTAATGTATATTCAAATATTTCTTTATTTTGCATTTTATTCTTTTTGCCATGCAAATCCGAATAAATGAGATGTAGCTTTCTGCTCATTAAATAAAAAATTCTTAGATAGTCTTTTACTTCTTTCTTGTGAGGAATGTTATGTTTATGAGATAAAATGACTATATTAATTATTATATTTAAATACCTTTTAAATCTAAATTTCTATTGACTGATTACTATTCTAAACTGAACTCTCATTTTCAGTGTTAAGTTCAGTTAAACATTAAGCAACATTAGAACAAACATTAAGAAAAATTAATGTAGAGCTTTTAAAAGATTAAGTTTCAAATGGTACCATTTCATACCTTTGTTTTCAATGTTAAAATTTATGCTTGGATCATAATTTTTTTTATCTATGTCCCCAATTTATTGTTATAATTTTATAAAGATTGTAGTATAATTTACTAAATATATTTATATGGTAGGTTAATATATTTTTTCTTGTGATTTTAGTCAAGTGATCAACTCAAAAATTTAGATGATCGCTGGAAGGCACTTAACAAGGACTTTACAAATTACTATGAAAAATTACAAAAAGTTCAGGTATTGCATTTTTTATGGTTTCTGTAAATATTATGCAGATGCTTCAAATTTCTTGAATGTAATTGCCTCCTTTTGTATACTTTTTTCTAGTTTCTGTGATAAAATCATAAATGCGACAAATTAGTGTTTTTAATTTTAAAAGTTTGTGTGCTGAATTTTTTTTTATTTAGTAAAACTATATGAGAAGTTTTTTTTTGGTATTTTTCTAATAAGTTTGTATTGATCAATTTAACTCTTTAGAAGCTCTATGCTTTGGACTAAACAAATGAGTGATTTTTCAAATTTTTATTTAGTACTATTAATAAAATAGTAGGCAAGCTATATAATTTTAATAATTTTGTGATTGCCTGCTTATGTATTATTTTTTAATAAAATACTTATTGGTAGCCATCTCTTAAGATATCAGGAAACACAACACAGATCTTGTGGGCAAACTGAGCAAAGATTTGGAAAAAAAGTATCTTCACTTTGAAGCAAGAAGGTGGAACAACTGGTAAAAGTGTCCAAAAAATTATAAAGATTGTTGATCAGTTTTAATATCAATTGTACAAATATAAAAGTACTAGTGAAGAAAATGCAGCTGAAGAAGTGAGTAAATTAGGCTTCACTCTATTCAAATGGATGAAGTATGCAGTTAATGCAGTTAAATCAATAAAAAATGGTAACTATGTAGGAAAATGCAGTATATATTTCAATTGATCTTATTAAAACAGTAGGTGAGCTGGTCAGGATTTCACATAAAAGGATAGTAACTCATGAAACCAAATGTCTCAAAAGCAGTTCCAAGCAAATGATTGGAATGATGCGAAAACGGCTCTTTTCTTTAAAAAAAAAAGGAAATGAAATAAATGTAAAATAAACTACAGACTATCCCCTCGTGTGTTCTTTATAAGCAGAGCTAACAAGTTTTGGAAGTAACTTTTGCACTATCCAAATAAACAGGGAACAAATCAATCTAACAAATATAAAAGGACTCTCTTCTCTGCTTTTTCTTTATTGACTTTGACACCAGTATTATGCTTGCTGTGCTGAATTCTTTAAAGACAAATGAAATTGAAAAGGTTATTTCAAAATCGTTTCAAGTATATACAGTAAAGTGACAGCAACAACCAGAATAGGATAAAGGAAAGCTAAAATCTAACTCAAAAAGAAAGTGAGTTGTACATAATATCACCTAAATTGCTCACATCAATTCTGAAAATGGTATTCAAGACATTAAAGGCGGTTGATTGATATTTTTTGATGATAATAAATCCAATAATAGTGATTTGGAATATTCAAAAGACTATGCATGCGATAAGAAATCTGAGTTGATAGGAAAGGTGGCTTTGAGAATGTTCAAGTCAGACTTTATAGTTAAAAAGAAATTTTCTAAGAACATTTCGATTTTTTTTCTCCATCTATGATTTTTTGTGCATCTAGTATTTTCAGACCCATGTGCTTAATAGCTTAACCCTGATTTGTCCCTCAACTTTTTTAATTTTATTATTATTAAACAAATACGGGTATTACTGTCATTTATATTTGACGCAGTATAGTTGATTCTATCTTTTGAGTCTGTAACATGATTTGTTGTTTTTTTAGCTCTAATTATTAAATATAATATTTGAATGATACATTTAGTATTAATTTCTTGCTTCTTTTTGCTAGTATATTGTAAATCACTGAAATCCATCTTTTTTTTAAAAAACAAACAAACTAGGCCTTTCATCTTAGAAGATTTCTAGAGTACCACAAAGAGCTTGAGAATCAAATAAAGATTCTTGAGAATGAAATGAACCTAAAAGGTCCTTTTCATATGGATTGCAATTATGAGGATGCTATGGATCATATATCATCTTATATTAAAACTTTGCATTACCTTCAGGAGCGTGAACATCAAATGAAGCATGATGCCCCATTTTTCAATATTGATTTAAAGCCATTGGACACCTTGGAAATTGTAGAGATTGTGAGTCTTTTTATTATTTTTCATAATCTTATAAACTTGCTCAAAAATTGAATTTTCTCTTTGAATATTTGCCTTTTTACTCATCTGTTTGCTATTATATTCAAGACATTAACATCACTACTTTAATAAATAAAGCTTGATTGAAATTAGTCAATTGTATAGCTGTAATTGAGTGTTATTAATATCTAGGTATTTCCGAGTTGAAAACTAATTTATAAAGAAGGTGAGGAATATTATAATATTACTCAAATTAGTTTAGTTCTGGTTCATAAATGCTGCTGGGATGGGATCAATAGTTGTGGCTAACTACTCAAGACAAGAATCAAGACTATACTGTCAAATTTGTAGTCCAACATCATAAAGATATCAGGAATATTTGTAGTAATAAACAAGTTTTGATATAATGCCTTCAAGTCTATTGTTTTCTGGGTGCCACTTTAATGAAAGTGCTCTCTGGATAATTTCAATGTAATAAAACATACATTTATGATTGAGTAAAAACTTGGTTAAAAGTCACACATATAATAGTAAATTTTATTAAAACCATGATGCATTTTGGTGTCGTATAATACTCCTTTATCAGTAGGATAAAATAAGTGTTAAAAAATGCTAATGAACTGTTCTAAGCCCCTTTAAATAGTTACACTTATTAATTTAATTTTATTCTGTACTCTTCATTTGTTTCTGACAAAATTCTGTTCCCTAATTTTTAAAGGTATTTTTTTAATTGAATAAAAGTTCGATTTTATTAATATTTGATATCAGTGCCAGTTTAAACCATTGGTTTTGGAAATAACATCTGTCATAACTGGAATATTTGATATTTTAGGATTTTGGGAAATATTTCCCCACTAAAACATTTTTAGCTTCAATTTATGAATCTATATATTTTATATTTTAGGAAATTGAGTGTCTGAAAACCTCATGGTTGTATGTAACACAATATCAGAACTTTCTCAATGACTGGACAGATATCACTATAATGAATTTCAATGTCATGGAAAAACAGAAATGCACTGATGAGCTTCAAGCCGATATAAATGTTTTGAGGGCAGAAAAGGTATGTTTAGATTAGTAAAAATCTTCAGATTCTTTGTCTTAATATAGTTTGTTTGTATATTCTAATCTGTCTTTTTTTTTTTCAGGGATTCCATTACAAGCTTCTAGACGAGTTGTCTTTATGCTTAAATGATTTAAATGATTGTTATAAAGTAGTTACAGATTTTCAAGAGCCTACTTTCCAAGCCAGACATTGGAACATGCTGAGAAATATTTTGAATTTAGATCTTGATGATTGTGAAAAATTCTTTAAAAGTCAGAAATTTACTTTCCAATTTTTAAGAAATTTTGATTTATCTAGCATATCTTATGAAGTAAACATGATTACTCTTCGTGCTAGAAAAGAACATGAAATAGAGCAGGTGAATATGTTTATAGTGATCAATCTTTGTTTTAACAATGAGTTTTACCAATGATTATGTAATTTGGATAGTATAAATTAGTTATATCAATTTGTGCATCTGTGTGCTTCAATGCATTTAATTTATATAGTTATCTAATCTTTCTATTTTTATATACAATCTGATCTAGTTCAATGGATTAGCAAAACCAGAGCTTCTCACAAAACTGTCCCAAATTTCAATCCTAACAGAATAGAAGAGCTTGTGCACTATTCCCAGTTGACATTGATCATATAATATTCTTAGTAATGCATATAAAATATTCTTATTCATAAATTAATTTCTAATTTCCTTTTTCAGACTTTAAATTTTGCAAGAAAGACATGGGAAAATATATATTTCTCTTTAAATTTATACGGCAATAATTACAAACTTGATGATAGTGGTGATATTGTAGATATTGTTGAAAATCAATTGACAACACTTGGAGTATTGAAAACCTCAAAGTATGTTTTGTACTTTTCTGATCAAGTGGATGATCTGGACAATTCTTTGAGGTTAATCTTAGATTCTATTGAATTAATGGAATCCTTCCAAAAAAGATTTTTTCCTTTGGAGGTTGGTATTAATAAAGTTTTCTACTGATTTACTTATCAAAAATTCTACATATTTGCAATTGTTCTTTTATTTTATTTATTTTTCTTAGTATAAGTTAATTATTTCAAATTATGTTTTGATCTCTGTAAATATCTAACACAACACATTGCAGAAACAGTTAAAAAATATAGAGGTGCTAAAGCAGTTCTCTACCCACATTTGGAATGCAATTCTTTGCACATTCTTAAAAATGAATTATTTGTAAGGAAAGTTATGTTAAAACCACTCTTAAAAGCCATAGCTGCTAGTTTTTTAGGAGGGGGATGGGAGGTAAGAGGGCTGCAGAGACATAAAAGGACTCATTCATCCAAGAATATTACTGTTTGGAACATCACTAATGAAAAAATAGCTTTGCAAAAACATCTGTAACAGAAAAGACTTCACCATCAGTGAATCATGGCAGTTTTCTATGAACTTTCTGATAAATTTTTTCATTAATGTAATCTACATTAACAAAATGGAAAGTCCACGTTTATCAAAATTTACCTAAATTATTATATACAGACACAAAGCATTATTATCTTTATTTTTTTTAGCAATTTCTTCTCTTTTTAAAATATCTTTTTATTAAAAGAAAACACAATTAATTTGGAAAGACTTATTTTTGAAAAAAAAACATGGAATTACAAAGTTTTTGATATGTTTTCTGCCCTTTCACGAGACTACTTTATATTTTTAAAACTTGAGCCCTTTCATTGTTCTTGAGATTTTAGCACAAATTCAAAATTTCTTGGTTTCTTAAAAATTTCTTTGTTTTAAATTTTTAGGTTCCATCTGATATAATCTTTTATAATTTTTGCATATAAACTACCATTTTATGAAATTTTACAACATGCTTCTTAATTGCTTAGCAATGAAAAGGGAAATTTCTTGGCATTAAAAAAAGATTTGAAGGCACTGAATTTTTTTTTCTATCAAATACTTTATCTAATTCCTAGGGAAGCCTCTAAATCATTCTTTTTTTGATTTGCACTATCTGATTTTTTTCTTACTGTTTGTTTTATTGATTTGTACATTATTTTAGCTTATTAAAATAATTTTTTATGTCACACCTCAGCGAGTATAATATCACAACTCAAAAGGTACAAAATTTAATGTTAACCTTACCTTTTCAGTTAAATTTTTAAGTGTTTAAATTGTTTAAAGCAAATGAGTTACTTATTCCTGAACTGATAAATGAACAACTTAATAATCGTGCTTTCTTAACTATTTGAACGCACAATTTTTTATACAAATGTTAATTATGTCCATTGTGCGTTTATAATGTAAGTGAACTTTATTTTTGCTGCACTTTAAAAAGAATTCTTTGAGTTCCGATGTTATTATCTTCAGGATGCAATATATTATTTTAGAGCATTTCATTGAATTGTCTTTATGCTATATTTGGACCCCATTTTCTCTGAATAACTTTTCTAGGTTATATTCTCAGTTCAAGTTGGTCAAGCAGAACTCTCTAAAGAGTCTCCTCAATTCCAAGAAGTCATCACTTTGTGGGCAGATGTGTCAAATGTTATAAAATCTGTTAAACTGGCATGGCAAACTTGTCATGAAGAAGGTTTGGAATCTTAAGTTTTTATTTGTCCTTTCAATTAAATTGAATCTATACGCATAAAATATTTCTATAAAAATAACATATCCTGTTTCAGACAATGTCAATTAGAAATTATACATTTTATTTCTGACAGTGTTAATTAGAAACTGTGTTTTTTTGTGTTTTTTTTAATTATACTGTTATATTACTTTTGTTTGTTCCTCTGATTAATAGGTTTCTTAGTAAAATTTATTTTTTTAATTTTGATTATTTGTTTTATGTATGGCTCATGTGTATAAATAGCAAACATATATTATTTTTTAGAATGATAAATATTTAATTTTTTGATCAGAATGCACTTTTGTTTAAGAAGTTTTTCTGGCTTCATGTGTAAGAGCTGAAAGAAAAAGCATAGAAAACGTAAATCCTATTATTAAATTTTGCTTTTTCTACTTTTTATGTGAGTATTTTAGTTTATGAGAACAGTTATGATATTAATGTGCTTATAGCAGTTGATAGCAGTTATTTTATTAATGCTTCTACTAACGATCCAATACCTGTTTATCAATATGTATGCAATATATATGCAGGATGTATCAATATATATGCAGGGTGTTCCATAAATGTTGCAGCAAATTTCTAGTGGAGGTAAAGTTAATCATAAGGATTAAAACTTGTATAGCAACCCATGACCCACAATGTCATTATACGCATAATAGGGATATGATGAAGGTATTATCAAGGTGCCTTTGAAGCGGTACTTAATATCTTAATTTCATGTTAATTTTATATTTTCTAATAATTATTGTTAAAAATTGCATTAAAACAGGCCCAGAAATAACTTTTATTTTAGTTAACTATTTTATAGATTTGTCGAATAACTTGACATATCCGCTGGAAGGTTTCAGAATTATATAATTCTCTTAATTGTTATTATGTATCAAATATAATATTTATAAATCAAAAGAAATTTCTGTGATTTGTATGAGTTATATGTAATATTTTTAATATTTAAAACAATGGAAACTTAGCTCTTTAATCATTTGTTAATGCTTTGAACACACTAAAAAATAAATAATTGGGCTAATTATTTCAGTTAATTGAAGAAATTATTAAGAAACAATTTATTCGATCCTAGTTTTAAAAAATATTTTTTCAAATTAATACTTTTTCAGAAATAATTCATTCTGAAGTAATACTTTTATAAATGATTTCGAAAAGAAAAATTTAAATATTCTTTTCAGGTTTTGTTGACAGATTGTATGAACTGAACAGAAAGATTGAAGACATTCAACAATCATTGAACTTTTATTTAGACTCAAAGCGTCGTGTCTTTCCTCGTTTTTACTTTATTTCAAATGATGATTTGCTTACTATCATTGGTCTACAAAAATCTACTGCTATTCAACCCTATCTCAAGAAGTTATTTGACAGCTTGCATAGATTAGAAATAATGGAAAAAACGGAAGAAAAAATGGTTTGTCTTTTTATTGATATGTTTTTTATTGTTGTGTTATTAAACATTATTTTAATTTCATCTAAATTGCTGTTTATAGAGGGAGAAAATAGTCACAAATCAAGCATTAGGAATGTATTCCTCATGCAATGAAAGTGTTCAGTTTTCAAATCCTATAAACTTGGAAGGTCCTGTTGAATCATGGTTATTAGAGATTGAAAAAATGATGCACTCAGCACTTAAAACATCTTTATCAAAATGTCTTCAAGCTCTCTCGACAGCTTTATCTAAAGAAGAATATGATTTTGGTACATCAAAATGGTTGACTAAGTTTCCTGGACAAGTATGTCTCCTCGCTATAATGATTCAGTGGACTGCAGAAGTTACCCAAGGTATAAAAACGGTTCAAGAAACAGCTGTGACTTCAGCTTTGAAAGCGCTAAAGAAAAAATGGGTAATAATTATTAATTATACCTAAAAATCTTTTTATTTTAAAAATTGTTTGTAAAGTTCAATTTGACTTCAATGGAGGTCATCAATGCTGATTGAGTATCTAATAGAGTCAAGGACATAGGTAAGGGGGTGTTCAGGGTGTTCAAACACCCCCCCATTGTACAAGGTCTTTTTTTTTAATACTATAGATAATTTTTCCTTAATTTTAGAAAATTTTTAAATATTTTATACATTGTCATTTTCCTGAATTGTCTAAATAATTCATATAAACTATATTATTCAGTCTGAGCTATTTTATAGAGTCTTGTGATAAAATAACACAGAGACTAACTAAAAATGAAATGGAGTAAAAGCTATAAAATTATAAATTGTAATTTTTCTGGCACTTGAATGTCGAGGAATAATATAAAACTGCTAAATGTTTATTAACTATTGTATATTGCTCTCTATAATCTATTAATTAGGGTTATGTTACTAAATGAGTATTTTTTTTAAAAAAAATATTGTATTCCATTCCAAAGGGTTAAAAATTAAAAAAAAAATTTCTATGTGTCGTATTTTTTGAAATTACCCATATATTATACTTGGTAAGGAATTCATTTTTTTATATGTTATTTTGGCTGCTTAAGCGCATTATAATTTGCATTGAACAGATGAATTTTTTATTAATATTTTTTATATGTGAATTTTTGATAATAATGGTAGTTTTGTTTCAATGTTCTTTTTATTTGAATTTCACTTATATCCCATTCGAAGGGAAGCGATCAACGACGTTTATGGCTTATGTCTTTATTTTGATCTTCATTTAGATCACTGGTTGTGATTTTTAGCTTTTAAATGAAGCGTACAGTGAAAACTTCTGTATTAGATTATTTTATCAAAACAAAAAAGAGCAATTCTGATGATGATCGGGAATGGCAGCAGTTCGAGTATCTCTATATCTAGCCAAGAATGTAGTTTTGCTCCTTCTTCTCCTTCGATAGATTTAGAATCAACTTCACAAGACTTTCAATTTACAGCAAGTAAGTTTATACTGTTGTGTTTAATTTCTTATTATTTTTGAGAATATATATTACATTGTTAAACCACTTTTCTAGTTATAGTGACAATGTCTAGAACAACATTTTCAAATAAAATTGTTTCTGATTTTTAATTAATATAACACAGATTCCAGATAACTATCTGTAAGGCAAAATTTAATCCCAAAAAATTTCACATTTATATTTTAAGCATAAAACAAAATCCATTTTCAATTCTGAAAAATTAGATTTTTTTGGACAGATTAAGTAGTACAGTATTAAGTATTAAGTTCCTCAACTTTGCTGGCTTATTCTTAGATATCAATGAATAAAGCAGAATTTTAATCAATTTTGAGAGAACATAGACAAGCTGCTAACTTTAAAATTTTGAATAATTTGAAAACAAAAAAAAATATTAGAAAAATGTTTGAGAATATTTTTATTTTATTCAACTTATTTATTCATTATATTTTAATTATTTAAATATTTTGCTGTAATATACGAAACGTTATAATATTCTTATAACATAAGTTGTCACCCATTTTTAGCTCTAAATTGTTTCCAAATAATATTTATGACCTAGTGAACTTGACATGATCATATCATAATGCAAAGTATACCAAAAAAGAAGGGGGGAAAAAAGAGCGAACCACCCTTAATAACTTTTGGTCCTAATGATCGGATTTTCAAGTTCTAGGACTCAAACTCAATTGATAAGGGGGGTGACCTGAAATGTGCTAATTAATTAGTGCTGACGATATTTTCAGTTACGACATTAGACGCAATGACGTATTATGACTCCAAAATATAAGAGGTAGCGATTCCCTAATTTGGTCTAGAAAGAGATCCAAAGTTTGTTTCTCATAATGTTAATTATACTTTTTGCTTATTTCACCATATCTCCAGAACTTTTTAAGCGAATTAAAAAATGCTCACACAAAATTATGAAATTTATTTAGCCAAAAATAATTCCATAAAAAATAACTTTTAGTAATTTATTGCTTTTTAGTAGTTTATTGTTTATTACTTTTTATTATTTTATTTAATATTAGTTGAAAAGTTTTGAATTCTAAGGTATGCAGTTTTTTACATTATATTAAAGTATGTAATTTTACTTGGAAAAAATACAAAGTTTGAGCAAAATCAGTAGAATAGTTCTTGAGAAATTTTTACTTTTTTAAAATCGAAATTTTTACTTTTTTCGATCAATCGATAACTATTCCACTGATTTTACTGAAAAAAAAATTTTACCATGAAAAATTACATACTTTAAAATTATGTAAAACATTGTGTACCTTTTAATTCAAAATTATTTTGCCTATTATTAAATAAAATAATAAATCTTTAACAAAATTTAATTTTTTCATGAAATTATATTTGGATAAGCAAATTTCATAATTGTGTGCAAATATTTCTTAATTCGCATAAAATGTTCTCGAGATATGGTGAAATAAGCGAAAATTAAAATTTAGGGATCCAAATTTTGTTTCACTCTTCGTTATTTCACAGATTACGTCTCCTCTTTAAAGTTTGGAGGTCTGCGTTCTGAATCCGTTGGAAAAAAAGGTATGTTTATTCAGAGAAAGCACGTTTTTGTGTCTGATTTCGTAACTTAAAATATCATCTGCACTAATTAATTAGCATATTTGAGGTCACCGCTTTGAACCATTAAGATTAAGTCTAGGAACGTAAAGTTCTGTTGATATTAAAAGTTATTCAGGGTGGTCCACTTAATTTTTTGTTTATTATACATGAAGCTACAGTATATGCATGATTCGTCATATTAGTATGAATGCATATATATAGATAAGAAAAATGAACTAATAATATTACTACTGAAATTTTTGGATATTTTTACTGCATTTTGTTTTTGAAAAAGCATTTTTATTACTTAGTTAAAAGGAAGAATATATCATATGAGAAGCACAACTGCCGGGCAGAACTAATTTAGATAATATTAAATCACAAAAAATTCGTTATTTTTATGATACACATCTTACAACCTAAATATTATTTTTCAATATTTTATACCTAAGATAACAAACCAAACTTCAACATTGAAAAGGAGAATATGAGAAACTAAAAAGTGAGAAACTGTATTGGTAGGGATATTCTGAAATACCCTTTTTTTTTTAAATAGATAGTGTATTTTAAAGGTAAAAAATGATCTTTTGATAAAAAGTAAATTTAGGGATGAAAACAGAAATTGTTAATAAGTTAGATTTCTTTTGTCACAAATGTTGTCTTCATATCAATTTTCTGCGATTACTATATTTCCTAAAAATTTCAGACTGAAAATAATTTTCGTTCTTTTTATTATACTTTCTATATTTTTAAAACTTTATCATTAACATTAATTCCAATAAGACGGTGTCCATAAATGATTACACGCTTGGAGAGGTGGAAGTGGTTTGTGAAATTGTGAGAGTTTGTGACAAGGAGGTGGAGTTACAAAAAGTGTGAAATTCTGTATTTTGCTTAAAGTAAAAATATTTAAAATAAGCAGCCTAAATATTTTAGGTAGTTTGTCTTAAATATTTTTCATCAAAATAAGTACAAAGCTAATCATTGTTATTGTTACGTTTACAAATGTTATTAAAAAACGTAGTTAAAGTTTAAAAATGAATTTAGAAATATAATCCATAGCATATGTTTTGTTCTGAATTACTAGCATATATCTATATAATATAGCGAAATATGTGACAAAGAAAAGGAGAGGAGTCAAAAATATTTAAGAAAAGTATATGCGATTCAAAAATGATCCCTATTATTTAATATTATTTTTGTGCCAGAGGAAAAGTATAAAGTAACAATAAGTTTACTTTTATTTTTAGATCACTCAGGAGCGTCGATAATAAATGAACGCGATATTGGCAGATATGTGAAACATTCATCAGAAAATGATGAGGAACTTTTCAAAGCTCTTAATGACTCTTGGATTCCATCATCTGGGTACCAGTTTCCAATAAGTACAAGTAGAAACTTGTCATTTCAACGTCACTGGTGAACACAATATAATTGGCTAGTTTATACCGATTATTTACAAGGAGCTCTCTGCAAAATTTGTGTATTATTTGGAAAAGACTTTGGTGGTCGTGGTCAACAGCAGCTTGGAGCTCTTGTTAATAAGTCATTTTCAAACTGGAGGAAAGCCAAGGAAACCTTCCAGAAACATGAAAAAACGGTATACCATCGATTTTCTGTTCAAAAAGCTGATGGATTTTCTTCTGTGACATCAGGAAGAACCCAAGATGTCTTGCAGACTTTGAACATTGAAAAAAAGAAAATTGCTAATGAAAATCGCCAGAAACTCATTGCGATTGTAGAAAATTTTATTGTTTGCGGTCGACAAGAATTGACCTTAAGAGGTAACGATGATAGTGGTCCGATAGGGCTCACAGAGCCTCTTTTCAGAGCTTTACTTCGGTATCAAGCTCGTTCTGGTGATGATACTCTTAAAATGCATTTGCAAAATCAGGCACCAGATAGTAGGTCGATGTATACATCACCTACTATTAAGAATGAAATCATAGAGTTGTGTGGGTATACAGTTCAAAAGGCTATCATAGAAAGAGTGAAAAATAAAGGGCCTGGCTATTTTTCAGTTTTAGCGGATGAAACGCAGGATGTTTCAAGGGAACAGCAGTTGTCATTATGTATATGATATTTGAATATTTCTGATGAAAAATCAATTATTCGTGAAGACCTTATAGAATTTGTTAAAGTTGAAGACTTAACAGCAACCGCATTAGCAGATACCATAATAGAAAGGCTGATTTCCTGTGGACTAGATCTGGAGATGATGGTAGGTCAAGGTTATGATGGTGCTGCAGTCATGAGTGGAAAATTTAGAGGCGTGCGCACTTTGATAAGTGCTCGGTACCCTAAGGCACATTTCGTACATTGTGCTGCACATACGCTTAATTTAGTGATTGCACATTCTTCTACTGTCTCAGTTATTCGGAATTGTATAGGAACCGTAAAATCTATTGTAAACTACTTCAGACAGTCTTTTATAAGGAGTATTGTGCTCAAGAAAACATCACATGAAATGGATGAAAATGTTCATTCTCAATTAATATCCCTTTGTGAAATGAGATGGACAGAAAAACACAAGGCTGTGGAACGATTTGTGTAAATGTATGATGCAATCATAAAAGTATTGCAGATACTTGAAAAAAGAGATCCTGAAGCGTTTCAATTTGCGCAAAGCATGCAGAACTCTCAGTTCGTAGTGTCGTTAGTAATTTTAAATAAAGTGTTTCACTATACTTCATGTTTAAATGTAGAACTGCAGGCAGTTTCTCTGAACCTCTGCGATGCTTATGAACATGTTAAGATCGTCATCGAGTCACTAACAGAAATCAGATGTGATAATGATGACATCATATTTAAAAATATCATTGCAAAAGCAAAAACTATGCTGGGGACTAATGAGCTAGAGATGCCTCGCACTGTGTCCAAACAAACTTGCAGGAGTAACGCTCCCGCGAGTACGCCGAAGCAATTTTATAAGAGGAATGTTTTCTACCCTTTTCTAGACCATATGATCGAAGAACTAATAGCACGATTTACTTCGCATTCTGACATTATAGCAAAACTGGAAATACTTGTTTATTGTTAGTTATACTCGTTTATTGATGATGCCAGAGGTCATTTACATGATTTAAAGGAGTTATATTTGAAAGAAAGTTCTTTAGACACAATAGAAGCAGAATACAATACGTTGAAAAAAAAGTGGGCCATGTGCAAATCTGCTGTGAGTGTCATGGAAACCTATGACTCGTGCAAAGAGCTTTTTTTCCCCCACATAAAAAAACTACTAGGGATCTTAATTGTCATTCCAGTGACTACAGCAACGCCCGAACGTACTTTTTCATCCCTAAATAGAGTAAAGACATATTTAAGAAACAGAATGGAGCAAGAGAGACTCACAGGTTTGGCTCTAATAGCAAATAATAGAGACATAATTATTTCACCATCAGAAATAGTTGATAAACTTCCGTCTCGCCGCAAAAGGCTTAATTTAATTTTATAAATTATGTATATTATTAGTAAAATAATTTTTAATACAATTTCTTGATATTTTACTTGTATGTATGTAATTGGTTTAATTAAATTAAATTTGGATAATAAATTCCTCAATCACAAAACACCCCCCCATGCAAAAACTATACCTACATGCTTTGAATAGAGTAAAGCACTCCCACAAAAGAATAACCTGGACCAGGAGATGATGGAGACTAAGGATCCATAATTGCGAAATCAATGGTATGTACTCAGCATTGTGTACCAGTTAATCTAAAGTTGATGAGTTGACTCCAAGCTGCCATTGGGGATAAAACTTTTGTCCTTCTCCATAGCTCATTACTGTAGCTACTGTTCCTTCCCGCTTCTGAGTATCTAGTTGGTTGTTCAACCCGTGTAAATTTATTAGTAGATCAAATATGTAAATTAAGTTGAATTAAAATTCTAATTCCTATTTAAAAAATATTTGCAGGGCAACTCACTGTCTAAAAAACGCATTTAAATATAGTCAAATAAAACTTTTAATCAAAATACAAATTTCTTGCATTTGTTTGACCAATAAGTTTTATTCTAATTTTCGTAGATTTTTTTTTATCAAGAATCAATATTATTTATATTCAGAGAAATTAAAAAATTATACTTTGTGTATAATTACAGTTCCTTAAAGTGAATGTATGTCAATAAAAAATATCAACAACTTTTTTTCAGAGAAATATTTTGTATCAGCTATCCAAGAGACTGAGAAAACCAGAAACTAAGCCTTTGCTTCAAAAGAAAATAATGAATCTTATATTGAGTATTGTTCACTCTTGTGATGTTATAGAATCCCTGATGAAGTACGTGTGTAATAATGTAGCAGCTTTTGAATGGATCGTTCACCTACGATTCTATATGAACTATGATAAAAACACTTGCATGATTAGACAAACAAATTCTACTTTTAGTTATGGTTTTGAATATCTTGGAAATACTGATAGACTTGTAATCACTCCCAATACAGACAGGTATGCTATTTTTTCAACCATTAATACTGCCCTTCAAAATAAAAGACAAGATTTTTCTCAGTACCACAGAGTTAATGTGTAAGTTTATAAAGCTGTTCTTGTTACTGCCACATTACAGATAATACGGTGTGAAATAAACCAAACTAGGTATGTTGCATTTCAAATGCAACCCAAAACTCATAATTTCATAGTATATATAATTTTAAGCAATTTTTAATAGTTTCCTGAATATAATTGTCAATTTTTTCATAAAAATATTTTAAATTGTAAATTTTTTTATGTGGTAGGTCTTCCAGGGGTTCTGCAATATTATTTGATTTTTCATAATTTTGAAGTCCAATGTTAATGAATTCGATTTTTTATTTTGTTATTTTTCATTTTTCCTACTAAAGAATAATAAGAATAAAAAATCAGAAAATTAACGAAGTAAAGATGCAAGCAGAAAAAAAAGCTGGGAAGAAACTGAACCCTTTGAATTTACTGATGAAATGTGTGGAAAACAAAAGCATAACCCCTTCATAACTTTTATTACTAAAATTTTGCTATTGATTTTCTTCATGGCTTTGGGAAGCCTGTGGTTTTTTGTTACATTTTCTGTCATTAGTAACAGATCTCCCTCACTTCCCATTTGCAAGTGAAATGAGGTGGGGCCAATACCTTGCGAACTAATGATTTTTTTTCTTTGATAACATGAGTTGATGCTCAGGATTTTCCATCATTTGTTATTTTTAGTTCTACTGCGAACAAGAAGCTGTTTTACATTTGCAGTTTTTTTTAAAATTTGTTTTAATGTTATTCATTTTCAATAAACCTTTGCAAGTTATTTTTATTATTTTATTTATTTATACTTGATTTTCCCAAATTTGTGAATCTACATCCGATTATTGTTTATTTTTAATTTGCATATTTAACGAGTACATAATTAAGTTTTTTTAAATAGTTTATTAACATTTATGTTATGTTACATAATTTATAATTTAAATTAATTATGTTTCTTTATTCTGCACTATAAATATTGTCATTTTTACGTAGGTTTTAAACAACCTAATTGTATTATAGATGTTTTCTTTCTATTACTACGGCTCTAAATCTGCATCAAGGAGCATTTTTGAAAGGTTGCAAAAACTCTGGAAAGACAGAAACTTTAAAGGAGGTTGGAAAAGCTTTTGGAAATTATGTGCTTATTATGAACTGCTCTGAAAATATGACTCATTTCTCTTTAATGCGCATGCTGTCTGGTCTAGCTCAGGTAATCATACTGTTTTTATAACTAGTATTTAATAATACTATTTTATTAAAAACCTGTAAATCTATATTTGGGATAATTTAAAGCTTTCTTTTAATAATTGATAGCAATTTCCATTGTCTTATTTTTTTTACACAATTTTATTTTTATTATTAATGCACAAAATTCTCAATTTATGAGAAAATATTTAAGTTATTATTGACTTTAATTTATCTACAGAAATTATAAATATGGACATGATGTTTTAAGCTGTAGCAAAAAGGTTTTATCTAATTGCTTTTTCAAAAATGTTTCTTTTCTTTTCTGAGAATTAAAAAAGGAAATTGTTAAATTACAAACTCTATATAAATATGTAAAATAAATTAATTTATCTATTGTGGTTTATTTTCAACCTTATAAAATTTAAATAAAAATCAAAAATCATCTGAAAGTAAAATTGATTATAAAAGAACAATACATTATATATCTTATGTTACAAAACTTTTTGTATTTTTAATTCAGCAGACAGATTATCTTTTAAAACTAGACAAAAATTTATCCTGCAAATTTTTTCACAAGAATTCAACTATAGACTGAACTCACTTTTTTTTATTTTGAAATTTTGTTGAAAAAGTTTATAAATATCACATATGAAAAATTTGGAACATTTAATTTAAAAAATATAGTGTTCCAAATTCATTTCAGGTTTTATTGTTATGCAATTATAAATAATTTGTGAAAAAAAAGTGTAAAATATATGTATTATGGAATTTGAAAAACATTTTGCACTATCCTCTTTTAAAGTCATAATGATAAAATTAAATAAACTTTAAAAGTCAAACTTCATTATTTCATACAAAAAATTTTATTTAAGGAAAAAGTTAAAATTAGGTTATTAAAATAAACATATAATCAAACAATAAAGTTGTTATACCAATTTTTCAAAATCATGTTAAAATGACTCATTTAAAGTAAAACAGTTTCAGTATATGTCACTAAAAACAATTTAAAATTAAAAGTTTTAGGGAAGCAATGATATCCCATATTTAAATTGTTTGAAGATGATTGAAAGATGAAATAAGCGAGGCAGAGATTCCTTATTTTGAACCAATATCTAAAAAAGTAAAGCAGTATAACATAATTAAATTGTGTCAAGCATAAAGAATTCAGGAAGAAAAAATGTAGTATACAAATTTAAGTGGTTGATAAAATAAGAAACTATTTAATGCGCAATTAATTTGTTTTGAAAATTCATTTTTATTGACTTGTCATTGTTTTGCAATAGGCTTATTTTTTCAGACTATTTAATAGTTTTTTTTAATATTTTTGTATTAATAACTTATATTTAATTATGTTTAATTTTATAATAAATACTTGCAGATTGGTGCGTGGGGATTATTTGAAAGATTTAATTTGTTGAAAACTGAAATCATATCTGTTTTATCTCAAGAAGTGAGCAGTATTTTCAACTCTCAAGCAAGAAAAGAAAGCTATTTTTCTTTTATGGGCAATAAAACTCCTCTTAATAACAGATGTGGTATTTTTCTTTCATTTGGTGAGTTGGATATTTAACGTACTCCATTTTTAAAATTTTGTAGATAGGATAGAAATAAGCTAGTTATAAATAACTAAAAATTTTAAAACTAGTTGAATGATAATTTTTTTATTGAAAATACTATTATCTAAAGCATTTTAACCCTTTAAGTTGTGTAAATATCCAATTTAAAAAAGAACATTAAGACCCATTAGCTATTAACTATACAAATAAAAAATATATTGATCTTACTATAAGGACTTAAAATTTCATGGCAGCGCAGCATTAATAATGTTCTTGAACACCACTATGCTGTGCACCCCACTCTATGATGCCACTATGCACCTAGCAGCACTGTGTGTGTATTACTAGACATCCCTTACGCATAGACAATTATAGAGTCTTGGTTTTTTATGTGGAAAGTTGTTAAACCTGCTGTTTAATATGAGCTTGTAGAGTTAGATTGGATCTTTTGATAAGAATTCTCTGTGCTCCAAATATTTGACCATGTCCAGCAATTAATGCTTCATCTGTGTTAGGCAGGCATAATGTCAGATATTGAAAACTATGAAGATCTTTCTTACCATTATGATATCTTGTATGCAATTTGTACTCATAATGTCCAATAAATGTTGTCAAGTAATCACTCTTCTTGTAGCATTTTGCCTCTATTCATCTTCTTTCAATTTCTCCTGAGATTTCTGATCATAATTGGGTTGTTCTGCAATATTTATATTTATACTACCTACACTATAAATTTGTTACTTTATTATTTATCCACCTTACATAATATTAATTAGTTTTAACATGCATTATAAAGTATCAACATGTACTTAAATTTAAAAAAAAAAAATTACTCTAATTTATTATTTTTACTTAGATATACTTAATGCTTATAATATGTTTGTTTGCTATTATTTTACTTAACCGTCTGATATTTTATTCCTGTTAGATTCTGGCTCCAATTTTAGTATACCATTTGGCCTGTCTGATGTATTCAGACCTGCTTCAATTATATCTCCTGACTGCAAGCTTATAATTGAAGTTTATCTGTTTTCTTATGGCTTTCAAGAAGCAAAGGTTATATGAAGTATAAAAAAAAATATATATAATTTGCTCTTTGATTGAAATTAATTATGTTTTAGCTAATTGTATTTTGCTTGCAAAATATGATTGAAATTTTTGATTATAAGAGGTTTTTAATAAATTATGAAGCATAATAAAGTTCATGGCTAAATGAGTTTTAACAATTAGCAAATTTTGAAATTTTGTATGTAATATGCTGTCATATAGGAATAACTCAAATCTATTTAAAACTAAACTTTAGGTAATTAAAAATTTTTGCTGATGCTCTAGAAATCTGAATAAAAAATAATTTTTGAAGTCTTGATTAATTCATATTTCTATAGATTTATTTGAATTTTTCTGTGATTTACCTTAAAACAAAACATTAAAAATTGTTAATGAGACAGTCATCCAAAGACAATTATTAGTCATCTGAAGCCTGTCACCTTATGAGAGAAGATTTGGACTTACCCTGGAGAATCTATTTCACTACTGGTTAAAAGGGTCCAAGCTTTTGTTTTCCCCAGAAGTACAGATACTTTTTATTCTTAGAATCACATTTCCTTATTATTCAATTTAATGCAGTGGTAACATTTGGAAATTTTATGCTCATACACACAGGCATTGTTAAAAACTAAAGCTCTTTTCAAGATATTTGCATTAGCTAATGGAAATATAGTGAATTTAGTATCACTCGATAGTTTGAAATAATATTTTATGACAATGAAGTTATTTATCAAAGCAAACAACCTGACTTATTATCAAAACTATCTGCCTTATTTTCATAAAGACGAATGATTGAGCTACAAATAAAACTATGTTTGATTGAATTTTAAAAAATGTAGCAGTATTCTTTGATAAAGTTAATATGTTTAATCTCTAATCATGGAGTTAATTTTTATGATTAATCTCTGCTTGAAAGAATATATGTAATTCAAAGTTTAAACTGTTATGAACTATTTCTGGTCATTTCAACTTTGAATTATTCAAGTTTACCATATTAAAAGCAAAATAATTTTCCAATGAATCTTATTTGCATTAATCTGGATGTTGAATGATGCTTTTGTACTTTTTAATTGTATTAAATATGTTATTATAAATTTTGGAAATTTATGAAAATATTTTACCCAACTTGTTCAAAAGTATTAAAATTTTTAAAATTGTAGGCTTTAGCTGCTGATGTTGATTTGGTGTTCAAGAAAATGAGGGAACAATTATCTAGGAAGCTTCATTACTCATTTGGACTTCGTGCCATCATGCACTTCTTAAAATATCTGAAAGAAAAGAAAAAACTTGATTCACATTTATCAGAGGATGAGGTATCTAATATTTTACACGAAGTTAAGATATTGAGGTTATTTCGAAGTATATTATTTTTTTAGTTTAATGTAACGCTTGTGTTATGATTAATATTAAGTTTTGTAATTGCTTTATTTATTGCATTGCTTTGTTGAATTCTTTTATTGCTTTTCATTATTAAACAAAGTTTTAATAACAATTTTTAAGTTAATTTCGTTTAAAATTTTGTTTTTAGATATTTTATTAACTACATTTATCAAATTTTGAACTGAGCATTTAAACTAATTAATGTTTACCTTTTGGCATTAAACCATATTGTATATATATTAACATATTTTGTCTTAGCTAAATAATTTATTTGTTGTGTATTTTATGTATGGTTTATAAGTATTTAAAGCTGTACATAAGTTCTTAATTGTAAAAAAGGGAAATATTAATTGTAATAAATAAGAAAGCAATGATTTTTTTTTCTAGAGTACAATACAAGTTTTTTGATTCTGAATTAAACAAAAGGGAGTAGATTAGATAAAAGTAGGGACAAAATAATTAAAAAGAACATCTTGACTAATTTTTGATGCAATAATAGAATTTTCATGTAACTAAAGGCTACTTCAATAGTTTGAAATGTATATCTTAAATGTGTTAATTAGTTATTGCGGAAAACTTTTTTGTTTCAGAATCTGCTCAAAAACATATTTTTTCTAATTAAATATACCTTATTTCTAATAGGTTTAGATTTTATACCACAAAATAGTTTTTTAATAATGAAAATTTAATAAGACTTTTGAAAATTTATTATTTAAAAATAATTTAGCTTAAATTTGATTGTTTTTTATATGAGGGTCATATTATTTTTAAAATTGTGGCTACCTTTTAAATATTTAGGATATAAAGTCTAAATATATTTAAAAAAGAATCTTTATTCAGATTCATTTTTGAATTTGTGCAAGTGAAGGACAATGTGGAATCCCTAAGTGGTAGGTTGACGATCTGGTTACTGCAAGCAGCTAATTTAGTACATTTGAGTTCCATACCACGAACTATAAAAATTGTATCTAGCATATTAAAATCTAATTGTACATTAAATAACACTTCATTTATACATTTCTTCATTTTATTTTGCTTATTGTGCATCTCAGTTTTCAGACATTATTTTAATACACTGATTATGGGAGATTCTAATTAATAACTAATGATGATAGGAGACATTTTACATATTGTATACTTCATTTAATATTGAATAAAATTTTTAACTACTTTTGAAAATTTGGCAAAGTACAATATACTAATTATTTTATACAAGACGTCCTACTAAAAATGCATTAATGAAAAATGTATATATATATTATTATTTCTATATGTATAGTGATTTAATATATTACTTAAGAAATATGCAAGAGGTCAGGTTAATTGGTTATATGAGCGTACTATCATCATCAATGTATTATTACAATCTCCATTTTCTTTGTGCTTCATTGGAGATCTTATATTTTTTTATAGTTTATAGTGTCTTCTTTGCGAGAAACAACAGTTCAGATACTCGATTCTTTTGACATTCCCATCTTTGAAAGCATATTGGAAATAGTTTTTGGTTTTTTTAAATCAGATCACGACAGTAAATTAGAAGTAAGCAATTTCAGATATTGTTTTTTGCATATAAATTGTTTTAATATTTTTTTTCTACCTTGTTTTTTACTTTTTTGTTTGCATTCAAATTTTTTTTGTAGCTTTGCAATGATATAAAGAAAGTTTTAGAAGAAAATTTTCTTCAACCAGATTCATCGACTATTGAAACAATTAAATACCTGTATGAATTAAGAAAATATTATCACTCTATCATTTTGCTTGGAGAAAGTGGTAGTGGTAAAACAACTACCTGGAAAATGTTAAAAGAGCTTGAGGCTCAGTATAACCGAACTGAGGATTCCAAACTTTCTGCAGTTCATGTAAATATGTTTTTAATTTTATTTAAATGTATATTTATTTCCAAAAGTTAGGCAATAAGCACTTATTTGCACAATATTTTTCAACTATGTTGTCACAATCGCCATAGATTCATGATCTTTGACTGAATCATACTAACGTCTAGAGATATACGAGAATCTAGCTTTGTTTCATCTCCTCAGATCAATGTCCAATGACATCATAATATTATTATTGATAGATGTGCACATTGAACTCTGGAAGATAAGAGGAAAAATGCATTTATAGTACAATAAACAAATTGGTTGTGAATATTGTGTTTCTATGGCTTTTAAATTTTTTTTTATAGTTTTGTTTTTGTTGTTTTAACTATTTTTTTTAAGTAATTTTTTGTGAAGCCATTGAAAAACATCATTAATATTATTAAAATTGTAACACTAAATTTAACCATATCAAAAACATATTTTCACATTTGTGATGTATGCCGTGCAAATTGCAATTCGGGAGGAAATTTTAAACAGCGTTTGAAGACATACCGACTTATAAAGAAAACAGCCTGTACTGGGCAGTGCCACTTAACCTTAAAATAAAATCAGTGTAGAGTATATCAGGCAAATGTATTCCAGGCAGTGGCACTTAACTTTAAAGAAACATCAGTATAAGGTATAGCAGATAAATGCATTACGGGGAATGACATTTATTCTTAAAAAAAACATGAGAGTAGGGTAAACCAGTCAATGGCTCTCAATTCACTTGGCTAATCCGATTATTAAAATTAATAAACAGCGATTATTATGAATAGCCCCATTCCATACGCAAATATTTTCATTAATCAGAAGGAAATAAGCTTAAAAGAGTAAGGCAAGCAATGTAGGGCTGTGTGAGTCCCGACTTCTTTATTTCAGTTTTTCACTGAAACAGCTAAAAATCAGTTCACTTATCTTCTTTCTTTAGGTAAATCACTACGCAGTTGCTATTTTAGCATCTTGCGTAAATAGATTATCTAGCGTTGGGATTTGAACAAATCATTGTTTTTATCATCTCCCGCCCACATCAACATGCAATCAAAATACAATTTTTTCTATTAAGTACTACTGACAATTGTAACTTCATCTTTAATCCCATCATATGATATAATGCAAATTGTTATAAATAAACTGCTCTAGATAAAACTGTAATAATTCTCTCTTTATTACACACAATACTGTTATTGAACTTTAATTTTTAATTACATCACTTTAAAATGTTAGAAATAAATAACTGCTTTTAACTGAAATATTAATTCTGAAAAAGTATAATAGTCCTTTCTAGATTAATTCTTTTTAGAAAGGATTTTTCAAACAGTCATGTTAACAAAACCATTAATTTTGAACAGGGTTATAACAGTTGTGGGAAGATTTGGAACTCTGAAATTAAATTCAACATTTTATGCATAGGACAACTTTAAAAATAAACATCTACCACAGATCTGGTAAAAAATTTAATTTGCATATCTATCGTTAGTGTCATATTATGACGTCATTGAGCATTGATATGAGGAATTGAAGAGGAAGCTAGGTTCTCCTTTCTCTCCAGATGCTATTATTAAATTAAATCATCACTTTTTCACTGTCTTTTTTCCATACTTTGATGTAAATTTATATAAAACTTCATTTGATTCTCTGTTTCTTACGATTTCCACAAAAAAGTTGTTTCTTAATTTTTAGACATGATGATTAAAAATATTCAATAGTAGTTGACTTAATTAAAAGTTTGATTTCTGTTTAAAGTTACATAACAGTAATGATTTCAATGGCCAAATTCTAATAAAAGCATAGTGCTGTTTTATTCTCTCACTGCAGGATAAATTCTTCTAGTTCATTTTATAATTCATTTGGTGTCACCTTTGTATTTTCTGAAGTAAAGCATGGAAAATTACTTCATGTGTTTTATAATAATTCTTGCTGATCACTATCACACAATCTGATATTTTACTTCTACTACTAAATTTTTGCTATCAGATATGAAAGAAATTATCACAAATAAAAATAGAAATTATGGAAAACAATGAATGTATTAAAATAAGTGTAAAAAAAGAATTATAGTTACATGAGAAACAATTTATTTTTAAAGCGATAAGTTGATGCTGCGCCGTCCTGATGTCATTGACTGAAATGGAAAGCTTGGAGCGGCACAGGTCTCTTGAGCCTTGGGTTTAAACTGTTCCTCACTAATATCAATGGTGGAAACCTGAAATCAAGTAAAGTAAAGCAAAGCATTCCGTCAACAGTTAGTTGTAGGCCGAGATAGTCAAGCAGGTCAAGGCTCCTCAGTTTCATGGCATATGACAAGAGGGTGGCAAAGTAGTCAGCATTATTCACCAACTGCCTTTTCTTGCAGGTTATCAATTAAAGCTGGGTGATCTAATTTTTTATCGTTACAGCTGAATAGCTTAACAACTGAGCTATTTCTCATTATTTAATTATATTTATAGAAATATAGTTATAAGCATTATTTTATTTTGTTTAATTTTTTCAGAGTTTTATTTTTAATGCCAAAGCTTTCACTCTAAAAGAGCTTTTTGGTTTCTTCCCGGAAAATGAAATTTGGTCAGATGGTTTATTTTCTGCCACTTTGAGAAAGGCTTGCCTAAACGAAAGGGCGAAAGAGAGCTGGCTAATACTTAATGGACCTCTTGACAAAGAATGGATCGGCAATATAAGCTCATTACTAGATGCGAATAAAGTGTTTACTTTAGCTAATGGAGAACGAATAGTTTTAGCTAACATGGTTTGTTTCTTTTTCTTCCTTTAATTTTCTTTCCATTTTTTTTCTGCATTAAAAATTATTAAGTATTTTTTAAAATAAACTTTTTAAATATAAAATACAACTTTAGTGTGTACATGTAGAATTATAATTATTATAAATGAACTCACTTAGAAAAAAATCCAATTTTAAATGTCAATGCATTATTTTGTGAGCATAAACTTACATTTAGTGGTTTCAAAATGAGGTTTGAGATTCCACATTTCTATTATGACGTACAACGCTTTCGAGCTATTGCATCTTCCGATTGCCATAAATAGAGCAGCAAAAGCTTGAACGCTCGTTATTTATCTATTTCTTGATGGTGTTAAAGGATGGTTTTAGCTAAAGAAGGATATTCCACTCAAGTGTTTGTTAAAAAAAATAGGATGTCATTAATCGACAGTCTCGAGAGTGATACAAAGGATGCGTGAAACCAGCGGCATTAAGAGAAAGGCTGGATCAGACCAAAGGAGGGCGACTAAAAAGTCTGACGATTGATATCTGAAATGAATGTCTCTTCGTAATCAACATGCAAGTGTTCCTAATTTGAATTTGAGAAAACCTGTGGTAATATAAGTGCACGAGCAATCCATCGACACATTGTGGATAATAGCTTGCATGCCTATCGCCCCAAGAAAAAGCTTTTACTTACAAAAAAATTTCTGAAACGACTTTCTTGACCTAGAACGCATGTTTCATGGACAATGACTCAGTGGAACTCAGTAATTTTCTCAGCAGAGTCTAACTTTAATCTACATCGATCAGACAGTATGTGGTATATTTGGTGAAGAAATGAAGCTTATCTTTTAGATTGCATATTGCGTACTGTAAATTTCTCAGCGAGTCAAATAGTGTGGGGAAGCATATCTAGCAAAGGTATTAAATGATTGATCTGTATTATTAGAACTATTGACGCATCAGTTTATGTAAATATTTTAGAGAAATATTTAATGCCAGTTATTTTAGGACATAAAAGTTCCTTGTAGGATAATGTTTTTTTTTATTTCCTATTAAAATATTTATGTTTTTACACTAAAATAATAAAAATAAATTGTGAAAGGGAAAAATAATTTATTTTTTCTTCTTATAGCTTTTATTATAATTCTTATAATTTTTTAGTTAATTAATATATTAATTTGTTAAATTATATTTATAGGTCACTTTAATCTTTGAAACTACAAATATTTTGCATTGTTCACCAAGTATTCTTTCTTGCATGGGTATTGTGTATCATAAATCAAGCAACGTAGTATGGAAGAATTTTTTGTTTTCATGGATTCATAAGTGTGAAAATGAAAACTTAATTCCTGTTGTCAAGAAACTAATAGAAGAATACATGGAAAACATTTTGGAATTCGCTTTTGATTCTTTAAGAAGTTTGAAGTCTCTGTCAATAACTAAATTGAATTGTGTGTCCTCTTTCTCCTGTTTAATGGACATCTATGTCAAAAATGTAAGTAATTATATAATTTTTATTAGAAACTTAAATAAATTAAATTACAATATCTTCTAGCTATATTGCACATTTAGATGTGTCATTCTTTTTTTAACTTTTTGCTTAAGGCTGGCACACCAATTGAACAAGAATGATGGGCTAAACCATTCTAAGTGCTGTAAGCAAAAGGTTAATGTCTCTTAAAAAACATACGCGAACATTTTCTTCTGTAATACTATATTTTTTTTTACAGTTTATTTTAAAAGATTGATTTATTAAATGTGTAAAGATACAAATACTGTGTGGCAGTTATTGAGATTTCTGAAATAAAAATGAAGTTTTGAAAAGCTTTTTTTCGTGCTTCAGGAAACAAACATTGTATACAAATTTTTAAAAAAAACTGCAGATGTTTAAATTTAGGGTATGACATTTTTGATTTGCTTGCTACCAATGACTGTGATGTGCGTTGAATAATAACAAAAATTCTGTAGAAATCAAAGTGTTGAGCACAATAGTTTAATATTTTCAGTGAAAAATACTCTTTAATTAGAGTAAGGATGCTTTAAAAAAAAAAGATCTGAAAATGCCCGAATCTCACTGACGATTCAAAAGTTACTCACCTGTTTTTTTTTTTGTGTTGTTCAATAATTGTCACCCTTTAAGTGTAATTGTTTATTGTTAATTAACTTAATGTTGTATAACTAGACTTGTATACTTCATTTTTGTTATTAGAAAATGACTTTCAGTATAATGCATATTCAGATAGATTGTTGTTTTCACTTAATGATGTTTTATGATTGCTATATAACCAAGGGGATACTTGTATTTCAGGTCACCTAAATTCTTTCTTATTGTTAAGATCATAATCTATACAAAATAGCATTGCATAAGTATAATAAATTGTTTCAGGTATCTCCGCAGAAGGTTGATTCAACCATCATTTCAAGAATATTTTGGCTGTCAATAATCTGGTCAATTGGTGCTGCCATTAGTGAAGATGAGAAAAATGAATTTGATGCTTTCATCAAAAGCTTAAATGATTCATTAAATGCTTTAGAAAGCGTTTATAACTATCATTTAGATGCCAACTTTGAATGGATCAAATGGAGTTCATATTTGCCTGAAAAATGGCAACCCCCAATGAAGTAAATGAAGTATTTATTCAAAATATACATGTAATGAAGTAGAGTTTGATGTAATTATTAATCTGTATTAGATTTACTATCCATTATTTCTTCGCATCTGTTCGCTAAAAGCTGAAAAATTCCAGCAGAATAGCTGAGGAAAATGATTAAAGGTCAAATTAATTGCAACAGTTAGTTACAGAAATATAGTTAAAATAATAAATAATAATAATAACAAATGAAAATTTTCTCAGCTTATATTAATAATTAAATTTCTTGTAATTTCATATAAAAGTTGTATTAATTTCTAGTTCTTAGAATGCAAAGATATTTTTCACTGTTTTAAACTTCTTTTCTTCCTCTTCTGGTAGTAACAACTTTTAATGTGTTTTTATTATTCTTAAATATTACTTCCATGATGATAAAACTGAGAATATCTAAATTTTTATAATACTCTGAAGTTCGTTTATCCATTCTTAAATTGTCTCTATTTTAAAAAATTTGGTTATTTACAAACTTTTAATTTTACTATGGAGGCAGGTTTTTTTAATTTTTTTATGGTGAGATTCAAAGTTTCTCTGTACTCGCAAAATAAAATTTATTTTTTTTAGGAATCAAATTTTAATAACTTCATTACAAAATACTTGATAGTAATTTTAACTCCTACTAGAGACTAAATCGTCCCAAGATTTTACAACATTAGTTTAAATAAGGCATGCGGGATTAGTAATAAGATTGTTTCAGATTTTATGTGCTAAATAATAAGATTTTATGTGCAATTTCAGGTACAAATTATGCAAAAAAAAAAGTAGTAGCTTTAATAATTTAATTGAAACTTTTGAAAAATGAATGACTTTATGTGAAAGAAAGCATTTTGTTTCAAAATGCAAAAATACTGGACACTTATTTTGATGAAGTGATTTTCTTGGATAGAAAAGGAAACTAAATTTCAGTTGCTATATTTCAGAGTGGATGTTGTTATGGACAATAAATTAACATTGCATTCATGGACAAACATAGGCTATTATTATTGCATAATGTAATGACAATTGTCAGGACAATTACTCTTAGAAAAAAAGCTGTGAATGAAGACAATAAAAATAAATTTACTTTGTGTCTTAAAATTTCAATTGCAAGAAAAATTGAAAGACGTAACATACAAGTCTGAGTGTATCTAATAAATTTCTCAGCAAGATTTTTAATGCACCTTAACCAATGCAATTACTCGTAAAGACAAAATTTTAAATAAAGATTATTAGTTAATATACTTCTTCATATCTCATTTGCCAAAAAATTAAGAAATAGAAAAATGTAGTTTACTTAAATGTTTGCTCTTTATCTAAACTCTTCCAATGGTAAAGTTTTAGTTTTAAAATAAATTATGATGATGATGACATGTACAACTTGATTGATATATTGATTTTTTTATGCATCTTAAATATCTAAATGCATGAAGTTGGTATATAAATATCGAAAAAAAGGTTTAATTTTTATGGTTGACTTGTTTAATTCACGATTATGAGCCAAAGACGTAAAATTAATTTTTATGCAAAAATAACCAAAATGTAGGATAACTACTAAATTGTTGTTATGCAAATTTCTAAATAAACTGATATGATTATATTGCTTATTTGTATTTAATTCATATACAATGTTATATATCAACAGTCATGCTTAAGATAGTACTAAAGCAATTAATTCATATCCATGAAGAATAACTCCTTTGGTATACCTTTGTTCTATTTTTGTATTTTATATTTTTGATTTTTGTAAATGTTCTTTTAAAATATTTAGGTTTAGTTTTTTTTCTATCATTAATATTTTGTAAAGTATTTCAAGTGGAAGAAATCTATTTAGTAGTTTATGCTTTTATAATAACAAAATATTAATTACATCGATTTAATTTTCAGTTCTCCATTTGAAAATTGGTTCATTCCAACTGCTAGATGTATAAGTTATCAGCACTTTATACTTCAGTTTACAAACACACTTCATCCAGTTCTTTTGATTGGCAATAGTAGATGTGGTAAGACAGCTTTAGTAGAAGATTTATTTTCAGTTCTGGATCGTGATACCTACACTCACAATATTGTCAACATCTTACCACAGGTGCATTTCTTTTTAGAGTATTTTATTTTTTTAACTATAGTTATCTGTATGCTTTGTAATCTTTTTAATTATAGTAATCTGTATGCTTAACAATAGTAATCTGTAAGCTTTGTGGGGATAAAAGATTATAACTTTTAAATGTTTGAAGTAATAAGAGGTTAGTGATTGTTTTTCTTTGTTTTCAAGGTTCCTGTTGATTTTTAAAAAAATCTTGTCACGTTTTTGACTGTTGACGCTTTCCAATCTGAGTTTTATAATATTGGATTCTGAAATATTAGAAACATTTATATTGTAGCTTATTAAAGTTTTCAAAATATTCCTGGTATTTCTTTTTGCTGTATTAATTAAATGGTTGTGCCTGGTAGCAGAAAACCTCCAACATAGCAGCAGGCACTGTAGATTATCGGAGTTTCTGCAGATTTTGTTTCCTCTTAGATTGAAAAAACAAAAATTATCACAACAACTGAAGGTTATTTTTTGTCTCATATTTCAAAAATGAGCCTAAAATATAACTGAGAGGAAGAAAAAAAGAAGAAAAAACAATTTTAACACAATAACTATTTGTTTTAGGTCTTAAATAGAATTTGATTCCCAATCTGCAGACATATGAGCAAAAGAAAAGTGATGACTTTTGCAAATTCCAAATAATGTTCTTTAACTAACTGGAATTTTGAAAAATGAAAGAAATTAAATGACATGAAAAATCAAAAAAAATAAAATAAAATTCTTTATTTCCAAAAACTGTCATTACTTGTTCATCGACGGTATTGGAGCTTATTACAGTTTGTAAAATTTAAATTATTAAATTATTCAATTCATTTATAAGTGTAGAATTTTTTAAAATTAAAATTTAAAAAATTTTAAAGTTTTTTTGTGTAATTTTTATTTACCTTATATGTGCTAATTTTGCTATGCACATGTTGGATTAGGTCTAATTTTTAGAATTATTGTATCTTTCTGACTATGTTAGTTAGGATCACTGACAAATTGACCCTAACAAACATAGTACTGTAATGTTAGGGTCACAGACAAATTTGAATTTATGATGATTGTACTGCTAATTGACTCTGTAAATTCTGCTACATTATGTGTAACGTAAATATTTGTTTAATCCTCGACTATTTCTCAATTAATGATGGTAATGTCTTTAGCAAAAATATAATTTGATATAGTTTTGCATTTTGTATGTAATTAATGCTTGCTTTTGCTTTTAGATTTCATCCAATAAGTTTCAAACAGTAATTGAAAGCCAGTTGGAAAAAAAGGCTGGTGGCATAATGTTACCCCATTTTAAGAGGAAACTAATTAACTTTTTGGATAACATTGACAACATTATCTGTGATGAATCTGGAAGTCAACCACCTTTAGAATTACTATTGATGGCTATTGATTGTGGATTTTGGTATGACCGTAAAACATGGACGAAAAATTGCTTACGAGTAAATGCTTTTCTTGTAATCCTTAATGTGGCAGTTGTGAACATTTTGTACGTAGAAGATTTTCTTTATGATTTTTTCCTTAAAAATTCCACAGGGTGCGTAGCATTTTTAAAAAGGGTTTAAAGGTACTTATTTTCGATTTCTGTTTTTTTTAAAGCCCTAAAAAGTTTCTAGATTCTTTTTTTCATTGGGTGTTTTTAAAAAGTGCTTAATTTTTTCCTTTTCCAAAATTATTTATTTTTTCTTCACCATGTCGATTTCTTTACGAATTATACAAATAGCAGGGTTTTCACTTTGCTCTACTGTCAGCCCATAACTTATGACAGCGTCAATCATTTTACATGATTGATGAAATACTTGCTGGTTCGCATATTGATAAGGTGGATTTGGTGGGAAAGATTCTTGTAATCTTCTGTGTAATTCTGCTGCATTTTGCAAGAGATTCTCAATTTCTGGCTTCATTTTCTGCCCTTGAAATTGAACCAAAAAATCTCTTCAATTTTTGCTGTTTACAAGGACCAACTAAGCATTGCCAATTTTTTGCCCTAATACTGAAAGAAAATTTTAGTTATCTTATTAATTTCATCATTGGGGAAGCACCATCCTGTTCATCACTGGCAAGCTAATGGCCTACTCGCACTTTTCTATTCATAAATCAATACCATAATCCTTGAACTTGACTTGGAGATCATTCACTAATTATGTATTTTTATGCAGGTCCCCTGATCAGTCAAGAATCACAAAGCTTCATCCCCTCAAAATTTCCATCTCTTTTTTCTTCATTTAATTAGAAAGAAAATATAGAATATTTAATAGAAATTTTTTTTTTATTAGTCTCATTATTATATTTTTTTAGAGTGCTCATTTTTTGTTGAAAAATTTGGTTTCGCACCCTGTTCCATGTCTTTTCTATCTTTTTATTTTGTTTATTTTTCATTCTCATATTCTATCTCATATTTTGATAATACTAAGATTTTGCTTTATGTTTTTTTTCCAACCTCTTTCATTATCTTGTTATATCCTTTATTATCAACTATTATATTTTAATTAAATAAGATATTTTTAACTAATTTTGTTAAGACGAGCTGCTTGAAAGTTTTCTTAATTTTTATTTTTAATTCAATTCCAATTTTTGGAAATGTATTTTATGCGGCACAAGCTATATACACGCATATGTTAATTTATAGATTTCAATGTTAAATTTAATTTTCTTAGACATGTGATTTCCTACATCCAAGTATTCAGTAATGAAATCTTAAAAGTTGACCACAGTTGATTTTCTGAGATTTACTTGCTTAAGTTAAACTTTTGTCATCAAACTAGCTGCATTTGGAAACCAGCTTTGGTCCAGCTTTCTTAAACTAACTGTTTGATAGCATCACATAGTCCCAGGTCCCAGCAGCTTTGTTCTGAATCCTTATTTTTCCTCACAAGCCTGCCCCATTGCAGCGCACATTTGATTACTATTAAATGGTAAATTAGTAAAAATATGGCATCATGCATATTCCAATTGATTACTCTTAAAAATTGGATTAGTAAAAATTTCACATTATGCATATTCTGATTGATTTCTCTTGAATAGTAGATTAGTAAAAATGCAGCATCATGAATACTCCAATTAATTATTCTTATGTAGTAAATTATTAAAAAATGTGGCATCATGCATTTTCTGATTGATTACTCTTAAATGGTAAATTAGTAAAAATGTAGCATCATTAATTTAAAATACAATTCAGAGGGGGTAAAAATTGTGCAAAACAGTCAGAGAGTTAAGTTTTATTTCTACTGAATTAAAATAGTTTTTTCACCCTTAATAAATTTCATAATTTACAATACTTTATGAAGCAAAACTTTGGTTTTTTTTCTTCACACTTACTGTGTTGCGCTTTAAATAAAATTTATTTTCAATTAAAAAATATCTAAATAGATAATTTAACTCAGCATTCAAATGTCATCTTATTCTCAACTATACAGAATTTTTTGCCTCTACACATTTACCTTTTCTCTACAATAAATGAAATTTTGGCAAAATAATTTAATGCTGATTAAAGGGCTAGGCTATAATTTAAATTAAATATTCTTGTGTAACTGTATATTACACATTAAATCTGGATTAATGCTTAATTGATTAAAAAAAACTTTTAAAAAATAAACCGAGTAAAATAACATAATTATATCCAATTTAATTAAAAATATATATATAGTAATTACACATTTCCTTGTATCAGTCTTTTTTTTTGTAACTAATCACTGTATTCAATAAAAATATTATATCCGCAGAATGTTTCATATGTGGCTTCATCTTCATCATTTGGATCAGCAAATAAAATTCCAGATCCACTACTAAACCGTTTCTGTGTCTTCAATGTTCCAGAACTAAAAGTATCTTTAATAGTTTTTATATTTTAATTTTTAAAATAATCTTTCAAAACAAATGTTGATATATTCGCTTTTTTAAATTTGTTAAATTCAAACTTTTTTGATACATCAAATATAATATGCCGAAACTTTTTTTTTAATCCAAATTTACCAAGAAACCATGTAATGTTCATCTTAACCATATTATGCTTCCATGCTCCACTTATTTTTACTACTTACAAGACTGTGTCCTTTTCATGTCTCTCATGACTTGTATTACATTAAATTGTTTTCTAGATTCTCTGAATTCTGTAATATTAAGAGCATGCGTGGCTAGGCTGTGAATTTTAAAAATGGTTTAAAAATTAATTAAAATTATTTGTCTCAATAGCTCCTGTAAAATATGAGTCAAATTAAAAAATTTGTTTTTTAAAATAAAGCTATTTTCAAATGTTCTTTCAAAAACATTAAAAGCAGTTACCCAAAAATCCAAATACTGTCTGAGTTAAAACTAAGAGAATTTTAATTAAAAAAACTGTTTTATGCCTACAAACAACAATTATTGCGAGGCAACCATCAGATTTGCTGCACGGCAGCAAAAAAGGGGCTTAGCCATCTGGTTCATCGATAAATTCTACATAATTGACTGTAAGAAATCGTCTTGTTACAGATTTAGATAAATATCGTGTGTTATTAAAGATAGCAAGCTATGACCCAAATATAAATAAGATAGCGAATAAGGTTCAGCAACAGGTGTCACACTAAATAGAATTAAATGTATGTAATATTGTATCATATGTTTATATTATATTTTTAATATTGTAGTATATGTTTTTTATTAGTTTAAATTAGTTTATTTTGAAAAGCAAAAAGTGTATGTACTGAAGCACTTTAAAAAGGACACCCTTTTTAAGCAAAAAATAAAGACAAACAATTACATATTGGGATTTGTATTGATACACCTAACTAATTTTTTCTACTGTAAAAAATTAGAAAGATCTATTATAATTACCTAAATTTTATTTTATGATAAATTATAAAGGTATTTAAAATATTGTTTATTCAATTTTTATTTGAAGCAAATTAAAAATTGTTCCACAACCATTGTAGCATGATGGACTTTCTTTTTTTTAAGAGTATTTTTAAAAAGAATTATAATGAGTGGCACATTGAACGCCTGGAAATGAAAGAACTCAATTTAACTGGCACATAAATAAAAAAATTGCTATCTTTGCTATATACAGACATGAGACTCTTTCTCAGTTCCATGATTTTCCCCTTTTTTTCATTCTAACTTTTTTTGTTATCTTTTTAAAAAGTTAGAAAAATAACTTACTGCAGAAGTTTTATCATGCACTTTTTAAAATGTATAAAACTTAACTAAGTAAGTTTATAAATCCAGCGATTGATTAAGATTGAGGTCAGACTTAAAACAATTTAAATTTTTTCTACCTTGTTTGTTAGAGAATCATTCACTAATTACTTTTTTTAAAGTTACACATATTGTCAAATAAGCTAGAGTTTCTATAGTCAGTTTTTCTTTCGAATTCTTTCATATTTGTATTGACAGTTTTATTTTTATGTAGTAGTATTATGTTATTAAAGCTTTACTTTACTGACATTCCATTATTTTAAGATAATTTAAAATTTTTTTAAGTGTTGTATTTTCTGACCTATTGTTCTATTCATAATATGATATATTTATGCTCTTCTTAAAAATTCTTGCTATAAATATTAAATAGCATTAAGGTTGATACTTTTTGACCCTATATCATTAGTCAATATATTTTTCTGCACACAAAATGACCCTTTTATTGTTAAGCAAAAGTTATCTCATGAATGTATATAATTTGTTTGACTTTATCTATAATTTTTTTAAAATCCTATGTGTGTCATTTATAATGTAACTTTAATGATTTTTCTAACATACTTAAAGCCATATATATATTTGTTAATTAGGATGAAATGAAGAATATATTCCTCACGTTGATGAAACAAAAAATTCCTAGTGTCTCTTTGGAAACTCAAAGGCTACTAAACTCTTTAAGTTCTGGCACTGTGAAAGCTTATGAATTGATAAGAGAAAATTTTCTCCCTACTCCTACAAAATTGCACTATTTATTTCATCTGAGAAGTGTCAAAAAAGTATATCATTTTAATTTTTATTTAATGAATTGGTTATCTAATATTACTATTTGGTTTTACAAGTATTTAAAAATTGAATTAATGTCAAAGGTTCCCATTAGTTTTTACATTCAAAAAGAAAAAAAGACCTATTCAAAAGAGTCAAGAAAATTAAAGATAAATACCATTTTTTTAAATTAAATTTTTTTCTCAGAATTATGTTGTCAGAGCTTCTGAAGATTGTTTTCAGCATTCATAATTGAAGTTGTTTTTATATAGTTCTGCATATTTTTACTGATGAAGGGGTGCACAACCTTTTTCAGTAAATGACCATTTCTGCAACAGGTTGACTAATGAAGGGCCGCACACATGTTTAGTCATGTTGGTGGAAAATATGATTACTTTTATGTAAGCATTACTGTTCTAAAAATTAAAATTTTAGCATTAAACTTAATAATGTATTTTCAGATAGTTAAATACTTTTATTTATTAAAACTTATTTAAAGATAAAAAACATGCTTTTTTTAAATTTCCCCCCTTTTTATTAATAATAGATTCACAAAAAGAAATAATATATATCTATTGGGAAAAAGAAACATAAATTCTAACAAGAAAAAAACTGTAATGCTTACAGAATGAATGTCTATAAAAAAAAGTACGGACTTGTTTTAATGAGAAATGATAAGCAATAATAATATTAAGTTGTGACACTTAGAAAGAACTCTGATCATCAGAGCATGAACTCCCTTTGTTATATTTTAAAGAAAACTCAAAATTTTTATTTCAACATAAAAAATTTCAGCACAATTTCAGAACCAATTTAAAAAATCCAGAATTTAAAAATTTCATTAACACCCTACATTTTTTCCAAATCATAGTTTAGTCTAGTTCTTTATTTGTATTAGATATTTTACAAATGGACAATATATCGCTTTTTTTATAGAAATTTTCAATTATCTTCATATTTCGGTTGCAAAAGATGATGGCTTTGAAAACATAGCATCATTATTTAAGTATTTTATTGATTTCAATGTAGAAAATATTTAATAAACACAGTGAAAAAGACACAGTGAAAAACAGTGAAAAAAATTTTTTTTTTTGGAATCTGATGTGATTTCAATTAGAATTTTGAAATTTTTAATCATGTCACTAAAAATTTAAATAAAGAAAATTAAATTAAGCACAAAGCTTTTGATTTTTTTAAAATAAAATTGAAAGTTTTCCTGCAAACATTTTTTTTAATAATTTACAAATTGATTTCATAGCATTTATTACACAATATATTATCGAGAAATTGTAGCATGAGCATTAATGAGTTAAACTTAATAATATTTTCTTTCTTTTATTTACTTTAAATTTCCATCACATTTGTGCCAATACATTTAAATACAATATATTTGTTTCAGATTTTTTTAACTCAAATTTTTTGTCTATTAAGGTACTGTTTAATCTACTGAACATAAATACTGAATATTTGGATAATCGAATCAGCATAACAAAGTTCTGGTTTCACGAGTTTACTCGAGAGTTCTCCGATCTTCTAATTAATGATGATGACCGCTTGCTGATGTTCCGTGTTCTTGCTGGTGTAGTGGAGAAAGAATTTTTAATTCCTGTGGCTCGTGTTTGTGCTGAAAATGAACCAGTGTTTGGTAAGTCAAAATGAAGAAAATAAGCAAAAGAAGAAATTTTTTTTGAAGAATATTTTTATAGGCGGTTTGCTTCTTATTTTATTTAAATTCTTTTTTATCAAATTCCCTGTATTTCATCAAGTATTTTTTTTATTGATATGAAACCGATTATATTTACTAAATATTAACTCCTACTCATTGGACAAATTTTGAATAATTATTTTTGATAAACTTAATAGTTTGGTAGTTTATTATGTTCTATTTTGGGAAAAGTTCATGTCGAATACACTATATATAAACAGACAATGATTCTTAAACTAAGAGGCTGATTGAAGTAATATACATGTATTTTAATTAATCATTCATAGCTTAATTTTTCCTCTAGAATCATATATTTGTGTTATAAAAGACTATGAAAAAATAAGGTGTCTAAGACAAAAACTTTATTTTGAAATTTAACAATTATTAGTGGTTGGATGCTTGTTTATGAAAAGTATGTTTTGCTAGTGAAAAATTTATTTTATTAAGTACCGCCTAATTTTGGCTTTACTACTGGAGATTCTATTATTTAGTTTTTATTCTTATATCATAAAACACATTAAAATTTAAAATGTCCTAAGTTTGACTTCAGTCTCAGTTGTAAAAATGTATTGATGATTAATTTTTAAAAACTCAAATGATTCCTTAATTTTAAATACATGAAGCTCTTTAATTATTTAAAAATGATGAGGTAATCGTGAACTTGCTTTATCGTAGCTGCTTGTTAAATTAATTAAATAATGTGATTTGTATTCTCTTACATCAGGGGTGTCAAACCCGCAGGCCGCATGCGGCCCGAGATGAACATTTTTGCGGCCCAGTCAATATATCCGACGCAAAGTAAAAATAAAATAGAAATGTGAATTAGAAAGGAAACTAGCATATGAAATTAAAATATACTTTATTTATAAACTATACGGATCATTTTAAATTGTATGCGCGAAAATGTAAAATTCAAATTGGTTTGCGGCACCTGCCATTCCAGGGATACTGCATCGTATCAAAAATACACAGAAACAATTTCAAATATTGAAGCAGAAATTGAAACAAGGTTTAAAAATTTTAATTCTTTGGAAGAAAAATTTTTTTTGTTTTCTTCAATTTTCTCAATAAATATAGACTCAGTACCCAGTAATATGCAAATGGATGTGATAGAGATTCAGTGCTACTCAAATTTGAAGGCAAAATTCATTGAAGTGGATGTGCCTGAATTTTACAAATATTTTCCAGCATGGTTTGAAAATACTCGAAAATTCGCATATGAAATTATTTCCATGTTTAGAAGTACTTATCAGTGCAAGCAATTATTTTCTGTTATGAATGGAAATAAATCTCTTGTCCGAAACCGTATTAATAACGCTCACGTTGGGTCAATTTTGAAAGTAGGCTCGGCCAATAAAATTTCTCCCAAAATAGGAAAGATAGTAGCAGAGAAGAGATGTCAAGTATCAAACAATAATTTAATTTTATGTATGTTTATTACAATGTGCTATTCAAAATAAAAATATTTATTTCTATGAACATTGAATTTTTTTTTGTTTTTTTGCGGCCCACCTAAAGTTAAGCATTGTTTATTTGGACCAAGTTATCTTTTGAGTTTGACACCCCTGTCTTACATCATTATTATAATCAAAACTCCAATCTTACTAATATTTTCTAAAGCTCATCAGCTATCTTTAAATACCTAGTTTTAACTGTTAGAATTATTGTAATTCGTTTAATTTTTATCTATCTTTGAACTTAGCTTTACTGTTACTACCTATGACTATATCAGTTTAATTAAAATTTCTTATTTTCTTACATTTTAAAATGCATAGTTATTTTAACCTATAAAACTTAACTTTGTTTTTAAATTAATTTTTCATTGTTTGTAATGTACTTTGTATCATTAAGTTTTGAGAAAATTGGGGAAATTAAAAAAATATTTTACTTGTTAATAAAATTAAAACATTTTGTAATTGGTTTATTAGAAGATTGATGTGCTATATTTAAATTTTAAATAAATTATCTTTATCATTTTTCAGTTTATTTTCATATTACTCAGAATGTACATAATACCAAATAAATAACTATGTAATAATTGAAGTAATATATAAAATCGGCTAATTTTGTTGAACAATTTAAAATTTAACAAAAATTAAATTTTTAAGAAACAGCTATCTAAGCATTATGTGGCAAATTTAAGTACAAAAAGTTACTTAATATAAAAGAATAACTTTATTTTGTTTGAAAAAGTACTGTGGTGGGAGTAGTGAAACTTACCTTCTATTACTATTAAAGCTGAAATTATTACCCCTAACTCTTTAGCCATCTAAGGGTTTTAGTCTCTATTTGTTATAAAAAGAAAGAGTTAACTGTATTTATAAATGTAAAAACTTAATATATGTCCCTGTTTATTGTTACAATATATTTGTTTTAAACAGAAGAAGAAGAAAAAAGCTTTGAAATAAAAGCCTGTCAAAATCTATTTAAGTTAGTTTTCTGATGTATAAATAGAATTTTAGTGACTTTCTTTTTTTGTTTATTGCACAAAGTTGTTATTATAAACATATTTTATGAAACATTGTATTGTACTAAATTTTATTCTGCAATGTTTTTCTCCTGTTAAAAAATAATTAATTCTTAAATTTTATAACAATTATTTATTTTGTTGTAGCATTTTAAAAAACATAAAACTTTTTTGTTTAAATGAGTTTACTTTTATCAATGAAACATATTTCTAAACAAAATTGATCTTTATTTCTATCACTAGTTGAATCTTCTGAAGAAGTTAAAATATATCAATAATTTGTAGATACAAAATGTATGATTATTTCAAATATCTCAATTCAATTTCGAGATTATTTATGTTATGTTAATTATAAATATTATAAAAAAATTGTTTTATAGTTAAAATTGATTTTCAGTGAAATTTCTAACTCCTGATACTGGTTATAATGAAATTCAAGATATTAGTATTTTACAAAAACTGCTAGAAACTTACATTGAATCATACAAGCATAAAAAATTAAAGGATTTACAGATTGTTCTTTTCAAACAATACTTAGATCATTGTAAGTATTGATTCTTTTATTTGGAAACTTAAATATTGTTTTTTCCATAAAATAAAAATTAAATTTATTTATTTTTTCTTTTGCAATATTATAGTTGTTCGTATTTTAAGAGCTATTGAAAACCCTCATGGAAATGTGATTCTTTTGGGAGCTAGTGGCACTGGTCGAAGAACATTGTGCAAAATAGGAGCATTTGTTTTAAATTACGAAGTGTTTGAAATAACATTTGATGAAGACTTTGATGAGCAAAGTTTCAAAGAAGGTATGATATTGTAATCTTTTTTGTTATTTTGTGCTTTCTTGATATATTTGTTACTAGCTAAGTTTGTTAATTTTCCATGAAATACTTGGGCATCTATTAGTGTACTGAAAACTGGTCGGCAAAGTATGTATTCCATCAAATAAAATCATCAAACTCGCAGACGATAAATTATTATTTATCATATTTTAATTAGAGTGATATGTTTATGATTAACTTTTCCATGTCTCTACATTAGAGAACAGTAATGTTTTTTTAAACTTGTTGGTATATATTTTATGTTGATTTATTTAATATAAAGGCATAAAAGTTGACTTCAATGGTAGCATTTTATTATTTTTACAATATAACGTTTATACTGTTGTGTCACAACAACCAGAAATAAGACGTGAGTTGTACCAAACAATTTATTTAAACATTCACACGAAAAATCACAAAATATTACCCAAAAGAAATATCTCTTCTCAGAAAAAAACTCTCTTTCTCAACAACACAAAAAAGAACATCACTTCTCGTGTGTGTCTCTCAAGCAACATCATTTTAGCATTACCTCTCGAGGAATTGATGCTTTTAGCTCAGTTGTCACACACTGTTACGTTACAGTATAACTCCTCCCTTCCACAGAGTTTTCTTTGCAAAAGTAGGAAATGGCAAAAAAACATACATAAAATTTTGTCAAAACTGATCTATATAGGTTGACATAAAACTGTTTTGTTTATCGGTATATAGGAAAATAAAACAGTAAAGGAAAATAAACAGGAAAATAAACAGTAAAATTGTAGTCACGAATCTTTTCAGTGAGTAAGTCATCGTTTTTCGCCGTTTGATCAGAAGTAACGATGTGTTCATTGGAATCGACTATACCGAGCTGTACATTATCTTTATTTTCCACTTCCCTCCTTTCATTCATATTTTCTTGTTTTCGAGTCATTACAGCACTTATCATTGGGACTTCAAACGAATTTTCCAATAGAGCAGCCGTTTTGTTACCCAATAAATAATACCCTTTATCAAGAGAATCACCTAATACAGCTGCCTTAGTAACCACTTTTCCTAACTTACAGTTTAATTCAACTTCGGCTAATGGAAAACAAAATGATTCTTCCTGTATTGGAGTTTTTATCCAAACAGATTCACCCGTGTACATTTCAGGTTTTACAAATCTCCTAGGAATTAAATCCAAGGTTGCGCCAGTGTCTCGTAGTATTGAAATGCCAACGCCATTTACCACGCCAATGCTCGTATATGGTGTCATTATACTATCAGGAAACCTTGATTCCGAAACGTGAAGCGAAGCCACAGTTTCAGAATTTGTTTTCGCCTTGGGACATTGAGGGCGTAGATGATCATAAGAACCACATTCATAGCATCTAAGCTGTCTTCTTCTTTCAAATTCTCTTTCGCGAACATTTTCTTTAACATTATTTTTCTGCCAAGTCAACTTTTCTTCAGTTCTGGTATCACTTTGGTTCGGAAATCGCCAAGAATCATCTTGGTTACTTCGATTATAAGACACAGACTTTTCCTTGAAACTGTTTTTTAAACTTTCATAGTCGTCCAATTTTCCGGCTAATTTGGAATAAGAATTCAATTCCATCCAATCTTCAAGAAAATGATCTCTCATGTCATTTGGTACATGACGTTTCATTTGCTCGGTAACCATCAAACTCTTAAGATCATCGAAAGTGGTAATTTTTGCTTCAGAAACCCATTCGCTAAAATAGCAATTTAATTCTTGTGCAAAATTTCGCCAAGATTTTTCAGGTGATTTAAAATGTCGATAAAAATTTTGTTTGAGTTCCTCTGCATTAAGCTTATATTGTTTAAGAATCAATTCTTTTACAAAGTCGTAGTTATTGGCATCATTAGGAGACTCTCTCGCCAACATATTTGAAATGTCGGGTGGTACTACGCTCAATAGGTAAGGCACCCATTCATCTTTAGGAATTTGTGCAATTTCTGCTCGACGTTCAAAATTTATCAGATACAACGACATTTCATCTTTACCTTCATTAAATTTTGGTGTTATTTGTAAAATCTGTATTTTATGATTTGTTTCACCTGATACCGGTCTGTTTTGGTGCTGAATTTGAGAATTTGCTTCTAATTCGAGTTTACGCAATTCCAATTGATGTTGCCGTTCAAGTTCTTCTCGCCGTTCTTGTCTTTCAAGTTCTTCTCGCCGTTCTTGTCTTTCTCTTTCAAGTTCTTCTCGCCGTTCTTGTCTTTCAAGTTCTTCTCGCCGTTCTTGTTTTTCAAGTTCTTCTCGCCTAATTCTCTCCTCCGTTATACGAGTCAAACACATCTTTACATCCTCAACCTCATAATGTTTACTAGTTTGAATTATTTTTTTAATTTCACAAACATTTGCTTGAGGTGGAACAGATTCACCTAATTCGGCGGCCAATTCTATAAAATCCACTTTTTTCGCTTTATTAAGAAAAGCCATAATTTACAACTGATAAAAAACTACATATACAATCACTGACTACCTTAAATCAACTACTCTTACTATATCCCGCCGCTGCCACCAATAAAATTCTGTTGTGTCACAACAATCAGAAATAAGACGTGAGTTGTACTAAACAATTTATTTAAACATTCACACGAAAAATCACAAAATATTACCCAAAAGAAATATCTCTTCTCAGAAAAAAACTCTCTTTCTCAACAACAGAAAAAAGAACATCACTTCTCGTGTGTGCAACATCATTTTAGCATTACCTCTCGAGGAATTGCTGCTTTTAGCTCAGTTGTCACACACTGTTATGTTACAATACTTTTTAGGAATTTTTTAAATGAAAAGCCTTATTATAGAATTTTCGTCCCACCCAGAAAACCCTAATAAAACTTCAGATGATTTTTTTTTGGAGGGGGGGAGTAGGGGTTATTAAACTTTCTTTAAAGAAATTGTTATATATCAATTGACTTTAAATATATATATATATATATATATACCTACAAAACTTTATGTTTAACTTCAATACTGAGAAATGGAAAAGTAACTCAATTAAGACTGTTTACTTAAAATTTTATGTTAATTTCAGATATATTGATTAAGGCATTTTCTAAATAAAATTAGTTTCATACCAGGTACTTCTAAGTACTTCAAATTATTAGACAATAAATTAGTCAAATATCGAAATTATTAGCCAAATTTCAAAATTCTTAGTCAATGGCAAAACTTAACAATTTTTTATGACTAATTTTTAAAATATAAAACTTCAAATCAAAATACAAATTTACTAGAAATTGAATTATTCTGTAAAATTCAAATTCAAACCAAGAGTTATTTTGCAGTTGGGGAGGAGTAAGGGAGCAATGAATAGAAGAGAAAATGAAAAATGTAAATGTTGTTTTATTGTCTTTGAGAGAAAGAAATAGGAAAAGATTGGGTTAACTTTTGATAACTTTTTAGACTGGAGCAATAATACAAGGATAGACAACATTATGTTATTGCCACAAGACAACATCTCTGTGAAAATATTTTGATGATAATATGTATCTTGCTACTACATAATCTGTTTTATTGACCAAAACTATGTTGGGGATTATTATCACGTAATAATCTGTAACAATTTAACAACGAACATGGTAATCTGTGTTTTATGGTAGTCTGTCTCACACTTACATAATCTCTCTCATTATTTACATTATCTGAACTTAATTCTAATTGGTTATGCAATGTATCTAACAGAAATTACTGTAATCGAATAAAAAATGCAGGATTTGTTCAGAAAAATTCCCTTTGACCTTTTTTTAAGGATCAAAGGGAATATATATTTTATTTTCCGTAAAATAAATCATTCGTCAATACTTTCTCCAAATCACAATTTTTTTCGTCAGTTTTACGATTTTATTGTAAATTCTTCATTTTAACAAGAAAATTAAACTAACGGTTAAAGAACTTTAAAAATTGTTTTATGACTTTCACAAACATTAGAAAACAACTAATAAGAACAGCTAACTGACTATGATTCCAATAATATGCTGTTATCTCCGCCTGTGGAAGGAAATAAATTGGAAACCTTGTGTTAATACCCACAGGAAAAGATGGTAGCTACTACATTGAAGTTATTAATTTTTTATTTTATTAAATAACTATTTTGCTGTGAAAGTTTTGAGCTAAAATTGTTCTCTTTTGAAGTAAAAAATTAAAATTTAACCAAAAATAACTGTAATATCTTAAAGAAGCCCAATAAAAACGAAAGAATGATTTTTCTTTTTTTTAAAAAAAAAGCCCATTTTTTTAAAAAAAACTCTACATTATCATGATCCAGACAAAAATTTACTGAATATATTCTGTCACCCTTTATTTCCCCTTTGATTACCATGGGGAAACTGGTTTTATAATGCAAGAAATCCTGCTGCTGAAAGTTTAAAAGCCAGATTTAATGATAAGAAGATTAAAGAAAATATTTTATTAAAAAAAAAATATGTCTATGAAACTGTTATTTTAATTTCGTTTTTTTCTGCTGTTCTATTTTTAATAAAATGGGTAAATATTCTGATTTTTATTCTTATATAATTGAAGTAGGTAAAATCAATAGTAATTTTTATTTTTATTTTCGTAAGAAATTTTTCTGACATTTTGTTTTCTATGTTTAAATGAATTTAATAAAAATTTCACAATGACTTTATTTGGTGTATTTTTAGACTATGAATGGTATTTCTATTAATGTAGAAATTTACTTTTTCTAAACATTATATGAATTTAAATTGTTTTGAAATTGAAATGAGAACTTCAATGATTCATTGCCTATGAATTGAAAAACATTTTTCTCCCTCTATAACCTTTTTTAAATTTTTTAAATTTTTGTGTACAATACTAATTTATCAAAGCGTATTTTTTTATATGTTGGATAAGTGCTACTTGACCTGCATAATTGCTATCTGGTTCTTTATTTATCAACTTATAACATTATGTATGCTATTATTTTGTTTTATGCTTTATATTATGCTCTTATTTCTTTTTTTCTTATTTTCTCATAATTTTATTTTAATTTTTTAAAACATTTTTAATTCTAGTTCATAGTATATATATTTCGTAGTCATAGTTCATAGTAATATAAAAAAATAACTTTAGTATATCTAGAGTCTTTAATTATATTTAATCTTTATTTGAATTTATTACATTCAATATTCACCTATTCTGATAAGTTTTTAATGTATTATTAGTAATATTTTTATTCTTTTGCTGTTGAATTATTTAAGCATGTGTGTGAATAAGTTTCCTCACTGGGCAATGTTCCGTCATTGAAAGTAATGGCTTGTTATTTTGGGTAAAAGTTGAGACCTACACGGCTCATTCAGAATTAAATATCGAAAAAAAACTAAAAATAACTGCAAATCAGTATTGAAACCAATTGTATAGATTTGTTTTATGAAAGTTAGATGTAAATTAAAATTTGCAAGTCTCGATTTGCAATGATATGTGTAAATAATAACTAATTCTGATTTTGTCACTAGTGTCTTTAAATTTGTTTTGTTATCAAACTATAAGCTTATAATTTTTATTTTATTTTAATATAACTTGATAATTAAAATCTGCATAACTGTTTAAAAATGTCCAATAATATTCAGTAGCTTTCATAGATATGAAATATTTATTAGATATATTAATTTCTAGATATATTAATTTTATCTAGTGTTTTTCTTTTAAATAGCTCTTCAGAAACTTTTGCGTCAAATTGGTATTAATGGAAAGGATGTTTTATTCATAATCTCAGATTATCAGATCAGTGATGATTTTTATCTAGAGTTTTTGAGTGATATAGTTGCAATTGGTGTTCCACCAGATTTATTTTCATCTTTAGAATTGAAAGAGGTAAATAAAAGCCTATTAAATAGTTATTTTGCATTAAATTTTATTTATTTACTTTTTTTCCTTACTTATTTAGATATATAGTGAAATGGAAAAAAGTATGATAGTCCCTAAGGGAGGAAATGACTTTTTTAAACACTTTGCAAGTAATATAAAGTCTCACTTTCATTTAGCTTTTTGTGTAAGCTATACATCTTCACATTATAAGTGAGTTTTTATACATATTTAATAAATATTAAATCTTAAAACTAATTTATTTAATTTAAATTGAATAAAAGAGTAATTGCTTATGATTTTATACTTTAAATTATAGCTCTATGGTAAATATAAAAAAAATCTATTCTAAGTTTTGGTTATAAATAATTTTATTTTAATCATTACTTAAAATTAAAATATGTTTTAATGCAGTTAATATTTGATTATTCTTATCATTTATTTATACATTTTAAACAACTGTTCATAGTAAACTTTATGCGTGGAGAGAATGAGTTCTGTCTTAAATTACGCCTCTTTAAAACAAATTTTAGTTTCCTTAAAGTGACTGAATAAAAAGAAAATGCATAAAAAGTGTCTAAAAATATATTGTTTTTGTATTATTTCTCCAATTATATGATGTAAATAATTATTAAATATCAAAAGTCTAAAGTGTATTTTAGGTTTAAGTTGCTTTACAGAAGTAATTTTTCTTTCATAGTTTTAATTTTTTGTAAAGTTTTTAATGAAAGAAAAGTTGTTTATTTTAAGTACTTTTCAAAAAATCTAACATTTTATTTAAAGTTAGGTTTTAAAATCTTAATTTTTTAGAAGATCTATTTTAAAGTACCCTGATTTGTATAAGCATTCTACCGTTGATTGGTTTGAGGAATGGCCAGTTGAGGCTTTAGAAACTATTTCCGAAAAATTTCTTCTTGACCTTCAAGAACCACCAATTGATCAAAAGGTAAATAATTATTTTTCTTTAAATGAAGAGAAAAGAAAAAGAACTGAACCGTTTACTATAATCATGAAATACTAATCTTTTAAGGATAGCTTTGATTTGTTCCTTGCAAGATCATTTCATTTCTACAAAATTTTTTCAAGTAAATCCTTTACTATTCAAAGCTGATCTTACTAATTAAGTTGTTTTTAAAATAAACGTGTTAACCAGTTTATTTTAAAAGTTTGTTTTGATCAGGTCTGATATCTTTATTGCATACATTTTCATATGACGAAATGAATCTTCATCAGTCTAAAAACTTTGTTTTACCAACAGAATCCTTGGATTTTTCTCTTGAAATTCTGTTTCAGTCTTTTTTTTATCAAAGTAATTTGTATGGATATTGCTTCTTGAAAATCACAAATAAAAGAAATCTGTAAAATTGTTTATTTAACTATTTTTGAAATACTAGTTGCAGGTGCAATAATACAATAAACAGACAAAATAATTTATTGCGGACCATTTAAATGTCTGATCTATTGTTACACTTACATTTCAGGAGGTTGTAAAATTGTAATTAATACTTTCCTAGAACAATGTTGTGCGTAAATCGTTCTTTCTTTTATTTTGTGATTTATATTGTTATCAAAACTAGGATTCTCTTTTAAAATTGATTTAAATTAAGTATAATTATAATTCTATGCAAAAACATATGCATCTATTTTATTAAAAGTAATTTTTTATTCACTAACTTGCTAACTTCTAAAATAAACCAAAAAAATTTTTTTTAATTTTTTTCATCTAAGTAACACTCAGAAATGATCATCTAATGACATGATTTGTTTATATTCGTGTATTGATATAGCATTTACAATAATGTTTCTTGCTTTTTTTAAGAGTTAAAATATTTAAATAGATAGTAAGTGTACAATTAAGTAAGTACTACAGTAAAGTGTTCAATTTTTATTATGATTACTATTTTCCAGAAAGGGGTAAAAAAAACTCATTAATTTATGATTATAAATATAAATTTTTCATTTAAATATTTTTTTTATAAATTGAGCCTAATTTGGGGGAGATATTTAAAAGCTGATATTTAAATTTTAATAAACTATACAAGTATAATTTGAACTTATTTTAATGTAAATCCATATAATTACTTAAATAATAGGTAGCTGACTTGTTGCAAAATAGCAAATTTCTCTATTTTCATGTTTTTTCTCAGTGAAATGTGATTAGTTAACTATATAAATTGTATACAAAGATGTATATTAACTAGCATTATAGTACCAAAGTACATTTGTTTAGGAAAATAATGTTTTTTGTTCCCATTAAAAATCTTTTTTAAAATATAGTAAATACTTTAATTATTGTGTTGTTTGTTTAATGAGTAAAAACCAATAATTTTTTAAAAAAAAACCCCTCATGATTAAAGTCCTGCTTCAAATCATCGTATCACTCATCGTTGGCTGTTTATCAGTGGCAACTTAAAATAGTGTGTTGGCAATAATCTATACAAATGCTATTTTTTCTTCTAATTTGTTAGTTTAAAGTATTATGTTATTATACTTTTAATTTTCCCCATCAGGTTTTGCAAACATATTCTGTAATACTGTGTGATATGCATCTTGACACCTTAAGATTAGCTGAAACTGAGAAATCTGAAAATAATGTATTTGAAACGTCAAGCAGTTTTGTCAAACTTGTGAATGCCTTCAAAAGGTTAGGCAGCATTATTTGTTGTGGTGAATTAAATAGTAAACCGAAAACGAGAATTTTTATTAACAATTAAATATATTTAATCATATTAAATTATGTCATCGTACTTAAACTTATTTTTATTTTCAATGTTATTTTTCTGAACTTTTTTAATGCTTTATTATCTTTAAGACAATTTAATTTTTGAGAATTTATTCAGTTTATTGTAATTTAGTTACAGTTCTTATGATTTATTCCTTCTGCTGATTTTACAAAACTTTTATATATTCTATTATTATATTTTTATTAATATGCTTTAACTTATAATGAATAATAACACCTTGAATTTATTGAATTAAATAGAACATATATATATATACTCCACAATAAAAATAAAAATTTGAATCAAAGTTAGAATAGAAAAAAGATTGGTATGTTTTGATTACCTAAAACAATGACAATCCTCATGAATAACATAAGTGAACAATATGAGGAACATGAAAGCAGTCATGTGTTGTTGCTAATGAAAAGAAATTATTGTTTCTGGAGAAAATGTTGTTTTCGAAATTACAAAATTGTTGACGTTTCTTACATTTTTTACTAAGAAAAAAGAAAAGAAGCATCGCATTTTCCAGTTTAATTTTTGTCACAATCTTCTTTAGGTTATTCATTTCAAATAAATGCGTATTTGATGTACAGTAAAAAAAAACGTTAACTTTGTTGAGTGAATCAGGACTTAAAATATATAAGAATTGAAGAACTATGCCTTTAGAAATGTAAACCTGAATTCTTAGTTTTTGGTTTTAAAAGTAATAGTTGAAAAAAAAGGTGTGAAATCATTTTTGTAAGATAATTGTATTGCAATTTTGTCTCTAGTTTTTAATTTATCTATCAATAGAACTTTTTTTTAACTTAGAGAAAATCTTAGATTAACAATTTTTCTATACTTATTCATACCTATTCAGAGGATTGTTACTTACATTTCTTAAGTTTTAGCGTAATCTTTCAGAATAGACTTATACATATATAAAAAGTGTTTTTATAAAGCTAATCATACCTACAAGAGAAGAGGTGATGAAGCTATTTTTTTATAATTGTACCAAACATTGTTATTTACTTTGATATCGAAACAATTTTTATTCATTAAATCCCAAAATTGCTTTTTAGATTACTTGTGAATAAACAAGAAAAAGTTCAGTACTCTTTGAATAGACTGATATCTGGGCTTCAAAAAATTAATGAGACTCAAGATAAAGTGAATGAAATAGCTAAACAAACAAAAGAGGCTCATGAAAAGCTAGTTATAGCTACTAGGGAATGTGATGCAGCCCTTATTGATATTAAAGCCAAACGAGAAATTGTAGAACAAAAACAAAAGGTATATAATTTATATTGAGCTAAGTTTCATCTTCCTTTTGTATGTTTTAATCACACTAATCCAGTTTTTCTCTACATAATTGAATGAAAAACAAATACATAGAATGAAAAACTTCTCACTACTTGACCAGTTGCTTATCCTCCGCATGTTTGAGTTTTGTACAGAATTGTTTTGTACAGACATAAACTGAGATTTTCCCTATTATATTTTTAAGTAATAAACCATTGGTTCCAGAATCTCAGTGAAACTCCAAAAATACTTTAATAAAAACTTAGAATGATTTTACGCACATGAAATGTTCGTAACAATTTACAAATCCCGACATTGATGAGATGCCTACAATCAAAGCGTTACAGCAAAATATATTTTGTCTTCCTAAAAAAGTATTTTAAAAATATTTTGCCTGTTTGCAGATAACAATTACTTTTAATTAATAATAATTAAGTAGATATTCATCAGTTTTTATTTGAAATTCTTTATACCATAGTTTAAAAAGTTTCTGATTAATAACTATTCAGGATGCAAAAAAGTTGGCAAAATAAAATACATTTAATAAAACTTGAATAAAAAAATGTATGTTGGATTAATTTAAATGGAACCTCATGCAGGAGACGAATTATCTCTAATGTTCAGCAAAAAGACTTTTGATAACTGCAAATGTTCTCTGGGTATTGCCAAAACTAAGCAAACTGCTTTCCCTTGGTAAATTGTTATCATTATTTTTAACGACAAACAGTTTTGTTTTGCTTGCTCAGTTTTCAAAGAAGAAATATTAATTAGTTAAATGTCAAATTATGTATACGTACCAACATATTTAACAAAAATTGTTAGTAGGTACTACTACTTAAAATTTTCTAATTCATGCTATAAATTTTCTCGGGGGGAGCTAATGTAAATAATTCTTTTTTGAACATAAATTGTTCTGCAATGTACGAGGCATAAATGCAAGGCAAAGTGGTACAAATACAGCTGAACTTAACATATTTTTAATCTAAAAAATTCACACCTTTTCAGAATGTCATTTTGTTTTTGGTTTAATGTGACAAAAAGGTAGAAATAAAATAAAGTTGAACCTAAAGCAGAATGTATATCAAGATTAATATTAACAATAAGTAATAGAAACGGAAATTCTAATTTTGATATGACTGTATCATCCTTTTCAGGTAAAATTGTGAGGCTCTTACTGTAAAAAAAACTTATTAAGCAAGCAATTATTTTTTTTTTTTTACAAGAAAGCAAAAAATTTATTTACTGTAGCAATAAAAATATGCATTATTGTTGATATGTGTAGTGGAGTGTTAGTAATAACTGCTTAAATATTTACTACTATGTACTACTTTACTACTCATTATTTACTACTTTATTGCTCACGTTCTAACTTACATGAGATATATTTTTATCAAATAAATTATTTGGTCATATCTTTATTATTTGTAATTTGCTTAGTAAAAGTAATTTTTTTTAAATGTTGAATTGTGAAAAAAAAATTTTTTTTATCAAATTATTTAACTTTATATTTGAATTTTAGATTATAGAAGAGAAAAAGATTGAGATCGAAAGGAAAGAAAAAGTGTGCAAAAAAATTGAACTTGCTGCTCAAGAAGATCTAAATGCTGCTCTGCCAGCTTTAGAAGAAGCCAGAAAGGTACATAGTTTTTTGATTAATATTTATTTTTCTATTACTTAAATCATTAAGTTAAACTTCGTTCTTAAACAATGTCTAGTAACTTGTACTAATAAAACCAATATTATGTGATTCAGATAAATTGAATTCCTGTTATGGCATTGTTCATTGTTTAAATTTTTTCCATTATCAAACACATTCAATTCTTTTTTCACCTATTCCAATAATAGTAGAAGGAAATTCACTGTCAGCAGAATATTATCGGGATGTTATCGGGCGTATCCGCTTGGGTCCTTGTCCCGCTTGATGAGTGCCTGAAACTCTCTGTTTGGGAGTGGAAGGTAGCAGAAAGCAGAGTGTTCTGTGAAGAACAATTGTGATTCCCCACGATCCTTCATCCAATAGTGTTGACAAAGGATCGGGAAAGGGAAGAGTTAGCCAGTCGAGCAACACTCAACGCAGTCAATTGTGCCAACACATGCGAGGTCGTGCTGAAGATCCCCCGACATCAGTAAGGTGGGCGATCCCGTTGTCATTAAAAGACGGGGCTGATAACGTCCAGGCTTGCGCTTGGGGCTGTGGGTTAACCGGAGATGTTACCGACACCAACCACTAATGAGTTAGGGGTCTTCATGACCTAGGTACCAGGCAGGTGTTGGGAGGAATGTCAGCAGAATAGGCACTCCGGTGGTGCAGTTGATTAAAGCGTCGCTTGTACCACTAGATGGAGAGCTGGAAATATAGGGAGTTTGATCATGACAGCCAACAAAGCAACCTGCATGTATATACAGCAAGATGCACTTTAAATATATTGTGGCTGAAAGTTCTCTCATTGGGTGTGGTGCGGAAGTTTTGAAAAAGGGATACCAGCGCTGGCACTGTCTAAGTAGTCTGACCTGGGTCAAAATTACATAGCATTTCTACCATGGCCATTAAAAGATGGAGTCCAAAAAATGGGGATAGCTGCTTGGCCTTGATATGGTGATAATGATGTCAGCAGGGATACCCCATTCATATTGCTGTTGCCAAATGAAATCGCTATTAGTAATGGATTTCCTTCTAATATTATTGACTCCATTTATAAAAAAATTAATCATGCAATCTAACAGGCTCTCTAATTTCAATTTTAACAATTTGATTGTTTTATCTTATTATCTGAAAATCAGTCTGCTATTGTTAAGATTTTAAATAAATTTGAATTTTAAGTAAAAAAAAATTTCTTATAACTAAACTAAATTTTACCAACCTTGTAAGGGTAGTCTTGCTTAAATTAGACGAAGAAAACTTAACTTAGAGAATTAAAGTAATGTTCAAAATCAGGACATTAAACAGTCTCCTATCACCCACCCTACATAGTTATAATTCTAATTATAATTTTTTCTTCTGCTAAAATTATCATGCTCTTTGTCTACAGAGCTTGATTTCTGGGAATCATTAAATATTTTGAAAAATTCTAGGAATTTAATGAATGATTTTTCTTGTACCTTTCTTCAATGTTTGGAAATCTATTACAATTTAATCTTTTGCACTCTAGAGTTTCCACCAAAACCCTCAAACACCTGTTTTTTTATCATCTTTTCTTTTATTATCTAATTCAAACTTGTTCTTTTTTCCCAATTAGTTAAGCCTCTTTGCATGTTTTTATCTTTTTACTATTCTACTGTCATTTAGTGTTTAGACACCCAGGAAGGTTTTTGTTTAGAGTACGGAAACCGTAGTTTGTCAATTTCTGTATTTTATTTTTCTTTTATTCTTGTTGACTTTTGCTTTAATCTACCTAGCATGAAGGGATACCTTAGTCTAAAAATTTATACTAACAGTCCAGTTAAATACATATTACCTAATTGTATGTTTCCAATAATTTTAATCAGTTATTAACCACTTTTAAAGAAAATATATCGAGATTTTATGTTAAGATTTTACATTAAATAATGTTAGAAAACTCATAACTTGCAACCCTTTTAACATATTATAGCAACTAAAAATTTTATAAATTAACTTTAAAAATATTATAAATTAAGCACATAAATATTTAGTCAGTTTATACAAAGAAAAGTGTTTTACTTCTAAATTGACATTGTTTCAATCTCTTCAGGATGAAATTTGATTTGGGATATTAAATAAATTAAAAAATATGTCATAATGAAATAACTGTCTTCGCAAATTGTTACTTATAGGATAATAAAATGTATAATCTACTGATGTTTTAAGCTATAAATGTAATTTAAAAAATTTAACACCCCATTTTTTTTTTTGAAATAATAGTTTGGATAAATCTAATAATAAAATTGAGGTTCAAAATAATTATTTAAGTGGGTTCTTTTTCTAAATAAATATTTCCATAAATTGAGTTATTGATTACTTTTATGATAAGAGTTTTATTTGTTTTTTGATATATTAAATTAATTTACTTTATTTATTTTTTAGGCATTAGAAGCATTGAATAAACGAGATATTGGAGAAATTAAAAGCTATGCAAAACCTCCAGAACTTGTAGCATTAGTTTTGCAAGCAGTAATGATTTTGCGAGATTCTGAGCCTTCTTGGGCAGAAGCTAAACGGCAATTAGGTGCATTAAAGTATTTGTTGTGCTTGTAATTGACACTACTTATGCTATTTCAAAATATTTTATAAATGAAATGTTTGCTTATTTCACTGTATTTTTTGGGCATTAAATATCAACCACATCCTATATTGTTAATGATTTCATTGAACACTCAAGTGGCTATGTGGTTTTGTCTAACTATTTCTTACTCATTAAACGTAATAATATAAAGTTGTAAAAATGGGTTGCAACCTGTATTTAAAATGTTGTTGAAGATATTATAGTATTCAAAATTATGTTTTCATGCTCCATAATATCTTTTTGCTTTCTATCTACAGCATGGTTTCAACTTTTGAAGTATTGTTTACTTATGTAATATTGGAGAAATAATCTTTTTAGTATCTAAATTTTTTTTTCTTATTGTGGTGTTTTTAGGTAGCCCTAATTTTTTGAAACAGTTAATGGAATTTGACAGGGATAATATACCAGATGATGCTTTAGATGATTTGGAAAAAATTATCAAAAAGAAAGAATTTAAACCTGAAAAAGTAGGAAAAGTATCATTTGCTGCAAAATCTTTATGTCTTTGGGTAAAGGCTATGTATATGTATGGCAGAATATATAAGTGAGCATTAATTTTGTTATCTTATGTGTCCAATAAAAAATTATAAATAAAAGATTCTAATTACCGATTTTATAAAAAAAATTTCAGGAAAGTAAAACCCAAAGTTGAAAGACTAAGACTTGTACAAGAAGAACTGTCTAAACTACAAAAAACACTGTCTGATTTGTTTGCTGAGCTTAATGCAGTAAGCTTTTTTATGTGCTATTTCTTATAAATGCTTTTACAGTTATTTTTGAAGAAAGGTTATTAAGATATGTGGTTATTTTTAAAATGCTGTTTCAAATTTACATATCTCATTATATTTTGCTACAGTTTCCATAAGATGCCTTCTCAGAAATTAAAAACAATTATTGCTTGGATAGCAAAACCTAAATTATTTTCCTGTGATGAGAATATGAAATGTTTGCATAGAAAATTTTAATAATGCCTTCTTCAGCTAGATGTATTGTAGTAGGACTTTCATTACTATAAAAAGTTTTTCATAGTATTTAAAAAATTATAATTATTTGCAAGGTGAGATAGAATGAGAATTAAGTGTTCCAGGAACCAAGTTATTAAAGAAGCTATAAAATAAAAATATTTAATATCATTTTTTTATATCCTAAATAATGGAGCTGTAATAATTTTCTTCTCAACTCAATGTGAGGTATACTCAGCTGAAACTCTACCATTATAATTGATTTATTTTAAAAATGAACCGAATGGAATTATTTTCAATGTATAACTTAATAGTCATGTTGAAATTACCAACCCTAGATAACTGAACAAAAATCAGTGTTGTACTGTAGTTAATCATTAGATTTATAGACATTAAAGTAAGATTGTGCGTAAAGTAAGATTTTCATATTTCCTTTATTTATGTCAAACAAATTAGTTTAATTAAAGAAAAGAAAATAAAAACTGTCATAGAAATATTAAAACTAATCTGTTTCTCTCCCTTTAACTTTATTGCATTGTTAACAAAATTAAATACTGTACCCTAATTAATCTTAAAAATTAACTATGTATTATTTATTATACCAATAATAGCTTCATGAAGCCATTGCACAGTTAGAACATGAGCATGATTTGCTGATGAAAACAAAGGAAGAATATGCACGCAAAGAAAAAGAACTTGCTTTAAAGTTGGCGAGAGCTGAAAGCATCATGGAAAGTTTACGTTCTGAAAAGGAAAGGTGGCAGTTGAAAGTTGCTGTAAGTTTGGTCATTTAGATATTTTTAATCACTGTAACTTTGAAAATAGGTATAATTTTTTAATTATTACAAAATTCTTTTAGTAACTAATGATTTCCTTAAATTTATTAGGCTGTATTTTGTAATGATACCAAGAGATTAAGTTATTATTTATATTTTAAACAGTTTAGTTATTATCCCACAGTTGTCTGATTGTAAAGACATAGATTCCTATTAGGAGTTTTATTTTTGTCCCAACTGGAAATTCATCAGTGGGAAATTTGTTTATAACATTGTAATGGAATAAATCATAGAAATTACTCAGTTAGTAGAAATAAATCATTTGCTTATTTTAATCCACTTTGATTATTTATTTTTATTATAATTTGAAAATGTGTTATGTATCTATTAAAATTGATATTATATTTAAAATAATTAACATATACATCCAGCATTATTTACACCCTCTGTGATAAAATGCCAGCATTTTCTTTTTTAAGTTCAATTGTTTATTGCACACATTTTTTTATGCGTATGGTTATGCTTTGAGAGAGAGAGTGAAATGATGAAAATTTTACTTGTCATTTTAAATCTATTGCTACTTGTGCCAGAACAACTTTTGTTTCTTATTATGATGATATGCTCTAAAAATTTTGTGACATTCCAGTACATTATGATTTAAACATGTTTAGAACTATTTTATTTTTATGTCTTAAAACTGTTTATATTTCATAAATGGTGACATTTGTATGCTCTGATTTAAAGGTCCACTTAAATGAAATATATATTTTTCAATAAGCTAACAATTTTTATAGTTCAAAAATTGTTAGAGAAAGCAATACAACATTTCTTGTATTTGCATTCTATTACATAGGAAAGGAAGGTTATAAAAAAAACTTATTTTATTCTATTATTACCTAAAATTCTTTGGCAGTGCAAAACTTCACTTTATTTATGTTGCAATTTTTATTTAAAAGAACTTTTATTTATAGTTTTTATTAAGATTGAATTGCTTTGTAATAGTATTATATGCAAGTAAAAATATAACACACACCCAAAGCAGAAAAGTATGAAACCAGAACATTTAAGGACCTACTTAAGGAATTGATTTGGAAATACTTAATTTATTTTTAAGTATTAATCCTGGTTTGCATACTTATGAATTACTATCCAAGAAAATCTCTCCTCGCTTGCCACTGATTACTTCATGATACGAAAAAGCTTTTTCTTTAAATTTTTTGATGTAATTTTTTTCTTTTCTTCTCTTCATATAGTGTTTTCTTTATTATGAGATTTTCCTATGAACAATTTGTAATATAATTTCTAATTATTTATTTATTTATCAATGTAAAAGTTAATACTTTATTTTTTTATGTGTGCATCAAACATTTTAAATATAATTGTTTAAACTGCAACTCTTCTAGAGGATATTTTCACCAGAAAAAATACAGGGTTCAAGATTTAAGAAATGTCTTTGTCTCTTTTTCTCTTTTGTTTCAATTTAGAAATATTGTTGTGTTACTCTCGAAAAATTTCCCTTTGGGGACAAAAATATCTATGTTCAGCAAAGGTTACAGTCAGCTATTGTGCATATAATAATATATTATCATGGCTTTGATATATTACTTTAACGCTTTACAGAATTAAAACCTGACTAATAGATTAAAAGGTATTTATCATAGTCTTTTTTAAATAAATATATATATTAGATTAAAGCCATGGACATTTCTATGATTTTGATAAAATTTACAAAATTATAAAGTTAGAGTACTAGATTAAATTTTGTTTTACACTTTGTGGAATTCGAAACAGTCAAATAAATAAAAACTAGCTTTTATCTGGAATAATATTTTCCTCATATATTTTATGTTCGTTCATTTCTAAAAGATGAACCTAAATATTTATGATTTCAAACTTCAATTTGTATTTAGTTTTATTATAGCATTCTAAATTTGTATATCTTATTAATAAAATCAATGTTTTTGTCAAACATAGCTTGCATTTTAATTTTTCCTTCTTTTTTTTAGAATAGCGCTAATATTTTTTATAAAAGTATATATTTTAAAATGCACTACACTCTATTTTAATATGTTTGATTATTATTCATCCATTCTCAAGGGCTGGTGTTAATCAGGACTGATTCTAACATATAATTGGTTTTTATTTTTTATTAAGCAAATATATTCTTTTTTACTATTTTATCTAGACACTACAGGAGAAAAAAGACTATGTTATTGGGGATAGTTTTCTTGCATCTGGATATCTGACATACCTTGGACCCTATGATCAGTATTTTCGTTCTAACATAAGTACAAAATGGAAAACAAAAGTTAGTCAATTTCTTGTTACATTTATTTTATTTTTTTAAATTAAGTTATAAACGTAATGTTTGCAATTCACTCCCTGTTAAAATTATGAAAATATATTTCCAATTTGTTATTTAAAGGTTTTGTGCTATTTTTATGTTCTAACTAATAAATGCTATATTTTTAACACTCAACTGCAAAATTTCTAACAATTCTGTTCCAGTTTATAGACAAGAAAAGATTTGAGACTAAAGTATAAATATTTTTAGTTTTATAAATTAGTTGTGTACTTTAAATAATACTAATGTTAAGTTAAGAGTTTCTGAATAAAATATATTTTAGTTATACATTTTATTCCTATTTTAAATTGAATAAGCTTAATTAATTAGCTTTGGTAGTAGCTCAAGAGTGATTTTTTATTTGAATTTGAATATGTTTTGTGTAGAGTAATATTTATGAAAAATTATTTTCAGATATCATCAAAGTTTGCTTTTAATCAAGAATTCAGCTTAGCAGAATTTTTTGTTGAAGAGGATGTATTAAATGATTGGATAATGTGTGGGCTTCCTAGTGACCAATATTCCTTTGAGGGGGCAGCCATTGTTAATGAAAATTTATGCTGGTCTTTTTTAGTTGATCCTGAAGGGCATGCTGCCAAGTGGATTAAAAATTTATCTGTAAAAAATGTAAGTTATTTATAAACACAATGTTATAATTTCAGTTAATATTAGTGCAAAGTGATAAAAATATAGCTTATCTTTTTATAACTTTTTAAGAGTACTGCAGGTTTCTTTGAGGTAGTTTTTGTAACAATATATGCAAAGTTTTTCAAGTTTATAGCTTCTCTATCTTTGATTTTTACTTAAGTTTTCTTGGGATTATTTGTTTCATAAGAAATGCTACTTATGATGAAGGCTGATAGTTTTCAGTTTAAAAACTATGTTCCTCTTTACTTATCTTTTCTAGTATGTTCTAACAAAGGGTACCCATAAAAATTTCTTCAGATAACATCCAGAGAAAATATTCAAAAATCATAAAATTTTCTTTTTATTTCTGAAAAATATTTTTGAACCAGGGCATAAGAAATTTTTGCAAACAATTTGAATAATTTAATCAAAACTTCTAAACCAGCAAATTTATTTACAGAAAATTGACATTTAAAATTTAATTAATTTTTAAAAAAATGACTAACAAACAAACCCTTTTTAAATTTCAAATAATTCTTTTTTTAATAATGAAATTTTTTTAATTTAATAATCGAACAAACTGAGTTTTAATTATGCTCGCTTAATAGCACTTCTAGTAATTGCTTTTCTTGACTTGAATTATTTGAATGAAGTATTTTATACTTGATGTTAAATGTTGTTTGATCTCAATAATATAGCATGTAATATCATTTTTCAAGGTTTAGCTGGTTGTTGTCTTGTTGATATAAACATTTATCTCTGATAAAAACATCGAAAAACTTTGAATTGCTCAAACCATTTTCCACTCATCCAAATAAGAGATTAAATAAAAAAAATCAAAGAATCTGCAAACCTAAAATTTGCCCTGAATTTGGACATATTTGCCATTCTTCTATACATGATTATAACCATTTTGCTCTTAGATTTTGAGATATTTCAATAGGAATCTCCTTGTTAGGTCACCTTGCACGCTGTTCCACATAATGGCTTTCAACTGAATTTCAAGTTCTACTATGAATATTTTTGAATTTGTTTATTTTTTGTATTTACGCAATATTTTTTAATGTCTACATAACTTGGAAATTTTGAATTTCTATAAGGCAACTGCCTACTGTGTTCATCCAGAACTTTAAACTAAACACTTGTGATAGACAATATCCCTCTGATTTGCATACAAAAGTGCTCTGTTTGAACTTGAATAAGCTCATAGTCAGGATGGCTATTTTCAAATTTCATAAAATATGCTAAAGAGTCAAAAGGAAGGGCTTGCTGTTAATAGATACAAAATAACGAAGATTGCCCAATAATTGCAACTTTCACCTTTGGGATATGAAACTGTTTTCCTCATGAAGCAACATTTAAAAAAAATTGTTATTGGTTGATTCAGAGTAGTCATCTTAATTTTTTTAATGCATTCTATAATATTTTTTATTTTACTTCTTTTCCACCTGTTCTCCATTTTTTTCCCAACCTTTTATTTCAGTGGAAAAAAAATACAATGTTTATGTTCCCAATCGCTCTTAAAATAAAACAGTGTTCTTGTGAATAGTTTTTTATTTCTATGATCCCAAATATGCAAATATTAATAATTTCTCTAATTTTTCCAATAGAAACTGAAATATATTGATTATCAAGATCCAAAATATTTATCACTATTGGAACTGGCTATATCAGAAGGATTTCCAGTTTTAATAGAAAATATGAACCCTAAACTAAATTTGATCATTAATTCTCTTTTGAAACTGTCAAAGAATCAAAACATCTGTTTTAATGGAAAGGAAATGAAGATGAATCCTAACTTTCGTTTATTTATGTCAACTAAATTATCCAATCCTGATTTCTCTTCTTTTGCCATTAAAGAACTCTTTATTGTGAATTTTACTATAAAACAAAAAGGTAAAATTATTTCTTTGGCTAATTTTATTTTGTAAAAGTTAATTCTGTTATCACTAAACAAATAACTATATATTTCATATTAACTTTGATGTAAGATGAAACAGAACAAATTAATTATTAATGCTATTTTGAATTAAAAATTATTTTTTTGTCACAGTTTTCTGTTTCTAATCAATGTTTTGATCATTAATAAGACTGACAACATCTTATGAGAAATAATCTCATATCATTAAAATATACTTTTAATTTTATTTTCATTTCAAGTACATTTAGTATGATCTTATTTATCTATTATCAAATAATTAATAATTGCATAGGTCTAGAAGATCAACTCTTGCCAATAATTGTTAGAAATGAGCGGCCAGATTTAGAACTCATTAAGGAAAAGCTCGTAAAAGGCATTATCGACTGCAAGAAGCGCTTTACTGCTGTTGAAGATAAAATTCTTAAGTAAATGTTTCTGTTTTATTATCCTTTAAGTGAACTGTTCATTTGAGGATTGGATAAATATTATTAAAAAAAAATTGCTAATGGAAAAGTAATGCTAAAATGGATATTATCTAGCATTATGTCTTTTTTGCAGTCCACCTAACTTTTGTTAATCACATTTTAATAACAGTGTATATATATTTTTTTGAAATATTTTTTGTGCTTTACAAATCTAAAAGATTCACCTAAAAATATTTGCTTTAGAAAAGATTTTAGTCTGTCTATGTCGTGCTTACTTTTATAGAAGCAACTTTTTGCAGGTACTGATGTCAATCAGTCAAGTAATAACTGTTCCTCAAATTATTTCTTTTATCCCATTAAACCATTTCAATTAACTTGCTACTCATTTTTTTTAATTCTTACGAACGACTTATCTTTCAAGAATGAAACCTGAATTGACAGTTTCATATGCAAAAGTACTACTCACTTCACCAATGCTATCATGTCATCTCAAAATAATCTTGCTGTCATATCATGTCCTTGTACAATTAAAAAAATTTTGCATTTTGAATAACTTTTGATGTAATCTGTAAATTTTCTTTTGCTAAGATATTATCTTAGCTATTAGGTAACTATTTACTATAGTATAGAAATATTTTAATTTTATAATTCTGAATTATTTTTGGGTGAGCAAGCAATATTTAGCAGCAGAAGCTTTTTGATTTGTGCAATTAGATTAAAGGATGAAGCTGATTTTGTAAATTAAATTACCATCTGTACTAATTATCATATGTAAAGTGACTATTAAAACACTGATTAAAGGTATTAGCTATTTTATGGTACTCAACATGTAATTTTTCCGCTAATTTGCAAAATTCTGCAAATTTTGAAACCATTGATTCACGGACTTACGCAAATCAATTATTTATATTCCGACAAAAATTTCTATTTCGTTACTTAGACAAAATCTCATTAACAAGACATTTGATCTGCCTTTCCCAGCACTTTCTTTTAGTTTTTCCTAAGCTCTAATTCACGAGCAATTACTTTTTTTAAGCAGATTTGCTAGAGAAAAACCCAACTACTGAGCAAACTTCTGAGACAAACACAAAAGTATGAAATTGATAATCTAAAATACCGAATTGGCAAATATTTAAAAGATTGTTCTCTAGAAAAAATGGTGTTTTTCTCATTTTTTAAAAAAATTTATGTGTTAATGAATAGCAATTTTGTAGCAAATTCCGATTTTTAAGCGCAGAATAATTCAATGTGATATATCTGCCTTCTTTTTTTATTTGCTTACATTTTGATCGAATTAATTTTAATATACTTTTACGTTGTGGAAATTTCAAATTGCGATTATCAGTAATCTTTTCTTAACGCGATCAATAGCGATTATCTATATTATAGCTTTTAATAGCGATTATCAGTAATCTATTTAGTACTATTTGCTTAATAGTATAATCACAAGTCTGTGTTTTGATTTTATATATTTTGCACTTATCTAATTGATTTTCTCATTGTTTTTATTTTTAAAAATTCTGATTCTAATTTGAATCGCGCAATTGAGTAATCACTTTTTGATGTGTTTGATTTGCGTCGATACCATCGTAAATCCATGCTGTGTTCTTATCTTTTTATCGGCTATTATTGCTACAAATTTTCTCGATATTTTTTTTTATTTCTATATTTTTTATACATTATTATTACGACGTGCAGAATTCAATTCGTAAATCTATTTATCACTTTTCAGTCGACTTTTTAACAGTTAATACTGATATCCACTTGGTTATTCCGATATTTTCATACAAAAATCTAAAAAAACAAGAAATTCTAATTGCACATTTGAGTAAATACTTTTTCAAGCTCTTGATTTGCGCTAAATCCTTGCAGCTTTTCGATCGCTTTTTTTGCAATTGTTGTAAAAATCTCAATATTTTTGTGATACAGGAAATTCAAATCGCGTACTTGAGTATTCACTATTTGACGTGATAATTCAATCGTTTGTTCAATTGATTTGTTGGCAGTTATTACTTCTCATTTTCGCATATTTTTCAAAATCTCGGTATTTTTGATACAATATTATTTAATACAACACAAGAAAATGTGTATTAAAAATTGCAGTCATCATTCTCATCAGTTAATTAAATATGAAAGAGAAACAAATTGTCTATGAATGAAACAGGGCAACTAGATTATTATTCATAGTAAAAATGATACTAAATATCATTATTAGTATCTGTCATTATTTAAATATTCAAATTCATTACATATTTTATATAAATTAAATTAGCGTATTAATTTCATATAAAAATGCATAATTGCAATTATACAGAAATATCAGTGCATTAAACAACCTTACTTTTATTTATGAAATTACTATTGGCTCAAAGTTCACAATAATATGTTAATAAATAGCCTATTCTAAGCTTTGGTTTAAGAAACTTTTTCTCTTCAGATTATTAAGCAAAGCAGAAGGCTCTTTGTTAGAAGATGAAGTGTTGGTTCATGCTCTCCAAGAATGTAAGTCTGAATCAAATGAAGTTGAAATGGAATTAACATCAAACCAAAAAACTGAAGTTCGAATTGATCAGGCTAGAGATGTTAGTAATTTTTAACTTCATTTATAATATTTAAGTCACTTTTTTCAATGCAGTACTAATCTAATAATATAAGTTCAAGTTAGTATGTATGCTGAACCCTTACAGAGTTCCCAGGGAGAACTGGAATTGACAGGGTATTTGATTCTAGTGTTAAAAGTTAACTAATTATCAGTGATTAACATTTAAATTTAATAATTCTATTGTTTTTTACAATTGTCCCTTCAAAAAATTCTATACTTCAGTAGAATTTTTATGCGATGTCTTTATTGATATAGTTTCTTAATAAATCTAATATCATTATAATTTCATCTTTTTTTTAGGAAAAATTCTAATACATATATATTTAAATTGTTATCTTGAATGTTTAAATTTTTCTGAAGTATTTCCAAAGATCAGGTAATTTTATTTCTGAAATTATGTATTAGTCATAAATTTTTTAATTACTAAAGATTTAGGTTAAACAGGGTTTTTATTATCATGAAATTAATAACCTGCATGTAAACAACTAAGATGGCAAGTTATAATGTAAAAGAAATATTCATGCAGACTTAGAATCAAATATAAATTTTTCTTATAGGAATACAGACCATGTGCAAAATTGGCATCAATTTTGTATTTTGTGCTTGCTGATATGAATAAAGTCAATTTAATTTATATGTTTGCTTTGGATTCATACCTTGATTTGTTTCTGAACTCAATACAAAAATCACAGAAAGATCCCGAGGTTTCGGGCAGAATCAAGAAAGTAAATCTTTTTCACCAGTATTCTGTTTATAGGTAAGCTATTTATATACAAGACTATAATTCATTCAATTCTATAACCTCTTATGCATATATTTGTCGAAACAGAAACCAATTTAGCTGTAATAGATATAGTGCCATTGCATGAAAATACTTAGATGCTTAAAATTTTAGTTATGCCTAAACTGATATTGGTTTATTTAAAGAAAATAATAAATTAAAATTTTATGAAAGGTTTGCTTTACCAAAGCAATTTTATCTTTTGATGTTCATGATTATTGTAACTTTAATGTAATTTTAATGTATTTTTTATTGTCTTTAAATTTGTATAAATTAGTTTAAATTAATATTTGAAACCTTTTTCAGATATGCTTGTAGGTGTGTTCTTAATAAACATGCTCTGCTCTTTTTGTTCCACATGTGTACACAGATTCTGTTGGCTGATCATAAACTTGGCATTGATGAGTATGAGTTTTTTATCCATGGAGGAAAGGTAACAGAATTTCTTTCTTTCCTTTTTATTTGTTTATTGATTTTTTACATCTAATATACATTTTAATGTTTAATTAATTTTTTTGTGCTATTTTCAATATTTAATAATGTAGGAATTTTCCAGAACAGTACTGAAAAATTTATTTTTTCATATGTCACTGTTTTTTCACCCTTAATTACTGTTGATCAATTTAAGATATAATTTCAAAATGTTTTACCTGAACCTTAAAGTATGCAAGTGGTATGGTATTGTGCTGATAAAACTTACTATACAAAAAAAGATATTTGTTATTATAGTATCAAGGAATTTAATATGGGTTGTGGGGCAATAAGTTTTTACCCCTCCCCCCTTAAAAAAAGGATAAATATCAGAAAATTTTGTTGATTGTGATAAATTTTTTTAATCATCAATAAATTAAGAATTAAAAAATTGGCAGCGAGCAATACTATTCCAAATTATACTGAATATAGTTTATTTTAATAGGATGTAAACTTCTAAAAACTGGTTTTCTTAATCTGATAACATAAAGCTAGAGTAGTAAAGAATAATAAATCAAATGTTTTAAAAAATTATTTTGGCTTTAACTATTACGTTTTTACCATTTAAGATCTGTTTCATTTAAGGTCAAACATTATTATTGCATGTTTATACAAAGTAGCTTAACAAAGTATTTTTTTAGAAAAATCTCACTTTTTTAAATTGGATATAGCTTATTTTATTAACTTGAATAGCTTTTCCAGTTACCTTTAGGAGTAATAGTAAAAATTTTTATCTTTTGTAAATGAGGTGCATTTAATAAAATAAATTTTTTTATTTTTAAATTTTTATTGTGAAATGTCACAGTGAATGAAATAATAAGTCTCCTTAAACAGTATCTTCATGAACCAACCTTAAAGGAACTCTATACATCAATCTAACACTACTTACCCTATGTTACAGGGAAATGTATTCGTAAAAACTCTCATATATATGTAACAACAGATGGTTTATGAAATGTTTGCTACAATGCCATTCTTAAAGTGAAATAATTAGTGCTTGCTTTATGCCATCTATGATAAAAATTAAAACCAAGATTAGTACAATAGCAGCAAACAAACATTTTATATGATTGTTGTTTTAGATTTCATTCAATTTTTATTTAGGAAAGTGGTGAAAAAAATAAACTCATGAATCCATGCTCTCACTGGTTGTCTGAAGAGAGCTGGAACCAAATTATTCAGCTGGAATTGTTACCAAAATTTCTTGGTATAACGGTATCATTTGATGAAGCTCCAAAATTATGGTATGAATGGTACTCTTCCCAAGAACCAGAAAATAAATTACTTCCAGGTAATTCTTATGTACTGTTAACTAAAATTAATATTGCTGTGGTGTTTTGGATTTTGAATAAATGTATATACTTAATTAATGTGAGCTAAATTTCATTTCAAATTTGATGTCAGTTGACAATATATCAGTCATTACTAGCAATAAAATAAAATAAAAGGAAGATATAGTAAGAAAAAAAGAAATACATTAATTAATTTACAATTTTACCAAAAAGAACTATCATACTGTGATGCTTAAAAAGGAAATTCAAAGTATATTTGTGTATTAATTTACATATCACGAACTTATATAAATTAATGAAATAAAGTATGAATAAATAAAGTAATATAAAAAACGAGTAAATGCATTCAAAGGAAGTAAATAAGATGTGTGTGCAGACGTTTATTTCAAAATTGAACTTTTCATAGTTTTTACTTTTTTTTATCATGGCAAAGTGTTTATGCTTATTATAATTTGTCTGTGTTTGTTTATCTTTAAATTTATGATTCATATTTTCATGCCCCCATATTTTTAAGGGTCAAAAATCCGAACCCGTCGATAAAAAGGTATATTCATCCAAGTACGCTTTTGTGTTTAATTTTGTAACTTTAAATATGATCTGCACTAATTAATTAACATATTTAAGGTAAGGCCCTCAAACCATTAAGATTGAATCTTAGTGCAAGAAAATGCAATCAATACATCAAAAATTATTCAGGTTGTTCTTTTTTTTGTACACTGTAGAATGTTGCACCAACATAACTTGCCTATATTATTTCAAATGATTATTCCATTAAAGTGTTAAAAGAGTAAACACTGGTAATAAATCTGTAATGCTGAATGTCGCAAATTATGAAATGTTTTGTTTCCTCACATGAAAAACAAAAGCACCCTTCACCTAAGTTTGTGAATTTGTTGTACATAGGCAATAGTTCTAAAAAGTTACATTTACTTAAGGTTTTTTGTAGTGCAATAATAAAATTAATTTATTTTTGATAATTATCCATTAAAAATTAATGGATATCATAAATTATAAGTTAAATTTCGATTTTAATATTTAGTTAATGAATGAAAATTTCAAAGTGCTTTTGTAATTTAGTTTCATTAAATTTTTAGGAAACTGGAGAAATATCTGCTCTGAATTTGAGAAACTTCTTCTTATTCGATGTCTACGTCCTGATAGAATAATAAATTGTATAAGCAATTTAATTGCCAATAATCTTGGCCGAAAGTAAAAATATTATCATTTTTCATCTGAAAGTGTTAAATATTTAAATATATATACTTCTTAGCTTTAGTTTGTGGAAATTTTTATTACAGTATACATTTCTATTTTTGTTTTTAATAATTAGTTAAGAAGGTGTTTATTTTACATTGTACTATTTTAATTAATTTGAAAAGCTTTACAGTTTTAGTTACATAGTAAAATATAAGATTTTAGAAAAAATTACCCTGATTTGATTTTAAAATTAAAAAGTAACTGTATGTATTTCTAAGGTTTTTTATGCAATTTTTTAATATTCTTTTAATTAATCCAAGTACATTTTGAATAGATTTTTTTACGGAAATTTCTATTTTATTAAGCACTTAGTTATAATTTTGCATAAACTCTAGTATAAAATCTCTACTTTAGAAAAATATAATAAAGAGTCTGTAATTTTCATTGTGTTTTTATTTGTTATATTTATAAAAGATTTAATGATTGTTTTTCTTATAGATCTAAACTCAATTTATCTTGTAACTCAAACTTTAAACTCAATCTTCTTTTGAAGATTTTTTTTTAAGTTCCCATATAATGCTGAGAAACAGGTTTCTTGCTATTTGTAAATCATTGTATTCTTCCTTTTATTATTAAAATGCTTTAGCATCTTTATTTTATTCTATAAATCGATACAGATCTATTAGTCCATTGCTAGCCATCTTTGGTGGCCAGTTATTTCACCCTCAAGCACTCACAGCTTTTGGACTCCACTTTGATATAATATTATATATTAATAGATATTATATATTGATAGATATTACATACTTATCTATCAATGATGCCACTGCTGTATGAGACACTAAAAAGATTTCTAACTCAAAAAATTAACTATTAAAGGAAGTAAAGGACTAAAGAGTAAAAAAAAACTTTCTTTTACCTTGTAAATTATACTTTTTATTTGTAATTTTACTGATTTTTGTTACAAATGTTTTAAATTTAAATGGGGAAAAAAACAATGAGCTATGAAGTTTACGTAATTATAAGCATATAAAATGGTTATTTGTGTTACATTCGTTGTATTGATTTATTTAAAATATTCAATTTATATTTAATTAAATATTATATTTTTGAAGACAAGTTCAAAATTAAATGTCATCAAACTTTTTTTAAAGAAACAAAGCAAGTTAAAAAATGCATTTGAATGTTTCAAAAATCAACATTTGAATGTTAAAATAAAAAGAAAACTTTGTGAATAGAAGTTTTAATGAAATAATCTGTCAAATATATTTCAGTAGAAGTATTTCTAGTAAATTATTTCTTCACTTCACAGCTTTCTTGCTTACCCTGAAATAGATATAAGGGAAATATTTGAAGAATCTTCTGCTAAAAAACCTCTTATCTTATTTACTGTTTCATCAGATGCTGTGAGTAATATTAAAATTCAAATTTTATTCTACCTAAATCAATTTTTCTATTATGAACTGTGTTAAATTTATCTATGTCTATAGCATGCTGAACAGATTATTTCAAACCATGCTCATGAACGTAACACTAAATACCGTGTGTTATCTCTGGCAGAAAGACAGGGTAATTTGGCCTCACAATTGATAGTAGACTCCATCAAAGTGGTAACTAAAACACTTTTTTCTTTTCTGTAGTTATTATTTAAAATAAATAATCTCTTTACATAAAGTTATTACATATTTAGTTTTTTAAACTCTGATTTTTTTTAAACACAATTTACTTTTATGGAATATTTTATTGTACCAAATTATTAGAAATTTTTAAATGTATTGCTTTTTCTGTTATTGACCACTACTAGGAAAATGTAATGAATTTTATTGATATACCAATTTATGTCAAACACTTGGTTTACGTCCTATAAATGTTATTTTTTTACTACTATTGTTTGAGCATCTGTAATTTGACTCCGATGGCAAGGAAACTTATGAATTCCTTTGTGACAACAGCATTCCTTTATAGCAGACTGTTACAGTTTATCTATTTCTTATTTGAGTTACATTATAGAAACCCATGAATAATTGCCATAGTTAGACTGCTTATAATAGAACTTTTATTAATTCATGACCCAGCTATCACTTAAAATATGTTATGTTAATACTGTTATCAGCACAAGCTGCTTTCAAAATAGGATTGAAATAAAGTGAACTTGGTTTTGAAATAGCTACATTGTTTTTCGTTTGTAACTATTAAAAAATTTTGTTATCCATTTACTTCTTGTTTAAAAAAAACCTATAAAATGCTAGAGTAAAATAAATAGCTCATTTGATTTTAAGCATATTAGATTTTTTAATTTTGATATGAATCTTATCTCATGTGATTTAGTTTATATTACTTATTGTATGTTATCAATATATATGAAGAAGTAACTCTGAAATGAACTACTTACTGTTCATTATTGAATATTGTAATGTAAAACAACTTGTTCATATATGCATTCATTCAAATGTATAAATTTGTATCTATAATGCTTTGCAAAGTAACAGCTACCTTTTTAATTGTTATTTTTTATATATAGGGAGACTGGGCCTTCATTTCAAATGCTCATCTATTACAACCATGGTTACCAACATTAGAAAAAATTGTTAGTATACTCCAAACAGTTAAAGCCCATCCAAATTTTCGCTTGTGGCTTTCGTCATCTCCAATAGATTCATTTCCTTCTTCTATTCTACTAAATAGTATCGTATTATCATTGGATTCTCCAAAGGTATTTAAATAATCACCTTAATCCAAAAATCTTTATGTTCAAATTAAGCTTTTTTTTACTGTGTAAATTAAAAATATTTAACCACTGGCAGGTACTTTGGAAGTCAAACAGTTCAAAAATTCATTATTTTTCACCAAAATATCAAGTTAAAAACTAGATGCAGTACCAGAATTTAAAAACATTATTTTGGAACTAAAAATGTATAGAGTAATTATTCAAGTAGTAATTTGATCATTGCTTAATTATGTCCTATGAACAGTAAAAGTAGTGTAATGTTATTTTTTTAAATTGGGTACTTTTGAAAAAGATTTCAATATTGGAATTGTATTGCCTCCAATTTCAAAAGATCTTTCGAAGGAAAAACTGTTTTGGGAGTTAAATTCTTTTTTGATTCTGTATCAAAGTTCTCCAGCAATCCTTTGTTTTTTTTTAATCTTAGATTTAGTTATACCCTATTGAATCTATTATTCTAGAATACATAATGTTAATTAAATTTCGCACTTTCCTTCTACAATACCTTTAAAATCTATATTTAACTCAACTTCCATTTGAAACAATCACTTTACAGGTGAATTAAATGTCAAACTTTTAATGATCAATTTTTGAGCAATTATCCTCTAGAAACAAACACATTGATCTCATCGCTGAAATCAATTTGTTTGTTCTTTGTCTTCCTGTACAATGCACTTAATAAAAAGCAGAACAACTGAATAACTTCTGATCCTTTGATTAAGATTTCACATTCTAAATTGTATTTAATTATGGCTGAAGAGGGAATCTTAAATATCCAAGTTAATTAGTTTAGATGATATTTTAAGTTACTTAATCAGACTCAAATATGTTCCTTTTATGATTAATATTTTTTTGTTGTTGTTATCAGATATCTTTTTGACAAAACTAAATTTTTAATCTTCAAAGAATGGACAGCGGATTAGCTGTAACTTGAAATTTCCCTTTTGTATGATGTACAGTCAAAATTTTGGTCGTTGTTTATTTTAGTTTTTATATATTTCACCATATCTCTAGTATTATTTAAGGAACTCAATACATTTTTGCATACACCTGTAAAACTTGTTCCTCTAAAAATAATTGCATGCTACAAATTTATTTTTATCATTTTAATTCAAAATAGTTGAATTTTTCTTTTTTAATCGTAGGATGTGCAAAATTTTCCATAGTTTTAAGCTATGTAATTTTAAGTGACAAAATTCAAAAGAGGAATGGAATCAAATTAAGAATTAAAACTTTAAAAAATAGTCTTTTTTAAATTTTTTTAAACTGAGATAAATTTCTATAAAATTTTATTTCCCAATAGAACCTACCTCCATATTTTGAGGATCAGTAATTTAAAAGTATATTTATTTAAAAGATCTGTTTTTTCAGAGGAAATATAATTTTGTGTCTTGACCTCATAGCTTGAAAGACTGTCTGTACTAATTAATAACCATCTGTTTTTGAACCATTAAGATTGCATTTTACTATGTGTAAATCTAATAATTAAGATAAAAAGTCTTTGATTTTTTTTTAAATAATTCACTGTACATCTTATTAATTTATTAAAAAAATAAAAATGAAAAATTTTAAATGAAGTAAAAATTGTAGACAGCACCATTATTGTATTATTTTTATCTAGAATATGGCAACTGAGTATGAGAAGTGTTTACACAGTGAAGTATTAGATGTGTTTCAACTAACATCGCTTCCTTATAAAAGAGTCATATTTAATTATGTGTACTTAAAAGTATAATATAAAATTATTTTTCTCATCTTAGTAATTTTTTTAAAAAATGATTAAACTGTATAAAAATGACAATCTTTAAAGAAAACTATTGTGAATGAATCTTTAATATTTCAACAATGTGTTTGATTTAGGTTTCACTTAAATTTCAAATTACATTTTTCTAGGGTATCCAAGCTAATATGTTAGATTTATATCACAAGTATGGATCAAATGCAGGCAGTGATTTCACTTCACTGGAATTAAGGTTCAAAAGCTTGCTGTACTCTTTGGGCTTTTTTCACTCAATTCTTCTATGCAGGAAACGTTTTCAAAACCTCGGTTGGAATGGCACTTATGAGTTTTCATATTCTGATTTTAAAGTAAGTGTATAAAAATTCATCCATGTAACTATTTTTTTCTAAAGCCTAGTTATCTAACTGTAGGAAATAGACCAACTGTGGATTTCTAACCAAATTCTTTTATGCATGTTTTTTTTATGTGAGTTTTTAAAAATCTGTTTGAAATGGGAATATTAATTGTTTTTGAGAAAAAGAGGATTAAGACTATAATAATAACTTCACTACAAGTACAGTATTTTTTAATGTTCAATAAGTTTAATTAAATATTATTTAATTTAATTTTTGTTTAACGTTTTTTTATTAATAAATGTAATTAAAAAGTAAATGAATACTTTATTTTAGCATACATTTCATATCATATTTAAATTCTTTTTTCCTGAAAAGTATAAAGAGAAAAGTTTATGAGAAAAAATAATCTTACATTTTCAAGCTGCCAATTAATTTGACTTTTTTTACAGCAAATTTTGTCGTTAAACAATATCTTAAGCATTAAATCATTAAGTTTGGCTTATGAATTATTTTAGAAATTTTGTTTTTATTATTTCATTAATTAAGAAAATATAATGTAATTTTTTAAGGATAAAATATATACACTGTTCAAAACATATTTTAAATAACATAAACTTTGAATTTACATGAGTTAATTTTTATGTAAAAAAAAATCTGTTTCATTAGAAAATTGCAAAAATTTTCTTTTCTTTTATCAAATTTTTTATATAGACCATAGAATACATCTTTGATAGTTGCTTTTAGTATTTAAAATTATTAATTCTTTATATGTGACTGTTATGAATCAATTATTAATGTATTTTCTTTGTGGGTTTTAAAATTCGACAAATTTGAAATTTACTTACGCTATTTTTCAATGGAAAATTCACCAATATTCAAAAAATTCTTTGTTGTCTTTACATACCTATACTTTTCTACTATGTTTTACATTTTTAATTGTCATAGCAAAATCTTTGTTTTATAAATTGGAATAAGGCCAATCAGTAATTTATGAACTAAAAACAGTAAAATTGTGAGTCAATAATTTCAATTCTTTTAAATAAAAACAATACGTAGCTAGGTAGTTTGTTTATTGTTAAATATAAAAAGATCCAGCTTCATTCTTGAGAATCCCAGGAATAAACCGTAACGCCATTTTTTTATTTTTTGTGTAGGTATCATCAGATTTGTTACAGTTGTATTTAGAAGAATACAGAGAAGATCCTTGGGATGCTTTGCAGGAAATGATAGCCGAAATCATTTATGGAGGCCATTTCACAAATAGACGAGATAAAGAACTCATGCTTGACTATTACAACCAATATATTAGTGATGATGTTTCTGAAAAATATATGTAAATATTGTTATGTGTTTATAATTTTCTTGTCACTATTTCAAGAAACATGACATTTAAAAGTATTATTTGATATTGAATATTATACTACAAATGAAATGAGATATTTAAATTTTTTATTTATTTATTTCAGATTGGCACCAGTGGAAAATTATGCTGTTCCAGATGATGGCCCAATTCAGTTATATTTAGAGTCAATAAGAAAACTACCTACTAGGGATGTACCTGAAGTTTTTGGGCAGCACAAAAATGCAGAAATACCATGCCAAATGTATGATTCAGAAAGACTGCTGAAAGACATGGAGAAAATAAGAAGACAGAAAATTCTCGAAGTAAACATTAAGCCCGAGGTGAGGAAATAATTTTTGTTCATCATAGCTTGATATGACTTTGTAACATTTAATTATTTGATTAAGTTTCAAGAGTAAATTGTGCCTAATAGAAAAATTTGCTATAATATCCATAGTATGTGATTTAATTCAAATTTTGGTGGAATATTTTTTTAATTAGTAATTTAAATTGTACATTGATACTTTTAGAGCTACTATTCATTACTAGCCAGACATTTTAACGAGTTTCAATATCCTATAACTTTGATAAAAATAAAAGAATATTAAAATTTAAGCATTCCCCTAGGAAACCATATAAATAGAATTTAAAAAAAAAATGCCACGTAGTGGCTTAACATTAGAATTATTCAAATTTAAAAAAAATTTCATGGTTTTTATTTACTTGTAGGTAACTATTTTAAACAGAAATCATTAGAATAATGTATTTAACTTTGAAGATTAGCTTTAATTGTTAAAAACTATTTAAAATAATAGGATTTTTTTATAATTTATTTTATGCACTGTATTCAGTGTTTTGTTCAACTTCTATTCTCTTTAATCACCCGCCAATAGACCAAATTTGAAAGATTGTTGATGTTTCCAAATAATTATAATTTAATCAAAAGTTAACATGTTTTATTCATTAATTTTCAAGTAAAGCTAAAATTTCAATAACATATATTACAGTAATAAAATCCATGATTACTATTTGCAAGAAGTTAAAATTTGTGAAATTCTAATTGAGAGAAAAATTTTTTTATAAATTTATTTGAACTCTCAATTTGTATTTGGTCTTGAAGAGGAGTGATATGTATGTATATATTTGTATTATATTTATATTACATTGATTTGCAACTTTAAATTTCAACACATCCTTAAAATAACAATTCTTACAGGTATTGTTTATCATTACAAAAATTAAAGAAGAAATTCCTGATTTTCTAAATATTAATGCTGCTATGAAATTGCTAAAAAGGAAACCTGAGCCGTACACTTACGTTTTAATCCAGGAAGTAAGTTTTTATTTTATTTTTTAATGATTCAACAATTTTGTATGTATTTATTTTAAAACTTCAGTATTTTGTTCCTTGAACTATAAATATTTTTGTAATCTTAAATTTTAAAAAGATAACTTTCATTAAGTAAATATTTTTAAAAATACTGACAAATTTTAAATGAGTTCAAATGTATGCTTATGCAAAACTCATCTGATAAAAATAGTTCTGAACAATTAAAAATTCATTTATAGTAATTCATTGAAAATAGACAATTCATTGTCTAATAATAAAATGTCATTTTTTTGTCCAATACAACTATTTTTAAATTATTGTTTTGAATAATCAGGCATATGGTAGAAGTTTTCCTGGAGGACTAGATTCCTGGAGGACTAGGGGTCTACTGACCCCTGCTGTTGTGGTGCACTAACTCCCAGAAATAGCTTTTGGATAATTTAACAATCTGTATTCACTGCACTCATTCACTAGATACTTAAACAAAGCAGTTTTGTATTGTTTAAGCAATGTTTATGTACATATAGAAAAATTGTCTGGCATTTTGTTTGTATTCAAAGAGCACATTAATATATTTTAAGTAGTAATACAAACGAAAATTTAAACAAACAACTCATTTTTCTTTTATATAAAACTATACTGAACTTACAAAGTAAAAAGAACATAACTCTATTTATGTTCTCTTAAAAATGAATTTAAATCAAGAAAGGTTATCACAATTGTGAATAACATTATACTGATTAGTGCCACTTACAACTGAGATATAAGTAGGAGTTAGAAATTAAAATTTAGGACACTAAACTTTTAATACAATTATATTTATGAAGATTGGAGCTTAATTTTTCTGCCTACACATATTATTTTTTCATTGTAAATAAGATGAATTTGCAGTTAATACCCATGAGATTTTTCGTTGGATTCACAATTTCCTCTTTTTTAATCTCTAAAATTAAATTATGTAAAAAATAATTAAGTGAATTAAAATAAAATCATTTCTCTAAAATTATATTAAAGAAGGACAGTTCTGAGCAATTCAATAAACTGTAACTTTGTGATTTATTATTATTATTTGGAAAAGTAAGAATGTACATTTTTTTTGAACTTCAACAAAACTATTCTCTTTACTACCTGAAAGAAGAGAACAAAACACTGAAGAATTTTTTTTTTTCAATATCAAATTATTTTTAATTAAAAAAGGAGTGAAAGAGCTATTGCATTACTTTTCAATAAGAAGTTTTTTTTTTTTTTGCTCCTGATCATTGTGTATTGTAAAAAACAACTCAAATTACAGGAATTGATTTTAGGAGTCTCTTTCAAGTTTGACTTTAGTGGTCTTCATCAAGATTTCCTTATGATAGTTCAACCCAATGAGATTAATGTAGCTAGAAATTTGTATTTAAAGAAACAAAAATTTAGAAAAATATAAAATGCATTTTTGAGAAAACTAAAATTTATAAAAAAAATTTGAAAGCAAGGAATACTCAAATTTGAAGTTCTAGAATCATGTTTTAGCTAAGAAAAAAAGCACTGGAATACTGTACCAGTGCATTCTGAAGCAACTACACCCCTGATTTGAAATTTAAAGAAAAATTAGTAATAGAGGATAGAGAGAGAAAGGAGGAAAGAGAGAAAGACCCTTTAACTAAACTGTTAAATAATGTAAGAATCTGTCTAACTTATGAATATGTTTTTCTGTTTTCAGCTAAATCTACTAATTTAGATGAACTTACTTTTCATTATTTTTAGTCTAATAAGAATTATTACTAACAGTTTGTGTGATTTTTAAGGTACGACAATACAACTCCTTATTAAAAGTGGTTTCTGAGTCATTACAAAATTTAAAGGATGTAATAATAGGTAAACAAATGATGACTGAAGCATTCTATGCACAAGTTCTATCAATTCAACGAATGGAAGTACCATCTGAATGGATGAAGGTATTTCTTTTTAATGTATAATATTAAGAAAATATTTAAATTTAAAATGTGTTCCTTTAATAATCTAAATGGTATAAAATCAGAGAATTGTAACACAAAATATCCATGTCTCTATAAGTTAGAATACTACATGTGAATTCATAACAGAGTTAACTATCACATCTAGTATCTCTTTTAAAATTTGGAAATGGTTCAAAAATTATCATACGGGTGAATGGGATACTTACCAAGAATCCCTAAGTATTATTATTAGTAGAGAATTGTAACATTTAAATTATTTATTTTAAGATTGATACAGGGTATATACAGGGTGAGCCAGTCGAACCTGCATTTTTGAAAAGGGCGGGAGAGCCGTGAAAGTGGGCGGAGAGAGTTACCAATTTTACCATTGTGTCCCCCAGAACTAAGCATTTCAGTCGCCATGGAGCAGCGGTCTAAACAACGTTTTTTTGCTGCGAAAGCGTTTTACCATAGTAGTTATGCAGCCGCTCAGCGTCGCTTCCGGTTAATTCAATTAATTCAATCAAATTGTGGGTGAAAAACTTTGAAGCAATTGGTCCTCAGTGTATGCTCCGTGATGTGATGGGCAGTTTCAGAAATCGCCTACAAGATTGTCTCGATCGGGAAGGACACCATCTTATTGGCGTTATTTTTAAACTGTGAATGTTTCTTAAATGCTTTTTAATGTAGATTAAGATAGTAACAATAAAATTTTGAAATATCCATCCGTTTATTTTTTAGTCATTTCAAAAATGCAGGTTTGACTGGCTCACCCTGTATGAAGGTTTCTAATACCAACAAGGTAGTCTGATGACAGTTTCACAGTTGAACTTATACAATACATATGCATATAAGCACACCTCTGCAAAAAGTCCTGATAAATTACAGTTAAAATCTTAAAAAGGGGTTATTTTGTTCACATTACAATTTGTGTTTTTGTGCAACATTAGCTAACAGTGTTTTTCTGCTATTGTACTACATAAATATATTGCTTATGAGTGGCATTATTTCATTATGTGACGTTTATGCAAGTTTTTACCTAATATATGTATGCCCAGAAAGCTTTTGGTTTTATACAACTCAGATCGTAGCACAGTTCATAGGTTTCTTGAACTGTTATCAAAATTTTTGAAAGTTCTAATAAAATAAAATAAAAATTAAAATGCCTGTGCTTGCTTAAAATGTTTAATAACTGTAAGCATTTAAGTTCCTAAGAACCTTGGTTCTTTATTTTATATATATATATATTTATATACAGTCATTAATGTCACATCAAAGAGGAACAAAAAATTTGTCCATGTTAAAAATAATTCACGTTTTTTTATTAAAACCGTACAATACACATACATTTTCTATTTTCTCTATCTGTTATTTAGTTGTGTTTTGTGATCTTAAAGTTCTATTATAAATATATAAATTAATAAATATTTCATTTCAATAAATGTTTTTATTTCGCGCTTTAAATTAGTCACTTTTATACAACTCATAAGATATAAGACCAATTTCTTTAAATAACTCATAGGAAAAAAAACTGATATATTGCACAAATTAGAGAAAACTACTAACAAAATAATGGGAAAAAGCTCACTGTTTGGTTTCTTATTCATACATGCTTTCCAAAAGTCTTCTGACTTATCAACTGTATCCAAAATATGATTTGAATTTTCATTTTGTGTTGAAAAATAACAAAGAGTTTTAATTGCTTCATAAACATCTCTGGGAGGAAAGTAAACTAAAATGTTCGCTAGTAAAATGCAATAAAAATTTTAGCTCTGTAATTGTTTACTTGTAGAAATTCTGTATCAATTTCTTAGAATAATTTATGAGAGTGTTGGGGAAATGACTACCCACATTGAACAAAGCATTAATATGGATAGTCATTTCTCATGTAAACATTTTTTTTTTTACATTCATACCCTTGAGATGAAAGAAAATTCCATTTGTATTAGAGTACAAAAGGACTTGTGTTGTTTCCTATGATGCCCTCTCCTCCTTAACAGATTCAATTAATAACTCTTTCATTTAACTGCTGTAATAAGACAATTATCAACCATAGCATTCAAAAAACCTACTCTTATAGATATAGAATTGTAAGATCAGTTTTTTTATCTGTCAGAGGAAATAAATTTTCTTTTCATATCAAAAGTAAAATTTTTCCAATGGTAATGAATTTCTAGTTCACCTTAAAATATATTTTACGTAAATGTGTTCATGTTCAAAGTAATTTGCAGTATTATATCCATGCAGAATTTGAAGAGGAATCAACAAATTAGTTTACGTTAATAGAAATTAACATTGACAGTGTTCACATTAACGAGGTTCGACAGTATTTGTATAATAACAGCATATTTTAAAATAGTTCTATTTACTAATAACAAGCATTTTTGCAAGATACTAAACACATTTTTTGCTCTGATAGAAAATCTAAATATATTTATATTATAATAATTTTTACATCAATAATAACTCCTCATTTGTTAAAGTAAATTTAATGATACTCAGGTTATTCTTTTTCCAAAGTGCTTCTACAGAATATTTTAATTATTACTAGAAAAAATTAGATTTTCCATAGATTTCATTCCAATGATTCTTCCAACATTTCATTCCAATGAACTTAATTAAAATGCATATTTCAAAAGCTGATATTCTAACTGGGTGATATGTTTTTCATTGTTTTAGTTAAAATGATGCATGAAATCACACCTTGTCTAGTTAATGATTAAATATTATAATAATAATTAAGTCCCGGCATTAAGGACTTTTAATCAAATAGATAATATCTTAATAAAGTGGTAAGTTAAAAAAATGCCTTAACTCTTCCAGAGTATCTCTGTATAGTGCGAGAATTTATAGTTTATATTATTTATGTAATCATAAATTAAAATTGGTAGATTGTTTTATTAATTTTTATTATGATCCAAAAAATAATCAATATAATCAGTCTAAAGTCTTTAATCTAATCAGTATAAAAGTATTACAAAATTTTATTTTAAATTTTCATGATGAAATTTATGTCTGTTCTGAATAAAAATTCTTTGGGAAGTGCTATTTGTTTTGTCTATCAAGTAAAACTTGTTTCTTTCTATTGATTTTTCCATTGAATTAATGTAAATTGTTGTATAAATGTATTATCTTTTCTTCTATATTATGTTAGAAAAGTTTTATAAGAAAAATTTTTAATACATTGTAATAATATGTCTAGATATACCCATCTTTAAAACCACTTGAAAGTTGGATTGCAGATTTAAGAGAAAGAATAAAGTTTTTTGCCAACTGGATATCAGCAAAAAATCTTCCTGTAAAAGTATGGTTACCAGCATTTACAAATCCTGTAAGCTTCCTTAATGCAGCATTGTTAACAGCCGCAAAAAATTCTGATGTAAGTTTTTTTCTATTTTTTAAAAATTTAATGCTTTTATTGTGTTATTTTTTTTTATAAATATTAGAATTCTAAGAATCTCATTTGAGAGGTATTTATTTTGAATAATTAAATATTTTAATAACTAATTTTATTCTAGTTTTATGGCAGATTTTTATAACTTAAAATAGTTTTGATAAAGCACACAGGTTTTAGATGGCTTATTTTTTTAATTAATGCAACTGTGTTATATATTTAAGAGCTTATATCATTATAAGAGGTGCTTAATGACTTACTTAGATGTTAATGTTAAAAAACGGTACTTTTCGGTTAGCTGGATGCAAGCTATAAATCACCAAAAAAATGTAAACCTCTGCCAACTTTTTAAATATTAATTTTTTACTTTTTATACATTTAAAAATTGAATAAAATTTGAAGAAAAAAAAGTTGAATTTTCTTAAGCCAGGCTATTCAAAAAGTACTCAAAAAACTAATGAATTTAATCTCAAATTTAATATTCATAAATCTCATCATAGAACATTTTTCACGATTTCATATTTTTTTAAAGCATCGTATTGCATATTATTTCTTTATGTTATGTAATTAATTAATTTTTATAAATGTAATTAAGATTAACTATTTTTAACATCTCTGTCAATGTATATGTTATTTATGTACATAAAAATAACAAATTTTATCTTAGTTCTAATCTAAGTTATTCCTCTTTCCAATATCTTATCATATTTTAAATGAATGTTGTATTATATAACAAAATTTTTTTTACTGCTTTAATGTAGCTGAAAATAATCATCATTTTTGTATTATTTATATCAATATAGATGATGATTAAGGATTTAATGTGGGAACACCAAGTTTCTACCCTTGATGAAAAATACATCTTTGAAGCTCCCCAAGTAAGAATAAACTGAATTTATGAAGTTTTTAGTTCAATATTTTATTTTAAAAAATAATTGAATGTTTTGTTACCTCATGAATCTTTTTAATTAATTCATAGTTAGCACAAAAAGTTTATAACTTTCTCTAAAACATCTACTTTTTCAGGAAGGAATTTACATAAGAGGATTATATTTAGAAGGAGCAGGATGGGATAGGACAAACAGTCTTTTGACTGATCCAGAACCTTTAAAATTGATCACATCTTTGCCAGTAGTTCATTTTAAACCAGTTATAGAGTCTTCCATTCGTGGTAAGAATTTAATTATGTTTCCTTAATTAATTCTAGATGAACGCTTTATATTACTATCGAAGATCAAAATGAAAAATAATTATAAATGAATATCTAACAAGGAATAGAAACATTTTAGTATTTTTCTGCTCTTAACTGCTCAAAATTTATTACTGCAAATTATTATTACCACACAGATTAATTTTATATGAACAATAATTAAGAATTAATTTTCATTTAATTTCTTTACAAAAATGTCTACTTTTTTAATTTATCTTCAAGATTTGAAATTTTTTTAAACAAATTATAAAAGTTTTTACTAAATAAATTATTAAGTTGAAAGTTTCTTATTTACTTTAAAAGGAGATTCTCTACTAGTGAACCCCTGAAACTGCTGACACAGTTCCACTAAGATCACATCCTTCTCTCTTTTTTCTATAGTTTTGTTTAAAACCCCAGTTTAATACCTTTTATAGTTTAATTATTTTAAAGGCTAAGCCTTTTGCTCATTATCGCTTGCCAATACTTGAAACTGCTTGTGTAGTTCTCTATGATGCTGGTGATTCATATAGTGCCAAACAATTCAAGACAGCAGAATGGATTGATATTAATTGTTTAGAAATTGGTACTTCACAATTTAACTTTTCAAAAATAATTTAGAAATTAAAACAAAATAAGAACTATAATGTTCATCATCTGACGTTAGAGTACATAAGTGAAAAAAAAATCAAATTTTTTCTAATAATAGTTTTCAAAGCGTGCCACAACACTAACTAAATTAATTTGTGCTATAACAAATCTTCGGACTTGACATAAAATAACTGAATAACTACTGTTCTCCTCTTTAAATAATATTAAGGGATGTGTCTTCTACTCACAATCCTTGGAACTGCGTATGAGTACCCTTAGAACGAACTGAAAAGTCGTATTACTTTAAAGTCGTTTTGTGATCGCATCATTCTTCACTTTCTGATCTGTTTATATCCTTTTCACCTATCCTAAAACTCAAATAGTATTAATATGTTTTACCTATAAGCGTTATGATACTAAAAGTTGAACATCAAATTAAAATAGTGTTATTTCTATTTTCTTCTCATTTGTTTATTCTTTTAATTTTTCCTTTGCATTGAACAAGTTTAGAACACTAAAATGAAAGTTTAAATCAAAATTAGAAATGCTAAGATGGAAGTTTAAATCAAAAAATCTTAAAAATAAAACTTACTACTTTAATATTTATCTAATAGTAAATGTGTTTATTATAAAAATAAACTTGAATAATTTTAAATAATCTTATAATAATTTAAATTGTACAGATAAAAATTGATTGCAAAAATTTATATTGATTGTAAAGATCTAAATTCAAAAATAATTCCTTGCAAATGAATTTAAACACGGAAAATAAGGATTATCAATTGTTATACACATAGGCAAGAAGGGAAAAGAAGCTGCGATTTTAAAAAACAGAAAGAAAAAAATTTAATAATTTCTTTATGAATTTATATAAATATAAACATTGAGCCTCTTAATTAAAATAATATTTTTAAAAAACATTTTAATAAAAGGAGAATTCACAAAAAAAGTTAACCAAAAATTTTTTGAAACATCATTTATAGCAGCGTTAATATTTCTTTTACATTTTAAGATTCAAATAAATACACTGCTCATTGGACTAGCTAGTCATAGATATACTAATTTAGGTACCTAAATTTTAATTTGGAGAAATATTTTAAATATAATGTTATAAAATTATGTTAAACATGCTGTATTCCTCACCAAAATTATCCAGAATCTGATGTCTAAAACCTAATTCTGTATAACCTAATCGGATATTTTTATTATTAGAATTCTGCAATTTGCATGTAAATTCAAAAGATATAATCTATATTTTTAGGTATTTATAATTGTCCTTGTTACTATACATCCAAACGAACAGATGAGGAAGGCAATTCTTTGGAGCTTTTTAGTATAGACTTGAAAACAAAAAAAGGCAAAGGGCATTGGAGAAAGCGTGGTGCTTGTTTGTTACTGTGTGATAGTACATAGTTATTTGATATGTGCTAATAACAAAACATATTAACGAATATTAAATACTGTTTGTATTTAGACATGCAAATTATGAATTTCTCTCATATTTGTTTTACACATATCTGATGTCTAAATTTTTAAAATATATTTGCATTGTCTTCATTAATAAAATTTGAAAGAAAGCACTGTGTTTTATTCAAAAGAATTGGTATTTAAAAACATTACAATACATGATTTTATACAAATGAGACAAGATTATTGTTGTTCAATTTCTTGTATATTTTTTTATGTATCCATTCACATCAAATTTTCTTTGGCAGCCTTTAAAGTTCATGAAGCGTATTTTACCAAACACTGGGCGTTCTCCCCAAGCTCGATCATGAACTCCACAGATAGACCACATGCAACCTACAAAATATGAAAATAATTTTTTCTATAAGTTTAAGTTATACATATATATCTATATAAATAATAAAATAAAGAATTTGTGTGGGTGACTGTATACCGGATTGCAGGTATAACTCAGGCACTAAATATATGACATTGAACAAAAAGCGAAATTCGAACATTTGCAATCAAATTACAAATTATTTTTAAATTAGGTTTTAAAATATTTATTTTTTCATTGATGTTCTTTTCTGGATAATTCTGCACTTTGAAGTCCATTGCGTTCAAACAAAACATACTAAAATTTTAGTTCTTTTTAATTGTAAATTTCAGACTTTTTTCTTCAAAATGAACCGTCTTATTTTTTCTTACGGTGACATTGTTATTTAAAAAGAACAAATAGTTGGAGAAAAACCCACTTTTTGTCATTTTTTTCCCTCCGAAATTTTTAAACTCATTTGTGAATCTATAACAGATATTAACTTCAATTTTAGATAAACATATGCAGTGGGCTTTCTTCTTTCATTTAAGGCTCAAAAGAATAAAAACAAATAATTAGACAAATTTCTGATTCCCTTGGCAGCCATTGATACCAGATTATTTGATCTCTCAGGCGACACATGCTCTTAAGGTCAACTGATGAGTCCGCCTTCATTGGGATGTCTTTTATAATATCAGTAATTTCCTAGATTACAGCTTCATTAAACCATCTGTAATATAACAAAACAATCAATATAGCTGAGAGCATTGAGAATCTTAGACTTAGTTTTTCCTCAAAAATGTGTTTTTTACTCTAGAAAAAGAACACTCTTTATATTGTTTTCTACAATTTTGAAGACAGTGATTGCCGTAGGGACGCATGCAATACTTTGAGAGGAATTGTCATGGTTAAGCCAATCATTATTTTAGTTGGTTGCTCCTAAACAAATAATGGGGTACTTGTACTTCAAAAAGAAGAAGACACGATACCCATACATGTGACCTATAACAGCAGTGCCAGCTAATCGTTTATAAGCAAAATGGCATGTTATAAGTTGAGCTGGGTTTCTTCCCATAAATTATGTTAATTAACGAAGTTAATTAAATACAGCTCAGTATCACATACATATGTAATTTGTTGAAATATTATTCTTTCTCGTCTGCGTCTTTTATTTAACTTAGATTTATTATTTGTTAATGTATTTTATTGTTATCGTTGTATAGTTTTGTTTTGTGCACCTGGCAACTTCGATACATAATTAGTTTATATTTTACATGGCTTTGTGCCAGTTCTGTGTTAAGTTATTAATTTATTGTGTTAAGTAATATAATAAATTCTAATTGAAAGAATATAAAATGTGTCACCAAAGAGTACCGATACTTGACGGGTTTGGCTTACTCAAAACAGAATGGTAAGAACAGTTGCTAATGTAAACAAAATCAAGACACCCACACTACGTCACTTGCAGGTATCCCATTCTCAATTTTAAAATTGGTTTTGAAAATGACAAATTTGTAAGGACTTAGGGTTAAAAAAATATAATAAATTTCAAAACAAGAAAAACTTCTAAATAAAATTTTAAGAAAAAAATTAAACTAAAGACCAGCTTGAATCACGCTAAACAGTGTGAAATAAAATAATTATATGATTTCTTGACCATGATACTCAAAAATTGCAATAAAATATAAATTAAAATTTTGAGAAAAGAATTATATGGTATTCTTCTTCTCAAAATTATTATAAGAATTGTATGAATATGGTTTGTACGAAGTGCTTTAATAAATCAGTCAGTTTATTGCTATAAATTATATTGTTTAGTGCAATTCAAGCTGTTAGAAATGGTCTTTAGTTTAATTTTTTTTAAATATTTTATTCTTGCTTCATTCTTGAGGTGAGGTAATTTCTAGCATCTCATAAATTTCTGTTTGCTTTTTTTCTAAAGGATTTCATTCTGCATGTATACCTAAATCAAAAGCTTCTTCTATAAAATGATGTGAAATTAGAATAAAATTTTTCATGAATATTGTGCAGCTATTGAGTGGTGGATATAGTTAATTTTTTAATGAATGAGAGTTTGACAAGTATACCTATTGAGACCTATTCTCTGATCAATGTATAATAACACGCAGAATTTGGAAGTTGTTGTTGTCGTAGGAAATTAAGGCAATGGGCTACGATTGTTCTTGTTTTCCAGAGGAGCCATTTATGGCCAAGAAATTGACTTCTGCCACACCCATTTATTGGATGGACCCATTCATTTATCCACAGATCGTAAATTTGACCTGATCAATCTCCAATTCAGTACCCCCAGAGGTTTAATTTGTAATGGGAACATGGAGGACTTTGTGATCCAACAAATTTAACATGCACCAGTTACCATTTACTACATGGGAAGTCTTCGGCCGACTGGATTCGAACTACCGTTCTCAACAACGTGAGTCCAGAGAATAAAGAAGTAATAATAACATATAAATTGAGAATTTTGAATGTTCCTTTTTTTTTTCCCTCTCAGAAAGTTAGCCTGCTTTAGACAAATACGAGATCAACAATACCAGGTTATATTTCAGTAGCACCATTTATTTATTGAATAGAAGATTATTTTGATCTTTTAGGATGAAAATTTATTTCAGAAAATTGCAGAGAATAGGTCTTATTATATACACCCTCTGATAACTGTGTTCATTTGATATTAACATTAAAAAAAATGAATATTTTCTAGAAACTTAAATACTTTTAAAACAAAACTACTACTACTTTCTTTTCATATAAATGTAACTCTAAATGCTGCTGGAAGCTTATTTTGAATTGTTTAGAAAGCCTAACGATAAGTAATGTTTAATCACCTCATAATTTGCTGGTCAGTTTTGGGAGAATTATATACAAAGCCAGATCTCCCACTTTACTGATAACATATGCATTACTGAAAAAATTTCTTTATTATAGTGTAAATAGTTTTTTAGTGAATTTATTTATGTTTTAAAAGACCTGACTTTTCAATCACTTCCCAAAGCTAAATGACTAGCTTTTACAGATGAATCGATATAAATTATAGTCTCTTTAGAGTAATCAAAGGAATTACTATGAAAAATAACTAGCCTCAAAATTTTTCTATTCTATTTAAAAATTATTTCAACATCAATAAACTGTACAACAAATCTGAACTTTTTTTCTGTTCTTTAGATGAAAATTTGTCATTCTGTATAAGCAAAAAATGCTTGATGTATATATTAAAATCAAAGTGGTTTCACATACCATTTTTGTAGGAGAAAAGTCCCTAAAATTAAAATGAATTTTCGAATAATTCGCTTGCTTAATGCCTCTAATCTTTAAGAAGGTAGATAAGGCTTTTGTGGTAAGTTGGCAATTGTCCCACTGAGAGTCCTTTCCTTTCTCTCTCGTATGCCTGTTAAGGCAAAGGGGTGCCAAGAATCCACGGCCAAGAATTCGACTTCTGCCACACCCATACGTCATGCCCGTTTATAGGGTGGACCTATTAATTCATCCACAGATCGTAAGTTTGACCTGAATCAGAGAACGATCAATCTCCAATTCAGTACCCCCAGAGGCTTTGATTTGTTATGGGAACATGGAGGACTTTGCGACTTCACAGATTTAACGTGCATCAGTCACCATTTTACTCCACAGGGAGTCTTCGTCCGGCGGGGACCGAACTCTCAGACATGGTCCCAGTGCCCTACAGACCAGTCGGATATTAGTCCTTTCCTTTGCCTGTAAGTTATTATTGTGCGCTGTTAAAATACGTGAAGTTACTAAGCATGTCACTGATTTACGAAAGCAAAGATGTGAATTTTTGGAAAAAATTTCACAATTACAATTTTATTATTTCCAGACGAAAAATATACCAGAAACACATAATTTTAATCTAAAAGTAATTTAAGCTAATTCCACGTAATGTAGTGTAATGTTTTTTTTTTTTTTTTTAANTTTTTTTTTAAATGGCGGGCACTTGGAACTATTGTCCATTGGCCTCAGAAAGTGCCAGAACTGCTACCCTTTTCTTGTTACCCAGTGGGCACCTGTGGCGAAGCCACGGCGGTGAAGCAGCGTCGCCCACGTCACACAACCACAAACCCGTTTATAGGGCGGGTCATATCAACACCCTCTGTAACTAGACAAGGCCTGAGCTCTCCTTCAAGAACGGAAGCATGAGTCATCAAGAGAAGTCCTACTCGTTCGTAGCGAACTGGAAGTCGTCGAAGCTTCTATTCTGCTGTATCGCCATTACTTTTTTTTCGTGAACGCGTGGATTTTTATCTTTAACGTTGTTTTAAACGATAATTACTTCTAGCTAACTCCATTCAANAACAATGATTTTATTTTCTCTTACCAACATAACCACTAGGATCTCTTCCATCTAGTTCATACTTATCATTAAGATAGATCGCTATTTCAAGTGCCTCTTCTGGACTTTTTGTCCACTCTAATATCTTTTTTGCCCAATACATTCTGAGAAATCCATGCATTTTCCCTTCTCTTACCATCTGGTACTATAATAATTAGTATCATATTACTATTGCACAACAATCTTCATTTAATACAAACAAAAAATTAAAAACAAAATTACACACCTGTGCAGCATTCCATAGAAGGTCATGTGTTTTGGAATACTCAAATTGCTCTTTTGTATAAATATACTCCCTTTTGTCTTTAGAATGACTCCTCAAACTCTGAGCAGCCCAGCCATAGGTACCTAAAATTAGAAAAGTATAACTTTTATAAACTAAATAAGATTAATTAATAATTTATATACAATACAAAATCAATATGCAGTTATTAAAATAACAATTTACCAGTATAAAATTAGCTTACACCTTTATTTATTTATTTATTTTTAAATTATAAACAAAAGTCATAAAATATTATTTTCATTTCAGAATGAAAAATTAAAGTAAATTTGAAGTTAGAGACAGGATTTGCATAATTATTTTTCTACTGTAGAGCCTGTTACAACCCAGAACTGTTTCTCCAAGCATTCTCCATCGAACTTGATCTAATGCAAAAATTTACATACAAATATGAAAAAATAACACTACAAATGTAATACAGTAGGAAACCGATTATCCAGAACGATCGGGACCATCGCTATTCCGGATAACTGATTTTTTCAGTTTTCTGAATCGAAAAAAGCCGTTTTTTTTATTGTTAAACCCAACTAAAAAAATATTTGGAAAAAATCTTAAAAAGAAGAAAAAACGATGAAGTAATACACTAATGATTATTTCCAAAATTATGGTAAGGTAAACATCTTTCAAAAAAGAAAGAAAAATCTTATGAGGAAAAAAAAATTTTTTAAATGGCGGGAAAATTTATCGAATTTCATTCCGTTTTCTGATTTCCGGATAACGGGTTCTGCACTGTATTTCATTTTATCTCAATAATTTAAACCTTTTATTGTAAAGGAATAGATTTTCAGCGAATTCATATCACTTTATCTTCCTGCACTTTTTTTTACATTCTGATGCATTTTTTTAAAAAAATCCAAAATTGAATAAAAAAAAGTAACTTTTTATTAAAAAATCCTAGTTTAAAATTTTTCTCCCCAACTTATTATAAAAATCTGAGCATTTTATGTAAAATATTGATGATTTTGCAAAAAAACATAACGACTTTCCTATAGCTTTTGACAGTTTTGCTTATAGGTAAATTTGAAAGAAAGTTTCATTGCAATTTCCTTAACCAATAACATGGAGAGGACTGGTTTGCTACCTAAAAAAGAATACAAATGGGACTTCATACATAAACATTGCTAGGATTAATTAACTTTGCTTCCATAATAAAATTTCTTTTAGTACATATTTGAGTGAATTATATGAAGCAGCTATTATTTTTCAAACAGAAATATATGGCAAAACAAAGTTACCTTCCTTTTTTTTGTCCCACTCATTTATTTGAACAATTATATTTCTTTTTATATGAAAAATTAAAAAAACTAAATATAAAAAAATTATGTAGTAAAAAAATAATAAAGAAACAGAACATTCACTAAAGGCTTTTATTCAGAATAACAGTTTGTGTTTTCAATATCGAAGCATATTTTACCCATTGCCGAAGAATGTTTGTTTCCATCTAGTCTGAATTTTACTATACACCATTCTACATAAGACTATCTTAAATGGAAAGCAGATATGTTAAATTATGCTACAAAGAATTTAAGGCGAATATATTGAGGAATTACTTACATTAATGTTTAATTTAGATTTTTTCTTGTAAAAAATGCAGACATAAGTTTGATAAAAAAAGGCATCAAATGTTATAAACACATTTATTTGTTCCTTTATTTTTTATTTAAAAATAAGCGTAGCTTTTTAAATATATTAAGTGATAAGAAAGCTTAAGCCTTTTGTAGTTTAAAGTCGGTGAATATGAAAACCTATATTCTTTGTAAGTCAATTAAAACTCAAAAATGAAGCAGATATGATCTGCAAATATTAACTAATAATATAAAGAATTTGAAATTATCATCTGCAGTGTTACAACATAAGTTTAAAGGGGGGAAATTACGGAAAACCAAGTAAATATTGCTGTTTCTGAAAGAAAAATACTCAATTTTGTTTTGCTCAAAAGCTCCATTCACACTAAATATAAATAAAAAAACAATGGCTAAACGCGGGGACTTATGAAAATAATAAGTATCGAATTTTTCAATCACCCTTTTAAAAGTTATTTTATTGAGTAGTTTTTATTTGCTTAACATGACTATACTTAAAAATAAATTTATTTTAAATTAAATGAGAGCCCTAAGTAGGTCTTAAATTTTGCATTTTTTTCAACATTGTTTATTTTCTGTTTGTTTATTTCAATCATCTTTGATAATATTTTTTTACAAACAAAAATAGCTTATTATTTCTTTAATGAAAACATGGTAGCATATTGCTGGTCTTGTAAGTCAATTATAAGAGAATTTAAAATAATTGGGTCAAAATAGGGGAACAATGTTACTCCGATTTTGCTTTTTACAATTGAGATACAAATATAGTTTCAGTTATAGAATGGTTATTTTATTCAAAAATTCTAGCTTAGGCTTTAAACAAATGAGTAACTTTTTCACAGTGACTGCTTAATAGTTTTCCCCTTATCAGACTCTTATTTTTAATTGTTATTAAACCAAAAATAGTTTTTTAAAACATGAGAATTCTATACATTTTAGTAAAACATTTATTTGAGGAGTACTATACGCACTATGCTATAAATTATATTTTAAACTATGCATCTTAGCTTCAATTGTGTGCATAACAATAATAATAACATGTTTAGATAAAAAAGAGGAAGAAAAAATATAAATAATTAATTTGTTTATTTTAAACAAAATATATTAACACATATTTTTTACCACCTCTTTCCCCTTCAAGCGTGACATCATTTCTGAACAGCCCATTAATAGTTGCATTATTTTTATTTTTCATTATTATGTTTAAATGTAGTTGATATAACTAAAACCATATCAATGTCTTCTACAATATTATTGCAGTCATCTTCAAAAACACTTCATTATTTTTATGAACTAATATTGCAATGCTTAATAAAAAATAAAATAAAAAATGGGCATAATCTTTTGAGTTTTTTTACTCTAATAGGTACAATAAGTCAAGAAATACAACAACAACAAAAACTTTTTTAAAATTATATTTAAGTGAAGTTATTTTTTTGTGTCCCAGGTCATGTACACACATTTGTAAATTGCATAACTTTCAAACTATTTGCACAAAAAGAAATTTTTTTTAAAAAAATTACTTTGAATTTTATCATTACCTTAATCATAAACTATAGCCTTTATTTTAAATTCTCTATAACTTTAAATTACCTTCTCACAGTTAACATGAATTATTAACACAGTTAACATAAATTATCAGTCATATCTTTCTTTTTTTTCTTTCTGGATCGGTTTTTAATTTGCCCTCCCTTTATTTAAATCCTTCAACTGCCTTGCTACATGTTTGAATTGGTACAAAAACTTCTCTCCAAACACAGTTTCTCCATTGAATGACAAAGAAAAAAAACTGGTTTCTTATGCAAGAAAACAACCAGTCCTGAACTTAGTTTGGGGTTGAAAGTTAAAATCTTAATTAGGACTTTACTTCTTACATATTTATTTACTTTACTACTAGCATAGATAAGTGGAAAAAGATAAAACTAAATATTTTAGAATTAATTAGAATAATTTTTTAACTAAAAAATCTGCGAATCAATATTAAAAGGTCAGTTGGGACTAGTTGGTCAGTTTTTTAGGTAACAAGAAGTTCTTTTTACTTTGTCAAATCCTGTCATATGTCTACAATAAAGTATATAATTTTGATTCATAATAAATTTAGTTATGTTTTAAAAGCAGCAATAATGATTAAATCAACTTGCAAAAAAGAAGGGGCAGAATCAAGAAATCATAACAATAATAATTAAAATAAGAAACGAAACTATTAGGAATGTGTTTATACATGCTTTTGTTGAAACCAATTTATAGATTCATAGCCATACAATCGCTGACATTTAGGAGGGTGGGTGAATTAAACATTAAGTGCATTCAAAATACCCATGATTTTAGTACAAGTTGAAAATATATAGATTCAGAAATGAAACAGACATGTTTCTACATTTATTTAAAAGTGGTGTTTATTAAAATTTGTATTAATTACATAAAAGTTAAAACATTCCTTTTCATGACAAAAAGGTTAACATCACAGTTATAAAACTGCTAAAAACAAATGAATTAAGAAATAAACATGCTGGCTGTGATTAACATATATACAGATGTAATATGCATCCTTTTTAGGCTTTACTTTTCTCTGTATCTTTGTATGAATGCATTAACATCAAACTTCCTCTGACAGCCCTTGAAGTTCATAAAGCGTATCTTTCCAAAAACTGCACGTTCAGCCCAGCCTTGATCATGGATACCACAAATGGACCACATACAACCTATTTTTATAGAAAAATAATTCATTTAGTAATATTAGATTTCTTAATTTGCATATTTTTTACACGTTAACTACATAATTACTTGGAACAACTGATTAAACTTTTAACTGTTGCTCTTTTCCTCAAATACAGTTTCGCTGTTAGTTATCTACTTTCATGTTATAAAAAACAAAAAAATTCTTCGATATATTTTTGCTCAGGCAAATAACAGTTAATAGAATAAGATTTAAAACTCATCGTATACAGCTAAGAAACAAATTCATCTTCAGCGCCAAAAACCAACATTTTCTATTATGATACTGATATTTTTTTTCCATAGAATAGAAATATTGTACCTTTAATTTTCGCCCTGTGTTTCTTGCACCATTTCTAAATTTTATATCCTGTAGCACTAACTTCTGGTATATATTCATACAAAATGAAAATTAAAAATTTATTTTACTAAACTGCGCTTCATTATATTCATTCAGAATATAATAGCAATTCTAAATATTTTGTTGCATATCTCTGCTGTTTAGCAATGCTAAATCAGGACTATGAAATCTGTCACACTAAGAAAGTCTAATACTAGAATTGGGTTTGTGAAAATATCTTGTCGGGAGAGCCACAGGAAATCTAGTACATGATCAGGGGTGGCCTGATGGTCAGCACACTTCACACAGGTTGGAAAAACCTTTTTTTCCATTGGAATAAGACAGATCTGAAATGTCCACTGATAAGCCCAAAAATTTTAACTATCAGAAAGAACAGAAATTTCTTCCGGCGATAATTTGCTAAGCATTTGTTGTTGTAAGAATCCTCATACAATAAATACATCTACAGAAACCAATATATATATATAATTTATTTGTGGGTTCACATCTTCCTTACTTCATAATGATCTTAATACTACCAAGCTATTGGATTGCCACTTCATAGAATGCTAAAAGATATTTTGTAATACATCATAAAAAATAAAAAAAATTAAAAAAAACTTTGCATTTTGCACTCACTTGAAAATATTCAGTTGCATTTAACAAAACTGAAATAGTTAAAATTCCTGGATTAAAGAGGGGAAAAAATTATAATGCATTTATTAAGAAACTTAACTTATTTTATTTCCTATATGTTGTTTGAAACAGAATGAAAAAAAATAATTTAGCAAGTTAACATAGGACTGTAAATATAAGGAAAATTGCTTATATAAAGTCATTTGCACTTTTATTAGTTCACATATTTTGTACATTTTTCACATATCTTTTTGTTTCATAGATCATTTTAAATCTTTTAAAATTTCAATTTATTTACCTTTTAAAAAAAAAATTCTCTACTTCAGCCAAAATTGGTTGAAACAAACACAGTTCAAAGCATAAAAGATGTGAAATCATATTTTAGACATGTTATAGAATTTACAGTAATTCAGTTTTATTTTTAAAGATAAATTGATATTGCTCTGAAAACACTAAGGAACAGTAATTAATTACTATTAATTAATATAAAATTATAAATTAACATTTATTATGGTCCTTAAGAGCTTAATTTGTTTTCTACAAATCTCTTTTGAAAGAAAAAAAAAGAGCATATTTGCAAATTCTAATAACAGTAACAATTTTTAAAAGTAGTTTGTGTGAAATCATTAATACAAGTTTAAAGATTTATTATGTTAAGATAAATAACGTTAAGAATTATATTTTAAGTGAAACATTAACGAGCACGCACCAACATAGCCATTAGGATCACGACCATCTAAATTGTATTTGTCATTAAAATATATAGCAAATTCTAATGCTTCCTCAGGGCTGTTGGTCCATTCCAGTATTTTCTTTGCCCAATACATGCGAAGAAAACCATGCATTTTCCCTTCTTTTTTGAGTTGGCGCTAAATCAAGAAGAAAATAAAATTATTTAAATGTACTCACGATAAATAACATGAAAAAGTAATCATGATATGTATTTACCTGAGCAGCATTCCACAAAAGATCATGTGTCTTGGCATTTTCAAACTGTTCTTTAGTGTAAATGTATTCTCGCTTATCTTTGCTATGATCTTTTAAAGTTTTTTTTGCCCAGTCATAAGCACCTATTACGTGGATAAATAATTATAAATTCCACAAAATCCCTTAGTTTCTTTATTTTTGTAATTATTTTTAGGGAGGTGCATATAGGTTAAACTAAGGGTGTAACAAATAGTGATTTAGAAAAAATGGTTCATAAACTAGTTGGAAAAAATTGGTTCATAGTACAGTTGCTACACTGCATTAAAAAGTTCATGTTATATTACAACAAATGTGAACAATAATTATGAATGGGTTTTAGCAAATAATTAAATATTAATTATCTTTCTTTTAAAGTTTTTTTATTAAAAATTAAACTTTACATTCTATTGCAACCATAGACATGAAAAGCTACGTTATGGTTGTTAATATATTAACTATAATTATAGTTCAAATAAGTCATAGTGAACAGTTTATATTGGCTATAGATTATATTCTTAGTTTTAGAGCAAAAAAGAAATTAATACCCTAAATGTTTGCTAAAACTATGTACCATGCAAATATTTGTGTAGTTAGAATCGCTATATGTAATAATATAACCAATATTAACGTAACTTTTGTTAAGGTGTAAACTTGCATATGATTATATAAACAACTGTTTTCAAATTGGTGATGTATAAAAATATAATTTTTATGACGAAAAAATTTTTTCTTAAAGAAAATACAATAATAAATTACAATTGGGCTAAAAAAATTTATCTTTCACGCATATTATCCTAAAGCAAGCTACTTGTCAGAACAATTCTTTTCAGTAAAAATATTTTTTTGAAAAGAATTATTCTAAAAATAAAATTTTTACAAATAAAACTTTACTTGAGCATTTTTAAATTCATTTTTATAAAAGGAAATTTTATAATTCAAAAATTAAATAAAAATTAAAATTCACATGCACACATATTTTTTTATACTTCATTTTTAACTTGGGACATTAGTACAGTACTTTAACTTCATAATTGCTTCTTCAAAACTCAGCGAAACTAAACTTTTGAGTAAGCAAGTTGTTTAATACCATATTTATGAATATCCCAAAATAATTGGTAAATAACTTTAAAAAGATTCTTAGAATAAAACACATGAAGAATTAATAAAGAAAGTTTAGCAGAAAATACAAAGGAAAATTGAATCTATTGTGCTGGCGATATAATCGTACTGGCAAAGTTCTTGTGTTTGCAAAATGATCGGGTTGTAAATGTCAGCTGTCTAGGAATTAATTATGTCAGTGATATGATCTGTCGGTGAAATGAAAGAAAAACCATTTTTTATCATCAAATTCTGGAAAATACACGATTATACACATTTTTTAATTATTATAACTTAAGCTTTCTAATTATAAATAATGCTTATCCTAGAAATATTATTAGGAAATTGAAAACTATAACTACTAAAACCATCTATTCTTTTATAAAAATAAACATCTTTGCAAGATAAAAAAATAAAAACTATAAACCTTAAAATAGAAAAAAACTTTTGAGAAAATAATAGTGAAAATAGAAAAAATGCAATTATTTTGCTATCAATGGTTATTGATTAGATATTAATGAAATATCAACACAGTAATAAGATTGTAATAATTAAATGGATTACCATCAACTTGGTCATATTTCTTGTTATAAAAGCAAAAATTATCGGACAGTTCACGTCTGATGACAGCTTCTTCTACAAATGCATCAACAGAAGCAGGATACTTGCTCCTTAATTTTGATACAACCAATATTGTTCTCTGTATAGATAGTTGACCTATAATGAAATGCATGAGCAAAATAAAAAGAATATTTAACAATATATTTTTATAAACATTAAAATAAAAAACACACTAATATTTAACAGCAGTAAAAACTAAAGTTGTTATGAAAATCAGTTTATAATCATCATTTAAAAATTATAACTAGTATGCTTTAAAAATAGAAAATATTCCAAACAATTTTTAAAAAAATGAAAAATATGTTTAAGATATTAGTCTAGAAAAAAAAACATTGATGGTGATAAAATATGCTTATTTTTTGTAATAGACATCTATCATTCAATCTGAAATTTTTTATAAAAATTTGAGTATTTCATTCAAATCATAAATTTTGTCTCAACTACTCATAATCATTTGAGCTGCTATGGCATAATGCTAAAAACATTGTGAAGAACTGGGATGTTATCCCTGGGTGGTTAAAAGACAATTCAGCTTCATCAGATTGATAGGTATTAGCCTGAATGGGAAATAATGGTGGCTGGTGCACAATGCGGACTACATTTTCACAATCATGCTGTTGTTAACAAAATTGCAGAGACTTAAACTCTTTGGCCCACAAAGGAGTAGCTGGAATATTACAAATAGGCTACTATATAAATAAGAATATTTTATTTAACTCTCCTTTTTTTCATATACCGTAAACCGGGGCGAGTCTACCCATCCAGGGGCGAGGGCATTTACCGACGGAGGACTTAGTTCAGACTCTAAGGAAGATGGCGCTGTAGTAGTTTGATCCGTTTTTATTTATTTGGTGTCTTTTTAACCGACCTGTTCAAACGCCTTTTGAGAGATTTGTATTGAAAATCAGCAAACTTTTAGTTGGTGCTCCGTAAGTATATTATTATTATTACTATTTTCACTTTGGTTAAGTGATAAACTTATCTAAGACTAAGATTACATTAATTTTATAAAAAAAAAAACAAAAAGAATGTAAGTTTTGCTGTTGTAAACAAAAAGCCAGAATTCGCGGGGCGAGTCTACCCATTCGTATTTAGTTTTAATAAAGCATAATAATATAATTTAGAACTTTGTTTATATTAAAATTAAGTCATTTTAAATGAATTTGAGTATATTATTTTAATTCTGCATTGATAAATTTATCATTAATAAGAAAATTTATAGGTTAAATATAAATGTAAATATAAAATATGTTTATTTTACCTATTTTTTCAATTTTTATATTACAAAATTAACTTTTTTTATTTAATGCAAGTTAAATAAATTATTATTTATAAATTATTATTACCTCCCAAAAGAATGGGAAAAGGATTTTTCATGATTCCCAATGTTTGAATTTCGATTTTGTTAATAATCTTTAATTATTATTATTTATTAATTATTTAATTGTAAATTTATATTAATTTTAATTTATTTTTATCAACAATAATCAGAAAAAAATGTTATTTTATAATGTTAATGATTATAAAAACAAAACTGTGATCAAAATGTGATAATCGATCAAATACTCAATTTGTGTTATTTTATGAATAAAAAAATGGAATATATAATAAAGTTATGAATTTTACTTCATAAATATCCTATATAGTAACTAAAATAACAATTTAATAGTAAAATTTGATTATTTACAATGTTAACATTCATTTTAGTAGAATGGGTAGACTCGCCCCATACGAGAGATTTGTCAGCAGTTCTATAAAAATATACAGTAACAGCGTAACTGTTAATATTTTCTAAAATCGATTTCACAGCTTTAAAGAGGGATAAATAGCGATTCCGAAACACCTATTAAAAGCCTTTTTTCTTTAATATTTACAAAAGTTTGGCCACTTGAAAGTTGACAAACTGAAAAAATGGGTAGACTCGCCCCGGTTTACGGTAGCGTAAATTTAGAGGTCTCAAAGTATAAAATATATTTTTACAAAAAAAAATATTAAAATTTTTTTTTATCATGATAAAAATATTAAATACTGTATATTCCTGCGTAGAAGTCAAAATATTGCAAAAATCAGGAGGTCAACTTATAAACCAGCAATAAAGTCGGTCATTCGCAGATACTGAAATATTGATGCGTTATAAATAATGAGATAGATATGAATAAAAACATATAACTCTACAGAAATATACCCCTACCAAAAACTATTTTTGATATGTTATATTCAGTTAATTTCAAATTTTCTGTCAAATTTTCTTTATTTATAAATGTTTTTTTTTTTAAAAAAAACATTACTTATAATTGGAATAAGAAAAAAATTAAGAATAAGAACATTTAAGATAATTTATTTGAGAGTATTTCAAAAAAAGATAAAGAAAGCTATGAGAACATATCATAAAGCTACAAATTTAAAGATTCCACTTTGCAATGCATTCTGTATTATCCTTATTTACTGAGTCTAACAAAAACTGCCTTCATCCCCCACCCCACCCAAAAGAATTTAAAACTCTACACTTTCTAAAAATTTTACAATGACATTTGAAATCATGCATCTGAGATTATTTGATGCATAACATCTATTGAAGCAGCTCCAACACAACACTTTTTAATGCATCTTTGAGGGAGAGCCTCATCACATCTTTTTTGACATGATAAATGTATCATATCCAAGAAAAGAATAAGAAACATTTTTAACATGGGACAATATTAGACTTATTAATTTTTTATATTTTTTGAAGTTTAAAAATTTTTCTACTTTGTTTTTTTAGCAGTTGACTCATACATCCAATATAACTGAATTCCCTATCTAGTAATCTGAACTAGGTGATCGACCTATACAATGGGTCGACTTACAAAGTATTATATATATTATGGTATGTAAATTATTATATATATGAGTATTATATATATACGGTAATGGTTTTTTAAAATATTTCAATAAAGGTAGTTTTTTTAAATGCTTAGTTTAAGAGTTCATCAGTAAATTTAGAATTAAAATAAGGAAGAAAACTTCATGCAATATTTAAAGGCAAGAATGATAAAATTTGTAATTTCATATGACACTTGAAAGCAGTATTGGTCAATATTTTTTCTCTTATTCACTTCCCAGAAGAAAAAAAATATTCAAAAGTTTTGATATGCAATGTAAACATCATTTTTATTACAAAAATGTTTTTTAATCACTGCCTAAATCACAAGAGGATGTAATTTTTCCCCTACACCACCCTTTAGAATCCTGTTTTAATGAATTGCAACACTGTTTTAATGCAATGGCCCCCATACAAAATATGCAATATACACCAGACATAAAGAACATGTTTATTTTTCAAGAATGATGTGTGACATAAATTATATGCTTGAAATCGTTATCACTATCAAATAAAGAATACAAAGACTATTTGCATAATTTGATAACAGTTCAAACAACAATTTTAAAGTAAAAATAAGCCTACCAAAATGAAACCAAGGTGAAAGATTGCTTAGATTGTTTTTTGTAGGATCATTACGGCAGTCGTGAAAATGTTTTAGCCTGTCTTTGCAGAAACTTGATAGTTGCTTCAAACCTGCAGTAGTACCAGGAATAGCCCATTTAACTTCATCAACATCCATATTAACCTCCAATATTTCTTCAACACTGTTCCAATCAACTGGCTAAAAATAGAAATAAAAAAAAAAACGAAATAAAAATCAAATCATTTAAATTAAGATACTTCTAATACGAATTAATTTGATTAAAGTGACAGAAAAATTATTTGTCCCGAAAAAAGTCACGCAGCTTAAAATTAATATATTACACAAGAGATGTTAATTCCAAATACTAAACATTTTATGCAATATTATGTCTCATAACAGCATGTTTTCTTTTTCTTTAAGCTACAATAAATTGAGTATAATGAATAGAAAATTTGACAAGAAATTGATGTGCAAATACCCACACGCAATACACAATATCAGAAAACAAATAATTATAAATTGTGAAGTAAGAATATTATTCAATGAATAAAATTACTTTAAATTTGCATTCTGGAGTGAGTTTATTTTTCACCACTGGAGGAAAATCTGTAAGGTATTCTTTAAGCTTGTCGTGTATCTTCTTCCTGATAGTTCTAGCACCATATTCTTGCTTATCTGAAGCAACCCAGCATGGTACTATGTTGTGAGCATCAACCTGATGGAATAACCACAAAGAAAAAATAATTCACACTCTCCCCAAAGAAGAAGAATTTACTTGAAATGTTATTTATTTTAAGTTAAATTTTCAATATAAGTTTAGCTAACTGTAATTTAAGCTAAAATTGAGTGATAAGGAGTGATTTAAAGAGTGATAAGGATTTTTTTTTTTTTTTAAATTGCAGCAGGTAAAACATATAGCTAAAGCAAAAAAATGATGAATGACGAAAGACTAAAATAAATCTCTGAATCATAACTATTTAGGCTTCTCTATTTCTCTGTGAAAAAATATCTTAAATATTTTTAAAATTATAATTATTGATTTTATTTGAACATAAAAGAAGTAGGCTATAAGCAGTCTTGTTCTTATTTGAGAATTAAGTCTTAACATTTTAATCCTCTTTCTATTTGTAAATACATAGCCTGGTAGGATAAAACAAACAAATTTTGTTTTGAGTAGTAAAATAAATAGATAATTGAAACGAGAGAGTTGCATTAAGTCTTAATAAGTTTGACTGGCAAGTCATATAGAATATTTTTTGTAAATAAAATCAGTAACTAATTGAAATAAGACTCTCACTGCACTAAAAAATTCTAAACTAAGAGGTAAATTAAAAGTATAAAAGCTAATTTTGGTTAACATGAATATTAACTCGGTGAATAAAACAACAACAACAAAAAACTGCTGCAAATTATAATAATTTTAAAAAATTAAGAAAAACAGAAATTTACCTGGCATAATGGAACATCGGGAGGTAACTTGGATGCAAGCTCTGATACCCATTTTTGTGGAACACGTAAAGGTGAAAAATCTGTCACAACTCCTCCAACTTGATTATCTTTCACAAATTTAGGTAAAACATTTTTACTTTCACCAAGCAATAAATGGAAATGAATGTTTAAAGACTTACACTCCTAGTTCAAAAAGAAAAACAGAAGAGAAAATAGTTAACAATAAAGAAAACAGTTAAAAACAGAGGAAGATTTGGAAATTTTTTTGAAGTATTTCATTATGACATATAGGTACGTAATGCACAAGTAATTAAAATTTTTTTAAAACTGCAAAATATAAAAGAGCCACATTGATTTTTAACAAACGTAGCTATATTTTGCTATATTCTTTTAATATTCTATTATCTACATTTTTTTAATATGCTACTTAATATTTATTACATATACATTTTCTATATATAATATATATATACAGTGAACTCTCGCTACTGCGATATCCGATACAACAATAACTCCCTCTATTACGANATTATATATATATATATATACTTTTTTTTCTTTAAACGAAAACTTAAGATTGCTTTAAGAAATTTATATGGGTTACAACTTAGAAAATAAATGATTTTATAGAAATACTTCAGCGACATTGGCTTCAATAGAATTCTATGTGGATTAGTTTAGTAGTACTTTATTTATATCACACTTGTGCTGCACAGTAGGGCGAAACATCTCTGAAACATCTGCGAAACATCCCTGAGAATCTGAAGACCACAAAAAAAATCAAAAGAGGATCAATACCAGACACCTGCTAACTGACTACTGCCGATGAGGCTTGATTTTTGCGATATACTTGAAACCGTGTCTTACGATCACAGTTGACATTGACAGTTCTCAAATGCATTAGAATAATTTATTGAAAAATTAATCAAAATCTTTTTGGCTGATAAAGGGCATGAAGTTCCTACATCAAATAAGTCAGAATATGACAATCTATAAAACTGGTAGAAACACATAAGCTTTGTTAGCATATTTTCAGCAACTTGGAAATTTTAACAAAAATAAATCTTAAAAAACATTTTTAGCATGTGCTATGCTTTTGTCTTTGTATATTTTACAGAAAATAAATTCATACTATCAATCACAATACATGCCAATATTGCAGCATGCAAAATTATGAAAGAATAGATACAAACAAGTAATAAAGCTTATTTTTAAAAAAATAAATAGAAATCACTACCCTAACTGCTGAGAAAAAAAATAATAAATAAAAGAAATAAAATTTCAGTTCCAATCTAAACAATCAGTTTGGAAAACTCTGTAGATAAATAAAATATATACATACAACCTCTACTGAAATACTTTAAAATTTAATCTCAATGTGTTGTTTTATTCAAATAGCAATTGCACCTGATCTCTTCATTGATGTTTTAGAATCAGAAAATTATTAAGGAATAGAAAAAAATATTAAGGCAGTTTGAAAATATATATCAGGTAGTTTTTAAAAAAATATTAATAAAGCATACATAAAAAAGTAAATCCTACATAATTTATAGCTATGTCTTTTATAAAATTTAAAAATTAAGCTTTCTAAATTAACAGGGTGCATAGCCAAATCTTTCAGCAAAAAATAAGCATCTTTTAAGTACTTTTTAAGCACTCAAAAAATATTTTTAAGCATCATATACATTAACAAAATGCAAAATAATTTCAAAGACTTTGCTGATCAAGATAAAATAACTAGTTTCTGACAACTCTTTTCTTGATTATATTACCTATTATAAAATGATCAAGAGATTTTTTGGCTCGATATCAGAGGACGAAAAATGAAGCCTGAAATAGAGAATATCTTGCAAAATGCAGCAGAGTTGCACATGAGAGAGCAATAATCTCACTGAACCCAGCTCAGTCGACGCACATGCGAAACATGTAAACTGATTGGTGCTTACATACGCTATGGGCCGACGGTACGCCGAAATAGATTGTGATTGAATGAATCGTGAAAACGTTGAATAGAACAATGAGAAAATCCTGCTTTTGCATAACACATGGCGAAAATCGACATGGTAAAGAAAAAAATCTCACTTTGGTAAAGTGAAAATTAAGCAATGTTTAAAAACACCCAATCAAAAAAAGCACCTCTAATGGCTTTTAAGAAACAAAAATAGAAAATAGGCACTTTTTACACGCACCCTGATAAATAAATATTTAATGTAAAAATTAGGTTCTATTTTACCTCTTCTACCTCTTGAAGACCTTTCAGCATAAACCGATAATGCCGAATAGTTGCTTCCAAGAACTTTGGGACAAGGCAAAAGCATACACAAAGAGGTAAGTTGATCTTAAAAGCTAGATTTTGAGCATACAGAAAAGCCCNCACCTGATCTCTTCATTGATGTTTTAGAATCAGAAAATTATTAGGGAATAAAAAAATATTAAGACAGTTTGAAAATATATGCATTGATTTTTAAAAAAATATTAATAAAGCATATATAAAAAAGTAAATCCCATATAATTTATAGCTATGTCTTTTATAAAATTTAAAATTAAGCTTTCTAAATTAACAGGGTGCGTAGCCAAATCTTTCAACAAAAAATAAGCACCTTTTAAGTACTTTTTAAGCACTCAAAAAATATTTTTAAGCACTATATACATTAACAAATTGCAAAATAATTTCAAAGACTTTACTGATCAAGATAAAATAACTAATTTCTGACAACTCTTTTCTCGATTATATTACCTACTATTAAATGATCAAGAGATTTTTTGGTTCGATATCAGATGACGGAAAATGAAGCCTGAAATAGAGAATATCTTGCAATATGCAGCAGAAGAGTTGCACATGAAAGAGCAATAATCTCACCGAACCCAGCTCAGTCGACGCACATGCGGACTCGCAAGTATTTCATCAAACATGTAAAATGATTGGTGCTTTCATACGCTACGGGGCGACGGTACGCCGAAATGGATTGTGATTGAATGAATTGTGAAAACGTTGAATAGAACAATGAGAAAATCCTGCTTTTGCATAACATGTGACGAAAATCGGCACGGTAAAGTGAATCTCCCTTTGGTAAAGTGAAAATTAAGTAATGTTTAAAAACACCCAATGAAAAAAAGCACCTCTAATGGCTTTTAAGAAACGAAAACAGAAAATAAGCACCTTTTTAAAAACGCTACACACCCTGATTAATAAATATTTAGTGTAAAAATTAGGTTCTGTTTTACCTCTTCTACCTCTTGAAGACCTTTCAGCATAAACCGATAATGGCGAATAGTTGCCTCCAAGAACTTTGGGACAAGGCAAAAGCATACACAAAGAGGTAAGTTGATCTTAAAAGCTAGATTTTGAGCATACAGAAAAGCCCAATTATCTGAAATAAACAAAGATTAGTTTTGTATTAACAAACTTAGATAAAATGAAAAATTTTCTGCTAACACAAAATCTAAATTAAAAAACTTTTTGCAAGCATTGATTTAACTCTTGTAATTAGTTTCAACCCTTTCGTCACCACCTCATTTTAGCAAAATTCACTGATTTTTTTAAAGAAATGTTTCATTTTTATAGAACTTGATATTAATTCATTCCATAGGAATGAGTTTGGTAAAAAAAAAAGAAGCTAAAAATATAAATCGAAAAAGTTATGTGCAAGAACACGTTTTAAATAATTAAAAAAAAACCTGAAATTTGAGTTATAAAAAGTGTAAGCATGAAGGATTTATCTGCAGAATGTTATCAACGTTTTAATAAAAATATCGATATGAGATTTTATTTATTAATTTAAACTATGTGAATATGAATCTCAATGTGTGATTTTCAAACAACATGATTACTAAAATATAAGTTCGGTTTTGAAATCCTGTGCATATGAGCGACACGTTTGTTCATATATATTATACTGGTCAGTGTATTAGCGGGGAAAAATTATTTCAAAAACTAAACTTTAAAGATACGAGACAAAATTTAAAAAAAAAATTAACTTTCTTTCAAGGAACATACAATAGTTTACTTGACTTCCAATGGGTAACCTTGATAATACAGTAAAACATGAGTAAGTTGAACGCAAGATGTGCATTGCCTTAGTGGACAACTTATTGAGAGGATAAGTCACTCTTTTTTTTTCCTATTATTTCTTAGGTTACGTTATATTATATATATAATAATAATAATAAATCAAATACCCTATGTATCTTGAGAAATGAGATTAATTATAAGAATGAATTACAATTTGTTACACTACTACATAAATTTAGGAGATTAATAATAAGAGTGACAGTTTTTTTTTTAAACTGCTTATAATATAAAATTTCAGGANTTAACTGGTCCATCTTTTAACTGCTTATAATATAAAATTTCAGGACTTAAAATTATTATTTTCACATTTATTGTAACCATATATTTTAATATTAACAAAAAGTGATTTCGAAACTAAGTATTGACATGAAGATTTTTGTTTAAAAAATTGCAGTTTGATTGAACTAGTTAAGCTGGAAGAGTTTTTAACATTTAAATAAACTTCGTAAAAATTTACATTACTGGTTTATTGATCTAACAAAATATCAAAATCTTTAAATTCCTTTATTGCTATATAAGTTTTTTAATTACAAATGTATGTGTTTCTTATTTGATAGTTAGTATAAATAAGAATATATTAATTAGTAATTTTGTCTTAATTTCCCAAGTGTTAGGATTACTATATCACTTATACTAATATAATTAAGCCTAACCAAACCCCCACTCCCAAAAAAAATCTGGTTACTGCCTTAACATGATACATATACTAGAATTTTTAAAATGTTCAAGCAAGAGAAAAAATTTAAATTGCTATACTTTAAGTATAATAATGACAAATTCAAATTTTATCTCTAAATATACTATTTTTATTTTCAGAATTGCTTTATTTAGAATAGAAAGCATTAACAGTTTCCAGTATAATTTTATTAATGGCGCATTGGACAAATTATAATAATTTAGGACAGTAAAAAATTTTATAGCATTGCTGCAATTTAAAAAAACCAACATCAATACATTACATCAATACAAACATCAATACAACATATTCTCCCTAGCCAATATTTAATAAAAGATTTGTAATAGAGTTCAAGACTTCCTTAATCAAATAACTTTAAAGTAGGTTTTCAATAATCTTGAAATGAAATGAAAATGTTAAGTGAATAGTTCACTTAACAATTTTGTTCTAAAGTAGTTTAGTGGATAATCTACCACTTAAAAATTCAATTGCATGACAACTATATTTCTGATTAAGATTCCTGATTTTCTAAATCACACAAAAGAGACGAATCAATAATTGTAAACCTACTAAAACTTCACAAGTGGGTTTTAGTAGTTTACTTTTTTTTCATTTGCCTTTTCTGAAAAATAATAAATAAATGGATGAGTCATATATTCATTAGCATAAAAATTTGATAATATATTAATTTTTAATTGAATTTATGCTTTAGAAAATGACTAAATTCCCTAAACGTTTACAGTAATGCATCTTGCAAGTAAGGTCCCCGTTATATATATCATCATAGGTCTCCATTATTGCATATAATTAGTGAATGGTCACTAAGTTCGAACTATCCAATTTCACAAATTAACTTTTCAGATAGCCAGATGCAAGCGGAAAGTCGCCAAAAAATTTAGACCTCTGCCAAATTTTTTTTCTCATTTATTTATCTTTTAAATACATAAAATATAAATGAAATAAAATTTAAAAAATAGTTGGATTTCTTCGTGCTCGGCTAGCTGAAAAGTACCAATTAAAGTAAAAAGGTGCTTCAAAAATTCTAATGTTTTAATTGTTCCAATAAATTATCTTAAAATGCGCATTCTAAATTATTTTTAAAATGCACATTCTAAATTATTTTAAATTGCATTCTAAGAAAAGGGATATTCTGAACACATACAAAAATTAGAACAAATAAATAAATAAAATATTTTGTTTGAGGAATTTCAGGACGAAGTTTTTTTTTTCAGTTAATTTACGAAGAGTTTAATACAGTATTCAATAACACTGGGATATTTCCGTATCGTGATCTGTCGACCCAACTACAATCACTAAGGTGCCAAATGGATTTTAAACATGCAAATTTTTTTTAAAAAAAAAAACATTTAGTTTTGCCCGGGGGTGGCTACGAGTTATAACTTTCAAGTTGGTCCCTTTCTGTGATGATTTTTTTAGTTTCTCGCGGGCCACTGCACACCAACACTTGGCGATAATTCTGCCACAGATCACGATGCGGAAATCTCCCCCAATAACACTGTATTATAATATAGAGTGAGATTATTAAAATAAACTACAGCTACTTAGTAGCTNTGTCTTTGGCAGTAGTTAATACTCTCACTCGCTTCTTGTTAAATTTAAAATCTCGTATGGATGCAGCACATGATAATCTGGATTTTTTTATATTTTCAACTAAATCAGAATCATTCTGGACAGTTTCATCAAGCTTGGCTTTTTTAACTGGTCCATCCTTTTCACTCAATTTGTGCTTTTTCTCAGACATCGTAAATTTTGACAATCGGATACTGAATAAGGTAAAGCTTCTGTTAAAAAGAATAAGACCTATGACAAAGAAAAAAATATATTCAAATTATTGAGCAAGACGTAAAACATGAAAAAAAAATTATAAATAATTTTTAATTAATTTGATGCCCACACTTGTTTATAGATTATAAGAAAAAGAGAATAAAAAAATGTCCTTAAAAACTATAACGAAACTTAATGCTTCGAAAATAAACAAACAAGACACTATTTTGAGAAAAATTAAAAGATAATAATTAAATTAAATTTATTTATTTAAAATTAAAAAATATCTCCAACAAAGTAAATAAAAGTAATACTTGTCCCAAACATGAACTATTAATTATACCTTACAGTTGTTATATAACGAAAAAAGCTGCGCGGTAGCTTCACGCGGTTGGCACGGCAACGCATTACGTAACATGTTGTTATTGCCAACCATGAAAAACTTTTTAACAAAAAATAAGCATTTGATTTCACTTTTCTGCAAAAATTAAATAATGGAGTAAAATAACGAATTAAGAATAATTTGCCTTAAATAAAAAAAATTATATTTACTAAATTTGATATTTTTAAAAACCTCGATAATCGATATACATTTTTGACAGGCTGTCTGAGGCTTACGTAATTTCCAATTCATCAGTTCTGTATGTACAGTTTTTTCAGTTTTGAATCAAAATATTTTGTATAATCTGTATAAATCTGGGACTATTCACCACTTACAGTTTAGTCCATTCAGAACAGTGCGCAGAATTGAACTACTTAATTTTATTACTGATCTCTTGTGATGTAAACAATACAAGTTTATTTCCGAAGAAAACATTCCATTTAGTATTTTTCATCACTTTTCTCTAATTGTTTTTTTTTTATATCTGAGTAGTTTATTTAAATTAATTAATTATGATTCACAGCCTTTTTATTATAAATCAGTCTGGGTAAGTGTTCTTCCAATCATGTATATCAAAATTAAGTTAAATGTAAAAAGTTTGATCACACAACTAGGTTAAATGTATTGAGAAGTTATTGCTATGTGATTTCTTGTTCCCAATAGCAAATGAAATATGTGTCCTAATTTGCGTCTTCGATATAAATGTGACTTATATGACAAATGATACAGACATGACAAAATTTAAATGTTAATATTCCAGTCAATTTCAAAATTTATTTTTCATAATTTAATCTTTCTTTAATTGCAAAAAGAAGAAATGTCGTTTTAAATAAATTTTTTTAAAAGAAATAAAGTTGAAGTTTTTGTTTCAAGACCTGACGCTACTCTATTATCAACTATATACCTAAGGTTATTATAATAAATAGCATTGCTTTTATTCCCATCTATAATGTATTAGTGCAAATTCTATGAGTTTTTGTTTTAGGAAAAAAGGAATCAAAAGATTTGCTTCAAATTTATTAGAATATGAGAAATTAAAATTTTAAATATGGGACCTCTGATTTTTCTTTCTAAAGGCAGCTTAACGTAATTAATCATAAATATATAATAATATTAGGTAATACAATGTTTTTTCTTAATTTCAGGAAATTCTATCCTTTTTTTTTAAATTTAAGATCCAGAAAAAAATTTTTTTTTGAAATTAAAAAAAAAAAAAATTTATATCCGCTTTTTATGAAATTGACCATTTTTAAATGTTTATAATTGTAGATATTGTTTACTCACTTTTTTCCAAAGTTATATGCATTTAAAAATTACACACTGGTGCAAAATTTTTGTGATGGTTGAGTTTATCATTGACTTGTTACATTTCATTTAATGTTGCTGTAGTTGTAGTTCATTTACCTTGCCCTAGAGCTACACAATGGGCTTTTGGCGAAGGTCTGGGAAATATCCCTCAAAATGATCTGAAGTCTCTGATTTTGATCATCTGCAGAGGGATGGCACCCCCTCTTAGTAGCCCAATGACCTGCACGCGAAGTCGAGCACTTAATGATAGAACAGTTTAAGGAGCACCAACACTGCGCAACCTCGGTCCCTATGCAGACTGTTCCAAATAGTTACCCACCCACACACTGACCACAGCCAGTGATGCTTGACTTTGGTGATCTTCTAAGAACCTAGTCTTAATGATCAGTCCACTGTGCGATGTATTCCAATTAATGAACTGCAGTAATAGGCAATATAATATATGTGCTAACACATCGGTAATACTTTTCTGTCTTGCAATTGTAATTCAAGTTTTAAAATTGTTGTTAAATCATTGCATATGATTAAAATAAGGGAAATAAAGAAAGGATTTTTGCTTAATCATAAAATAATAATAATGATATTAATTGTGTTCTTCAGACTTGTAAACTGTCTAAAATTTAATAAGATATGAAACAATATTAAAATTTTATAAAAATATTTTTGTTTATAAATTCCTTATTTTGCTGTTCTTTGAATAAAATTAAACTTATGTTATTAGTTTGTATTTATTCTTTAGTCTAGATCATTTGTTTAATTTTGAAACTTGTTGCTTAATTTCTTATTGCATTTACTTAAATCATACACTAGAAGTTTATGCATTGTTAGTAACTGAATACATATTTTTTAGAGATGTTTTCATGGAAAAACACTGGAAAAGTGTAATACATCGGTCTGTATGTGATTACTTTTTTGATGCTCAACGTAAAGCAGCTTCACCTGAAGATATACAGCCTATTATAGCCACTCCACATCATTACCTTATAAGCATCTATCGATGTAATTTATTTTTTGTTGCTGTTACAACTTCCGAAGGTATTTACATTATACTTCATTTTCTATGGAAATTTGTTGAACATTTTATTTTAAAAGTAAGATTGCTATCCATCTTAGCATTTGATTAAAAAATAATTTACTACATTTTACCTAAAATCAAATTAACTGCTAATGTTATAAGTGTCACAAGCAGACCTTTTATTCTTAATTTCATTTTCCACCTTTCCTCTATGGGAAAGGAAAATAAATTTAAGTATCACAGAGGAAGGAAAAAAAGTGTTCTAACTACTAAATCAAAATTGTAAATTATTTTAAATGATGAAAAGTTAGTAACTTCAAACAGTTATGTATAGTTGGGGGGAAAAATTTAGATTTGCTTTAATGTTGAAAATCAATGGAAATTAGTAAATTTTATACTCCAAATATTTGCTATACTTGAAATTATTACCATATGTAATATGCAGAGCTATAATATCCAACTGATTGTTTGTAATCTAAGATAGTCTGTTGTGGATAAATTTAAGAATATTTAAATACCAAATATTTTGAAGTTAAGGGAGAAAATATGTGTAGCCTTTAATTTTTTCATAGTCTTTTTATAACATTTTTAATATTAAAACTTTATTCACTTATAAGTAGTTTATCATTTTGTTTGTGAGAAAAATCTTTCTTATTGCTATTATACGTAAAATATAAACCTTAACAGCTGTGTAATATTTAACCTAATGATCTGATTTTCATATATTAAGGTGTAATCTGAAAGGTTTGAAGGACCAACTTAAAGAATTACTTTATGCAGACAATATTCTGAGTTATGAACAGACTAAAAAATATACTTTTTCTGAATAAACATGTCTTTATTTTCACAGATTTAGGTTTTTGTTGCTCAAATTGTAAATCTTCAAATATATCTAGAAACTGTAGCTCCAATAGGGTTTTTAGGAGAGCAAATGCATGTCAGGGATGAGATTTTTTCGCTTTTGTCTCTCGAATTTCAGCCTTTTTATCAAAAATTTTGATTCTCTATAAGTTTATATCTATATATATTCCGCTTTTTCTGAAAACTCAGCCGTTGAAATAAAATAATTATATCTATTTCCGATTTGATTATAATATATCTAAAGATGTATAGAAAATTCAAACTACGTAGCTGCCAACCCTTCCGCATACTACTTATTTCAGCTATTAGTTTTTAAGAGCAGAAAATATGATTTTTCTCATTTTTACCCGTCCCCTAGATAGCTCAAATTTACCTGATTTTTATTCACGCAATTTCAATATCGTTCATTGCAGTTCTTATTTACGAGATTTACAAATCCAATATCACGATTTGTATTGAGGCATTTTTAAAATTCTATGTAACGATTCGATTTAAAATCCAGCGAACGATTTAAAATCCAAAATCGCTGTTTGTATTCATGCAATTTTTAAATCCTTTATCGCGATTCTTGTAAAAGGTAAGTTTTTTTTTCTTGAATTAGTTATACTATAAATGCGGCAGTTTTTCTATCGATGATTCTTGCTATACCTAGGCATTACAACATCAGCGAAGCTGGATGAGAGTATGTTACTGATAGTTTTGCTATAAATCACGTAAGATTTACTGGCTTGAAAATTTAGCTTTTTTGCCTTTTGGCCAATCTCATCCCTGGCATGTTCATATAATGTAATTTTGTCTAATCTCTGGAACTATTTAAGCGAATCAAAACAATTTCGTATATTATTAAATTATCCTATTATTTTTATTTAAAAATAATTTTATAAAATATAAATAATTTTATAAATTATGGGGTTTTCAGGAGAGCAAACACATGTTTATATAATGTAACTTTGTCATATCTCTGAAACTATTTAAGCGAATCAAAACAATTTCGTATATAATTAAATTATCCTATTATTTTTATCTAAAAATAATTCTATAAAATCGATAATTTTTTTTTTAAAATTTAGATTATGCAATATTTTATTATTTAGGATTTTATATTGGACCGTATTTCCCAGTTTAAACATGTTCTCGTATCTTGAGGATCGGTTAAAAAAAATCTTCACTCTTGGTCAGAAAAAAATTGAATGTTTCTTCAGAAAAATTTTATATTCTTCTGTTTTTGTTGCTTAAAACATTGCATGTTTCACTCTAAGTTAATTCCTCAAAGCATTCAGTATCTTTGTATGCAAAATTCTGATTAGTAGATCGAAAGTAATTCAGCTGTTCCATTTTTTTATTTTTCTATCCTTAATCAATTAATTGTTTCACACTTATACAATATGGCATTGAAATTAATATTCAATACACAACTTTCTGATTAAGTAACAAGGAAAGAAACTTGTTTTTTCAGTAGATAAAATAACAGAAAAGACTTTCTTAGCTGTTCCAAACGCTCATTTGGTTTAAGAATAGTAGGCTTATTTTGTATAGATATGGCCTGGTATTTCTCCTGCAGTAATATTATGCTTAGTTGTTCAATAAACTATGTGTGGCTTTTTATGATATTTATAGTCTATTTTATTTTTAGTATCACCTCTTTTTGTGATAGAATTCTTACATAGAGTGGTAGACACATTTGAAGATTATTTTGGAGATTGCACTGAGTCTCTTATTAAAGAACACTATGTTGTTGTGTATGAGGTATTATTATTGTTTTTAATTAATTCAGAATAGTTTTGTTTATTTAAGCTCTTTAATGTTGTAATTATAGCATTAATTTTTCATTTATTCCAAGTATGTAATTTGTTTGTTAATTTTTATGGAGAGTCCTTAGTTATCCTAATTCTCATCACTTAAATTTCATAATCTTGAAACATTTATTCTTATTATTTAAACTATAACACTTTAATCCAGAATACAGAATCTAGAATTTACTTAAATTTTTTTAAGTATGTTTTGATTTTTGGGAAGAATGCACTTTTTCTTGCAAAATCTTAAAATATGTCTGCTTAGAAATACAAATTCCCAAATTTTCTACATGGGGCTTATATTTTTCATACACGAGTCAGCCAAAGAAGCTCTGTAAATCGTACATTGTTGTTCTTTTTCATTTGTTGTTTTGTAGTTTAATAAAAATTATTTAATGTGCTCAAATTTACAGCATAAGAAAACATCATTAAATTTTATCTCTTTTTTTTTGTGGTCAAAATTTAAATACAGTAGGGAACAGATTATCCGGAACGATCGGGACCATCGCTATTCCAGATAACTGATTTTTCTGAATCGCTATAAAAAGCCTTTTTTTTTTTTATTGTTAAACCCAACTTAAAAAAAAAATTTTGGAAATAATCTTAAAAAGAAGAAAAAACGATGAAGTAATACTCTAATGATTATTTCCAAAATGATGGTAATCTTTAAAAAAAGAACAAAAAATCCTGAAATCTTATGAGGAAAAACAAATTTTTTTTTTTAAAAAAATGGCAGGAAAATTTATAGAATTTCGTTCCGGTTTTTTGGTTTTCTGATTTCCGGATAACGGGTTCTGTACTGTATATGAAAATATTTTTATTTTATTTTTCCGCTAAGTACAAAATCATGAAATATTATCAAAAGGGAATAGTTCTAGCTCTAGCAAAATTCGTTTTAAATAACCCATATTGATTTATTTTACTTAGCTTAAAATATAAAATTGATAACTTACTCTTATTTATTGAACTTAATATTTTGTTCAGTTATCTACTATTATTGTTTGGAAAAAATTACATCCATTATGGATTCAGATTTAAATACAGATGTAAAATATTCCAAAGTTATCAATAAATTTGTGTTATTGAATGTTAAACAAGTGAATGTAAAACCATTTTATCTTGTTTCAATATCCTTCACTTGTGAGTATCAACTTTTATGAATAATGGTAAAATATTCCACTTCCATTCATGTTCTCTGAAATAGCATGTAACTGATTGTGATATGAATAAATTTCTTATATTTCATCTTCTAATTGTACCCTAAAATGTCTTTAATGTGATATGCTTATTAAATAATTTTTACTGAAGTTATTTGAAGTTAACTTTTTGAATTAATTAGTAGTATTCTTTAGTTTAGGGACTATTTCATAATATACTTTATAAAAATTAACAATTTGCTCTTTGCAGCTTTTGGATGAGATGTTGGATAATGGTTTCCCATTAGCGACAGAGTCAAACATATTAAAGGAAATGATAAAGCCTCCAAACATCTTGAGAACTATTGCAAATACAGTAACTGGCCGTTCAAAGTAAGTAACTCAGTTGATTAAATAATATGTTTTGAATATAGGTCTGTAGGTAATGGTAAATAAATATTTCTGTCTGGAATATTGAATGTATATTTTCTATTTGTAAAATATTTTATTTGATGAGGGTCCAGACCAATTATCCTTTGTTATGTTTGATCATCAATATTGCTTTATATTTTTAAACATTGCATGTATATTTCCGGGAAAGTTTGGTCTCGATAGATCCCCCTTTCTGGGTATGACACTCTCTATATTTTTTCTTTCTTTGAAATGTCTTTTTTTTTTTTATTGGTATATACAAACAGTTGCGACTGTAGATGTTTATTAATTGAATCAAAGTTTGTAACTTTTGCTATGTTTATGAGCAATGCTTTGAAATATGCATGTAATGATGCTTTTCTTAATAAATGTTTTAATATTATTATATTATGTTATTAAGTAAAAAAAAAAAGAATTTGTATACTCATTAAATATACATCTTTTCTTTAGTATTAGTAGTACTTTACCAACTGGACAGCTTTCAAGTATACCTTGGCGAAGAACTGGTGTCAAATATGCCAATAATGAAGCATACTTTGATATAATTGAAGAAATTGATGCCATTATGGACAATCGAGGATCTGTCATTTCTGCTGAAATCCAAGGATGTGTAAGTCTAAATTATTGCAATTTTTCTTTTAATTGTAATTTTTTTTTTAAATTTTAAAAATTGTGCACATAGTATGAATTATTTAAATTATTCTTTTCAGCACTAATAATATATATGTAATTTTCTTTTTTTACATAGATTGATTGTTGTATAAAATTGAGTGGTATGCCTGACCTAAGCTTGTCTTTTGTTAACCCTAGAATATTTGATGATGTTAGCTTCCATCCCTGTGTGAGGTTTAGACGTTGGGAGGTAATTTATTTCACTTATTCTTGTTCAATTAAAATGTATTATTAGATGCTTAATGCAAAACCTAGATAAAAAATTTTATAAAAAAATAGTATTTCGATAATTGTTTTTTTTTTTTTTTTTGTTTTTTTTTCGCCAGCATTCTTTATT